GGTTTCACAGGTTACGTTTTTTTGGGGTCGTGCGGCTTTGGTTGCCGTATAATTGCCACATTGCAACCCATTGGTTTTTTTTTCTCCCCCCCCCCCCCCCCCCCCCCCCCTTTTCCCCCTTTTTCTTACACTGAAAACCAAGAAAAAAAAAAAAGAAAAAAAGCCAAGGGACAGAGAACTGACAGGGAACATGTTTTTTCCTCAAACAGATACTTCGTTTTCTCGGCCGCTCTCATTATCTTAAGTAATGAGTTTGCATCACTGTACCATAACCCTGATGCGGATAAGTCGATTAGCAGCGCTTTGATTATTCTCCAGTACTGTAAGGAGATGGATGCTCAGGCGGAAAGAGTCCTGGATATTATTGAAAATTTCCATCGTGCCAACATGGAAAAACAGGATACGGCGAAAAAAATAAATTTACCTGGCCGGAAGATACCGACTATGTTGCATACGTTCCAGTGTGACACGATACCTCCATTTTTCCATACCATCAAAGCTGAACAGCAGGAATTCTACACGAACGATGTGGCACCGACAAAAGAGCGCCAGATAGCTGGTTTTTCGGCGTCGAATTTGGAACAGACTATGAGACCGATGATGGCGCCAATGCTTCAACAACCTAGTCCAGAAGGAAGTGTGTCATTGAATAGCGGTATTGCAACCGCGAGCATGGCCCCGGGAATGGAAGCCCTTGGCAGCAATGACCCGGAATTTGATTTAGAAAGCTTATGGCAAGGCTGGCAACATCATCCGCCTACTGGTAGTATGGGTATCCCACCACCCTTGCACCATATGGAGCAATTTGGATCTTACGGACTTCATCAGCCGCCGATGCCGCACGGGAACAGTCTTAATTCCCATGTACAGCCATTTCCGCCGTCGAATTTCCGCTGAAGGCTGGGTGTCTACTCTATGGTGAATATAAATCACAACGTAGATAAGTTTGGGGGGGTATAGGATACATCTTATCTGACGCACATACGTATATAGGGGGTGCCGCCCGTTGGCCTACCACGACTGCGTGTTCCGGCAGTACTGGCGTTGGAATCTAGACAGGCAATTCGTGTGAAATACTTAATTAGTGGATTAAGTTAAAGGATCCTGGAGTTATGTGAGCGATTCTGGTTTTACTATTACCGCCAAATATTTCTCTTGGTAATGTCGGGCAGGTCTCTTTTGTCGGGCATTTGAGCGGCGAACATAACAGGCTCTAAGATGATATCACAGGTATCTAATGGGGGATTTTACATGTATTTTCATATATATAATATGATTTATATAAGGCAATTTGGTAGCTGGAATTGATGAATCGGTATTCGAGGCGATGGATAATAGTTCGTTGTGCCACGGGAAGTAGCACATTAGCCCCTTTGTATATTGATGTTATCTATAGATTCGATCTTCTAGGTTTATAAACGCGAAGGGTTAGATTCGTTGTTTCCTATTATTTTCAGTTTATTTATCAAATTTTAAGTGGGCAAGTTGAAGAAGCTCTCCTTTCTATCACTACCTCCTAGTATTACCAGAGCGTATCCGAGTGGCTGGTCGATCTTACACGATGAAGTCTGCCTAACAGTCTACCAGTCCCAATGCGCTCTTTGCATAATATCATGCGTTTCACCATTCTTTGACGAGCATTGCGCAGTAAATGGGGGCGAGTTGGATTTTGAATTATCCAGGCCTGATCTTTATGCCGCAGTAAGTGTTTGAATTATACCAGAGTACCCAGATATCTGTACCTAGAATGCCTCTTTCTACATACTAATAGCACCCACGGGAAGAGGAGCAGTCCAAGTAAACTCTACCGAGGTACAGTCACACTTGGTAATAATAGAGTTGTGATACTCCCCTAGTTAAGCTCACGATACTATAAGCAAATCATCCAGATTGACCGTCGAAATGGTACACAATCTCCACAGACCCGCACTAAGCAATTGCACATCTTGCATTGGATCACATGTTCACAATCCTACTCCTCTAAGATTGCCTAACAAATCAACCGTTTTTGTTGAAGACTTAAGTTCCGAGGGGACAGGATAGGGGCTGAGCCTGGGTGGGTTGAAATAATACGGCACAGTCGTTGAAGACCTTATACGGAGAATAGATAGGTATTTCATGTGGTGACAACAACATCCAATACCTAGATTGACATGCTCGTCATGGATTCCAGAGTAGCAAATATTGGATACACGGGTGACCTCGGAGGGGTGTCATCGCAACCTGCATCAGCCGCTAACGTCTTTACAGATAGACCCTGCTCGACATCAACGTCGTGCCTGCGGCATTGTCGATCCTCTTTCTTCGTGCATGTGTTGGGCAGCGCTCCATTCGCTAGCATCGGCCACTCCGTTTCGACTAGCGATCTCGTCCCAAGGGAAAAAAACTACCGCCCGCCAATGTCCCGGGTACATCCTCTCATCACTAGGAGCATCAGTATCGTCGTCATCATCACCACCACCACCATCACAACACACATACATGCGTACCTAACCTTACCTTGGGTAGGTACGTAGTAGATAGTATGTGTGTGCCGCACTTGTCGCCCTTTCGAACCAACAGGACCGGGATCATCGTCATCGAACCCGGGTTTTCCAGACGCGAGATTAGCAATCCTCGCAGATGGATGTGACGTGTTTATTGTTCGACCGTTTATTGTTTGCTTTCCTTCTTTTCCTCAGATCAGGCTGGGCTGAACTGCGACACTGAGCCCGGGGCCCTTTCGTGCGCGCCGCGCCACACGCCCGTCCATCTCCTGCTGGCGGGGAGGTGTAGGACACCATCACTACCACCCCCCTTTTTTTTTTTCTTATTCCTTCGATACGAATGAAAATATCCTGACCAGCAACCGACCAACGACGACGAGCAATTGATGCCTAACTACCGGGGCTGCCGGCACATCACCTAGGACGTTTTCCTACCTTACCTTACCTATCGAGATTCGAACTTGCGGTGTAGAAAATGAGAAAAAAAGCCAAGCTCGGGGAATATTCGTGGGGTAAAAATATCGAAAGGAGGGCAGGAAGTGAGGAGAAACCCAAAATTAATGAAGGTAAATTTGTTTGAATTTTCCCCAAATTCTTAAGCTGTCTCCCCAATAACTACATCAACAACAACTACTACTACTGGATGCTACCATTCCTACGTAGGGCAGGGACATCAATAGAAGGATTGTTACCACAAGATCGTCTTCTCGGCTCCTGCCGCCCCCCGCGTCCCCATGCTGCCGGTCTACAGAAGGGCAAGTTTTGACGGTGAGGCGTACCTAGGTAGGTTAGAACATCATCACTATCATCAATACAACCCACATCTCGGTCTCGAGCGGTTAGAATGAGAAAAAAAGGGTTTGAATGGGGGCCTTATGAATCCTACATGCATTGCCTACCTACCTACCTAGGTAGACACCGAAACCCTTGCCCCGCTCTCGTACATACAGAAGATGAAAGACTAGAGACGTATTTGCCCGTAGTAGTTGCGAAATGTGAATACTCATTTTTTTCTTCTCTCTTTTCGTTTTATTGTTTACTTTCCTGACGGGCCGAGGCTGAGCGCGGCAGTGGCAACTCAACGATATAGTTACAAGGAGATACCTAAGTCATGTAGCGAAATAGGGGGGGGGGGGGGGGGGGGGGGGTTTTTTATAAGAGCCCCCCCCCCCCCCCCCCCCCGCCCCGCCCCCCCCGCGCCCCCCCCCCCCCCGCCCCCCCCCCCCGCCCCCCGCGCCCCCCCCCCCCCCCCCCCCCCCCGCTATTATCTAATCGGACCGGCGCAAGCCAACCAGAGGCTGCAGCCAAAAGGCCATGTCGTGATAGAGGATATAAACTTCCTAAACTACCTTAGTGAAAAGTTGAGAAGGGCGCAATGTAGACGGGGAAAAAAAGATTTGCTATGCCTCGGTTTGGTGGTCCCCGTAATAGGCCCAGAAGTAAACGTTCTAGGCCGCATGTTTCGGGTCCCCTTCGTGCCAAACTCCATCTCCAACATCCAATTCGCCCCAGAAAAAGAGAGAGAGAGATAGAGAGAGACAGAGAAAATCCATCAGGCATTTGCTGATCGACTGCGATGCTTGGTACGAGGCCTATCGTTGCCCTTTCAGGCCAGGCTACATGAAATCCGGCTAGGGAGATGGGGCCCCGTAATGGACCCTAGATGGAGTCGTTTCAGCTGTATGTAGGACTGTATGTGCATGTGAGGTATGTAGTGTATAGTGTATAATATGTGTGTATGTATGTATGTGTATGTAGGAAGGAGGCTGGTAAGGAAATAGGTATGCTGCCTACATATATTGAATATCATACTGTATATGCTCACATACAGACCTAACGGTGAGGCCGGACCGGATCCCCCGCTGTGAAGAGGAGACCGAGGAGGCTACATGACACATACATGGAGAGGAGTAGAGACATACATAGATGCATACTTACTAGGTAGGTAAGTAAAGAGGAAAGATAAAATAAAATGATGACTCATAGAGGGGGGACAGAGGACGACAAGATGATGGAAAATCACTACCTAGCCTATCTGACAGAAACACGCCGGCCGCAGTGCCACCTACCTACCTACCTACCTCTACCGACATCACCAACAAGAAGGAAGCCGTTTGTCCCATTAGCATTAGCATTAGCATTAGCTGCATCTAGCTGCAGAGCGGCGAACGCCGTGCCATGTGGCCAGCCGTACCGAGGAAGAGAGGGGGTGAGTGGATGGGGGAGGGGCCTTTCGAACCCAGATCTGCAAATAAATATGTATATCCTACATGACATTGCATACGTACGTACATTTTGACATGATGCAGCGTCCATTAGGCGCCAGTTACGGTGCGAGGTAGGTACAGGTAGGTAGGGTAGGTAAGGTAATTGGGAGAATGATGAAGAGGGGCAGGAATTTCCAACGAGGTGGGAATACGGCACGACACGACGCGACACGACGGTTAGGGAAGCAAGTTAAGTGAGCAAGTGAATGGGCAACGTATAGGAAAGAAAGAAAAAAAAGGTAGAGAAAACGAGAGACATGATAGATAGGACAAGACGAGCCCAGCCAAGGTTCGTTCGAATAGAGTTTAGCCAAGCAGCAGTAATATGCATATATGGGATGATGGGGACGTGATGTATGTATGTAGGTATGTATGTACGTGCGTACGTACGTGCTTTGCTTTGCTTTGCTTTGCTACTTTGCCTTCTCGGCAGCGATACCGAGGGGCGGCGCTGACGTACAAGCAACCGACCAAGCAAGCACAAGAAGAAGAGCTCCAGATAGCGAGCGCCTTCTGGACACTTACATTGGTCGACGCGCTAAAATAAAGGATCCAGCATCAGGCGTTCCCCCCTCCCCCCTCTCTCCCCTCGGGCCAACCAACCAATGTGTAGTAAGAAGACAAGGCCAAAAAAAAGAGAAGTGGCTGGGAGAGGGGAAAAGAAGGGAAGACTAGGTAGCTAGCTTAGCTGTCGTGACTGGAGAGATGAAGGTCCCAAGGAAACGTACCTAAGCAAACATATTATTAAAGTGGCTACGACTCTACCGTGCTTGGGCTAATACTGATAGACGAAGATTATCGAGATCTGGATCCTTTGGTGGTTGCTTGTAAGCTACTGTAACTATACCAAGGCTGGCAAGGGTCTTTTCTATGGCTCGGTCCAGTAGGTACCTAAGGTAAGGTAGGTACCCTAGGTCGTCATCTGTTGGTAGAAGAGATATTACGGGATATTAGCTAGGTTAGGTACCTACCAAGTAGTAGAGGTAGATGGATAGTCTGTGATTTAGGGTTACACGCCATTTTGGGTTTGTTTACTTTCCCATACTTGGGACGGTCTTGGGATGTTACTCTAGGTCTCACTCACGTCTGTCTAATTCGGGTGGCGCCGCTTGCGTCTATTAACCACCTCCGACTCGATCAACGTCCACCTTGTGTCACAACACAACTTTATGTTTTTAGTACTAGATTTTTTTTGTAACTTCTGCTAGGGATTCTTTGGCTCGATCTTGTTGATCTGGAGTATTAACCTCTAGTTTTAGCCGCTAGCTTTCATCATCCCCTTTCTCATCCCCCCCTATTCCCAAAGCGGGTAGTTAACGGTGTAATTCTATACCGTTTCTTTCCACAAACTCGTCACGTTCACTAATATCCGTTCTTTTATCTCCTCCATAATTTTTGGACTCCGTTGAACAGCACCCTTTCCCATAGTATAGATGTAGAACCGTAAGGTTTGTTCCAAAAAAAAAAAATAGTACTGGTCCTTTCCCCCTTATATCTTCTCCTCATTATATGATACCAACTTGTGAAAACGGAATCAGCTGGGTATTTAAGAGTATCCAAGATAGATTTGAATACAGGAAAGTTTCTGCAGTCTGGTAATTCGCAATTTGGTAGTAACGCCGAAAAAGAGAACCTCAACCAACATGGCAACGAGACACCCATAACTCCTCGTTTCATAATGACAAAACTCCAAGAAAGCAATGATAAAAAAAATATGAACCATGAGCCCCCAATATCCAATTCCCCAACAAGATAGATAAATCCGTAGATGTCGCAAGTACCTAAACAGGACAAATGAAAGGAAAGAAATGGGGAGGGAGGGGGGAGGCATTTGGTGCACAGCTCCGGTACTGGGGACCCGTAAACCTGTGGCTGATAAAGCAAACTGAATTTGTTCCTGACACCTAAACCGTGGAACCAACACAATTATGAGGCTTTCTTCTTCTTCTTTTTCCTTCCTGCCCGAGATGTCGGTTGCCCGAACTATGCGAAAATCTCTAATGACCGTTTTTGTCCAATGCTAAAATGATATGCAGGACCCTAGGGAGGGTTTCCACCTCGTCTCTCGTGCGAGGGGTTCATATTAATTAAAAACTAAATATAGTATAAAATTATCGGCTTCGTAAGACGAAAGTAGAGTAGCAACCGATGACCCTGAAGACCCGAGACTTGTGGCTAACGCTGGCTTGGATCGTACGGCGCGCTCGTTCGTGTTGCCCAGCCGGTTTCGTATGACTCCCGCTTGTATGGTGGGAAGTTTTGCACCGGTATACTTGATGTAGGTGGGCCAGCACTTGGAGTCCCAGCTGGTTGGTCTAATCGTAGGGGAGGTAGTCGTGAGGTTCGAGCCATAGACGAGGGAGTTCCCGGTTGCGATAGAGGAGTGTGTACAGGTTGGGATATTGATGGCAAATTAGGCTGGGCCACACCATAGGGTGGGCTGTAGTCGAGTTGAGAATCTGTCCGGCGTCGTCGGGCCGCCCTTTCGCCAGTTACAGGATCAGCACTTCCATAGGCAGGCATCGGTAGCGTAGACTGGTTAGAAGCGAGAGGGCTCCTTTCTGCGAAAGAGCCACCACTCCTCGTCGAAATAGGACTGGGAGGCCCTTGGTAAGCAAGCTCGCTAATTCCAGGAGTTCGATAGACAATATCGCGAAGTCGGTCCCGATCACTACGGTACCTGTCCCGCTCATTCTCTGCTTCCTGTTGCCGCTTCAGAAGCTCGCGGTTCTGACTTTCCAACTCCTGTATTCTCAATCCTTGTTGTATTTCCTTGTCCTTCTTCCTAGCTCGGAACCTCGCAGAAGCACCCGCATTCCTCTGCCGTTTCTCGTCGGCTTGTTTTGACCCATTGTACATGTCTAGGGGGACAATTAATGGCTCACCGCCTACGTTCATTGCCGCATGACCCTCCATACCCATCATGCTTCGAATGCCAGGGGCACCCGCGCTCCCAAATATGCCCGACCATCTTGAATCTCCCACTGGAAGAGAAGTTGGCGGAAAACGCGCACTCGGTGGAACACCCGTTGAATATGGTGGTGTTTGTGCATACGGATGAGGCCTAATATGGCCACCGGTATTGCCTTGTGACTGCTGGGGTTCGTGTCCGGGAGGATCAAACTGGCTCGCGATTGGCTGAGAAAGGGATCGAGGCGGCGGTGTTGTCAAGGGAGCTAAAGTGGTCGAAGGACCAACCCCAGAGGGGCGAACTCGTCCAAACTGAGGACCTAGAGGTTGAGGGCCACTAATTCGTGGTGATTGAGCGTACTGTCCACCGGGAGACTCAGCTGGGAAGCCTCGTTTCGACGTAGGAGGAGCAGGATAATAGTGAGTTTGAGGTGTATTCAACCCTTGAGGTGGTGGTACATGGCTCGCGGCACTGACTTGGGGAGACCTTGGGGTTAATATTCGTCGGGTTGCCCCCAAGATTTCTCGATGAGACTGTATTGATGCGGGCGAACCGCGGTCAGCTGGTGGAGGTCCCTGGGGAGGGAGACCTCTAGCCGTTTGTTGCTGACCCATCATCCCATGGTTTTGATACATGAAGGGCTGCGAAGTGGTTGGACTGGATTCGAACGTAGAGCCTTGTATATTTGGACTCGGATATAGGCGCGCTCCGGATGGTCCAGATGCTGCCGAAGAGGTAGTCCCAGTCGGCGACGGCTGTGTTTCCGTTGGGTTTAAGATGTTCCGCACATCAAAGCCCCTCTGGGTTAACGACTGTGCTATATCTCCATTAGGTCGGACGATGCCACCGTTTCCCAATGACCCGTTGCTGGCTGGCTGGTTACTAAGCCTCGGGGGACCTGACTGTTGTGAAGTTGGCGACGTGCTCGTACCTGCTGGAGGAGATTTGGTTGTCCGAGGTGAAGAAGATCGTGACGCAGGGTCGCTCTGCGACATCGGATCCAAGTCCCTCTCGCACAGGTGGCCCAGAGGAGCCAGACATTGACCGCCTCTACCAGACGTGATTTGATACCGCTTGATTTCAGATCTTGCCTCGTTACTATCTAGTCTCGCCCCACCAGACTCGCCGTCCCCTTGCTCAATGCTACTCAGGCGATTCGTATGAAATCCCACGAGCCCGTTCCCAAGCGTACGGGTAGAGGGTGGTTGGGAGGGTTGGCGAATGTTAAGATTTTGGACCGCCACGGCGACAGATTGGTAAGTAGACTTTTGAAGTAGAAATTGTAGAAGGATGAGGGCAGCTTGGGTTGCGATGTGCCCGATACCAGAGTGGTTGCGCAAACGAATATAATAGCTTAATTGGCTCTATATAAGCTGCTCTCCAGTACTCAGGGCGTATATATCGTGATGAATATTCAATGCTGGCCTCAGCTCCTGATGAATATTCGATCAACCTTCAAGCTATATATGCGGCAGTTTAAAGATGATTCCTCTGGTCCGAGTCAAAGAGCTGTCCTCGTAAGATTAATGTGGTGGTCAAGCCCGGGTCCGGTTCAGAAGTCGTTACTTGAGGTAGAAGTAAAAGGACAATGGTGAGAATTCTGGAAAGAAATATTTCCAGACATGTGGCGGCTGGAATTAGTGGATGTATATCAGCTGTTGCCCAACGAAAAGCGAGGAATAGAGAAAGTGTGAATGTAGCCAATGATGTTAAGAGTAGTAGAGCGGATCATTGGCGATAAAAGCCCTGCAGCAATGAGTGGTCGAGATGCAGACCAACGCTAGAGAAGTACGGGGGCCTGAATGGGCAGACAAACAGCTACGGTCGTGGTCGTAAGGAGATGATGGTATGCTTCGGATGGGTTACGTACAAGTAGTAGAATGGTATAAGAATACCGTATCTAACCAAAAAGAATAGGCGGGACTCGACTTTGTAGTGTTCCCACCGCACTTGCGTCAATTCACCGACAACTAAGCTGTTGCTTTCGGGTGCAGTAAGCTCAGCACTTGCCCACTGATACTTGGACAGGTTAGTACGGCTTCTCAGAACGGAGGAAGAGAACAAGAACAGATGTAAGCATTCCGGGTAGTCTAAGGGCAAGTTGCACAGTTGTACTAGTTACCACGAGCAGAGATGCGTCTAACTATTTGGTTTTTCTCTTCTTTTCAGTCTCTTGGCCTGAGAACCCCAAGCTCCCATGCCCGCTCTTATCAACAGACAAGAAACTAGACAGGGCAGAAGAATAGAATGGGTGGAGCCAACATGGGGACTGGCAGCCGGGGTACAGGAGGTTCACAGGGGGGGGGGGCATGTTCAAGCTCGTTGGTGCTGAGCACTGGCAGGGCTTAGGAGTTGACAACCATACTTTGGGTGCATTATGGACTAGGAACATCCCGTGCCATGTTCCTTTTTTAACAGTTTCAGTAGGTAGTGGGAATGATGAGGATCTTGAGACTAGGGCGTCTGTCAAGGAATCGCTTAAGGCTCTTTAGAATGTTCGAAAGCTTAACGAGCTGAGAGCTAAGCAGCCCTACACTGATGTCTGACACATGCAGCTTGGAGGACATGCGAAACATGAGGTGCCAACCGGGAATCGTTCAAGAAGCTGACAGAGCAATCCCATGGCCTTGCACACTCGAAATTAACGAGCACGGCAAATGTAAGTTTATCTGACTCGGGCCATACAACCTTATGTCGTCCCGTACGAACTTGAGGCTCTTACCGGTAACATATTCAGCGGTCGCATACCTCGGTGAGCTTCTAAAAATTTTAGTAAGTTAAAGCGCGAGTGGCTAGGCCATAACATAAGGTGCTAGAATTAGTTTAGCCCAGCATGCTGGTGCTATTTTCCATCGTGCCATTAGATGCCAGTGGCACAGCGGTAGGTGAGGGTCATCGTCGCCTGCGAGCAGTATTATCGTTAGCTTTGCTGCATGGCTCGTCAGTCATGTAAGCCAGCGCAAAGCATAGTAGAAGAGACAGAACTAGGGGTTCCTCTGTCTCTGATAGGTCACGGGTCATCACGGCTCGTCACGAAGGAGGATGGGTTCACAAATGGAGATCTCCGGTGGAGTTGTCGTAGTAGTTGCTTAAGGGTTTGGAGGGCTACACTAGAGGGTTGACTAGATGGGCGGGTAAAGACTCCGCTGGATCCAAACCCTCCCCCCTAAGAATATCTTTGGCTGGAAATGATCGACAAGCAAGCCGTGGCCAGCCAAGAAAACGTCAGTTGGCCGCTCGGGTCTAAAATCAATAATAAGCGGTCACTCGAGCTTGCTCCAGTAACTACTACTTTTCTGCAGCAAGCATGGATTCGTAGATTGTACGTGTTGCAATACCGGTGCCCATACCAATGCCAACTGGCCAAGCATTGCTGGGAACAACAATACCCGTTCTACATACGTAGCAATACTGCGGCGTAGTAGCCGGTAGCTAGGTAGATATGTATAGGTAGAATGCTCGTCCATACCTGTGATGCCTGCTGCTGGTACAATACATAGTATGCCGGTAGCAGGCTGGTAGTAAGCTGGGACAATAAGACAACTGAGATCGACTGTGAAGATTGGCGGTCAGTACCGCAGCTTGCTATCCGGTGGTGACGAAGCGGAGGGCTTCACTCCTTTAGCTCGGGAGGTAAGGCTAGGCCGGGTTGGGCTTAACGGGACCGGCTTGCAAAGAGAAAGCGAGTGACGATACAAGTAGTCAAGGGTTATAATAGACTAGGTAGTAGTTAAAATGTAGTTATTGGAACATGCCAGCCGGGCAAGGTCAGGTTAGGCTACCAGATAGGTCCCAGGGTTTCCAGGATCCCAGAAAATCCCAGAAAATCCCAGGAAATCTCAGGGTAGGATACATCCATGGCCAGATGTACGTGTGTTATGTACGTATATATGTATATGTATGTGCATATGTATGTCAGAATAAATTAAAAAAATGGGTAGGAAGAATAAATAGCGGCGTGACTATGTACAAGTGAGAATTACTAGCGCGATTCGCCAGTGACGCTGCGATGGGTTTCGATGGTGTATTTTTCTAGTTTTTTGGTTTTTTAGTCTTTTTTTTTTATGGCTGGCCCACGCCCGCGGAATGCGGGAAGGACCCTCCTTAACCCGTGCAGCCTTTCTACACCCAGTAATAATAAGTCAGGATAACCTTCCAATGACCAAGATCCATATGGATAAGCATAGGTACCTAGGTATGGATAGCACTTACCGTAGCTTTAGACGTATGCATGTATGTAAGCCGAACCTTACCATAGTACCTAATAGGAATAGGACGAAATATATACACGAGTACATTAGTATGCGCATCCATGGATGCACATGGATGTAAGTTGCGACGTACTCTATCTAAAGTCCTGTACTCGTTACTTACAGCTATACCTACAACCTACAATTAGGTACCTACCTAGGTAGGTACCTATCCATCCAATCTGTATTACACTATAAACCGTACATCAGGTAGGACGATTCTTTCGTGGGTTTGACTTTATTAACCTTTTTTTTTTTTCTCTTTTCTTGCATCCCTCCGATTCTTCGCCGCTGACCTACATTCCAGTTTTCTCCCACCTCAGTCCTCTTAGACCTACATACATATCTACACCTCTACGCATATACATGTCAATCTGCATTGTACGGTACGTCCAGTAGGAGGTACAGTCGTAGATCAAACGATCAAGCGATCAGGTACCAATGTGCGGCCCCGTTGGATTCCAGCCCAACCGCCAGGAGCTATTGTCTCAAGTAATAATGACCGAAGCCACCACTATGCCATGTCAGCATGACCAACAGCCCGCAGAAGGATCGCCGGCGCACGCAGACAGCCAGCTGCTCTGGGTAGTGTATATACAATACGTAGCCTCTGCTAGTTGCGGGGCACGATGCATTAGAGTCTACATACTCATACTCGCATACTCTACATCGTCCACATCGTACACATGTCCTGGACTGAGAAGTGAGATTAGTATTCAACACATCCACAAGACAACGCAACATTTTCATACCTATATCTGGTCATATATTTGGACCGTCGCATCGGCCGTCCAACACGAGAATGACCAGCTCCTCATCGATTTTAATCCCCTTAGCCGTCCACGGTACTGCCTATTACTTCATCTTGTTTTTTTTTTGTGTGTGTTTTTTTTTTCCTGAGCGGTAAGCCGGCCGGCAAGGGACTATGGCTATTGTCACACTCAACTGGGTAATTATGCCAGGGGGTTCTCCCTTGGCATCTTGATGGCTGCCCGAATCTGCAAAAGCACCACTAGGCAAAAGAAGAGCAGACTTGACGAAAGTGTACCCGCGTCCTAGCTGGGAAAGAAAAGTCGACAAGCGCGCCCGCTAGTGTACGTGTTGCGTATTCCGGGACTCGGGCTCGCGGGCCACGGCATTTTGCTTCTGCATATGTGCTATGTATGTGCTAGTCCATCTATGATGTATGGGGACCCTGCGAGTTCTGCAATCAGCACGGCATGGTTCATGTTCCCGCCGTGTGATGAGACCACCATCTAGTCCCGGTTGTCATGCATACCATATAATAGTAGGGTACTTGGGCCCTGTCTGCGGCCCTCTATGCGGCCATGGGAACGCACCACACGCACGTACCATTAGGTACTGTGTATACCACACAACGCAGAAAAAAAAGTATTTTGCGTGCGAAATTACAACATCTGTATGGCGCCCCGTAAGCGCAAGGATCCCTTTTCGACACTTTTTAACCCAGCAGCCTGGATAGGAAGCCACACCCTAAGCCTTGTCAGGCCTAGTTTATGACAGATGGGCTGAGTGGCTTGTCTTGTAATTCCGAATCGAAAATAGCTAATATAGGTTAGGTACCTAGGTACCTAAGGTAACCAAACAAGACGGTTTATTTTCTGAAATCTCGTGGCAGACGTGGATGTCCGGTTTCCGTCAGTCTCTGTCATAAAACATGACGCCACAGCAAAGAAAAAAAAAAAAAGAAACAGGACGATTTAACAGAAACAGATCTACGGATAACGATGGCGACTTCAAGCGGTTACACATGTTGTTGATGGCCAATATTCTTACTACTCAGTCCCATCAATAAGTCATGGTAGCATTCTACCATTTCGAGACAAATAAACCGTTGATCAATCACATCATGGTAAATACCATGGTAACAGTACTAGATATTGCCTATTGATGACAATATAAGGTAGTCGATTCCTTAGGGCAAAAAGGAAATAAGACCCTAGCACGATGGTCGAAATAACGTCGTAACATCATATTTCGGGTGGCGTCGTCCCTGGTTCTAATTTGCTTTTTAATGTCTCTGTTCCCCTGGTTTTCTCACACAGTCGGAAAATATGATGGCCTGTCTGCATTCAATGCAGGTACAGGGCCCCAGGACATCGTTGAATGAAGTAATTTACATGTCCCGTTTCTACGTTAGTTAAGGCTATCTTGCCTTGTCAAGTTGGCCCTCTGCAAAGAATGCTTTGTTACATGTCACTTGAGATACCTCGTATGGAGATACAATTATCAGCTATAAGCACAGTGCACTATTAACCTTTATAGGACCTCGAACAACCTTGTTGCTTAGGATAGCATCATTGCTTTAATTTCACCCGAACTTCATTTGCCAGTGGCAGTTAACGAAATGATTCATACGCCACAAACGGGACGAATGACGCCCTTCCGCCACAAAATATCTACTATGTATGGAGAACCCCAAGTTCCGAGCGTTGAACGGCCAAGAGTTGCTCCGGCTATACGAAATCGGCTATGATGTTGATCAAAGATAATACCTAGCAAGCTCGTGGTGCCTAGATTCAATCCAGTTAGGTACTCGCTACCTCAGGATAATTTTCTGCTAGTCGAGAAGTCCTTTCAATACCTATGTGTGATGACTTCGCAGTACATATACGGTAAGGGGCGCCAGAATCGACTTGCTAGCAGTACCTAACTACACCAATAAATACCTACCCAAAGGTAATACCTAAGGTAAAACCGCATGCATGTATACCTACTTGCAAAGCAGACCATCGACTTTGGGTAGATACCTAATCTACTGCGCCTATGATGACGCGATATGTACGCCTCGTCTATGGGATGTTGAGAAAATAAACAACGAATCCTAGGCCGTTATCTGAGTTACCCAGGAGTCTGGACAGCCGAGTGGCCCATATCTGGATCTAAAGATTGAATTGGGGGGCCGTTTTCGCGTGCCTCCCTTGGAGATTCCCACCAGATTCTGGAAAATGTATCATGTATGGCATGCAGAGCACAGCTGCAGCTAATAAACTGCAGCCTGCAAGCTCGGGGAACAGGGATTAAAACATTATATTACAGTACGTGCCACCCATTACAAAACGGCTTCGTGACCAGTTTAGCCCCAGCCACCAGGGCTTTACAATTACAAAAAAGCAACATAAAAAACTACCTGTCACTTTTTTTCTCTCTCTCTCGTTATATTAGGGCTATTGGATTTCGCTAGTTCAACCGGTTGAAGTACGAATAAATAAATAAATAAAAAGGCCATATAATATACGATATACACACATAAGGCGCAGATGGTCGCTATCCTAGGCGACATGGACATCAGCGGTGAGCCACCAATCTATACGTATCATGTAGTACCATCAGCCCTGATCCTTACCAAGGTCGGTACGGACTCTGACGCTCTCATTCATGTCTTATCGACACATGGCCAATGTGCCTCAGCGCGCCCACAGGTTGACAGGTTGGGCAACGCTCTCGTGCTACAGAGTACGTACTCCTATAATATCGTCATTATTGTCATCGGCGTCAATGCTGATGCAGTGATACGTAGATTGTCGAAGACACTCGCTACCAGACATGCGCACGGGGATCCGCCCTCCTTGAGCTAGGTACACTATTGTTACGAAGGTTAGAAAGCGGCATCGATCAATCACTGGCCCGTTGAACTCGAGGCAGGGATTAGAGGTGTACAGCCAACCATCGTGATCGCAGAAGGTCAGTCAAGTGGATCTTCCTCACGCGTCATTTATTACCCTTTAGCTTCATAAAAGACAGTGCACATTACTACTACTTTCTCATCTCCCAGCCTCCCCCTCCCCTTGATACTTTTCTTATTCTACCCAGATGGGATGTGGGACTTTGTTCTGGAAGACTCCCTGGAAGACTCCCTGGAAACCTCCGTGGAAGCTTTCCAGGAAGACTTACGTGCATCAGTCTATGATCATGTGGTTCGTCAATTTGGCGGCTTGTGGCTAAGCCGCGGAACGGCTCGAATCCACTTCATGTACAAGTTTCGACTCCTCTGTTCGCTCTATTCAGTACAGCTAGAGTAGTCTTGGCCAAATCCGTCCAGTCGGCCAACGAGTCCACGTCCCCAGGTCTACCAATTTTTACGGACAAGACGTGACCGCTTGACAGGATCCTGAATGGGGTGCATCTTTCATGCAAAACGATGCGTCTAGGAGCTGAGGCTCTCCTGAACGGAACTAGCGGGCCCGCGGTGGTGGTCACAAGGGAAAATCCGTTCACTCACGATGTTCTTCACCGACAAGTTTCCACTTACATACCGCAGAACATACCTTGCCTCACTTTTTCTTTTAGCTGCACCTATGATGCGTTTCCCCAGTTTCTCTATCTACGGGCCAAATAGCTTCTTCCACGCCACCTTGCTGTCGTGTATCCACGCTATTCGCAAGAAGCGGTCACCAACCTTCTCTAAATGCAGCCAGCTTCTACATAGTTTCTGATCGTGAACCCCGTGGTCGGTAGGGGATCAATCAGTGTAGTCGCTAATTTAGGTAGGTGTCTGTTTTGCTGGAACCACTTCGCTAAAGCTGCGTTGGTAAGTCATTTTTTTAACAAATATTTGCAAAGTTGATTGTCTATTGTGCCCCCGCGAAGATTTACAGCGTAGTCTCTGTCCAATGCTTCGCACCTTATAGATAGATGTAAGGAAGAAAGTTACAAACCAATTTTCAAATTAGAATGAACTAACTGGGTGGGATTTTTTCTTCTTCTATACCTACCTCTATTAACCACCTATGGAATACTATTTCACTCCTTTTATGGCATAGTTAATATTCTTGATTTTTAGGTGCTTGTCTACCTAAGTATCAGGTAGGTACCTACCTTGCAACCAAGTCTTCTCGAGAGGAGCATGACTTGTTCTATATCTGAACTTATCAAGTCTCCATTCCGTCTCATTCTCGGAATCAAGCAAGTCATCATCACGTTCTAGCTATGACACAATCGTTATAAGTGATTTACGCGCAGATGCATGTCGCATTAAACAACGGGTCGTAGCTAGGTAAGTATCCGTTAAGCGATGGAAAATGGAATGGCTTTTGAAAATAGCCGGCAGAAGAGGAGTTGATGTCGGCACGATCCGACCGAAACAAAGCAACCAAAGTCTCAACTTCTTTCATTAAAACACAAGGAAGCTAGCCAAGGACCGAATTCAATCTCGAATCTCACGGCTGTCAGGCCCGTATTCCGTAGAATTCCCAACATCCACAGGGACAACTTCACTTTTTGTCTTTTTTTTGTTGACTTATAATCCTGGGAAGGTCCCGAAAAGTTAAATGTCGAAAATATTTGGAAGTACTTGTTGGTGATGCGTTGTATTTTTCAACCTCGAAACTTTATAAGCCATTTAATAAAAAAGTCGCACCTGGGTCACGATCGGGAGGGGAGCATTAAAAAACAACCAACCGGCTAGTTAACACGCCCGATTCCGAATCCGAGTCCCGCCCCTAGAGCCTCCACTATATCGGCGAGTCAAGTATTGTACAATTAGGTCCCTTGCTTGGTTTTCAAGACACATACATCTACCTAGGTATTACAAGCTTCACCCGGTCAATCAATACGCAGCAGCCTCGCCACCAATTAATCCGCTAAAAATAAACAACAATCTAACAAGCGAAGTCTAGCTTCCCGTGGGGGTCCCAAGGAGCTGAAAAAAAAGAAAGAAAGAAAAAAGAAAAAGTAAAAAAGTACCTATACCTATACCTAAGAGGGATAACTAGCGAAATTCAACATGTCCGCCCCCGACGCCGGAGCCAAGCCAGAACTACAACGATGGCACGTCACGGAGCCGTACTTGAACCTCCGGTGCGGGCTAGGCGAGGGCCCGTACTACGAGGAGGCGAGTCACAGCCTGCGATTCGTGGACATCAAGAAGAAGCGGGTGCACGTCGTGGACTTGGCTAAGATCCCTTACCCCAACCCGAACCCCGACGTGGATCCGAGCCCGAGCTCGGCCCCCTCCGTCGTCCTCAGCGGCGGCGGCGGCCTCGAGACCTTCCAGCTCGACACGCCCGTGTCCGTCACCGCGGACATCGAGGGCGTTGACCCGCGCGAGCGCATCCTCATCGGGGTCAAGTACGGGCTCGCCGTGCTGGACCGCCGCACCGGCGCGTACGAGTACGTCGCGCGGTTCGGCGCCGATAAGGACGACGAGCGCTTGCGTGCCAACGACGGCGCGGCCGATCCCCACGGCCGCTTTTGGCTCGGCGCTATGTCCGACTTCGGATACGACTTGCGGCCTGAAGGTGAGCTTGGGTTTCTTACTACCTCGTCTCTTCGCGTTTATCACAATTCCCGTGAGAGGAGGGGGGGAGGAAGAAAAGAGGCTTCTTTTTTTTGAACCTCACCTTTTTTTTTTCTCTTTTTCTTTTTCTTCTTTCGTCTCTTCAACTTTGCACTCAAACGAGACCGGGGAAATTTTTAACGAAGCCTTGGGGTATGTGTTTTTTTTTTTCTCTGTGCGGGGTTGGTTGGTTGTTCACCCCCAGACGACGGGCTCCGAAGACGTCTTAGAGGTGCAGGAAAGGAATCGAAGGCCTGGCTTTGCTTTACCTTCCCCATCTGCACCTGCATCTGCTTCCCCGGTCTCGTTTGTTTCTTGCTTGCATATGTTATGTAATTCTCAAAGCCGGAGGCGACCCCGACAGCCCGGTTTACCCACCACGGTCGGGGCGTGATACCAGTCTCGTGATATAATGTTGCAACTCCGAACATCGCTACGCCATACATGTACCTACCTAACCTACATCACCTACTAAATGTATGTATGTATGTGTATGTATGTACGTGCATGGATATGCGCCTGCAGGAGAAGAGGGGGCCGTGCAGAAAGAAGGCACGAGCACAAGCATCAAACGCCCGCGCAGAAAACAAAGCGAAGAAAAAAAAACGGGAAGACGGAAACGAGTCTACCCTGCAGATAGATGTACGCGCGGACGCTAGTAATGCGACTCTACCTTTTCTCGTGACGGGTAAAGGAGACATGGGTGCGAGACACGGCGGAGGTTACGTTATACATACCTATGATGCTTATTTGCGCAAAGCCAAGGCCTTTTTTTTTTCCCCTTTTGTTTTTCTTATAGGAAAAAAAAAACAATTCCACGAAACTAATCCATATTCTATTCTACTGCAGGCTCCGTATTCCTGTTCGACGGCACGCGCCCGGCGCGGACCATGCGGCACCCGGTGGCGATCCCGAACTCGGTCGGGTGGTCGCCGGACCGGCGGACGCTGTACCTGACGGACTCGACGGCGCGCACGATCCACGCGTACGACTACGACCCCGTCGCGGGGGGGAGCGCGCCCCGCGACCGCCCCTTCTACGTGCACCCGGGGACCGGGGAGCCCGACGGCTTCCGCGTCGACGTCCAGGGGAACCTGTGGCAGGCCGTGTACGGCGAGGGCCGCGTGCTGAAGATCTCGCCCGAGGGGAAACTCGTCGGCGAGGTCCGGCTGCCGACCAGGAACGTCACGTGCACCCAGTTCGTCGGCACCGAGCTGTTCATCACGACGGCGGGGATGGAGGAAGGCGAGGGGATGCCCGAGGAGGTTAGGCTCAGCGGCGCGCTGTTTAGGGTCGATGTTGGCGTTAAGGGGCTGGAGCCCTTCCCGTTCAAGCTAAATTAGTTGGTAACTAGTAGATCCGGCGTCTTGAGCTTTTGAAAGACGATAGACGGGCTGATTTCATTTGAAATTAAGAGCACGGGCTGAGGGGTGCGTGTTATGAGCAGCATGAGGGTCTTAGCAGTTTTACATATGGTAGCCCCTATTTAGATCACTGGGGGGAAACAAACAAAGAAAGAAAGAATCATTGCTAGAAGCCTATTAGAATAGCATTTTAAGATATGTTACTTCTTTATTATTAGTTTTCCTTGGGCTTTAGTGCGTACATGCGGACGGGATACAGCTCGTGGGGGAACCCATGCTGTATCTCCGTCTTGATTATACGTAATCCCGCAGCCTCGAAGATGCGTCTGAATGTTTCGTCTTGCCTGTGCCGTAGCGCGGTTAGTTACGGTGGTCGTTCGCCTACAAACAACTGAAGGGCAGTAGCAAGATGGCATCATTCTTGCTTAAGCTAAGCTACCAGAGGGAACTTACCTTGTAACACTACTGTCCTCCGAGTCAAACAAGTCCTCTTCCGACGTGCTCAAGTTCTCCTTCACCACGATGACCCCTTTGGTCTTCCCATCGTCTCCGACGCTCAGCACGGAGCTGCACCGCCTCAGGTACTCTTCCAGCTGCTGGTCGGTCAAGTGGCCCAGACACCACTGGTTCCAGACGAGGTCGTACTGAACGCCGTCTTCGGGCTGCCACTCCTCCAGCCCGACGTTGTGGACGCGGCCTACGCCCGGCTTGCCCTCCAGCACTGCCGTGAACTTGGCGACGGGCTCGACGACGTCCACCGTCTCGGCAACGTCGAGGAGTAGCCCTTGCGTTATGCGTCCGATCCTGCGACCTGTTTTAGCTACATGTTGTGTCATATTGTTTATATACCTAATATAAACGTATCCATATACATATAGGGATACGCATAGGTATACGCCTTGCATCCGCAGCTACCATCTCCACACTGCCACAATAATCTCGTCACATCTTCCACGCATACATGCGGCGCGTTTAAATGTGGTCACATTGTGTCATATATATATATATAAGACGGACCGGACTGAAACCCGGAAAACAAGCAAGCAAAACAAAGGACGGATACGGCAGGAATAGCCGGAAAAGGGGGTAGGGCAAGGTAGGGGGATATAAGTGATGAAAAGACGACGACATACGGGTAGTCAACAAGTACAGAAAAAAAAAGAAAGAAAGAAAGAAACTTACCCTGCACCGCCCTCCAACGCCCTCTTCACAGCCTTCACGCCCTTAGTGCGGCCCAGACCAACCTTAGCCAGGAAGCTCCGCGAGCCTCTCAGGTCGACGCGGGAGACTGTCGGGTACCCGCCCAGCATGCCGTTGACATCAGGGTCGATGGCGGACCAGTACTTGCGGCTGTCGTCGGCATTGATGAAGGAATCTGGGGTTTCTGATTTAGTTTCGGAGGGCGACATGTTCTTGTAGTTGTTTTTTTTTTTGGATAATTTAATTGCTTGCCGTGACCAGGTCTTCTCTTAGTGGTATTGAAAAAAAGGGGAAGGGGGGGACACGCTGGAAACGACTTGATTTAATTATTAAGTAGAAAAAAATTTATAACGATACGCAGACGGGCGTAAGAGAGATAAGAAAGAAATGTAAATGATTTACAAGTTACTTATGCGTTATTGGTATTCCATTGTTATAATTTATAATTTCAATATCGTGGTGAGTTTTGTTCAGGAATAACTTGTACTGTTACAACTGCGTAAGGCAATTGTTAGCAGAGAAAGAAAGGAGGAGTTGATGTTCTTCTGGCTATCACGTGGCTAGGTGGGAATTATAGTGGGTACTTCAAGTACCTATCACTTCAACTTATTGCGCTCGCCGGTTGCACCAAATCTTATAGGCCATAACTACCTCAGGTACATGCTTAAACCTTACCTAATACCTAGGTACCTAAGAGGTATAAGATCAGGTCAAGTAAGGCAGGACCTGATAATACGCTGATATATGAGGTAGTTACATTAGGTATGTCCCGTCATACCCACCCCCCTATATAAGGTTAGGTTAGGTAGGCTTACTTCCCCATTGTAGTAGATCTGGTGTAACTCGACGCCGTGCACAACTGCCTAACTTCGCCCATCGCGAAGGGTAGCATTTTGTCCCCTCGTTCCTCCCCCCTTGGCCATTTCGAAACGAAAAAAAGAAAAATTGCCTAATGCAGGGACCTGGTACCTCAGGTATAGGACGTCGTTCTATAGATGACGGCAGGGAAGGGCGCTAGTGGGAAATACGTATATGCTGACCTACCTAACACTTAGGTACGGACTTGGGATGACATGCATATAAGGTACCTTATGTGTGCGTGTCATTTTAGCCGCGGGACTAAGTATTTTCATTTATATTTGATACATATGATTGAACATGTACTTAATGTTACTTTAGGTAAGGTCAGGAGATATGTAGGTAGGTAATTATGGATTTGATTATATGTATGTGAGAAAAATACAAGATGGCGAGTGCGTGTTGAAGAAGACGTCGACATGTGAGGGTCTGGTGCCCCCCTACCAAATATAAATGGAAAATAATTGGTCGACTATGTGTATGTGTGTATTCACTTTCAGGGGTAAGTGATCAAGGTAATTAGCAGAAGAGCCGATATATATAAAAAGGAATCAACTTGAAATTCCCCAACTCATAAAACCAGTACGCAAGGGAAACAAATATGACGAAGCCTTCAAAATTGTAATGAAATAACGCCCAGCAGATAAGCCTTTAGATTCAAAGTACCTTAGGTGCGGTACGTATTGGACCTGCCACAAGTTTACAGGTGCCGAAGTGCGTCTGTCGCGCACCATGTCGCCGCCTGGGCGGTGAATAATAATTACGGCGGTTTACCAGGTGACAAGATACTGTATTGTACCGCACCTGCCCGGCCTTAAGGTTAAAGGGCCCAATAAGCACACTGTCTTTCACGAAACCCTGACCCGACGCCAGTGCCAAAATGACCGTGATCTAGTTGGTTAGAGGGGACGAAGGGGACGATGTCCGAGGTTGGACTTGAGTCGGGGCAGACGAAAAGGTCGATTCGTTCAGGACGAGCGCCAGGTTAGATCTCACTTTTTTTTTCTTTTTTAATTTTCCCTTTCAAAAGTTTTGATAGTAAAATCTGTATGATATATTGCGAATAAATATTTGTCCTGTGTATTCTTTTCACTAATTATCCCATCATCTCAATTTCCCCAGAACCTATTTCCCCCAATTCTCCTATTAACCCCCTTTTTGTCATAGACCAATAGGCTGACTATTTACTCGCCGCCACGGCCGCCACGGCCACCACCACGACCACCACCACGACCACCACCACGACCACCACCATGTCCATGTCCATAACTCCGCTCCTCCATCTCATCCCTCTTGTGACCGCCCCAACCACCACCACGTCCGCCCCAGCCACCACCGCGTCCACCCCAGCCACCACCGTGTCCGCCCCAACCGCCACCGTATCCGCCGCGTCCGCCCCAACCACCACCGTATCCGCCGCGATAACCGCCGCCGTAACCACCAGGTCCGTAGCGGTACGCATCCACCTCGTCTCCGTCATGCTCCGCCTCCGCCTTCTTCGCGTCGTCTTCCTTCTCGTCCCTCGCAGAAAGCTGCGGGGCCGCGACGTCGTCCTCCGCCTTGGCGTCCCGGTCCGCGAAGCCGTGGCCCCAGCGGTGCCCGTGGTGCCAGGGTCCCCGGTGGCGCCAGGGGTCCCAGTGGTGGCCCCCGCGCCACGCCGCGGTTGCCCCGAGGTCGTCGCCCTCCCCTCCTGGCCCGCCCGGGGCTTGGCGGGCTGCGACGTCCGCGTTGGGGTTCTCGGCGGTGTTAGTAAATACCTAAGGTAAGAAAAAAGGGGAAGAGGGACGTGGAGGGACACGGGGAAGGGAGTGGGGAAGAGGGAAGGGGGATGGAGGAAGAATGAAGGAAAGGCTAACCTCGAGCGCGGCACGCTCGTCGACAGATGCGACTGCCTCGGCGGGCGCGGCTAGGACATTGGCGCCGAAGAGCAGGAAGACTGCTAGGAGGGACTTGACGGCCGGCATGGCTAGAAGTAGGATTGTGTATAATACAGTAATATACTACTATGTTATTGTTCTGTTGAAGTAATGAGATGAAGATAAGTGCTGTTATGCTGAGAAACATAAACACTTGTTCGAGGGAGGTAAACCGGCTTCTTATAGACAAGAAGCCAGGCCCTTGGACGGGTAGCGTCCAATCTATCCCCTTCGCAATACTATACCAGTTTACAAAAAAAAAAAAAAACATTTGAGTTTACTATTGACGACAACGATATGCCGTCCCGAGGGTGAGTGTAGGGGCGGGGGCTAGGCCAGATGTGAGTCTACCACTTCTCGTTCGCACAAATATGACGCGACTTCGCGCAAAGCCCTCAAAGTCAATGATGAAATGAGGAGTCTAAATATAATATCCCCCTATGTCATTCTCGGAGGCGCTATGGAGCGTCCATACTATGTAGGTACTGTATGTAAGGTAAGGACCTAAGTTAATAAGTCAGTGTTGCATACTGTTTTGTTTTTCCACTCCCGCACTAAATCGACCCAGTCGTTCGTCACCATTCCAAGTGGCAAGGGGGAAGCCAAGGCAAAAAACCCTACCAGGAACCGCCCAGAATAGCGGATTGCTTGGTTAGTTGCCCGCCCGCGACGGCGTTAAAGAAAAGAAGTTCGACGGCCGCGCGCTATGAGACTTCGGTCCCATCCATTATTAATCATCTTCCGCGACATCCGTCCCGAAGCTTATTATACTTGATATTATCATCTGGAATATGTCTTTGGTATGGAACAAGGAGTCTCCCGGTAATGGAAAACTCAAAAATATCGATCCGTATTCTTGTTCAACTAGAGTTAAATCGTATCCAGAGAGTTGGGCTCGTGTATGGGTCACCTTTCTTTCTGCCGGGTCGGGCCATGACGTGAATATGAGGCGGTTCGATTCAGGAGTAGTAGACATATGGTTATTTGGTTAAGATTAAGCTTCAAAGCCAGCCCGTTCTTACCGCTCCATTCCAATGGGATCTGAGGGCTAGAAGCTATGATTCTGGTTTAGGGTCATTGATTCCAAGCTCTGTATTGCTTCTTTTGAGCCTTGGCATGTCGACATGAACCCTATCATTATACCATCGTATTTATTAGCTCGTAATTATCGAGTAAGAACAAAACTTCGAGCGTAATACTCTTGATTCACAAGGATTCCATCTTTGACCAGGGAACAACTTTTGAATTGAGTCTATATATCATTAGTATTTCTAGGTAAGCACGCAAAATACGCCACGAAAGGGTATCAATCCTGGTCTGGAGGCGAAGAGCCGTATGAATGAATATGTTGTGTTAAAGCAGCCAAAAAAGATCACGCGAACTGAAATGACATCAACAACGTAGGTAGGTAAAAGTAAGTAACGCTGGTGCACACCACTATCTCCGTCGAATTCCATTTGGTCGCCAATTTTGTTTACATGTCTATGCGCCGTCCGTCTATCGAATAAATAATCGTCGTTTTGGTGACGTGTTGGTCTTGCTGTTCCGATTGCCTATAGCACGTAGCCATTGGCACTAACACAATTCCACTCACGTACACCCATTCCCTCTTCGAGTTCAATACACCACCAAAGTACCTCTTTGGCCTTATCTAGCTGCCCGCTGTCTTCGTGTGCTCTGGCCAAGGCAAACCAGGCATCGGAGTAATTCCATCCTGTGCCCAATTTAGTGAGTCCTGACAATAGCCCGTAGGCTCTGTCTCGGGCAGCAAGTCGATCGACAAGAGGTAAGGAAACGGCTTTATAAGGGGCTGGGAGCTCCTCTATTGAAGGACCGTCTGATTCAACAGCAGCTGATTTATCAGACAGTGGACCTAGGGTATCAATTACGCTACCTCCAAGCCCTAGTGGCGTTGATGGCAGTGTTGGAACGTCCACTACTGTATGAGGTTTCGGAGGAGGATGGTCGGTTGATATGAGATTTGTTTCCTGGCCGTCTGGCAGGACGATGCTGGGGACTGCAGGCGGTGGCAAAAGTGCTTCGCTGTATATGTCCAGGAGGATATTGGACAATCCAACAATCGCTGAAGGGTGGTCTGGGTAGTGCATAAGAGCTTCTTCAAAGTAGTCCCTCGCTACGTAAGGGGCGCCCTCGGAGAGTGCGAGATAGCCCGACTATATTCTGTTAGTACATATCATTTTAGGATGTATTTGATTTCATACCTCGCTCAGAACATCACCCCAAAGCTCTTCGACGGATCTCTTCCTACCCCAGCCAGGATCTCGTAGCGCCGTAGCGCCACTAGCATCCTTGGCGACATCAGCTTCTAAGCCGTCTACTAGTTTCCTCGCCTCACCAATAGCACCTTTGGCATCACCGTACATTTTAGCACGACGGTAAAACGCACCAATCATTAACCATACTTTGACAAGTATGGTCTGCCTTTGTCGTTTGACTTGCTCTTTCGAAAACTGTACAATGGGTAGCGGGTTGGGCGGCGAAAGCGAATCGAGAACTAAACTATCAGATCCATTTACAGAGCCGCGGGTTGACGAGGCGGTAGAATTGAATCGAGATAGACCTCGACCTTTAGAAAATGACTGCTGCCTGGATATGTCATTTGTGCTATCCGACGCGAAGAAATCCACTGGTTCTTGTGTCGTCCCTTCCGGCATCTGTGCGTAGAAGTCCTCACCATCTACAATAGTTGGAGGACGAGGTGGAGCTGAGCTACTAGAGGCTCGCCGCGGTCGGGCACTCGGTTCTCGTTTTTTCAAGCTGTTCCTCCTTGTTGAATCGCTACGTCCACGAACGCTTGACGATCTTCTAGACCGCCGGCCCTCGGTAGTCTCGCCATTCTCTTTGGTGACATGTATGGAGGGAGTTGCGGCGGCAGTGGCGTCAATGGGCGCCTGCGTAGTTTGAGGCCTCTCCGGTAGGGTGGTGGGCGCGTCGCTTTCGGCAGCAGTGGTGGTTTTGAGATTGCGGGATGCTCTCTCAGGCCTGTTACCAAAGATGCTACCACGTATGCTCTTGATTGTACCGGCCGAACTTTTCGGGACTTCCATTGTCGCCTTATGAGTTGTAGCCGGCGCCTTTGGTTGAGAGTCTCCAAATAATCTCGTGTACAGGACCAATAATTCATGGCTTGCATTTACTGCGACCTCTGGTCCTTCCAATAGTTCTAGAATAGCAAGTTGTGTCATCTTTACTTCAATCATGCCCTCTTTCTCGAGATCATCCATTTCGTCGACGAGCCCTCTTGATTGATTCTTCTCGTTGCGAGCTTCCACCTCGTTAAGATGTTCGCTTCGGAACGCACCTTGAAGATTCTGCGAGCCAAATAGGACCGCCGGGTCGTCAAATTGCTCAAAGGCACCCTCGCAAGCCCTGGCAGCCATTATGAAGTCCTGTCTAGCACTTAGAAGAAGCGCGAGGAGGTGCCATAGGGGTATCAATGAGCGTTCCCGCCAATATGATCCAAACCCAACGGACTGACCTGCTGTCTTCCCACTAGACATGAGTGCGGCTCTAACGATATCAATAGCTGCCGTCAACTCTCGCTGCTCGGCCAGTAATAGACCGAGGGTAAATAGGGTTCTGATATCTGTCGGGTTTCCATTCTCGGGCGATAGGGATTTCTGGAAGCTTCGTATGGCTTTGGTTTGAGTTTCCGTACGAATAGGAGCGTCAAATGTTGCTCTAGCCCACTGTGCTTGTGAAATACCGATAGCCTGCCACGCTAAGGCATACACTTGAGACGATATTCTTGGATGTAATATGACACCATCTCCATCCTCCTCATGTAGCGTTGTGATATTATCTTGTGTCCTAGGAAGCGGCGTTGGCAGCTTCTGCAGCATTCCTTCTAGTTCAGCTCCTAACCCATGTGCTTTCTCCGCAGCATCTTTGAAACCATACTTGCAGAGAGCTGTTATTGCCTGGGAAACGGTCTCGAGGACCGTGGCGTCGTCATCAAGACTCGGCTCCGGATGGCCCGTTTTGTCAACGCGAGCTTTCCCCTTTTTAACAATTTCTAGGTAGGAATCGAAAGCGTGGAAGGCCAGATCAAATTCCGCGACTGAAAGGTGAACGGTGAATAGATACCGTAGTATAGCTGTAGAGTGGAACGTTTTTGTGGCGGCTCGATAGAGGATATCCAAAACCCCCCGACTAAGAGCTTCCTTACCGCCAGGTCCGAGGTCTTGTTCGTTCCAATCACGCCCACTAAGTACACTCCAGTTTTTCATCACAGTCGCGACGAAGTCTTCTACTTCTTCTCTTTGTTCTTCGGCTCGTGGGAAGGAGGTTTCGCTAAGAAGAAAACCTTCGTAGGCTACTTCGACTTTCTTTAACTCGGTTCGAAGCTGGTTTCTAGCTGATGCCTCGTTGGTGACGTCTACGGAACCCGTCGGGAACGGCAAATCTTGCTGCAAGATACCTGAAATAGCAGCATAATATTCGTTCCATACTCTCCTTCTAGGTACGGCACCACGAAAGCCATAGCCACCGGCGAGAGAAGCGCCTTGGGCTTTGACCACCTCCCAGTATTTCGCCCAGGAGCGGAACGGGGCTAATGAATTGGGATCTTCGAGGGTCTTCTCGCCTTTTTCCAGAGCCTGAGCTTGTAGCATACAAAATTCCGTTAAGAAAAGTTCGGACCAGAATCGCAGCTGTTTCCGTCCTTTCTGTTCCAGCCACACATGTGATAAGGAAGTCAATGCTGATTCGAAAACAGCTAGTGCCTCAATTCTCTGGTCATTTCGTGCGAGGCAATTGGCCTTCAGATATGCAGCTTTAAGGGCGCACACCCATGACCACTCGGAAATGTTACCGGGTTGACCAAGCTGGGCTAACTCGCTTTCTGGATCATCTGGCAACTTCAAGGAAGCGGTGTCATATTCCCCAACGGTCCAATAAAGCCAGCCAATGCATACTTGGGCTTGGTATTTGTCTTCGAGGTAAGTTGCCTCGACGTCGATCGCACCTAGTAATCTAGGTACCAGCTGAGAAACATCGAGATCGGCGGCAGAGACGGCGGTGGTAGGTCTCGACTCGGATTTTTGCTTCTGGGAAGCTTTAATGATAGCATGCTCTGTCTCGGCAGTCGTTGTGAGGCCTGTGAATATGACATTATATGTTAGACGAGTTTCCAGGTAAGAAAGATAAGAAGGGTAGTAAAGTCGTACATAATCTATCGGTGGCATGTTTGCGGACCTTACGCACGAGTTCTGGCACATCGTCCCATTTCCCTTCGCACCTCGCCTCCTCCAGCCGTGCTACGTATTGCGCTACCTTGACCAATTTCTATAAGACCTTTAGATGAGCAACTTGTATTATGACAGCTAAGGGATAGGGGGGGGGGGATAAGAGAGAATAGGAGAGGAGACCAACACTCATCCTGACGATTCGAGGTCGAAGCAAACGCGGTATCGATCAATAGAACTCTCGTATATCATATCGGCCTAGTTAGTGTAAATTATTGTACATTGCCGGTGTCACACATCTGTAGATATCATATGGGCTCGGGGTTGTTGGTTTTAAAACTTTAAGGTCCAGGGGTCAGGATGGTTAGGAGGTACTGAGTGCCGGTATGTTAGTATGTAGATGGACTGAATTAGGTACGTGCCCTGCATCGTCGCCGCCAAGCTGCCAAGTAAATTAAACATTTCTTGGCACGGCAAAGGGGAGATATGTCATGACCCTGTTAGAAGAAAAATCGATTCACTTCTCGAGTTTGATTCGTTATGGCTTCCAGTTTATGCAACTAAAAGGTACCTACCCTAGGTACTTATATTGCGGGTCATAGGAGGTACCTACCTCTTACCTAAGGTAGGACGGCCATGCGAGCCCCGCTAAAAAGTTTATCGATAAGAGAAAAAGTTCATGAAGCTTCAAATGAAAAGTTCAAGTAAATAATTCCATCTTATTATACATATATTTAACAACCAATGAGTGATCATTCATTCAAGCGGCTCTTTGGCTATACACTTTCTATCCAATAGGAAAGTTACAGTCGTACGGAATCTGTATAGTAGCCCAAGCTCATACGACAAGTGAAACACACGCGCAACGGCTGAAAGCTATAAGCTTATTGAGAAAGCTGCATGACACAAATACGAATGGCTACCAATTGTCTTTAACTCTCTCCCGATATCATACGTATCCTGAAGAGATAGTAGCCAAGTCTTCAAAGAGGCTATCCCTGATCATGGCTTTTTCCGCACTTCCTCCGGAACTACGCAGTCTCTGCCGGAGATTGACGGCAACTAAAGCAGAACAACTTCCAGCTCTACTACCTTCTCTGCTTAGAGATCTGTTACGTTGTAAAGAACCACTTTCAAGGCCACATGAGGCGAAGGCTTCTGATGGTTCTTCCGAGGCGACGGTGCTCGTACATAAGTTGAAGACTCAGATATCTACGCTTCTTAACAGTAGAACCACCCAGGGTCGCTTCGTTGGAGTGGCGCTGGTAAAAGTTGCGATAGAAACTGGGGGCTGGGAATGTCTTCGAACATCCGAGCCATGGATCAGGGGACTTCTATCTATCCTTCAAGTAAGTTTCTATACCTCACATTATTAGTAAAAGTCGCTCACAAAAAAATAGAGGAAAGACCCCGTAGTCATTAAGGATCTCTGTGTGGTAACCTTAGTGAAGATATACACTCTAATGCATGCCTACCCAACCTTGGTACGGGAGATTGTTACACCTACACTTCCTACATTTGGAACAGCATGCCTCCAGATCTTAAAACCACCTGCGACTAGCAAAGCTGCCAAAGCACCTAATAGCCTCATCGAGGCTATATTTGAGGGCTTCTCGGCTATAATCCCATTATACCCTACTACCCTGCGTCAGTTTACGTCCAAGCTTAGGGTCGAGCTACGAACGTATATCGCCCCGACTATCTCGGAAGGCACAATAGTTCCAGCGTCCCTACAGAAAAGCAGCAGGCGTCTCGCCATCAGGCTACATATGACGGCTGTAAAGGGCGGAGACTCAACCGAATGGTCGAAAAATTTAGATACGCTGATCACTACGTTTCATTCTACAGCCGACCAGGTCTTCCGGGCAGTCCAAGAGAACTGGGAATCCGTATCAGGTCAACCATCGGAATCTACTCTACAAAAGATAGACTTTAACAAAGATCCTCAGGGCGGTGGCGACGGTCCAGATCAACTACCCTCTTGGACAGGTATCTATGCGGGAAGTGAAAGGTTACTCGGTCTCCTAGATTTCATCTCTGAATATCTACGATGCTTCACAAAGACGACGGTTACTATTCCAGTTAGTGCAATAGTTGACGTAGTTACGAGGATATCCTCAATCATGCCACCAGTTCCAGGGAAGGAGAAATCCGCGTCAGTCCAGATGAACCCGGCCGTTGGCAGAGAAGAGAAAGATGAATTATGGGCAGTGTTCCCAGATATTCAATTTGCTGCTATGAGGTTACTATTTACTACGGCGCAACGACTGGGAAGGAATTTCCTACCGCTAGCCCAGATATCACTTGAACAGCTACTGCGAATGTTTGAGTCTAGCTACCGTCTACCCGAAATTAGGACTATATCGTTCCTTTTAACCAAAGAGATCCTCCAGCTTTGCGGGCCTACGATGGAGAAACTTACCGTCGAGGGTTTAAGCCTTATCATTAAAGCGTGCTGTCGCGACCTTTTAGGATCCGGTGGTCACCTCAAGCATCCTAAGCAGCCAGCTTCATCTGCTCAGAATGGTCTGAAATCTAAATCTGCTAGTCAAAATGCCGACGCTTTTCTCGGTAACAGCGCTGAGGATGAATCCATATCTGCCTCTTTAAGTGCAGAGCATATCTCAGCAGCAACAGCACTTTTGACTACTCTTTTTAGCCATGTGCCTCAACAGCATCTTCCTTCTTCGTTACGGGCTCATATGCTTAAGACGGCTGTCCTATGTCGAATAAAAGATGCGCAGATAGCAAGCGTTCTCCATCCGGTGCGAGACAAGAGTGGCAGAACGCCAGCCGTAATTTTGCCTTATCTTATCCAACAATTCCCGCGTGATGAAAGCGTGGAAGTACTACGCTTTAACTTTCGACCTATAGCGACAGGACCTAGGAATGATAACATGGACATTGACGAAACACCAATTGAAGACGCCTCGGAAGATGAGTCTCCAATGGACGGCGTCTCCTTCGGTCGACAAATTGAGGCTTCCGTCCCTGACTTGGCAGATCATACCCCTGCCGAAATCGTCGAAACATCTGCGAAAGCTCAAAACTTTTTCCTTCCCAAAAGACTGGTAGAGACAATCCTCAAATCTGAAGAGGAACGTACCACTGTTGTACAACCGCTGCCAGCCAACTCGCTCAAGCGGAAGAGCGAAGAGGCTGATGTTGCTATCTCGAAACGGGTTGAGATTGACACGACCACAACCACAACTATCAGCACCTCTATGCCGGCAGCTGTTAATGCGCCGAGCCAGGCTCACGTGGGGGTAGAAGACGAGGATGATAGCAGCAGCGATAACGAAAGTGTACACTTGAACATGGAACTCGATGCGGATGACGATGACGACGACGAAGAGTACGGAGCAGAGGAGCCTTAAGATGCGGCGAATAGGAGGTTAACCCAAGTGCAAGCTTGTCATATGAAACGTCGCACTCGGCAACTTGGCGAGCACGTTGCCTGGTTCCGGATAAAAAGATCTCACATGGCCGTTTACGCACAGATCTACATGGGGAGGACATGGAATCGGAGTAGGTAGGCCACATTCAGGTAGATAATAAATATTAATTACCTTATCACGCAATAGACACACACAGCCAGGTAAAGACCACGTAGGCCTGTATACTGAAGTCGCTTTTTTTTTTCGTGGGGGTTGCGCACGCGAGCTAGTGACCAAGTCGTATATCGCTTGATATAAAAGTCTTGAGACGTAGTATTGTGAACGAGATTACAGGTCGATCAAGAAGCAGTTATCAAACTTAAATTATAGGATAGATAGATCATCTGTACGGAGCTCCATTCACACAGCCATGTTATTCCGCAACGAATTAGGAATAGAGGACATCACATCAACTTAATAGAGACCGGCCATACGGCAATAAACCCAAAACAGGGTCAAATGATTTCGAAACCTTGTAGCAAATAGAACCATAGCCGACAAGGTTTCCGCCGGATTACGACAGGCGGTATACTCGGTGTGTCAGGTGGATTAGATGGAAACATAGATTGAAGCATCGGGAGGAAGACGGCTTCACTCGGGAGACGAGATTAAAGTGTAGATAGATTACCTTAGGTTAGGGAGGTAATATTGTATGCCATGAAACTATTTATCATTTGGGGGGGTATATAATCCGAAAACAAGAAAAAAAGAAACATATGACAAGAGGGTTAGAGGTAGTGAGTAGAGGTACCTACCTACCTAAGGTAGGTAGGTTAGGTTAGGTTAGGTTGGATAGTTGTCACTTTGTCCAAGCTCGTTTTAAGACCACTCGCGATCCAGAACAAACAAAATAAAGTGCACGATCTTATCCTATCACTTCCCCATTCTCTCTTTCAAGCCAATGCAATGCAGGCCATCCACGCTTCCCCCACCCCCAATATGCTACGCAAGACGATGGTGGTCCCTGGCAGGCAGATAGGTAGGTAGGTAGGTAGGTAGGTAGGTTGGTCCATTTGCTCTTCGCGTGACCCCTATATATGCAAACCCGTATGCACCAACGCCGTGTATGTAACCTCGATGCACCACCATGCAGCTATCCGTCCTCTACCCTCCCTCTTTCCTAGGTAGTATCGGTTTCCAAGCCATATAAGCATGTAGATTAGGTTAGGTAGGTGTGTAAGTACCTAGGCAGTAGCGCACGCATACTTTTCTAACAAAAAAAGAAAAATAATTAATTAATCTCTCAGCCACGCGCGCCTCTTCTCCTCCTTCCGGGCGCGGCGCTTCTCCTTGAACTGCTTGAGCTCGGCCTTGGTGGGCTTCTTGCCGGCGCGCTCGGCCTTGAGGCTGCGGCCGTCGTGGGAGTTGGCGGCGGCGTCGACGTCGAAGAACGCGTTCATCTGCCGCCGCGACTTGGCCTCGTCGTTGTGGTTGTCCGGGTTCTGCTCCCCGCCCTGCCACCGCCCCGTGAACCGGTTGAACGTGCCGATGGCCGCGTACGGATCCACCATTCCTATCTGCTGGTCCAGGCCGCCGCTACCTTCGTAGCCCTCCCCCTGCCGCGCGTACCACGCGTTCGGGTCGTAGTCCCCGTGGATCGCAGGATTGTAGCCTCCAGCGGGTGGTCGCTCGTTTTTCGGGGGCTCGGCAACGGCGACGGCGACAGCAGCGGCTTGCGCTCGCGACGTCGGGTCCGCGGCCGAGACCGAGTTTTTATTATTGGCTAGCCGAGGGTTTTCCCACGTGGTCTCATTGGTGAATCGGTTGTGAAAGAAGTACGCCTGGCTCGTCGCGTCCCAATGGAAGTCCCAGCCGTCGTCTTCGGTCGCAGGAGGCGGTGGTTCGTTCGGTAGCGGAGGAGCAGCAACAGCAGCAGTGCTTTCCTCGGCGACGGGTGAGGCCTCGCCGGATTCCCGCGATTGGGACGACGTTGTCGATGAGGAGGAGGAGGAGGAGGAGGAATCATTAGGCGAGGCTTTGCTTCCGCGCTCGGGAGATGGAGGTGCGGCAGGATCGCCGTGATTTGCGTCTTGAGACTTCGGTTGAGCGTCGGACAGGGGTTCCGGCAATGCGCTGGTATCCTTGGGCTGATCAGCAGCCACTTCGGACGAGCGAGGTGACGTCGGCGAAGCTGACATGGTCTTCTGATTTGTTTTTTTCTTGATTCCCCTTGTCGCGACCTTGATATTTTCTTTTAACTATTTTTAATCCCTTTTCTATTGAACAAAATGTTATTATAAGCGGCTAAACGACTTAGTCGATGAAGAGAAGTCGAAAAGGATACATTCTGACTAAGTAGTCACGACAATCGCGGCTGTTTTTGAATTTTTGCAAGGGGGGTTACCGTAATTGAGGTGATTCTGAGACGAGACCAAGTACAAAATAGGTGATAGCGAGTTGATGTCGATGCATCATCGAAGCTCCTTAGATTTTAGTACGAGCCTTCTGGAATTCTCTTATCGGTTATCGGAAAAGGGAAAATCTTCGGATGAACGGTACAGGGATTAAAGTAGGTACTACCTAGCTGCCTAGATAATTACCTAATATAAGAGTACCTTGTACCTCAGGTTGGCGTCAGCTAGACGTGCCGCGCTGCCGCGCTGCCGCTGCTGGTACCTAGGTACTTAGTGTATCATTTTGTTAGGGTGGATTTATGCAGGCATCAGGGCAAAAGACAAACTCAATTTCTAAAAAGGCTTGACATACAAAATTTACCTTGGACAACTTCAACTTCAAATAAAGAATCTTTCACGTAAACATAACTCTTACTTAGGTACCTAACCCTACCTAAGGTACTTCAAATAATATTAACTATGCGCTTTTTACAAGTATTAGCAAGGCGGCCAAGAACAGCCACATCCTTGCAAACCATCTTTTCAGCTCGCCTTTGTTTTTCCCGTACACGACAGAACCCAAAGTGGCTTGAGTTCTTGATGGGCGCAATATAACAGGATCGGTTAATTTAACCATATATGCTGTACAACACAACTATACCTACAATACAGTTAGACATGCATCCCTCACATGAGGAAATAGGGCCTCCCACTCCACTTCGGCGCTCTAGATTCTTCAAATTTTCTGACGAATGAAGAACACTCGACCCCTAATGATGAGTGTAACCTGTTCTTCTGTTCGTCCGTCCCTTTCAGATCCGAAAATGATCTTCCTTTAGAGGACTCTTCTCTTCGTCTTTAACTTTACGGTTGACCAAAATGCTACGCTAAGAATCGATTAAAAATGGTTCCACGGCCAAGAATAACGGAATATCGTAGGTGCAAGTACATAAGCTGGGTACTACCTAGGTAGCTCACAGCAACCAATACGACTTGATATCCTCCTATAATACTACCTACCTAGTCACCTGGTAAACTTGTCTCGTCGTATGCGGATCCACGACCAGCCCAGCGATTGCGCGTTTCTCATTCTTTTGAGTTTCTTACCTTTTCTTATCCCACAGCCTCAAGCATATCTTGACAGGAGGTTATCAAAGTTACCAAACTTCTCTCTACCTACTATTCGTTAACTATATCTACCTCCTACCTACCTAGGTACTATGGAATGTCCCTACCTACCTACCTAGGTAAGGTACCTACGCAAGCAAAGTTAGACTTCACTTAGAGTTTAACCTCGACATACGTAATTTCGCCTTATCCCTCTCATGACTCCGGTGCCATGGAGTGATACCTAGTTTCGAATCACCATCATTCCGACTCAGCTAGTGACTTCTGTTTTCTTTATGACATATCGCGGCTGAACTTTGATTTTTTATTTAAAAAATTATAAAAAAATACAAACAGCACTTCTCCAACACGCCCGCAGCGTTACATTCGCACCTTTTATCCAACAGTGGGATCAAGCCGATATTATCCAGACATACGTAGGCTACCTAGATTCAACTTGGCCACAAGTATCAACAGGTATTGAAGTCTTAAGTGTTGCATTGATAGCGTATGTCACTGATCCAGCATTCCTTCCCCCCCCCCCCCAATCTGGTCCCCTGTAACATTGCGTCCATTCTCACACCATCGATCAGGGCCACCCATCCATATTTCGGCACTGAGGAACGCACTCGAAAGCCTTAGGTGACCTCGTTCCTGTGTTGGTATCTTAGCCTATGCATTCAAGGAGGGACGAACTGATTATTATTTCTATCTTGCGTATTCTTCTCCTTTGGCTCAACTTCTCTTGCTTCTCTCTCATATACGAAATTTCCACTACACGTAATCTTGAAGATCCCCAGTCTCGAGGCAAGGCTAGCTTTTCTTAAGTCGGCGTAAATTACACGCGAATTTTGGATATTGTTGCGCCGAGTAAGTTGGATAAGCTACAACTGGGTTATATATATACATATATATTCATAGGTGGATTTAGAACGAGGACGTCGTGATGGTTTACTCAAGATTCTCCCGGCTACTTGTGGTCGTCTTCGGCTTGGCACCGTTATCCCTTGCCGCTTTCCAGGAAGTCAGCAATGACCAATGCAATTGCTTTCTCACAAACGGAAGCAGAGCAGACTTCTTCACGACCCATAAATTCTTTGACTACCGGGAGAAAACCAAATATGCTTCCGTGCCGAGCCTCATCGATGATCCCGATGATAGCAGTGACGCCGGCCCGGTCAACGACTACTTCTATTCCAAGGAGTGGGCTGATAGTTGGTCGATACAAAATTGGACCAACGTAGGCTCGTTCCCTAGCAACGTGAGCGACGCGACGGCGTTAATGGTCAATTCGCGCAATAACGTCTATTTTGAAAAGAACAACGATGAGAATGCCGACTCGAGCACGTTCCTAACAATGAGGACGGCACGGTTGGATAATTTTCAGACGGCGTCTGAGTTTGAGTCAACAATTGAAAACTATCACTACCTATCGGTTAGAATGTACGCCAGGACGATTGGCGCGCCTGGTGCAATCACCGCAATATTTACTTACAAAGAAATCGCCAACAATAGCGATCTTGCAACAGTCCAAGAGTCAGATTTGGAAATCAGAACAATTGATCCTTCCAATCGCATCCAATATACAAACCAGCCATCCTACTCCGCCATGGGCCCAGATGTCCAGGAAACAACTAAGAACGTTACGATTCCACAGGAGAGAGACTGGACAAACTGGGCAGTCTATCGAATGGATTGGAGCCCCGAAGCTACCACTTGGTACATCAACGGTGATGAGGTCGCCTCGATTTCCTTCCAGACGCCCCGCGATCCGAGCCTTCTCGTCCTCAATGCATGGTCAGAGTACGTATTTTCAAGATTCAATACCCCTTTACTCTCTTTTTTAAACATAATCCCCCCCTCCCCCCTCTTTCCTCCTCCCAGAGGCCAAATTTATCAATTTGGTGGCTCCCATAAGCTGGGACTTTAAAAAGTGAACACCTCAGATTTGTTACAAGAAGTAGTTACTAACGCTACACAGTGGCGGATCCTGGTCAGGAAACATGAGCGTAGGCGAGGCGGCCTACCTTCAGATCCAATGGATCGACATCGTCTACAACATAACCGACTCTTCGGATTCGAACGACACAACCGACTCTCAGAACTCGAAGAGAGACGAGCAATCCTGCATCAACATCTGCAGCATCGACGAGACGGATAAGATAGGCACCCAGGTATTACTGACAGGCGGCGCTTCGAGCATCCTAGGCAACATGGGAAGCTACGCCGGCATCATCTCCTGGGTCTGTGTATTGTCTATGGTTACGACCTTCTGATAGATGGGGAGGTGTAGTTGGTGGGGTATATGGAATAGGGGGCGGGGAGAGGGGGTTAAAAAAAACCTATCGGGGGCTTTACAATTGTCTTTTATATTAAAGTTTACGATAGACATTGTTTTCACGTTTAGAATGCAAGGCAACTAACAAACACTACATAGTAACTTGTTTACGCATCGGGAATACACAGCCGATATTTACACTCTTCATATCGAGGGTTTCGCTCTTAAACTAAGAGCTTTCTATTTCTTCAAGTTCCATGTTCGTAATCACATACTATTCACGTACTACTATATAGTCCCAGGTAAAGAGTACCTACCGGAAGGGGGGGATGGGAGGAGGAGAGAGGTTAGGTACTTCGAGTGGTCTATATTGAGAAAAAAAAAAAAAAAAAAAAAAGAACCCCCCCCGCCCCCCTCCCCTTCTTTTTTTTTCGATTACAAGCGTTGTTCCTCCAAGGAGGATAGTGGGCATTAAGAGCTGAGACTCCATGAAGGATGACTTATTGGGAAATACCTAACCTAACCAACCTTAGGTACCTACCTTTTCAGAAAAGGTACCGTGGAGCAAAGCTCGAACCGTTTATAGAGTGTTTCGAGGAGCAACCGATGTGAAAGTATAGGTACCTAACTAGGAGTTCCTTACGACATGAAAAGATTTTCTCTTAATAAGGAGGCCGATTGCTAACGTTGGACATACGCAAAAAGTAAATGATGGCATTATTTCATATAGAAGCTGGAAAGGAGACGATTGAGTTGTTTCCGCCTCGGGGAACATTTAGTTACAATCTGTTTGGCCGCCAAATATGACAGATATATGTGGTTCTGGTCCTCCCACCAGAGGTCGTATAGGTACCTCAAGTAACCCACATAGGTACAGGTTAGGTAGACCTAGGTTAGGTACCGGGTATCTATCTCACAACGCGGCACGAATGTACTCCTCTCTTACCAGATCCTTCGACAGGCGCCTAGCGATCCAGTCCGCAATAGCCATGTTGGTAACCATGGGGTTTACGCCCGCCGCCGTCGGGAACACGCTCGCGTCCGCTACGTACAAGCCCCGCGCTTCCCAGACCCGGCCCTCGGGATCGACCACGCCACGAGCCGGGTGCGCGCTCATTCGGCACGTGCCCATCTGGTGAGCCGATGCGAACGCCGCGTCGGGGAAGTTAAGCCCGGCACGCTCGAGGTTTTTCAGCCAAGCGACGAAGTCCGGATCGTTGATCCCTTGGTCGATGTGATCATCCCCCTCATCTGGCGTGGTGGTGGTGGTGGAGGAGGAGGGGTTGGTTGGTTCGGATCGCCGCACGAAGGACGGTATGCTTTTGACAAAGGGCCAGATTTCGGTCGCGCCTTCGACGTAGCACAGTTTGGCCAGGGCGATTGTTCCGGTTAGTATGTGCTTACGGTCGAAAGCCGAGGGCGAATATTTGACGATGGGCCGTCCGTCGTTCGGATCTGGGTATACTCGGCCCGTGTCGCGGTCACGGGCCATGGAGATGAAACTGTTCATCTGCCGGGCACGTAGTACGTCTAACTTCCATTGCAACGCGTTCTGCCAGGGGTGTCCGTGCAGGAACATGTAAGGCTATGTTTAGCAGCATTAGTTGGTTGCTTGTGATGGAGTCGGTGTTGGTTCGTCTTACAATCATGCTAGTCGGCTCAAGTTTCACGCCGTGTCCTTTCCCGTCCAGATTCTCAAAGCTGCTGCAAACACTCGTCAAAATCCCCCCTGTATGGCGTTGTTAGTATCAATGTCGACCGATACCCATATATATGATATGCTTAGGTACCTTCCCAGCCTTTGATATCTTTGTCAAACGCGGCGTTTATTTGGCAAACCGGATGGAGGTAAAGATGTTTGCCGATATGAGGGTTCTAGTAATGAGTTAGATTGTATCATTCCCGAGGGATATTTTACGTGGTGTAATAGGCCTCACCCTTAATCCGCTTCTCATTAGTAACAGTGGACTGTTGAGTGTGCCACAAGATACAATAACTCTCTTCGCTCTTATTCGAACCTGCCTCTGGATCCTTTCAGACTCGGGCGTATGGACGTTCCCATCATTATCTCGTGATGTCCACGTTCCTAGCACACCAACCGCTGTCTTTAACCCACGAGTCTTATCAAAGAGTACTTCAGTTGCGTTGAAGCCTTCAATAAACTTCGCGCCCGCTCTTGCAGCAGCCGGAAGCCAGCTTACAGACGGGCCTTTCTTTTCGCCGGATCCGCAGCCGGTAGCACAATTGCCACAATAGTGTTCGGCGCCTCCAGTATTTTGAGGACATGGCTTCGCAGTCCAGCCCAATTTTTTTGATCCGTTAAGGATAACGTTTGCTCCATGGTTATGGCGTATATGCGCATCACTAACACCCACTAAAATAGCTGCGGTTAATACTGTAGCTCTCCATCTAAATATGCGTACGAAACCCCCACGTGTTCTCCCGCTTCCTGAATCTATTATATCCTGGCCTTGGAGAAGAAGCATCTATTTAGAAAATTAGAGACATAACTTACTATAGTCACAAACGCGATCTATGCAGCGTTGGAACTCTTGCGTGGTAAAGAAGTCTAGACCCTGGTCTGCCCACTCCTGTCGTACGAACCCCTGGAGATTTAGACTGACACTCCAGTTCACTATAACAAGTATATTAGTTTTAGTTATAGGCTGAAGAATTCAGAATGAAGGCATTGGTTTTGGGATGAAAAGTAATACTCATTCATCCCAAAAATGTCTTGATTTTCAGATGTGATAGTATCATTTACCTGTTCCACCTCCTCCCCAGCAACTGCCGGCGAGGATAGTCACGGAGCCGTCTACGGTCTGCATCGTGCCATTTCCTTCGTAAAGAAATCTAAGACCTGCTTCGATTTCCATCGGTAGCTTGGAAGGGGGGAAGTAATAGCCTTTATCGACAACAATTACCTTGTGCCCGGCCTCGGAAAGGACCTTGGCGCAGACTGCCCCTCCGCACCCTGAGCCGACGATTACGACGTCAGTATCAATTGTTTCTATCTCGGATCCAGCTTCGAATTGCATGAAGTCGAAGTCGAATGAGGGGCCGGGCTTATAGCCATCGGAAACCTCGGTGTAGCTGCTCAGCTCGCGAAACAAAGGATCTGTGTGAGCAAAGCAGACCCTGGCTATTCTAGTGATTGAATTCCCAATCAAGGGCCAGACGGTTATCCACGAGTGGTTCCATGCTTGAACTACTGATTCTCTGATGTGAATTGGTTGTTCGTGCAAAGGGGTGTAGTAGCCCGTTGCAGCCAGGCTCCCCAGACGAGTGCTTTCAACTTGTTAGCTAGACTAAGGTTTATATTTATCATGAGATAAGAGTATGCCTTACGCCATCATGTTAAGAATGGCACCGAGCTGTTTCCTATTACTATCTGGAACGCTTTCGAGTATGCGCTTAACTGCTTGTAAGAACCGCGGATTGTCCAGCGGGCGCGATTGGAGGTACTGCTGGAATTTCTCATAGTTTGGGGGATGTTTCATAGAATTCTTTATACGCTTATACGACTCTTCCAATTGGGACTTCGAGACTTGTAGGTGAAGCTTTTTATCCGTTGTGTTTGAGTCTGCAACAATCGATGGGACGACAGCATCGACTAGCGCAAGGAGAATTCGCCATTGCGCTTGAGAAAAATATGTATCTGGCTTCAGCTCAGGAAGTTGAGTGGGAATAGGCACAATAAGTTGATTGCTAGTAGCCATTATCAAAAGCGAAAAAAGAAGTGCGATTAATAATATAAGAATGACTCGAATTGTGTTGTAGTTCCCTATAGCTATTTTGAAGACATGTCGTTGAATCAGGAGGATATAAGTGTAAGTTCGTCTGTGCCTCTCTTACTTGCCTCGGTAATATGTACAACTCTCTTTTGAGTCTTATTGGTCAAAGTAACTAACATTGATCAATGAAGAATGTCAGCTGTGTGTAACAAGTCATTTAATCTCTGAATGGTCATGTTCCTTTGTGAAGTTCCAACGTGGCATACTCCTAGGTTCTACATAGTAGCTGAGTCTTACGTTAAGTAAGCTTTATAAATTGTACAACTCCTCAGCTCTCGCCTAATTGTGGGGTATGAGGCACAGCTACTGCTATCAAGGGTTAATAGCAGTCATCTGCTTTAGGTACCTAGGTACTTAACAGGGTCTTAGAAATCCGATAGAATGGTACCACCCTGTCCTCTGAAGAATTAGGAAAAGTCGGATACTTGAGCAGGGAATACCTACGTAACCTAAGATTAGACAGCTAGCTATGTCTGTATGTGCCAATCATCATCTTTTAACGGCGATTCAGCTGAAACAGTTTGCGAGTGTTGGTCACTAGTTTCGGGTAGATAAGCTGATCTAAGAATGAGTTGCTATCATTCTATAGTATTGTTCGATACCTATTTGTTGGTTGAAAAGACTTAACTAGAAGCACGTTTTAAAATATTATTTGCTGTGAAACGAAACCTGTTTGTTACACAAGAATAAACAAGAATAAGCAGAGAGGGAGAGAAGAAAAAAAAAAAGAGTAAGATTTACGATGCTGTAATAGGAACTACACTAGGTAGCCGAATACTACCGTGTTTGCCTTCCCGTCGCATGAGGATGTTTTATAGCCTTTTGAATGTTGCGTTCAGAATTTTTTTTGTTGGGAGAGGGGCAACCTGCAGTTTGGAGTTGTGCGTAAAACCCGCTACATTTATTTAATACCTATCTTAGATGCTTAGGTAGGTAGCAACTGCAAATCCAAGCGATTAGTTCTCTTGGTTAAATCGGGAGTATATACATGTGTACCTACCTAAGGTACCTAAGCTAAGGTACTCCATCGACTCTGTTACCTGATTGGGAGATTTGGTGGAAAAAGAAAGGATTGGTTGATAAGATCATAATGCGGGGGGTTACGCAATGAGGGGAAGGCGAGACTGTTGGTTTTGTTGGGAAGCGGATCTCGGAGCTTTAAGTCTCTTGATTGCCTACTTCAAAATGCGACGTAAAACGTTGTAGCACAACACTAGGTACTACGATAGGGTATACCTTAAGTGGGTAACAACCTACCTAGGTAGGTATTGTACCTTCTACCTAACTTGGTACCTTAGGTACCTATTATAGAGGGTTGAGGACCTCATTTTCTACCTTGTGAGTTATTGTGAGTTATCGGAGTTTATCATCTGCATCTTTTAAGGGCCACCAAATAAATGCAAATGCTGAGAATCCCACCATTTGAAGAATGACCTCACCCAGATAAGAAGCTGCTTACTATTATCTACATAACTTTGTGTAAATAAATATGATAGACTGTTCCCGTTGAGTTGTCGTAGGAAAAGAAAAGAAAAAGACAAAGTTTCTCGGGTTTTTCAATTCAAGTTGAAGAAATTCGGAGTGCGTCGAAATTGATTCGCTCGCGGTAATCCACAACGCCGGCTGGCCCACACAACCCGTATCCCGGTGCTCCGGGCTGGTCTGCCAAACAATACCTGGGCAACATAATAACATTGAACATTGATTTAGGTTTACCAATTCGATGCTCGCTATTATTATAGATCCTCTCGCCGAGAAAAAACTCGCCTCATCAGGTTCCGAGTTCCATGTTGCAATGCTTCGCCCTTCTCGTCATCTCTGGATGTCGGTATTGAAGCTGCTTTTCGCAACTTAAGTTGGGTTCTTGGAATAACAATAAGACACACAGACGCCGGGTATAACCACCACTTCCCTCGGCATATCAGATACGATCACATGCATTCTAAGATACTAGAGAGAAGCGGTCAGAGTCTAAGGTTGATGGAGGTCAACATCGATGATTGTACTGCATAGCAGTGCCGTTCCGGTTATTGTTTGATGGCTGATCCATTAGGTAGTGTAAGACACTGTCCATTCATCGCGTTGGTTGACTCTTGCAGGCGCTCGATAAGAAATTTGCTTTTGTAGCACCGATATCTACATAGTAAACACCAATACTTGGCACCAACAAAATTGGGAGAAGGGCCCGGATATGTCGAAATCGGCATCCCTATGACCGACATAGCGGGGAACTACCCTAATGAACACAAACAGGACGAAGATGATATTCACTACCTAAGTACGATTCGTATAGGCATGGAACTTGAAGTACGTGTACAGGAGTACAGGAGTACAAGAGTCACGTACCTAGCATCTAGGTACTGATCTTAGGTAAAGTATATGCAGCCGGTACTTCATTAGCGTCAAGTAGGGTACCTTATGGCTGTATGGGATGGAATATGGAAGCCAATTCGAAAAATTCCATAATCCGAAAATAGCGTTTATACCCGATTCGGAAGGGGCGAGCACAAATAGACCAATGAAAACCAAGGAAATCCTGACCCGATTCTTCAACTGTTGAGCTTTCTGGCATTGTGCTACCTTGAGCGACGACAGATATCGCAGAAATCGTGACTGCGCCGTCGCTTACCCCCTGTCACCTTCTTCTACTCCTTGTCTTAACAGCCTTAGCGCAATCCAGGAATTAATTATACCGCGGCTTAACCTGCAGGAACCTTGCTGCATCGCATCTCTCTCTCTTTTTTATTTTTTAATGTACCTTTTTTTTCCTCTTGGTAAAATTTACAGAGGCTCTTTAAATATTTGATAACCTCGAGCAAGGATAACTTTCTAAACGTGACCTTTTAGTTTTTACCTTCAAGCACGGTCAGAGTTGCTTCTCATCCTCACCCGATGCATTTATAGAACGCCCGACTTACATCTCCCCCTTTTTTAACGTCCTTCAGATCCGAGTGCACATATCGCAACATATCGAGTGCATATTCTATATCTTTACGAATATATCATTAACCCAGTACCTCTAATTTTCAAAGACTCTTCTTTGATCTGGGATAGGAACTTGCCATAATGGCTACGCCAGTTGTCTCCCTCGCGCCTCCGGCGGCTACTCTTTTCCAGCTTCCCCCTAATTCAGAGCCGTACGCCATCCCTCCTCCGAGCTACAATACGCCTTTCCGCATACCGGAAAACTTATACGTCAACGCTCTGGACCCAAAAGTGCCCATCACGATCGCTGCGGTATACGCGGTTACTGCTAAGGCTCTCAATGCATACAATAAGTCGACTTGCAAGAAGCCTTGGGCTATAAGCAAGACGAAGGCGTTCCGCTTCTTCGTTATCCTCCACAATGTCTTCCTCGCTGTTTATTCTGCATGGACCTGGTTGGGTATGCTCAATACCTTCCGGAACTCGATCGTGAGCCCGGCTGGACCCAATGGCTGGGCTGGTACTGTTGACAGTATCTGCAAGATTCACGGAACTGCTGGTCTAGAAAACGGTGTCAGTTATAATCAGGCTCGAGGGGTTTGGGAGACATTGTTAAGCACCGGCTCTTCAGCAACTGTGCTTTCTCCTAGCCCGGATGACAGGGGACGAATTTGGAACGAAGGATTGGCGTTCTACGGCTGGATTTTCTACATCAGCAAGTTCTACGAGGTTCTTGATACCTTTATCATTCTCGCCAAGGGTAAATTCAGCTCAACTCTCCAAACCTATCACCACGCTGGTGCTATGATGGCTATGTGGGCTGGTATGCGGTATATGTCGACACCTATCTGGATCTTCGTCTTCTTCAACTCAGCCATCCATGCTATCATGGTAAGTCCCCCGCTCCCAAGTCTTGATTATAACTGCAACTGCTAACCCTGGGAAAGTACACCTACTTCACTGTCACGGCTTTCAACATCCGCGTGCCTCAGGTTATCAAGCGCACACTTACCTCGCTTCAGATCTCGCAGTTCATTATCGGTGGTTCCGTCGCCATTATTCACTCGTTCGTATCATACTTGGTCCCGGTTCAAGTCGAAGTCGACCCTGCTGAAGCTGTTGCCGCGGCATCGAGCATTTCCGCTTCCGGAAGCGCAACCCCTCGCGCTGGCAGTGCTGCTGCTGTGGTATCCTCCGAGACTAACTCCACCCACAATGGCGCGAGCTACATTACTCGATACCAAAAAGTTGATTGCATCACAACAAATGGTGCAACTTTCGCTATATGGCTTAATGTTATCTACCTAGCGCCTTTAACTTACCTTTTCGCGTCCTTCTTCGTTTCGAGCTACCTACGCCGTAGCAAGGCTGAGGTCGTCCGTGCTAAGAGCAACCCGGATCGTCGTTTAAGCAACGTTGCGCTGGCCGAGAAAGCTAGCTGGGATGCTGCAAAGGGTCTTGAACGAGAGGTATATGGCGAGAGCAAGGAGGGAGTAATCATCGAGGAAAGCGACGATTCGAGCAGCGGCAAACTTCATCCCTCATCTGCCGCTCGAGTCAACGGGGTCAAGTCCAAGGCTAAGGGAAAGACCAACAAGAAGTTGTAGATGGATCACATATGAACTGGGAGGAATTAATGAGCTAGCCAATCACAAGGCTAGCATCTACGAATAAATTGACGGCAGCTAAACTGCAACACTACGGCATTATTACACCGGCGATGCATGAAAAGTAGCCACCGGCGTTTGGGGGGGCGAGAGAAAATGGGCGCCTATGAAAAACGTGCTTGCATACGGGGTACGCAGAGGTTATAGAGATCAAGTGTGTGGCGAGGGTGGGCTCTAATGAATGATGAAAAGGTCATTCAGGTTAAATGTATATATCAAGCCGGCCCTCACTTTTAAAGCCAGTAATGATGTATATAACACAAAATATCTTTAGCGAATGGGTATCCTTTTTTGTATCATAACCTGTACTGCTTGGGCAGTCGAACACTACGAATGGGGATAAAATGGACCTTGATTCAGGGGAACCAGCCACAGCACGGAGCTTTACTTATCTGAATTACTTCTGTTGTGTCACATTGATGTGCATCAAGTACCTGGAACAATTTCATGCAAGGCCCTCTTGTGGGAAAGCGAACAGTCGACGCAAGTAGATATAAACCTTCTGTGGGGGCTTTAGACAATTACTTAGTACTTATATGTCTGGATTAATAGTGCTCGGAATAGCTATAGCACTTGGAGAACTCTTGAGATGTTATAAACTCAACAAAGAGGTAAGTACGCAGTAGTAGATAGCAATGTATCTATTCATGATAATCGTAATACCAAACAGTTCACTTCCAGACTCAAAAGTAGCCGAAAGTCATTCAGAAACAACAACAGCCGGATCATTCAACCCCGGCCTTCTCTCCCAAACCCCCAACTCCCTACCTTTCAGTCTCTAGGTACCTAGATACGTAAAGTATCTAAGGCACCTCTAGAAGCAGCTAGCCTAGCTAACTCCCTCGCTCACTCACTTACTCAATTACTCACTCCTGCCCCCGACCGTCCAAAGCCCTCCGCAGCAACTCATCCACGCGAGCCCGCTCCTCCCCCTCGGCCTTGTACGCCTCGACCCACCGGCTCGTGCCGCGCACCCACTCCCGCAGCTCCGCGGCGTCGGTGTCGGCGTCGGTGTTGGTGTCGTGCGTCCCCTGGAACCGCTCGCACAGCTCGCGCAGAAACAGCCGGAACGTCTCGTCGATGGACGAGGGCCAGCCGGAACCGGAACCGAAATTGTAATCGGAATCGGGGGTTAGGGGGTGGTTGTACTGCAGCGCGAGCTGCGTCGAGAAAAAGTGCGACCACGCTTTGAAGGAGTCGGCTCGGACGCCGGCGCGCGTGGCTTCGGCCATTTGCGCGATGGCGTCTTCGGGGCTCTTCGGGCTCGGGGGAATAATTGGCTGGAGAGCGGGAGCGAGAGCGAGAATGGAATCTGAAACGGGAATAGGGGTAAGTTGGGTCTGGGATTGGGGGGAGTAGGTTCGCGCTCGGTGTTCTCGGGACGTCGACGGGTGAAGGCGAATTGTGGGCGGGGCGTGGAGATGGATGAGGATGCAGACGGAGATGGAGATGGAGAAGGTATGGCCCAGGTAGGCCGGGGCTGGTATCTGATGCTGAGATTCGAAGATCGGGGTCCGCGACCCTTGGAGACGTATGGCTCTACTCTGCGGAATCCACTATTACTATCTTCATATTTGTTGTCGTCTGGCGCGTCTTCCTTGAGTGCGGATCGAACACCAGTAGTCGCAATCTCCTCGCCCTTGTCTTTATTCTTCTTGATCGAATCTCCGCTTATGCCCAACGCGCGGTCAGAGCCCGCTAATTCTTCATACCTCTTCAGCTTTCGCTCACGGACAGGCGAAGATTGCGGATGCTGTCCTGGGTGTAGTTGTCCAGAGCGTAGAGGACGGGACACATTATCCTGGTCCGGGCTATGTCCAGAGCCCAGTGGCAGAGGAAATCGTACGCCTCCCAGAGTTTGTTGACGCCGTAGAGACGCTTCCTCGAGTCGCGGATCCAATTCTCCATCGTTGGGTCCAGAAAGGGCTTGAGCCAGGCCTGCTTGGGTGATGGATCGATTTCAATGCAGATGTGAAGTCGCCTCTCCAGGACATACTTGTGGGTTGCCCAGCCTAGTAATCCATGAATTTAGCAATGCTTTCTCTTTTCTTATAGGATACGTTGCGGGATGTTATTCTATATTCTTTCCTCCGCTTATAGATGCGCGGGACGTAGGAGTACCTATGGACCCCTGGTTGAAGCATGCAACAGAGCTGGATGGAGGGAGGATAAGATCAGAATTACTCCACATGAAATACATACCAATATGTTTCTCCTCATCGAAGTCCTCGGGAAGCGGGACAGCCCAAGCAGGAAGGCCCTCGAACGCTTTCAGCTCCAGTCCCACGTATTCTACTTCGAAGATACGCTCCAAGAAAGCAGACACGGACTCTCCGGACTCGATCCAGAGTTGGTTAAGCGTCCGGGTCATGCGGCCGTTCGCTACATATCCCGCCCAAGAAGCTACGACGGGGCCACCGTCGCTTCTCTGTTCTTCGTCGCTCATGACCTTGCGTGCCTCGGTTGACGGGTAGTTCGCAGAGCCCGGGGCGTCGCTTCAGTTTAACGCACGGTCAGTGTTTATAAAACGGGAAAGGCATTGGAGGGAAACCGAGACGGTTATTTTTGGATAGACGACACAATTACAGGTGCGATAAAGGAATTTTACTTACTCGACATCGAGCAACGAAAATGGGTTGCTACTTTGTGGCATTGTTTGGCGGATATTGTTATGACTCATGTTGTCGAGGGAGAAGGCTGTAAAAAATTGGTGTAGACAATCGTAAACCGTTGAAGGAGAGGTGGTCTATGTGCCTGGGCAAGGAGGGTTGGGTCTGGTAACCAGGCTGTTATTTAAATATAGGAACTAGAACGAAGGCAGGGGTTTGCCTACAAGCAAAACAAGGTCCGTGAAAGAGATCGCTCGTAGCGAGGGGACTGATTTGTGTAATACCATAAGGGAAGATTCATGATTACGATGGGTCATGTAGGGTTCTTAGAAAGTGATAAGCAATCGTAATAGAGCACTCAGAGGAATATGTAAGTACAGTGAATAGCCCTAGAGAGCTCATGATGAACATTACTAAGGTTGCTGAATTGGAGGCGCGATTACCATACTCCCATGAAGACAGACCTCGGGTTATATACTATTTACTATACTAGGGTTCTTGCTATCCAAACGATAACAGAGCACAGTTACGCTGAAGAAGAGAATTGTATCGATGTTCCTGAGTTGCTGCGATACGTTCCGCGGATGCCATTCACTTTAAATATTATCCAGCACTTTGCATGGAAGGCTGGACTGCCTGAGGTTATGAATTATCCTTCGCGCAATTTGATCGATCTGGATGGTAAGAGGTAGTCTGAAAACTATAAGAGTACCTAGGTATGTACCTAACCTAAGACACTAAGCTGTCTGCAGTTATTTCCAGGCAAACAGTCAGATTTTGTTGATTATCGAACGTAAGGTCTCTTCTAGTGAAGCATGGGGATATCGTCGAGCTTAGGTAGTTACAGTCGATATGATGGGCTGTACACGAATTCGAGGAAAGTTCAGTGCTTAAGAATATGACTATAGCAGATGTGATAGTGGTGTATTTGTTTAATAGGTGATAAGTGATACTTTATGAACGCAGTACGGCGATGATTCCATCGGTGTTTGGGTACGGTATACCCCTATTTCTACTTCGGTCTGACTCTTCGAGACACGTTGTTACACCACAGAATGCTTCTGGAATCGAACACAGTTAACCTCGCTGTATTCTTACTAGGGCATACCTGAGAAGGAGGCTCTGCTGCACACAACTTGGACGTGCCAATACCGGAAGCCATGCGTGTGATCTTAGCCCCAAACTAATGTACGTTCGTTGACGTCCGATTAATTCATCACCGAACTGAGATATAGGCTCCTGGTACGGAGGGAATAATAGGTAGGTGATTAGGCGACGATGAGTGATTGATACAATGTCGAATAATTCATGTCAGGGGTTAACCCCTATTCCATAAATCAGCTCCCCATGACGACCCATTGCCATTACCTACCTCAAGGTCTACTACAACACTCGGTACGCCACCAAACCGGCTCACTTCGGTAGTGTATGTGGCCACGTTACCCAGCCATCCCATATCTACCCGAGTGCCCGGTTTGAACCATCACGAAGCGAGATAAGCGAAGAGGCGTCGTCGGGACTCGCCCACGCGGACGAAAGTTCCAATCGTGGCTGAGGACTTTGCGGGGGAGTTTGCCTTTGAAGATACGAGATATGATACGATGCGCCACCGCGAACCGATAGCGGATGAACACAGATCTGACGCGGGTGGCAAAGGGTTGGTTGTTGTTGGTGGGCTACCTAGCAGGTTATTTATCCGCCCCCCCTCGGCGGCGCTCCGGCGTTTATAAACATAAGCACGGTTGATCTTCCGGCGCTGAAATAAGATAGGACCTAGGCATCTAACCTTCCGTAGATAGGTACGTGTCCGGCGTAACGTCCTCCCTCGAACGGGCCAGCCAGCCAAGCCTGTCTGCTTCGCGCTAAGGCCGTCCCATAGACGCGTCGCGCATATCATATCATATCAAATCATATCTAATCTTTACCCACCTTACCTTATCAGGTACCTAGCTTAACCTTCTTTCTTTTCCTAAGCGCCGTTCGTCCTTAGCAACAGCCTCGGGTATCGGAAAAGCCAGTAGGTATGTACGGATTACATAGTACCTAATACATTAGGTGGGGGACAATGGTGGGGGGAGAGAGAGAGGAATGGAGATTAAGCCTCTACGCTAGGCTTTATTTAGCGGCTACAGCCGGATCCGCCAACCTGGTTTTGGCGTCGGCGCAGCGAGCTAAGCGGAGCTAAGGGGGCTAGCGTCGGTCCTGCCGCCTTTCGGCATATAGATATTCTCTTCTTTAGCGAGTCTTCGATTTGTTGTCCCGAATGGGGTACGTACCTACCTACCTAGGTAACGTAAGCGTTGCCAGCTTAGCAGCGTTAAGTACCTAACCTATTGTATTAGGGAGTATTAGGTAGTATTGTATAGTATAGTATAGTATGCAGGTAGGCGCGTTTAGAGTTTCACACCGATTTCACCCCCTCTCAGATAGCCCAAATAAGCCAGAAAAGAAAAAAGCACATGTCATTACGTACTACGCCGGTAAGTCCCAAGCTGGTAATCCCGCTAGCCTTAGACCATTTCTTATTTATTTAATTCTTTTTTATAATAAAAATAAGAATTGGCATGAAGAACCCCTGCTGGTTTCGAGACCCTGATCTACGTACCTTAAGTAAATACGCACGATGTATTGTATAGCGCAAGTTCCCGGCGTATATCGGTTAAAAATGTGCCGTACGGTTGAAGGATACCACCCACCTAGGTAGGTATCCACCATTAGGTCAGGTAGACTTAATCTTATCATAAATGACGAACGCTACCGTATCCTTTTCCATGCGTTGCGTTGCATTGGCCAGAATAAGTAAATAAATACCTACCTAAGACGCAATGTATGTATATGCGTATGTACGTAGGTCAAAAAACCGCAATCGTGATCTGAAGATCATCTCCGATTAATCAATCTAGTTCGGTGCAAATCCTCCGCCGGTATGAACGGCATGCGACCAAGCTGCCCAAAAAAAAAAAAAAAATAATGTTGGGTGCTTTGCAGTACGAAACAACTATGCGTATCGGAAAAAAAAAATAAGAAAGAAAAATACAATACACCTAAACGCCGGGGGCTAAATAAGATCCCTTTCTAATGCCCGAGATATGCACGCTACCTGTTCCGCTCCCTCTAACCATCTGCATTAGAAAGAAGAACATAACGCCCGTAATGCGTTCCACACATCAATGGAATATCCTCCTCCCTTGCGCATGTCATCCTATTCCCCTCGTCATCTCCTCATCCGTCCATCCCCCTCAATAGAAAAAAATTAATACTTGCAAAAAAAATTTAAAAAAAATTTGGGTATCGTAGGTCGAAAAGAAATCCAACAATGATACCACCCATGCAATGCATGAAGTCTGCAAAGAAAATGCATATGGCCGTAGCCTCCAGTCTATCCTGGAAAAAAAGAACTTCTAGTCTATGGTGAATGTTGTTGTATGTTCCCCGTCGTGTGCGAGGGGGTTGAAAAAGGTCGCTCCCATAACTTATATGTCCGTTTTGTGTTGTGAACATCGTGTGTATCATTAATGGAGGCCACTGGAAATCCTGTTTTGGGAAATCTGGCGTAGGGGCGGCTTGTAGGTATCGATTAAAAGAAAATCGAGGTGTTTGGGTATATGGCCCTAACGAGAAGATCCGAATTCCCAACTCATTAGAAGGTGCTCCAATTCCAGTCCCGCGGGACACTCATCGCAATATCTTGATGTTCGCCATGAGGACCGTGGATTGCCGCTGGGGCGGAAACGGCTGGGCTGGTCGGTGCGGTTTGCGATCCCGTACCGGTAGAGGATGTATCGCTAGAAGCCTGGCTGTTCGTTCGGCTGCACCACTCTTTGAACTCGGAAAAACAGTGGGAGCACGCGCGGCTAGGCGTGCCTCTCGGGTTATAATTCGCGTCTTGGTCGAGAGGAACGTCAAATGCCGAGTGCGAGTCGCAAAAGATATTGCCACATTTTCGACAGTGATGGCGGCGCGTCCAATAGTTGAAGTGGCGCATACAGGAGGGCTCGTCGCAGATTTTCGATTCCGGATCGGGCTAAAATTGATGATTGTCAGCTGGAATTCTTGTAGAGCCGTAAAATCAGGATGAGGTCATGCGTTAACGCGCCGCAACCCGTAAGGCTGCATATCCGAGACATAGCCCGCAAATCAAGACTCTTCTTATCTTACCTTCCAGTGTTGTCGCGTGGGCTGCGCCGTCGGCTTAGGAAACATATCCAAATCCCATTCATCATCCATACACATTCCGCTATCGATTGTAGCGCGACGGCTCAAACGACTCAACGCGCCCAAACCACTCAAGCTGATGAAACTGCTATTAGACGATGACGGATTATCATCTTCTTGTGCCTCGGTCTTCCTCTCTATCTTGCATGGATGCTCGGTCGGCCTTAAAACAGCGGGCATGTAGAGCGGTCGTAAGCGTTGACGATGATAAGGCTTGGGCGAGGTGGGCGAGGCGTTGGTAGAGGTACTCAAGGGCGAGATCTGTTGAGAATGGTATCCCTGAGACGGGTACGTCGGGGATTGTGATGCCGCAGCAGGCATTTGGCGATAAGGATAGAAATGCGGCTGCGGCTGTGGCTGCTCGTGTAGTCTGGGCATTATGAAGTCGGTTGCCATTTTCTTTTCGCAGCCGCGCATTAAATCCAGGGTGTGTTCCAAAGGGAGATTTAAATATGATGGAAGAAGAGGTAAAGATAGGGAAGATCGAAATGGGCGAATGTTGGGGAAGCGATAAGCAGCGTAAGCCGCCGCGGAACCAAATTATTGTGTAATAATAAGTATTGATTCACCCAAAGTTTCGTATCATAAAATAAAATAAAAAAGCCTTGGGATTATCAAGGCCAGGCAAAACAAAATAAAAATATTGCTGGCTTTTGTCCCGACCCTAACCTCGTATGAATCGTAAAAAGTGAATAAGTCAACGAGTCGCGAGGTTATTATCGGGAAACTAATGACTCGGACTGAAGAGTGTATCAGAAAGGATCAATTCTAAACTCTAAAACGGAGGCAGACGGAGGTTAGACGGAGGTGGCTGCACGGATGCTGACTGGAGGATAAAATGGTGGTATCCTGAGGCTTGTGATAAGGAAGTGATGTAAGGTCTTGCGTACCTAAGGTAAGCTTAAATCAGAGATAACTGATAAGGTAGAAAAAAAGGTATCAACATAAAAACTTAATGAAGACCAGATCTAAGGGGATTAGAACTGGCTATCAGTGAATACCTATTTCATAAAGCAGGTACGAAGTAATGAGGTAGGTACGATAATGATAATGATATGGGTATGTAAGGGAGGACAAAAAGATACAATAGGGGAGGAGGGATGATAATAACCTTCTGTCAAGCAGCCAAAGTAGCCAAGTAAGTAAGTTACAAAAGGTACTTAGTACCTTCCAAGAACTGCACTAGAGAGAGAAGTTCCCCGACGCAAATAGTCGACCGGTCGTAGTGGCACCGGGGTGGCACTTTGGTGGGCCGGGAACCCCTCGATACATCAAGCGGCATCCACTTACATAGTACGTACGTACCTACCTCCTACGTAGTATTTGGGTCAATTCTGATTGGTCTAATTGAATTAGATAAGTCTGGTAGACACAATTCGTACTGTGTTTATACTTGAACATGCGCTTGACATTTTTAGTTTGTTAGGTTTTAGTTACACTTGCCAGACTTACCCAGCTTCCTTTTTTTCTTAGATCTAACCCGTAGTGAATTTTTCTTCGACCCGCTTCGTTCAACTTTGCACCGTATTAATTTTCTATATAAGCGTTTCCATGTCAAAACCAGAAAGAAAAATAAACAAATAAAAAGAGACAAGGGAACCGTGTAATCACCTCAACTTTCTATACAAATCTCCGTGTAATTAACTACGTAACCTAGGTACTTAAGGTAGGTAAGGTAACTAACCAAACAATTAACCATACTAGCAATCCCAGTTGGCAGTGTTGAGTCGCCTCTTCGAAGCTTGGTCCCTTCCCCCTCCAAGCTCAAACATTTCCATGGCTCCTCGGCACAGTATCGCTTTTTGGCTGTGGGTCGTCTGTCCTCTTACCCAATCTGTCCAAAGTCGCTGGATACCGATCTTCGGCGGTTCAAAATCTGTTAACTTACGTCAGGTTTTTTTCCTGCTGGACCCTTCCAGCCCTTCGCTTTGTTACAATCCGTGTCATCGTGTAGGAGGCATTTCTGGGGGGAAAGAGGTAATCCCTCCGCAATCCCTCCGCAATCCATAGCGAAGAATTATTATGATAATTACCTGAAGTTAGGTATATTCAACATCACTACCTAATACTAGTGGTTATCCAAGACGGGAGCAAAGAACAGGTGATACTAATTTGAGCAGTCATCTCGCCGTCCTGCCTACATCAAGATGAGCTCACCTTGAGCCCGATTCCCAGACGAGGAAGCAGGCGGCCCGTTACAGTTGACGTGCAGGACGTTATTTATTATAGAAGCTTTTGTGGCACGTCGGCGCGTCAGCCATCTTTTATTCCATTCGACCACTATCAAAGCTAGCCTGGGTGCAATATATCGCGATGTAACAGACCACAGGTTCTTCACAGTAAGGTGGATACCCTCCGTATACTGTTTGTTCGTGAGCAAGTGAGGATCCGCCCGTACCCTATCGATTGTGATTGTTACATACATGCGATGAAGAAAGCTGGGAGGAGGCCTATTACGATGACCTCACGATGTGAAGTTGACATTTGTCAAAGACTTGGCCTTTGCGCTGTTTTCGAACGAGATCGGGTCGGGCGGGCGATGCAGCAGCAGATCTACATACCAGGTATGTATGTAGGTATATACCTAGGTCCCCTGGGCTCTTAAGTGACTTCAGTCCCCACCACGATCCGACAGCCCGCAGTATTGTTTAATTGCCTTTGGGCGCATACATCTTTCTTTCTTTTGTCTTTTTCTCTTTAGACATTATAGGGAAGAAGTCAGATTGGTAGACCGCTATTTTACTTCTTGGTAGAAAGATAAAATAGAGAGATCCTTCGATGTTTTAAGATCAGCAAGACGGACGGTAGTTTGATAGAAATGATATTCTCTGACAATATATTAATTAGTGTTTAGTTCTTTTTAACGCGGCGATGGAAGCGCTACAGCGTTTGCGATCCTGCAGGTTTATCTTTCGGTCCTCGCTGATTGGAGACCGGCGACTTTCACTAAATGCGAGTGCGTTAGCAAGTTAGGAAGCTTGGCTTCTAATAAGTCGAGAAGTCGAGGCTCCCGGGGCTCCCAGGTCTTTTTTGTACATAGTACAATCAATGATCAATTGTAGCCGGGGTCTGGCTTGACCGCCAAATTAATTAATGTATTATTATATGCACACATTGCATGCGCTTTGAGTGGCTGAACAGTCCAATAGCGTCAACTCTCTTTGCTGATTCGTCTAACCCACACGATCCTCACATGCAACTTCACGTGCCTCTCTTCCCGTTCGCGCCGTACAACTTATATACTCGAATAGATACATAAGGTAGATGGAATGCTACGGAACATCGCTTCACTCTAAGAGGTTCATAGATCTTGATAATGTTGTTCCTCGTGCTAAACACTCTGTAACGTCGAGTATACCTAATGCGATACCCGTGGACCTAGAGGCAATCCGTATATACCGATATACCCATATCGAACACCTTTTAGCCAAGGCCCAATGGCAAGGGATCTTTTTTTTCTTTTTCTTTTTCTCTACTTTCAAAATCAAACCCGCTAGTTAGCCATATGCAAGATCTATGAAGATCACAGCCTCTTGGGATTCTCGACCTATGCGTCCTTTTCTTAGTGCACACTACCTAATAACTATATGTGTAGGTAATATATGCCAGTAATGCATACTATCTGGACTATTACAACTTATAACTACCACCTATGTAAATCGTACATAATATAAGTGCGGCGTGTATGCTATTACGAGCAAGGTTCAAGGATCCACACAGTTAGTTCAACAAAAGCGATGGGGCCCGAATAAATAAAGTGGGAAAGGGGTCTTTCAAAATGGACCCGAACTTCAAGTCGTTGTTATCGCAGAGGTGTGATTGGTCCCTTCGATTTCGGCTTAGCTTGGGTCTGGGCCAAAGAAAAAAAAAGAAAAAGCTTCTAAACTCAGTAGGACCGGCAAGCTAAGTAAATGGCGGGGTCAAATAGGTAACGGCCTCCCGAATTAACTCCCCTCAACGCAGTTGAAAAGCAGTCTTTGCTAAGGGACAACGATAACCCCTCCTCCTGCGCGATTATATTTACCTTGGACGCGTGAATTAGTTGCATAGAGATCGTTCGACTTTGCGTACCTAGGTAGGTAATTAGTGAAATAGTAATAGGATAAATTCCCACTAAGACCAGGTTAGAAAGATGGTGAGAAATGATAGCGAAGAGAGTATATGGCATGCATGCATATTATAGTTGATCTTATATACCTAGACTATATAGTAAATGTTTGGACCATAGATCAGTGTAGATCCCATTCATTAGTTTAGCTCTGACGAGTCATCTTGAGCGCCGTCAACCCAACGGCCGCTCTTACCTCCCTCCTTGAGAATGACTCTCAACCCTTGGATGCTCATCCCCTTATCCACCGCCTTGCACATGTCATAAACAGTCAGAGCCGCTGTAGAAGCAGCTGTTAGGGCTTCCATCTCTACCCCTGTTTTGCCTTCGCAAGCTACAGTTGCCTCGATATCGACTCGGCTAGCCTTGTCGTTTTCGTTTTCACTTTCAACCACAGCAAGGTCTACAGTAACCTTAGTGATCGCGATAGGATGGCATAACGGGATGAGATCTGGTGTTCTCTTTGCGGCCATGATCCCCGCCACGCGGGCTACCCCTAATACATCCCCTTTCTTAATCTGATTTTCCTTTATAAGTTCGCATGCTAGCTTGTTTGTAAAATGGACACTGCATACGGCCTTGGCCACTCTCTTGCTGGGTGTCTTGTCGGAGATAGACACCATGTGAGCAGAACCGGATTCAGACACGTGTGTTAATCTCGCTGTGTCGTGTTTTTTATTAAGTCGTGGCCTGCCTACTGAGAAGCACCGTAGTTGACCATAGACAAAGCCAGTGGGAAAAGTAGGTAGTAGCCAAGGGGCCGGTCGCTTGGGGGAAAGAGGCACGACTGGCGGATATTCGATAGCATCCCAACTCGAAACTCGAGCGTAGTTAGTCGGTATATATTGCGGCGAACCTGCCAGAGACCCGTTCAGTTCGAGTCCTCCTCAACGCTCGAAGCCGAGCCAGAAGTGCACGCGTTCGTAATCCTCCGAGGGGCTGCATCCGCAAACTAGGGATAATCACCCACCTATGAGAATCATCGGTCTGTTTTTCATGTGCTCTAGCTCGCCAATGCCGGCGTGCTTAGCTTTCTTCCTCTTCACTGCCATACCAATGACCTCTAAGAGTTTACGCTCATTGGGCGCTAAGTTAAGGGGAGCTGGCTCGTCCGATATTTCCAGTTGCCTGTCTGCGGCTATTCTTCTCATTGCTTTATAAGTTTCTTCATCGATCGGGTCACCGTTATTACATCCCCTCAAGATATCCCTCAGGGAGACTTCCGCATTACCAAAGAGGCAAACTTTGAGATTGCCATCACTTGTGATACGAAGACGGTTGCAGGTTCCGCAGAAATTGTGTGTCATGCTGGTAATGAAGCCAATTTTGCCTACGAACCCGGGAATCCTGTAGGTTTTGCTGGTGTCGTTTTTATGACCTCTGATTCTCTCTAGGCCGGGGTGCTTCTCGCGGATGCGATCCAGCATCTCGTTGTAACTGAACATTTTGCCCTCATTCCACTTGTTACCATCGAAAGGCATGTATTCAATGAACCTGACTTCGATGTCTTTCTCGCGAGTCATCTCGACGAAAGGAATAATTTCTCGGTCATTGATTCCTCGCATGATAACCGCGTTAATCTTCAGCTTAATACCGGCTCCATGTTTATTAAGCTCAAATACTCTTTCAATGCTCTTCATTACAGCATCGAATCCTTTCCGCCTGGTCATAATCTGAAATTGCCATGGATCTAGCGTATCGAGGCTTAGATTTACGCCTGTTAAACCAGCTTCCACCATTCCCTCGAGCTTCCGATGAAGGGCTATACCATTAGTGGTAAGACAGAGTTCTCGAAGGCCATGCGACCGAAGGGCGCCGATCTGCTCCATCAAGGGTAAAATATCCTTTCTGACAGTAGGTTCGCCACCTGTCAGGCGAATTTTATTCACACCCTGGGAGACGAATAGTGATGACAGCATCACAATCTCGGGCGTTGTCAGGAGTTCTCTCGGAGGTGAAAGAGGAACGCCTTCCTCCGGCATACAGTAGACACACCGAAGATTGCATCGTTCCGTAAGCGAAATACGCAGGTAGTCATGCTGTCGGTGAAAAGTATCCGTGAGGAAATCGGAAAATGGTTTTGCATCTTTCAGAAGCTCTCGGCGCGAGAGTTGGACTGCCGGCGCCTCGACTGGATTCGCCGATTCCGGGATGATTTTAACAGCGGCGGTAGCAGCAGCAGCTGTAGCAACTCGTCGCAAAGGCTCAGCGTGATATTTACCGGCCCGGATCCGTAGACCTTCGGATGCGGTCTGCACCCAACGAGACGAGAAAGCCCTGTACGTCATCTTGGGGATGCCCTACCAAATAAATGATAATTCACGAGATGTAAGACATTGTGGTCAACGTTTTAAATTGCCCTTTTTCCTATATGTAGGAGTACTTTGGGGCAATATGCCGTGCAATATCTTCTCAGTGAATTTCATTCCATTATTATGATTGAAGTCTAAAGGAAACGTAGGCTTATCGCCACAAGCGCGGAGATGCAGTATAAAAATTACCTAACCTACCTACCTAATGTGAGATGAGTAACTGAGATGAGTAAACAAAAAGGGTTAAGGTTAAAGCCGGACGAGCAAAAGGAAGGTGTGTCAGCGCGGGGAGAGCATGCTGAAGTACATAGTACCTACTTGTTCTAGATAGGTTAGGTCAGGTACCTAAATCAGTATCATTGGACTAGACCCAACCCCTAATCAGTCAACCCGCCAATCCGAACAACCAGAAAAAAAAACAAAAAACAAAAAACACAAAAGTCAACAATTCTTTGATGCCCATACCCACAATACAGTACCGAGTTTGTCACAAGTCCTCCTATCAGCTTGGATAGAGCTAAACGCCCGTAACGGCTAGTTAGCCAATCGTCCGGTCTTATCAAACAGTATTCTTTCAACTTTTCCAAGGCTTGACAACCTTGACAACTGAGTGGTTGCGGCAGACCATTCCGGCCTGCGGCAGCCATATTTCTTTGCCGTGTTGACGTGGATATGACTTAGCTATCACGATAGCCAATTTTCGCCGGTTTCATTACTAAGTTCTATTAGTACCTCACATATATCACATATAATAACCAGCCTTTGCACCCGGAACTCATACAGCCTTAGACGTAGTTATTATATAATGCGTTTCTCCAAAGCCCTTCCCTGTAGGACTTCACCCCTTGGTTATATTGTACAAGAACAGACCGCCAGCTCTTTATTGAATTTCGTTGTTCTTCAATTTTATAACTCAGCTCAGCTACTAATTCTAGCCACTAGCATCCCCTCACTGCTACCCGAGTCCGGATGGGGAACTCATTGCTACCCTCTTACCATCCAGTATTGTTGTACGCGCCGTTAAATCTCTAGACGTTCTACGAAGTATTAAACTACCGCCTGACCTTATAGGTGGTGTAACAAGCTTCCTTTGGTCACCTTCCTCTACTCGGCTTCTAGTCGCAGTAGCCGATCAGATACATATATTTTCGGCTCGAGAAGGTAATTTTCATGGAATTGCCAGGATTCCCTCTTCAGCTGCCAAATCTGCCTTCATCGATTTTGGGGTTACCGATTATGAGGTTTGCATCTGGTCGCCCTATGGCATCAAGCTAACCATTATCAACTTCACAAACTCAAAGGCAGTAGAAATTGCCAACCCGAAATTCTACAATGCCGCCTCTGCGACAAAAGGGTGCTCTTTTCGGGTGAACTCTCGTCACCTTGCGTTACTCACAAGGTCTTCTGGCAAGGACATGATTAGCATACATTCTCCAGGAACCAGGGACATTGAGAGATCCTGGTATCCTGACACCATTGATGCCCAAGGATTGACTTGGACTCCAGATGGGAGGTGGTTGGTGGTGTGGGAATCATCGGCCCAAGCCCCCAGGGTCCTTTTCTACACTTCTGATGGCCACATTTTCAACGATTGGAGGGGTCCCCTCCCCTACGAATCTCAAGACATGGGTCTCCAATATAGTGCAGGTGTTAAAACAGTCGCTCTGAGCCCAGATGGTCGACGTGTCGTAATTGGCAACGGCTCTACTTGCACGTGCATTCTAAACACCCCATCTATGATGGAGGCTATGCGGCTCCGTCATCCCCAGGCGGTCCAGCCCAAAGATACATTACAGGTATGTCGCTCATTTGGCGGGGTTGTGAAACAGTCTCAGTTAACTGAAAAGATCTGGCAAGAACAAAGTACCTTTTCGAGTACTGGATCAGTCTCGTCGCCAACATTCGTCAAGGCCACCCAGATAGTGACTCCCGAATGGTCTACATTAAATAGCCTCCAGGAGCCCGTATCAGGCTGTAATTTTGCCAGGTTCGACTGCTCTTCGTCCCTCCTGGTTACAAGGCTGGAAGAGGCACCAGGTACCATCTGGATCTGGGATCTCCCCAGTTCCAATCTTCGGGCGGTGCTGATGTATCATGCCAATGTAACGAAACTAGAATGGCACCCTACGCAGCCGGAGCTTCTCCTCATGAGGTGCGAGGGTGACAGTTATGGCAGTCTCGTGTTCGTCTGGGATCCATTAAGCCACGGCCCGCGCTCAGTGGATTTGGCACACCGACTTCCAGGTTCAGTTAATAACTCGAAGATGTACGCCACATGGCTCAGAACAACAGCAGAATCTCCTGCATTATTCTTCAGTGACAGCGCAACCTGCATGATGGTCTCTCTTGCAGATTCCGATGAAGAGGCACTTCCCTGGCGAGATGCTTCTACACCCATTAATACCATCAGTCATGGGGACGACATAGGCATGCAGTCATCAATCAGGCCCGCATCGCCTTCAGAAGATGCTGAAGACAGCATTTTAATTAACATAGACGACGATACTAGCGAGCCAGACGACACGTTCCAGTTTATTGCCCACTAAGCTTAGGTGCAGGGATATTTGATCATATCTCAAATGAATGAGATGTTAGATTGGAAAACCCGATACCGTGGAATTATGGCTCCTTTGCTTAATTCCGGAGGCGAAGCTTACTTTCTAGATGCAAGAACGGCCATTCGATCACGTCGAAAATGCAGGATAACAGGAGAGTAGATGGAGTAACGGGGAGATGGTGGGTAGCCATGTAAGATAGCTTCCCCGGTATTCGTATTGTTTACCCTAGTGCGCGGCCGATCAGCTCCAATATGCTAATGCAGATTCGATTCAACCGCAGAATCTAGGGCGCTAATGGGGAAAAAAGAAAAAAAAGAAAAAAGAAAAAACATGCGGTCCATAGGTGATGACTAACAGACAGGTTAGGATTCGGTAAACAGGGTTGTTTCGAATGAATTTTGCCGTTGGGAGTCCGTTGGGAGTGCGTCTGCCAAGTCAAATACTTAGCTCTGTAGCCTGGCCTGGGTGCCTACGGTTGGAGAGAACCTGATGGTGGGAAGGCTTTTAGTTACGCAACGGCCTTCAACGGGCAGCAGGCATGGTATATCCTTGCTGTGTTACACCATGCACGAAAACATTCTAGGAAAAGCAATTTCGATGTTTGCCAACAGCGGAGATTCAACCTGGCTCGCCGCCAGCAAAGAAGCAACATTGTTGTTTTGTACTAGGGGAATTCTATAACTCGCTGCTCTACAAAAGCACAATGGCTGGCTAATGGGTTTCAAAAGCCATGGAGAGAGCGCCACCGCACCACGTATGCCCCTTGCTGCAGAATCCGTGGTTTGACCATCACAGCCAAAATGGTCGATAGTTCGATGCTGGGCTCGATGTTGTCGTCGATGCTAAGGTTGTGGAATACGCCCTTATTATCCTTATTATCGCCCCCCACGAAATACATGAGCCTCAAGACACGGGCTACAGTTACCCGGGTTTGTGGAATTGGACCAGCTTCGGAATATTTCCCTAGCCCTTATAACGGGTTAGATCGTCCTTTGCTAAGCCCTTTTAGTACTGCATCAAATTTCTCACTTAGCTACACTCCCATAATAGATCCCGTCCAACAAATTGTCTCCTTTACGTCGGTCAATGGAACCACCCCCTTCCTTCACCGGGTCCGCGAATGCAATATGGCAAGGGGTCATATGTTAATGTTTCGTCGGCCTTCATCGATTCCCAGATCTTGTTTCCCGCAGCTGTTAGACGAAATATGATAATTTCATCACGCCGTTCCACCACCCCTGTGATGGGCTCAGCGACTTCTCGACTTTGGCTTTCTCCCCTTTCTGCAGCCGGCATACTGGTTCGATCAATGGCTGGCCAGATCCTATTGGGTTATGCGCGCGATCAACATACCTACATGTTAGCAGACTATTCATATATTTTCAAGCATGGTTGCCTACCTTCGTCGATATCTCAACCAATCGGTGATGCACGTCTACTGGTATAGTAACTTCTGCCTATTAGGGGTGCCTAACGCATAAAGATCTTGAAAAAGTATACATGTATAGATCTAAACCTTTAATATATCACACTGATTCCTCAGGCTATCATCCTGTGCGACCCTGGGCGATGTCTTCATGTTGAAGAAAACGGGCCTAGGCCAGCACACGCTTTGGATCATAGGAGACCTCGTGCAACATATAAAGAGCCCCATCAGATCGTTCATACTGCTGTGCTTGTTCCACACGATTTTCTCACCAAGGGTACACCCTACCAAACATTTTCGAGTAAAGTCTTAGAGAGCTGCAGCTGTCCGCTACGATGTCTTCAGATGCCTTCTCTCATCAAGTTCCCATCAATGGAACTATTCAGACCAAAGTCTCACCAGGAAATCAAACAAACATATACTATATTCTAGTCTCAAACGTAAGTTCTAACACAAAACGGATCTTACATATATCGTATAATTTGCATTCTGGAGCCGTTCTTTTTGGTGCTGACGATAGCCGTGAAAGTTACCGTGGCAAACATCATGGCAACAGCTGAAAGACCATGTGCGAACCGTGAGCGCCGTTGAACGAGTTGAAGTATTCAACGAGAGCACATCTGGCTGGGTTTCGGTTCGAGGTCGGGAGAATTACGATGCAGCCCTTCGTATGTTGAGCTTGTGGCAGTCTTTATTTGTTAAAGAAAAAAAAAGCACTCAACTAACAAGTGACTACAGATCTACTCAATGGAGGCGTCTTCAACGGTCGAGCACTTCTAGCAGACGGGAAAAATGCTACAGAATCTATTATGATCAGGGAACCTGTGGACGTTTATACAACTAGCAACTCCACATCAAGAACTCCTCATACACCAAGATATAGGACCCCTCCTTCGACGCAGTACTCAGCCGGCACGCCGCCAATGGCATCGCCGCATGGAACAGGATATGTGGAGGTAAGTATCCTAAAATTTAAGACGAAATAGAACTAGCTAACTTTCTATAGTGGACATCTCCCGCAAGTCCTCCATCGTACGTGACTACATCTGCAATGGAGCGCGCGCCTTATACCATGTCTGTTGCTGTTCCGTATGACTATAGCGAGGCGCCTGGTTACTATACTTACGACACATCAGCTACCAGCTACATGGACCAAACGACGATGGTTTCGTCTGCTACAATGGTACAATATCCTTACGAGGAAGCCTATTCACAGCAGTATCAAATGAACGAGTATCACGGAAACGACTATGCCATGTATCCCAGTTTACCCAGCCCAGAATCTCTATCAGAAGAACCGAGTAATTCCACCAAACGCATGGTTCCCACAAAACAGCGCAAAATCATTGTGAAACAGCTTCAACCTTGGGTTACGTTCAACCAAGTACAAGACCTTATCCGAAGGAAAGCAGGATCCGATGCTGATAAAATTCAATACGTTGATCTGCCACTGGTGGATGGCCAAGAATCAAATAGGGGCTATGCTCTGGTCACATTTCAGAACGAAGAAGTGGCTAGTAAGCTAGTTCGGCGGCTCAATGGGTACAAGTACGACGGCCGTGAATTAAAAGCAGACTATACCAAAGAGGGCGTGTCAGAAAATGAGACAGTCCGCTCGCGGAGCTCTGGGCAAAAGGAAAGACGGGAGGATCGTGAGAAAAGGGAAAAGAAGGAAATGGCTCGGGGAGCAAGCTCCAACGACAAAAAGACCAAATCTCATAAATCCGGCGTCATTATTGCACATGGGTCTTCCTCATCCTCTTCTAAGAAGTCAGACATGAAGGAAAAGCCAAACAAGCGGCATTAGATCAACAACAGAGTCTCGCCGAGCTGATTCACGATAATCTGGTATGGAAGGGGTCACAATGAGATCGGACGGCGTATTTTCTTTCCTTCCCTTCATGTGCCGGGCAGGTTATAATTTTCGTATGTTCGTTATTGGGTTCTATCGGTTGCCTCCTGGATTTCAAAGGCGGTTATCTGCTGGCTGGTATACGTGGTGGTTCAACTGTCTCTACCGAAATGTAACTACGCACCTGTAGATGTCTATATCAAAAGATCAGGCCACTCCTTTGGCCATGTCAGATAGGAAGCCCGGAACTCATCGTAAATTGACATAACTGTCCCCTTATCCGTTGTTCGACTATGCTCGTCCTAGCGGATCTGAGTGCATCACCATTCCCAGTTCAGCCAAGGCAGACTCTTCCGCTGCGTAGGTACCTACTTTGCGAGACGGGTCGTAAATTGCTACAAGCACACTCCACTGCGCCATATTTCTTAGGAAAAGGGGCTGGATAGAAAGACTAACGGATAGCGAGAATCTATCCTCATCGGCGCGACTTTTACCTTCCTAACTATGAGAATCAGAAGTGTGTGCTCATGCTATGGTACGTGACGCATCATTTCGTGCTTCTCTAATTCCTACAAACGCCGCTCGAGTGTCGTCGGTGGATTGTATAAGGTTGTAATCCTAGGATCAAACCCGCATATGCAGAACACGCCTGCAGGACCGGATATGCGCGTATTTTAAAAGGCCGCTTTCCCTACCAGTAGCAACCCTTTGATGGGAACTTCATATGCTGCCCGCTGCCCCGGTCTGACGTTCGAGATTGCCGGGTGGAGGTTACACGACATTCCCAGCTTGCAGATGCCCCTACCCGGCGTGCGGATTCCATATGAAGCTCCCTTGCCTTGCTTGCTCCCCCCTGGTTTAGGTACCTCTCTTTGTCACCCCCACGCCCCCCATTGTCTTATATTGACGATGTACCCGGGTTGCTACAGGTGCCATCTCGCCCATGTCATACCTGAAGCGCAGACCAGGCAGCTAACGCAATACGGGCAGGGCTACTGCGCGGCACAGCGCGTGTGCTTCCAGCAATACCCGACTCGCCAGCCCCGGATGGGTTTTCTCCTACCGTCCGTTGCACGCATACAGGCGTTTACTTAGGGCCGGTTGGGCGAGATGATAAGACCCCACGTGTTCTAGGTCCCCATAAGGACCAGCAAAGCAGATCGATCGACAAGTCTCGACCCCTAGGCAGAAGAGAGATCATAAATTCCTTGACTATGCTTACCTACATCTAGGTAGGTGACTAGTCTACCTAGGTACTTTACTTACTCACCGTACACACGGGTATGATGCCTACCTGATTTTCCATCCCTCGATGGACATCCGGTCTTTCAAACACGAAGCCGATGGGCTCGACGCTGTAACTTGGAACCTCTTCCGGTCTTAGAAGAACGTCGCAGAAAAGTAGTCTGTACATCAGAACCGGTGAAGCGTCGTATCTCGGCTATCTTCAAAAGTCATATCCGTGGGGCCTCCGGGGGGAAATCTAACAGGATTACAAATAGTCAGATCGGAGCCTACGCCAGGTCGTACAACTAACTGGCCAAACTCCAGGTTTGCCCGGCATGCACAGGTTCTGATACATAGACCACTCCTGGTGTGGTTTTATAAAACATCGCGATGGTGCCGCGGTCAAAGGCTGTGTTACTGTCTCTAAAGTAAGGTAAGGTTGTTATATTCGTCATACCACGAGGCGTGAAAATGGCGTCCACGCATCCACCGGCCACTACCGTTGGTCTTGGCAAAGCTACTCTATACGTCCTTTTTACTTCCTTCCTCTTTACTTATCTACATTCCGATTCGCTTGATGTTGGCGGTTTACCATTGCATGTTTACTATTGCATTACAACAAAAAGTAAGTATAGAATCCGTGTGGTTGGTATAAGCATCTAAGGGAGGCGGGCCAATGCGTTCGCCCGCCTTCAGGGGTCTTCGCAGTATGGGGGATGAAACGTCTCCGTGGAATACTGGGTCAATAAACGAATTGCTACGGGCCTACCATGTATGCGGATGTTAAGTTCCGACGCGGACAAACGTGCGCCGCCCCAAAGTCGTTACATATATCATTTCTCAGCCTTGTGATGTAGCTACCCGGCTCGATACAGGGGAAAGGGGGTACATGCATGAAAACTGTTCAGGGGTCTATGTTGCCGGTCATAAAAAAGAACTGTAAGGTTATATAATAACCCCCTCTTTTTTTTCGTTGTCTTTTCCTTTTCTTTTCAGATCCCGGGGAGAAGATCCCGAGGCAAAATAAAACCAACTTGGACGAACGCCTGCATAAGAAGGGGAAACAAAAATGACATGTCATTATTCCCACCATGCGAAAGGGAAGAAAAAACTTATAGATGGGAGACGTACCTCGAAACTTACCCTAACGCACGTAGCTACCTAAAGTCAATAATAATAAAGTCACCGACCCTGCGGTACCTTTCTGCGTACCGTCCCCGAACCACCCGTGTCCAACCGGCTTCGACCCAGTCTGCCAGAAAACAGCGTCAACGTGGGCGTACAAGACTACAGAAATAGAGGCGCCAGCTCTTACTGACTTCCGAGGCATCAGCGTTCCGCTGCTAATAATAATAATAATAGTAATAATAGTACATATCTAGGTACCCCCCTAAGAGGTAGGTACTCACTCATTCGCGTCGGATATTAGGTATTATTAAGTACGTGGCACCCGGATTGCTTTCGCTTCTCTGACATCACGCGCTAATTTGAAAGAGGGCCGGCCAGTTCTCACCACGAAAGCATTGTCGTCTCCTGCTCCTTTTCCTCCTTCCCGCCTCGACTCAGCCCTCGCAGAAAGCAGGCGCCCCAGGAATCTCTTCCCCTTTATTTCGACCGGGAAAAAAAAAGGAGACCATGTACGTTTCCATTCCGGTATATAAGATGCAAAAAAGAGTACGCCCTAACCTTAGGTAGGTACCTAAGCTATATGCAGTCATAACATCCCGAGCGCTCGGTCTTAAGCTGTCCGTCGGATAAGGCTTGAAACAGGGGTTTTGTCCGCCTGTCATACCGGATTTAATACCTAGCAGTATCACAGGAAACAAGTTGGAAACAAGAACAACGAGGGGGAAAAGAAAAAAAAGGCTATGTATGAAGTGGCACTAGGAGTTTAGTTACTACTGTGTTGACGTCAAGAAATCTTATAGCGATCCATCTCTCAAGTGACGATATCCCCCTTCACATGAGGGCTAGCTAAGCTGAATACCTACCTACCTAGGTACCTAACCTACGTTGAAACTCTTGCCAATGCCCCAGACACGCGAAAGAGTCAGGAGAGGTGCCATCTGCTAGGTACCTACAGGTACCTAAGCTAATAGACATCAGAGCCTCACTAGGAATTAGGTAGTATTATAGAGTCGAATTAGAGTTCTGACGAGTAGATTATACGATCTAATTGGATCGATCTGTGTATGGAACCCCCTTAAAATACGCCATTTCGCCCAGCAAAGCCCCCTGTCGCCGCGGGCTAACTCCACGATCCTAAGCATGGATAAACATAGGTTGGGTAGGTACCAGCTACTCCACAACATTGAGTAGCTCGAATATCTACCCAGAAGTAGACAGAATAGTTAGCAGCGACCAGTGGGGTTGTCTTGGGATCCGCCAGTAAATAGCAGCAACTGTGATCGACCGCTTTCATGATGCTGCGACGAGGCCCACGCTACAACCCGGCCTGCTCCTTCTCTCCGGTGGTAGCCGTAGCAGGGTGAGCGTCATGTTCTGCAGAACCTTGCCTGATGGAACAGCAGTACCCTTAGTTGGAACAGAGCTCGAGATGTACGAGCGTAAGCTAGATAAAAGGATACAGAGCCCAACTGTTATTAGTGCTAGGTACTCTTGCTTTTTGTCTAGGTGCTTAACCCCTTTCGTAGAGAAGATAGCTTATTCCAAGCTCTAAACACTCAGCCCCTGTCCTAAACGAAGAAAGAAAAAAAGAAAGAAAAGAAAAAAGATATGAGAAATATCCGGTTTCCGCTATTCCACCTACTATGTAACCAGTCTATCCCGCCCCGTCCTCCTCCTCCCATCCCCATCTCCACTATCCGACCCCTTCTCCACCCAAGGCAGCACCAACTGCGCCTCCTTATCTCTTGTCCCTCGGCACGACGTCACACCTCCGGTTCCTCCTTTTTCTTCCTTCTTCCCCGGCGGGGAGGAGGAGGGACCGTACCTTAGGTATGTAATAGCCCCGCGACAACAACAACAACAATTTCCTACTATCGATGGTCGTGTCGTGGCGAACCAACACGGCCTAAATAGCGTTAGATACATACCTACCTAACCTAACCTAAGGTGCCTAAGGTACCACTTTGCGCGTCCCCGCTCCGCTCCGACGGGACTTGGGTCGTCGTGTCGTGACGTGGCGGGCTGCGCGGACCGACCGCCCGCGACTCCGGTGGGAAACAGTAGGTTAGGTACCTACCTATGGGTATCTCAGGCAACGTCCGTGATCGCTACGGGGGCGGTGTTTACTCGTGCCGAGGGAGGGAGGCGAGGGTGAGGGTGGATATAGGTAGATGTGGTGATTCTGCCGTGACGACGAGGGGGTTTCCCGTGAAACACAGCAAGGCTATTTATTATGTAGGAGGTAGTTAGCCCCTAGATACCTCAGGTACCTAGGTAGGTATACATCGTTCAAATACTCACCCCGCCCCAGCTCTTGTCCTTTCTTCAATAACAACGGAATGATATTATATGGGTAGGATAGAATGAACGGCCTATTTAATCGTAGCCTTACCTAGGTAACCTTACTTATCCTGAGGTTGCGTATACAAGTAAGTTAAGTACCTGTAAGTATCGCGAATGGGAGCTTGTGCTGATGGCGGCGAGTTGGGCGGTTGCTACGTTGAGAACTGCACGGCGCCGAACAGGACACTTCCGGTGAGACTACTCTAAGAACGTGCGCTTCCTGCATATTGCGGCTGGTCCTTCTACCATTGCGCTAGGTCGACGCCGATTGGAGTGAGGTATAGGAGGGATTAGTCCGCTGACGCGATATGGCATTGTTGTTTTTTTGCCCCCCCATCCCAGGTTTTCTTTTCAGCTACCTGCCTAGGTATGTTCTGGCTTCGTTTCGGACGTGTTTTAATGAATGAGTATGGGCGGAGGAGACAATGGCGAGAAAAAAAATAGAGCTTGTGGAAATACAAGGGGGAGGGGGGGCAAGAACCTATTTATCATATATCTTGAGTGGACATAGGAAACTTCAATAGGCCGCCGGAGTTCAAGTTACTCCTCGAAATAGCCTTGATATATTATGACCACACCAGGAAAACGCCGATTGGAAATACTAATGCATAAATTCATTGGGTTCTTAGTAGACGCCTTGCTCCTAGTCTCACCCGGCCACTAACATCCTCGGGACAGAGGTTTGCGGCAGACAGAAATGAAGACATAGCAGCTAACTATAGACACATACCTTCCTTCGATCATGTACTTCATGCTGGTAAGGGAAGCTTAACATAGCTGACATAGTAGATATGTGGATTCGTCTACTGTTTGCCAAGTATTCTCTGAGAATGCAGCCCCTATTCCGCGAGATCATACAGAAATGCATAGTGATCCAATTAAAACTCGAAGATAAGTATGTTGTCCGATTAAGTATTACACTTAAACTATACTGATCTAAATGACATATATATGAAGAGAAGCTCAAACCATACTTCGCATCTCAGATAAAAGGTCTAGTTGACGGCTGGTAAGGTCCGTGGTTAGTTCCATGGTAGTCTTCGAACTCGACCGCTTCTCTAAGTGGATCTGTACCCATAGGTAAACCAGGAACTCGCGCTTGGGGCCTCATTCGAAATTTCGGTTCGTGCTCGTAACTTTGTATTCCATTATTCCATATTTCATCACCCTGCAGCTCATTACCCTGTAGCTCATTCAACTTTCGCTCGTCGCTCTGCAGCTCAATGGGTTGCGAATCGGCCTTCCGTCTTCTCGACCGAAATACGAAGAACGCTATAGTTAGTGATATAATAATACCGAAAGCAACGCCACATCCTATCGCAGCCTGGACTCCGGCTGATAAACCCGGCCTGTTCGATGATTCTGTTGGCGACGTCGGCGGTGGGAACATTTGTATTGACATAGTAGATGTAGTAGATGTCGTGCTGCTGCTGCTGGTAGATGTGCCGATGGCTTCCTCCGTGATACTAGGGAGGTCGGTGGCCTGGTGGTTAAGCTGGAATAATGGGGCATAAACTGTGAAAGTCGAAATGACATGAACAAAGCTAGCATCGACCGCAGCGTAAGGTATCGTTACGTATTCAAAATGCGCGCTGGTCCCAGATTCGCACGTTACAGTCGGGACTGTAGTCGAGGTCAACGTCGTGATGCACGTTTGGCCAGAATCATGCCGGGAGCAAGCATATCCTCTTTTAATAATCTCAGTATCGAGTCCCAAGAAAGGCTACTTTGACCTACGGCGGACAACAGCCTACGACTGTTTCTGATTCCTCCGGACTGAAGTAAAAGTTGAAGTCTCCTGTCTTCTTCGCGCCATTATATGAGCAAGCCGTGGTGTAGCCCTGAGGACATACGAGTCCTGGTGAATATAAACCCCAAGCAAAAAGAGGTTGTGCCGGTGTCGTTGCTCCAAGGGTCCTCGGCGGCCAACAGGATAATGCGTCTTGAACTTGATCACCGTTACGGCATGTCTGGGCCTGCCAAGCGAGAGAGCATGTTTTACAAGCAGCAACCGCGATATTACAAGCTGGCGGCGGTGTCCAAGTTGTCGTCAATGGTCCTAATAGTATTGAAGCCACGCTTGAAGTCATGTTATCGAGCTCAGAAGCCAATGGATTATATTAGAGATAAGAGGCATATAGAATAGAACAAGGAAAAGATGTACAATCATAATTGATAGAAAGAAAAATCAGAGGAAAGGTGCCGGGACGGCGAGAAGGAATTCGTGCATGTTATCTTTCATGATCCGCAAACCACCAAAGTACTCAATGGACATATAATAAGCAAGGTAAGGATATTTTGCTTGGCTTAGGATCATGTAAAACCTATTGAGGCGCTTCAGAGCTCAGCCTGCTTTATTTTCTGTATCGACTATTGGACTGGTGAGTAGCTGTGCAGTTTCTAGTATAGTGGTAAATGGATGTAAGACGGCACCGCACCATCTGAAAGAATTATCGCAGCCCTATGGCTATGGATTGAACAAGGTACCGAGTTGTTCAGCCGCACCCGAATTAGAAAATACTACTCTTACTAGGTACCTTATATATGATATATTTGGTATCGGCGTATATCCATAAAGTTTCAGAATTTGGAGACCTATCATATTATATTCTTCGATTGGATCAGAATAGCCTTAAATGGGCCTCAGCCTTATGAGTTGACTTCAGGGGTTCTGATATAGGACTACTAACATCTTGAAGTCCGTTGTTCATTCTTTAGTTAGGGAGCAACCTAATTGCGATGGACTGGGTATAGCATTCTCAAAGCGTTTGAAAGACGTGCGTTAAAATATATTGATCAAGTTATTAATTTTAGATCTCTTAATACTATTTCTGTGAAACTAATGTTTATTCTTTTGATCGGTGCTCGAGGTATGTTAGTGTGAGAATATGTTTTACAGAAGTTTGAAGGACACATTGGCTAGAGGTTAGGTGTTGAAGTACCAAGCCAGTAAGGATAAGTACCTCTCGGGTCAGATATCGACATGGCTCAGCTTACTAATAAAGCTTACCTAAAGTACAGGGTAAGGTAATCTGTGTATATCGATCTTATCGATATAACTCTATCGGTCTACTTTTAGGTAAACCGTAGGTACTTTGTGCACGTACCTGATGTACCTTAAGGTAACCGACCCAATAGAAACAAATGCTAAACTCCATCACCGCCTACTTGATTTAGACAAGGGCAAGAACGCCTTATTATCGATCTTGGATCTGAGGTAGCGCGTTGCTAAGGCTAAAAGTAAGCTCCAGACTCCAGACTCCATACAACAACACCGTTAGCTATCTCATACCTCATATATTCTCTTGACACTTATTAATCCAACCTTACCCAGGGGTACATATTATCGCATTCAATAAACCCGAGCAATCTCTTGGTGCTTCTATTTACACCTTTTTATTCATGCAAACTACACTTGGTCTTCTTACTTACCTAGGATCAGTGATAGCTTCCTGAATTTTCCAACTTCACCTTTCTAAGGTTGCATTCTATTAGGTAGCCTATCATGTCTACAGTTACCTCCACAGCGCTTCAGAGCGCCTACCCTCCCATAATCCCTCTCTCCTTCAACTCCAACCAGCCAAACACCATCCGATTATACCCCCTTTCCAACTATACATTCGGAGTCAAGGAGACGCAACCAGAGGAGGACCCTTCTGTCATAGCCCGGCTGAAGCGCCTCGAGGAACACTACAACGCCCACGGCATGCGTCGCACCTGCGAAGGCATTCTCGTTTGCCACGAGCACAACCACCCTCACATCCTCATGCTGCAGATCGCGAATGCCTTCTTCAAATTACCTGGCGACTACCTTCGACCCGAAGACGACGAGATCGAAGGATTCAAGTCACGACTGGACGAGCGACTGGCCCCAGTCGGTAAGCTAGGCGAGGGCGAGGAACCGGCCAACTGGCAAGTCGGAGACTGTCTCGCCCAGTGGTGGAGACCAAACTTCGAGACTTTCATGTATCCTTTCATCCCCGCGCACGTCACGCGACCGAAGGAATGCAAGAAGCTTTACTTCATCCAGCTTCCCAAGAGCAGTACGTCAAGTCGCCCCCATCTACCCTCGCGTATAAGATTTAGATTGCTAACCATTTAATCTAATCTCATCTAATCTAGAGGTCCTAAGTGTACCCAAGAACATGAAGCTACTAGCCGTGCCGCTTTTCGAACTCTACGATAACACCGCCCGATACGGCCCCCAGCTCTCTGCCATCCCCCACCTTTTGAGCCGATATAACTTCGAGTTCGTCAACGAGCACGGCGAAGTGGTCGCTGCCACGCCTGGAGCTGGGCCTGAGGCCTTCAATCTCAAGACCAAGGTCCTTGCCGGAGGCGACGAAGACATGAGGGACGCCAAGGAAGAGAACGACACCAACTAGTTTTTGTTGTAGTTATTTGACCATCGCACGTCCACAAACAAAGCATTATAACCTCTAAGAAGGAACCATCGCATGGAAAAGCGAGTCGGTATTTCTGGAAACGGGAAAGTCTAAGGTTATTATGAAAGAAATTAATCTTTTGGCCCTGAGTCTCCCAAGGTCAGGGCAGTATGAGGAGACAAAGCTCACGAAGGCTGTTTTCGGGTACTACATAGCTCGCCGCCTCATGTACACCTAATACTTTTTGCATTGGAACAAGGCGCGACAAAAGGGCGTACGGCGTACAAATTAGATCGCGACCTTGTATGCTAGGATCTTCCGAAAAAAGACAAAAAAATGAAATGGAAGACACAAGGTGTCTCTTGTTATTAATTCTAGCCGAATTCATGCCTTTTCGCCTTGGATAGTTGCTACCACCTTTCTCGTATGTCTCATATCTCGGAACTCCAGATACCAAATCCCTTGCCATGTCCCCGTTGCCTTGTAGAAGCTGATTAGCCAATTCGTCCTCCGGAAGTATCACATAACAGTTAGAGTAGGAACTGCACGACTTACCAGCTTGCCATCTTTTATGGGAATTGTAATGCTCGCGCCGATCAGCGCCGACTTGATATGTGCCTTTATTTTCATAGTTTTTTTTGTTAACATTTTACTGCGCCCCTCTTACTCTCTCTCTCTATTATCCCTTCTATCACACACAGACACATAGAACGACGTGCTCTCTAGACTGAATGGAACAAAGAAAGGAAAAAAAAAAAAGAAAACCTACCGGCATATCATCGCTCCCCTCAGCGCTATGCCTATATAAGTCCTCGCCCTTGGGCCCGGCCTCGGGGGCGATGCGGTCGAGCGCGTCGGACATGTCGGCGCGGACGTCGTCGTCCCAGTTCTCGTTGAGGCTCAGCGCGCAGCTCGTGTGCTGGACGAACAGGTTCAGCAGGCCGACCTTGTAGCCGCGGAGCTCGGGGAGCTCCTTGACGACGTGGTCCGTCACCAGGTAGGAGCCGCGCGAGCGCGGCGGGAGCGCGAATTGCTTCTGGAACCAGCCTGACATGGTTGGGGTTGGTGGGGTGGATGATGATGATGACGAACCCGAACCCGGACTAGGACTAGGACTAGCGGATACTGGAGAAGAGGTGGAAGAAGAAAATGGATACAGGTACGCGAGTGGGAGGGTGGATATGTAGTGGAATAGTCCCGGGAAGAAAGCTACGAGGAGCACGAGTAGGAAGAACAGGGTGAAGAAGTTGTGCGAAAAAGACGATGTGGATGCGGATGTGATGGTGGATGACGGCATAGCGACAGCCTGTTGGTTGTTACTTGCAGCTTTGGTGGGGGTGTTTTTTTTCCTTCTCCCCTGTGGATTCAAGTTCAATTGGAGATTATTAGGCTGGTTGTACCCTTTGTCTCTAATTCCGGTATGCAATATTTGTCGGATTACCTAACGTTAGGCTAGGTACCTACCTAATCCAACCAATGAATGAAGGCGCATATATAAGTCCGTTAATAAAGGGTTCAGCAAGATGAATATAATACTTTTTTGTTGTGCCTTTACCGGTGACCTCATGAAGCATCATTATAAATGCTTGGAAAGGTAGGTAGTTAGAAATAATGTGTACATAGTTTGATCGGTACTCCTTTCGACCTGAGTAGACCTGAGAATTGTATAATAGGTTAGGTAGTATCAATTCAGCGCCACCCTATGGTTATCACTCGACAGTGGAATATCTATCTTTATGCAAGAGGATACGACGTCTTCGGTAGGGATTCGAGATGTTCTCTGTGGTGTTCGTTTGCCTGGATGCATTTATTAGATATTTCCCTCATAACCAAACGCCTCTACCTGTCATTTCTCTGGGAAGGATATGCAATCTTGTTTTATATGTTATGAGAGATGGAAACTCACAAATGGAGAGCCGCAGTAGTTGCAAGTGGCAATTTCCGGCTTGTCTGTGTTGATGAAGATTCTGGGATGTCCTGCCGGGCCACCTCCGCCGTCGCACGCTACTACTCGGTCGTGAGTCCATTGGACGGGTTTCTTGTGGATGAGCTCGATAGCTGCTAACGGTTGAGGCTAATAATCACCCGTTAGCTACAGCCCATACGTAGAGTCGTAGAACAAGCGTTGTTGTCGTTGCTGTTGCTGTTGTTGCTGTGCAATCTTACTTGGAGGGAGAAATCGGTCTGTTCGAATCTTGGACCTTGCATAGCCATAGCCCTGGGCCTCTGACTCCTCGACCAGGTCTCCAATCGGTTCGGACTCTGTGGCAAGCCTCTCTCCTGGTTCTCGACGACTCCCAACGTGTCCTCCTCGCTTTTCGTTTCGGGGGTAGTCTCGCCCTTGACGGCGATCGGGTTCTTGGTGTCAAGAAGGCGGGCGGAGACCGCGAAGGTGCGTTGAGTCGCACATGCTCGCTGAGGGAGCTGTAGGGATTTCCGAAGAGCCGCTCGCGAAAACATCGTGACTTATTGGCGGTCGTCAATTGAGGCGACCGATGTGTTAGAAGTTGTAGAAATTATTGATGATTTAAGGTTGGAGAGTTATTATTAGCTGCCCGTCGGGATTTACTAGTACCTATGTACCAATGTACTCGGCCGCCTGGAGCTCGGGCCACTTCGAGAACCAGACTGCCAGGTTTGAGAGAATTCACGTACCTTAGGTAATCAGCTAAGGTCGAAGTACTTATGTATCTTTTTAACAGGAGGTACATTATACATGAACCAGTAACAAACAGTCTTGCTACTTTTTTTTTTCCCTCTTCAACCATCTCGACCCTCTTTTGCGACGCGCCCTTATTACACACCTGGTATATTTATACTTATCGGCGCTTCTTAGATTTAACGACGACGCTAAATCCATCCTACCTTTAGATCCAATTCATATAACTACCTAAAACTTGGCTCGAGAAAATTCGTAGAGTTACGACAAGATGGCGACGCCGACGCCAACCAAAAGCATGTCTTCGAGACTTCTAACTATGAAGTTCATGCAAAGAGCTGCTGCTTCGCCCTCATCCCCATCCCCCGCCGCGTCAACTCCAGACTCCCAATCCTCAAAGCGACGTAAGGTGTCGCACGACTCTGCGAAACGTGATAAAACCGAAGCGCTGGTACATATAGATCAAGCCGCGATACAAGCCGCCATTGCTGAGGGAGAGAAAAAGCGCCAGGAAGCCCTGGTACAACATGCTGCCGAGTTGGGAGATGCGCATTGGGTACTTGACGTGCCAGAAAAGACAACAAATTCTAACCGTGGAATACAAACACCTTTGAATGTAGTTCAAGTTGGCTTTGCACAGATTGATTCCCATATTGATACCCCTGATGCTGCTGGCTCTGGTGACTTTGAATCAACTGACGCCTCGGAGGTAAGAACCTCCGCGGTTAGACGGTACAATATGGATAAGAAAAAGGTGAGTTCCGATTTCCTATCCTCTTCCTATGCTGTCTACTTATATACGATTTCCCCTGTTCGTGCAACTTACCCATCTACAGGTGTCGAAGGACAGCGAGTCTGAAAGTGATGATTCTAGCTCCGGGTCAGATTCTGACGATTCTTCGGAAGATGGTAATGGGCGAGGCCGACAATCTTATGGGCAAAGGTCAGATTCACGATCGGGGTCATCTCGTCCGACCTTGAAAAATAAGAGAAGCGCCGAACAGATCAAAGCTAAGCAGTTTGCTGAGAAACGGAGAAAGAAGGAGGTCAAGTTGAATAGTGTTAAGGCATCTCCTGCCTCCGGTGGCCCATTATCAATCTCGGGAGGCGGCACTCCACAGCGACAGCCCATGAACTTCACATGTCATCGCTGCGGCAAGCCGGGGCATAAAATTGCACAGTGCAAGAATACCCCCAAGCGATCAAACTAAAAGTCCACGCATGATATCCCCTCGCAAGCATTATATAGAATGGTATGTGCTAGCCCTTCGTTTTTAGATGTGACTTCACTCTCAGGGCTAAGGCAAGTACATCGGAGGCATCGCTACCTGAGCGGTTTTGCTCTTTACTATAAAATTCCTAGTGTCAACACGTTCTCTAGACGTGGCAACTCTATCGAATCGGATAGATCTACTGAGTAGAGCAAACAAAAAGCAGGACACTTATGTGTTTGCCTCAGCTCCTTTGGCCAGGCTAGTTAATGCTTTTTATGCGTTGGCCTCTAGGATGGACTTGACACGCAAAATTAGAAGAGGTACTACATGAGGTTAATCACTATCACTTATTGCTATGGGTAAATCCACTCTCGGGAAGAGACGTGGTGTCGATACCCATGTTGTCTTGACCATATTCAGAGCCCTTCGGTCAGACCGATGAGGCAAGGTCGTCGCAAGCGAATCTATACATATTCTCGTATTGAATTATGAATTGTCTCGTGCTCATGAGATATAGGGGGCGAAGGGCTGACTGTATGAATCGTAGTGCAACCTCGATCTACGCTGTACACATCCATCGTAACACTGAATACAATGCAAGTTTCCGTACTGATCAATCTCAACTCATACCATGCTACATGTCTGTAGACTACCTAAATGCACAATCAACACTTTCAACCTCGCAGAATAGATACATCCCCGGCGGCAGCAGGTTGGCAAGCAGCATGAAACCTTTTCCCCAGATGATGGCGTCTTATGACGAGACCCAGTAAAATTGCTGCATGTTTAAACGTGTATTCGGAACACCTACTTCATTTCGCTCCAGTTCAGTTCGGTTGGCTTTTATACGACAGCATGGGACGGCGGAAGCGCGAGTTTCAGCGGGACATGCGTGATACTTGGACACGCGTCGGGGTTTATGAAAGCGTCATTGGATACGTTCTAGGGCACCAGCCATCCAAAGCCAGATGCAAGCGGGCTATATACCGGCAGATATTACATGACACCTTCATGATGATGTACAAGCACTCCACTTCCTACGTATATGCCAGAGCTGTCATGTAGTAGGAGGGCTAACAACACCGGCCCGAGACCGAAGCGAAGCATATCGAATTTTAAGCTCCTAACGGCCGCGCGGTTCGTGCGACATACGGGTCCAGACAGCGAGATTGTAGCACCTGGTACAAGTTGGTGTGCGGATTTACGGCATGAATACAATAGATACCAGCTTGTCCTCACTAGCATAGGAACGATAGACCAGCTCATTCGGATTCACGAAGAGGCAAAGAGAAATCTTAGACAACATGCACGTTTCTCCTATGTATGTTACCATAATGCAATGTAAGTGCCTAAGGCAGGTAGTCCGATTTACTGTACACGTCTGAATGAAGATATATATTATATAATATAACGACTTCTTGTTGGGCTGAAGAAGAACAAGGATCTTGAAGGGAACCAACCGGAAATATTTCAGACATACCCGGGACTTTGATTTGCGGCGATCCATGCAGAAACGTGGTAGACCGTAGAGGATACGTAGGATAAGTTTTTTTTTGTTTAAGCTTCGATTACGATCTGATCGGATGGTCCTCCTATTCGAAAACCATCTCTCTTGCTTCATGTACGCTAGGTTAGGTAGGCGTAGGTATGCGATGCAGGGTAGTAAAAACTAGTGACGCCTTCTCGTATTCTGATATCGCGTGGTAGGTAGCATCTACGCTGTTAGGGAAGAGAAGAAGAGACGAGCCTTGTCGCCGAACTTGTTGAGGTCCCACAAATGGCTTTACCCGCACCCAGGATGTTATATCAAAGCTGAAGATGATCAATAGTTTATAGCCCTAAGCGCGACTCTACCTCGACCGAGAAATGATCATCGTACCAACACATGGCTAGTCTAGATACGCATAAGTAAAGCCGTCTCCCCCTATGTAGTATTCCCCCTATTTTACATTCTACCTATTCTACAATACAGAATCAGTCTACCTTGGAATCGTTTGTTAGAACACCCCACCTACGGCTATGGGTTATGTATATTAGGAGGTAGGTTAGGTAGTCTTAACTCAACCCTTCACGATAAACCCTTTTACATGTTTAGTGGTATTAGGAGATAAGTTGGATGGAGGACTTTTGATTTGCAAGAAATAATTAATAATCGAAATGACCTTAGACTTATTGGTTGTTTGGCCCCAAGGGTTCTCAAAAGCAAGTAGTTTATCCCTCTTCTCGTCTACTATTCGCCAATTTCATCTAAGAAGATGACGCTCTTCCCGACAATTCGAGGCCTTTTTTTTATAAAAAAAAAAAAAAATCGAGATTGGTTAATCGTCGCCTATCCTTGGTAAAGATGTGGGCTAATTTCTGACTTGGTACCCAAACGGAAGCTGATACAATAGTTCGGCAAAATTGCTATATTATAACCTTTACCCCCCCTTGAAGTAGGTATGGCTCTGATGCATCCCAACTTTGACAGGTACCTAGATACCTGTAGTAGGTAGGTAGATGACTCATTTTATATCTGCATAAACCACGATACCTTCATACGTCCCACCTTTAAATTCTTGGTATCCAAATACTAGATACATGACATGTATTGTACCGCACCTTTACCTGGCAGGTAGATGTGCACGTAAGGTAAAAAGGTAAGGTGCACCCGTGCGGACAAGCCGACCCCTCGACCCTGTTCCCCCACATTCCTCCTCTCCTGGTTTCTGGCTCTTGACCTACCTACCTTAACACACTCACTTATCATCATTGCTGTTCACCATACCTACCTTTTTATTTTTATTATTATTTTTTCTTTTTTTGTATTGTACCTCTATACAAACATACATAGGGTGAGGTGTGCTTAGCTCATTTTGCCAACTATATCCGCGTTGGCTAGTTGGTCGCAACATTTTTCTTTTCTTTTATCTGATGTGTTTTTGTTTTCCTCACCCTTGATTTCTTCTTCGCCTCTATTATCTCGTACGGTACAGATATATAAAAATTTAAGCCACGGATACATACCTATTTGCCTACCTATATATCTATATTGTAATACATGCTTTCCAACATTTAGTAAGACATATATAGCTTGCTTGCTTACCTTTTAAGTAGAGTGGACGTACAATATTTGGGTATATACCTACATCCCCATCCCCATCCTATTAGATCTACATAATCTCATACCTACATACCTACCTCTTGCCTATGTAGGTATATAAAATATATACCTTAGGTATACATGTATGTTCTATGTCTTCTTCGGCTTTAGCCTTCCGGTCGCCTTCTGCATCTCAAAAATTTTCCATTTTCCCAACGCACCTCTCCTATATTATCTTAAAGCCGGATCTAATAATTATCTGGATGTCTGGGCAGTGATGAAACCTTGTCTGATTCAACAACAACAACCGCCGCGCTGCAAGGAGTACGTCACCGACCTCGGATTTTTGCAACGAACATCACTCCGTCCTTTCAGACCCAGGGGTCCGACCCCAGACCGCATTTCACTAACGCTAGGTACGTATGCGTTGGGTAGCTACAGAGCCATACCTCATCGACTAGTTTTTTAATGAGGAAGTCGTCTATTACCCACAGTGTCTTGTACTGACTTCCATCCCACCCTCCGCTCTTCTCAACACTGGGCCCTTGTCACTGGCCCGTTTTCACGTCACCTGCTCAGTTTCTGCGCAGTTGACTGCTGCAGCACATATTATCGTATCTTGCGCACATATTATTATGAAATCCTCTCAAGCACTGTTCTAATTGCGGCCCAATCGTAGGGTCTCAACTATCTCGCCATCGGCAATTCGAATATCAAGTTCAGCTCTCCTAGCTAAGATCCGAGTCCAGCTCTTAATAAGTAAGTACCTAATTAAGCATGCCAGGCCTACAACGTACATGAAGTCCCCATGAAATCACAAGCCTCCCCTCGTCGACCCATCTCTCTACTGCACCAGTTCCTTTAGAATCTATCCATCCCATGTTAATGTTCTTCAGCTCCCGCACTCCGGGTCAAGGGTAACCTTGTCGCTAAACTACGGTCTCGTTTGTATTACTATATACTCGAGTCCTGGTCACAGCACAAGAGCAAGGAGCGGGAGACTATAGTAAATGCCCGAGCTTATATATTACTTCTGGACACTAATTGATACTTAGAAGAACGCATCGCATCTCTTATCATCTCACTGTTCGGTAACCCGATTTACCCGTGGTCAACAAGCCTTCTTCGTCCAGAGAATTGTTTCACAGTCACGCTAGTTATTGCTAAGCTGTAGCATAGTTACTGACTAGGTTACAAAGTCCTTCTTAGAGTGACAATAGCCAAGCATCTCCGAAGTGAATAGAAGGTTTCCGTTGCATATCGGCAAGTGTGGCGAGTGACTAGGACTGCGGGCCGATTCGTGGCACTCCGAACGCCGTGCTACGAACCGACTTAAATAGGCAGTCGTTCTAGACGGTTGCTGAACAGGAACTTCCCGGACAGAAATCGAAGCCAATTCCTTCTACATTAAACTTCTTCCCAATCCTCTGGAAGAACCTAGTCCTTGTCTCCGTCTGCGCTAGCGTCTCCACTGGAAGGCGATTTCCACAGACACTACCCTGGCAGCCCGTCCTATCTTTCGACGTCTGGATAAAACTCGTACGCTCATCCGCCATCGGCTGAAGTCCCCCTTTCCCGCCCAGGTCTTCCGAGCTGGGTGTTTCTTAAGACCCTTACAATATTTGGCGCCTCCCCTGGACCTCGTGTCACGAGCCCACCATACTCTCCTCGCCGTTCCTAAATCCTTCGCCGTAAGCTGCACAATGTCGCAGGACACAGCTGCGTTAGGCGTCGTGATGCGGGACCACCTGCAGCCGCCAGTCGAGCGCGTTGCCGACCAGTTGGAGGTTCCTTCGCTGGACGACCGCACATATCGTGTTATACGCTTACCCAACCAGCTTGAGGCTTTACTAGTCCACGATCCCGAAACGGATAAGGCCAGTGCCGCATTAGATGTCAATGTCGGCAACTTCAGCGATGAAGATGACATGCCGGGTATGGCCCATGCCGTGGAACATGTAGGTCACGTCGGACAAGATCCAATCTAAACCCTTGCTAATAAGACGAATTCCAGCTTTTATTCATGGGTACGAAAAAGTACCCAGTAGAGAATGCGTATAACGTTTATCTCTCTTCTCACTCGGGGAGCTCGAATGCTTACACCGGAGCCACTTCGACGAATTACTTCTTCGATATTGCTGCGAAGCCGAGCAATGGCGAGGAACCCTCCGAGACGAATCTCTCTCCCCTTTATGGTGGCCTGGATAGGTTTGCTCAGTTCTTCATCGAACCGCTGTTCCTACCGTCGACGTTAGATCGTGAGCTACGTGCTGTCGACTCGGAAAATAAAAAGAACCTCCAGAGCGACCAGTGGCGTCTCCACCAACTCGAGAAGTCTCTATCTAACCCTAAGCACCCCTATCGTCATTTCTCGACAGGAAACTTCGAGGTGCTTAAGACCCTGCCAGAATCTAATGGCATAGATGTGCGACAAAAGTTCATCGATTTTCACGAAAAGCACTACTCTGCAAACAGAATGAAGCTTTGCGTCTTAGGCCGAGAACCGCTTGATGTACTTGAGAGATGGGTTGCCGAGTTATTCTCTGGCGTACCGAATAAGAATCTGCCACAGAATCGTTGGGAAACCGAAGTGCCGTTCCCTAAAGAGCTACTATCCATGCAATGCTTTGCAAAGCCAGTTATGGATTCCAGAGAGCTGAACCTCTATTTTCCGTTTTTGGACGAAGAGTACCTTTACGAAACTCAACCGAGCCGATACATTAGCCATCTGATAGGCCACGAGGGCCCTGGTAGTATAATGGCGTACCTAAAGTCGAAGGGATGGGCCAATTCACTCAGCGCTGGTGCATATCAAATATGTCCAGGCACTCCCGGTATTTTTGACTGTCAGATCCGCTTAACGAAAGAGGTAAATTATTCAAATTCATTGAAAAAAAAAATCAATTACTAATATTCTAATGTAGGGCCTGAAACATTATAAAGAGGTCGTCAAGGTGTTCTTCCAGTACGTATCACTTCTCAAGCAGACGCCGCCTCAAGAGTGGATATTCGAGGAGCAGAAGGGCATGGCGGATGTGGACTTCAAATTTAAACAAAAAACACCAGCCAGCCGCTTCACAAGCAGAATATCCGCCGTGATGCAAAAGCCATTACCTCGAGAATGGCTACTCAGCGGTCAAAGCTGCCTCCGGAAGTTCGACCCAGAAGCCATTGTTAAGGGCGTGCAACTGTTGAGACCCGACAACTTTAGAATGACCATCGTATCTCGAGACTTTCCGGGAGGTTGGGATCAGAAAGAGAAGTGGTACGGGACGGAGTATAAGGCTGAGAACATCCCTGAGGATTTTCTAGTCGAGATTACCAAGGCCTTAGAGAGTACCTCAGAAGACCGCCTTCCCGATCTACATCTTCCGCACAAAAACCAATTCATCCCGACAAAACTCGAGGTAGAGAAGAAAGAAGTTGAACGGCCAGCACTAGCGCCTCGGGTGATTCGAAATGACGAAGTTGCGAGAACCTGGTACAAGAAGGACGACACGTTCTGGGTTCCGAAGGCAAATTTGATCGTCAGCATTAAAAACCCGATCATATTTGCTTCGGCAGATAACTCTGTCAAGTCGAAGTTGTTTACGGATCTAGTACGAGATGCACTAGAAGAATACTCATACGACGCCGAACTTGCTGGATTGCAGTACAATGTGAGCCTTGATTCTCGGGGGTTGTTTGTTGATGTGTCCGGCTACAACGATAAACTGCCTGTATTATTGGAGCAAGTTCTCATTACGATGCGAGACCTTGAGGTCAAGGACGAGCGTTTCGAGATCATCAAGGAGAGGTTGACTCGTGGCTACAAGAACTGCGAGCTACAACAGCCTTTTACGCAAATCGGTGACTACGTCTCGTGGCTGACTTCGGAGCACGACTACGTAGTCGAGCAACTCGTAGCGGTGTTGCCAGAAATTACGGCCGAAGACGTAAGACAATTCTACAAGCAGATAATGTCACAGCTGCACATTGAGGCTTATGTCCACGGAAACGTATATAAGGAGGATGCGCTCAAGTTGACAGACATGATCGAAAAGATACTAAACCCCCGAGTTCTACCGAAGGAGGAGTGGCGTGTCATTCGATCATTAGAATTCCCTCCAGGGTCAAACTATGTCTTCAAGAAGACCCTCAAGGATCCCGCGAATGTCAACCACTGCATCGAGTACTACCTCCATATAGGTGATAAAGGAGATCGCATGATTCGTGCAAAGACACAACTTCTGGACCAAATCATTCACGAACCAGCTTTTGATCAACTTCGGACAAAAGAGCAACTTGGCTACATTGTCTTCAGTGGCCTTCGAAGTTCGGCTACTACGTACGGATTTCGCTTTATCATACAGAGCGAACGCACTACCGAGTATTTGGAATCTCGAATCGACTCATTTCTGGCTGCACAGACAAGCTCTCTGGAGAACATGAGCGACACGGACTTTGAGAGCCACAAGAGAAGTGTGATAATCAAGCATCTTGAGAAATTGAAGAACCTGGATCAAGAGACGGGTCGTCACTGGACGCACATAAGCACTGAGTATTATGATTTTGAGTCAGGTATGGTGTTACCCATTCAATCCTATGCGTCACCACAAACAACTAACAGTATTTGCAGCTCAGCGAGACGCAGCCCAAGTTAAGGAACTTACGAAGTCAGAGATGATAGAGTTTTACTCGACCTATATCAGCCCGACATCACCGACACGTGCAAAATTGGTCGTACAGCTTATTGCTCAGGGTGTCAGTCCCAAAGTGAAGGAAGTTGAGGAGTCGACCAACGGAGACATAACCACATCTTTGTCGAATGGCACGGAGCCGGTCTTGATACAAAGTGTCCGGGACTTCAAAGCAGGGTTGTCGGCGACAGCAGGAGCTCGTCCGGTTAGGGATATTAGCGACTTTGAGGAGATAGACTCCAAGCTTTGAAACCAAAGTTTTACGAGGAAGCGTTTGGTAGAAATTAAAACGCGGAGTGCTATACCCATCTGTTCTGCATAGCACATTTTTAAAAAGCGTATTTGGTTCTGGGCAAGAAAGACTTATAGCACGGTTAGGTTAGGTACATTTCGAAATGAAGTGATGGTGTAAGTGAGATATAGATGATGCGTTTTCTTAGACCTTCTCTAGAAGTCCAAGTTAGGTACCTCTTTAGGTAGTCTAGCGGGGACAGTCTTATTTTATTATTGGTCGTTGGTTAAGTCAGCGTGCTGCCGGATCCAAAAAAAGAAGAAAAAAAAAAAAGAAAAGAAAACTCGAGACTTGTGTACAATTAGAGGTAGACGCAGAAAAATTAGAGACAATTAGGTAGCTGCTCGGATAGAGGAGATGGGAATCTTTATAGGTAATACAAAACCTTTAAGGTACCTACATGATAGATGACCTATTTTAAAAGTATCTAGGTTAGGAGGTACCTGAGGTAGGTATCCATAGAAAATGGAAATATCTGATGTGAAAACCGAGTGCTTACCTCTAATTGCAGACCTTGAAATGGTGGTTCATGTAAGTCACAGAGGACGGGTATGTACTTGTGAAGCTGTATGTAGCCACCTGCAGCCCCGTAGACGAGAAATAGGGTTATCTAGGTCCAAACTTACTTACTCGTACCTTAGGATCAGCGTTCTTACCTTATAGAATTACTAATGACTAACGCAGTTACTCAGTACCTAGGTACTTAAGGTCGTTCGTTACCTACTGTAATTTGTGGTATGCAAGACTGGTAACAATAACTTGCATGTATTTTTTGTGTCACACATTACCCTTTCCCCCTCTATGCGGTTCTACATAACATCATACATCTATACATGTATACATCATTCATCCAACGCTGCGCTCCACACTCGCCCTGGTTTCTTCATTTATTCCGATTTTGGTGTCAGGTAGGCAGGTACATAACTACTTGGAACCGAACAGCACAGCAAAATTCAGCCCAGCATTAGGTACACTGTTTTATTTTTATTTTTATGTGACAAGGTGAATCTCAAGCCCGGGTTCAACAGAGTTTGCCAATCAGAACTAGTGGCAGGTCTTGGACTTGTTGTGTTGTGCTTCAGAACTGTGCCCTCCAGCTGTGAGTAAGTACCTAACCCGCTGATAAAGTACCTGCTTTTAGGAGCCCTAGGCAGCTAGCAGCGGTACAAGTTCAATACCGCACAACGCTGCTGCCTTCCACCATTGGGGGGACATTTTTCTTGAGGCGAACCCCCAATATTTTTATTTTATTTTTATCTATTATTTTTTTTTTATAAAAAAAAGTACATATTTTGATGTGCATCAGCAGAGGCGCCTACTGACAAAAATTGACCGCTGCACATTTCAGCACAGCAACGCAACATAATTTGCGTGCATCAATCCGAGGCAAAGGAATTCCACCTTTCTTTTTTTTTTTTTTTTTTTTTTTTTTTTTCTTCTTTTACTTTTTCCTTCTTCCCATAAGAAGTAGGAGATTCCGGTGGTTGACTTATTTGGTCTTAATCAGACTTAAACCCCAAATTCACTTTAAACAGTACAGACAAAATCCAGTACCTTTCAAAATTCAATGTCTTGAGGATTTGTCTTGAGGACTTTGTACATGGTAACTCTTTTCTTGACAAGAGGTACCTACCTAGGTACCTAACTATTGGACATCCATTTTACCTTGTCAAAGAAAAAGAGAGAAAAAAAAATTACCTACGTTACGGTCTTATTGTCTGATCGGAAACTCAGGTTTTCCTTTATTTTACAGGTGCACGGCCAACCAATGAACACACACCCTCCCGCGTCAAACGAACAATCATTTAGTGTCTTGTGTAAGATTCCTTCTACACATTTATACGACCTCTTGCTCATAAGCGCAACCTTTCCCCCCTCCATATTACCGCTGATTCCTCCAGAGCTGCTCAAGGCAGCTCGCCGCCAAGACGTCTTCCTCAAAGAAACGGAAGATTACAAACCACCAATTTATTACTAAAGACGACAGCTTAGAAGGTATCAATCCCTCGGACACACCTTTACCATCCTGTGAAATAGACGCCGATCCGAGTTATTCATTCACCTCCTCCTTCGACAACTTAAACGCCGACTCACGCCGTGCCAACTCTCTCCCGCCGGCTTCAAGTCTCCCCCCTCGGCTACAAACCAATACTAGCTCCCTTGGCTACGCCGAATACACCCCATCCGCCGCAAGCTCTCCCTCCGGTGCCTGCGCTGCGCTAACCATCGACAGCGATTGTGGTCTCGACAACGCAGCCCCCGAATTTGCCTCCGCCTCTTCTTACCTATATTCTGGAAGGGGCAGCTCACCATTTACCAAAACTACCTATCACCGTGCCGTCATGGGCGGTGCTGCTGAATTTCCAGACAGAGCTTCTTCCCCGCTAAAACGACGCGCTTCCAGCATGGAACCTGATATTGCAGACCAAGATGCAGCTGAAGATGTCGACATGATTGCTGCACCGCCGTCCAACGTACAAGAAGCACCCAAACCCGAACAACCTAACGGTCACATTGCAACCAATGCAGGTCCCGCAGTGAATGGCCATGATGCTGATGCAACGGCCGAGGAAGCAGTTCAGCCAATGGATATATCACCAAGTAGGTCCATCATACGCAGAGTTAAGCGACACAAGCTAATTTCACAAAATCAAGCACGGCAACCACCGGAATCCATAGAGGCACACGTAAAGGCCATCAGAGCATTTGTGGAAGAGCAGAATACACGCCCACTCACAGAAGGCCAGGAGTGTTTTTTGGTCTCAAAATCATGGCTGGCTAACGTACCGGATGATTTATCACCAAAACACACCATCGAAGATTGGGCCTCAATACCACCAGTGGACAATACGGACATCATTTTAGAGGTTATAGATGACCCATGTGTTGGAAGCGGTGTGGATGATGTTCTGAAGAAAAAGTTTGTGCGGTTGAAGCCAGGTTACGATTCCGAGCAGTTTGAGCCTTTTCCAAGAGATGCCTGGGATCTACTTATGATATGGCCCGGATTGAAGGAGGGCCAAATACCTATCCTCCGTTTGGCACACGCTACAACAGATGATGGCAAAAATGTCATGTGGGAGTGGCATCCGCCCGTACTTACCATGTATCGACTTTGGTCTGCCATCAGCGAGTTGCCGATCGATGCAGCTATGAAGGCTACAAATCCACCGCCTGCGAGACTTGTGCGAAGTCGCTCAACAAAGTTTCAGACTTTCCTAAAACAGGCGAAAAGAGTTACTGGAATAGACTTGTCACAGAGAGTTCGAGCTTGGAGCGTTTTACAGCCACCTGTTGGCCAGACATCAGGTAATGCAGCATCCACTCCTTCTACACCCAAGTATGACATGAAATCTAACACCTCCCAAGCATGGAACCATCTTCTCTTGGACGTCGAATCTTTTCTAGCTCTTGAGAGAGGCCAGGAAAGAGATATCATCGAGATGGGCGATCGGACAGACCAGCAAAACCCTAAATCCAGTAAAACGCTAGGTCATTTCAGCATCTCGCAGGACCAGGCCATTGTCTTGGACCCTCACGAAAGCGGTACCAACTGGACCTCGACCTTAACATCTTCTCAGGCACGGACATCGCTACCGTCTAGAAACAGCTCTACCACCAATCTAACTGTACAGAACCGAAATGCTAAAAGCGGGCGGACTAGCCCAGTATCCCAGGGATATTTTACGCGGGGTAGAACAAAGTCTGGTAGAACCCCTGGCTGCGTAGGGCTAGCAAACCTGGGCAACACCTGTTATATGAATGCCGCCCTTCAGTGCGTTAGAAGTGTCGAGGAGTTAACCAAGTATTTCCTTTCGGGAGAGTGGGAATTGGAGCTCAATAAAGAGAACGTCCTCTCTCATAATGGCGACGTGGCCGCTGCCTATGCTCACTTGCTGAAAGAGATCTATAAGGACTCCACACCAGGCTCCGTGTCGCCCCGCCAGTTCAAAACTACGATAGGCCGATATTCTACGGGATTTTCGGGTTATGGTCAGCAAGACTCACAAGAGTTTCTTGGATTTTTACTGGATGGGTTACAAGAAGATCTTAGCCGAATTAAGAAGAAGCCTTATATCGAAAAACCGGACTCGACGGACGAAATGGTCAACGACCCGGCCGCTATCCGAGAGATGGCGGATAAAGTATGGGACATTACCAAGAAACGTGACGACTCTGTCATAGGCGACCTCTTCACTGGCTTGTACAAATCGACTCTGGTTTGCCCAGAATGTCGGAAGGTCAGCATCACATTCGACCCATTCAACAATCTAACATTGCCTCTTCCCGTAGAGAATAAGTGGAATCACACTGTCAAATTCTTTCCCCTAAATGATCGGCCGGTCGATATTAGGGTTGAGCTTGACAAGCACGCCAGCATCAAATCTCTGAAGGAGTTCTTGTCTCTTAAAACCGGCGTGCCAGCTGAGCGTTTGTTTGGCGCGGAAGAGTGGAAAGGCAAGTTTTATAAATACTACTCTGACGTTACCGTTGCTTCGGAAGAGATTGGACAAAATGACAATCCTTGGTTTTTCGAGCTGGAGGCGAAGCCTACGAACTACGGTCCCAAACCACAAAAACAGCAAAAGTACGGGGTAGCAGTTAGATCTTTGGTTGACGAGGAAGAGCACGATGCCTCGGTTTCATGGAATGACGAGCAGGCTGAAAAACTGCTTGTTCCCGTCTTCCATCGCCGCCCAGTAGTTTCAAAGAGCAGTTTCCAACATAACAAATGGACTCAAGGCTGTGCTCCTTTTTTCATTACTGTTACGCCCGAAGAGGCCAAGAGCGAGGACGCCATCCGCCGGAAGATCCTAGAAAAGATAGTGACATTAACAAAAAGCCCTACCTTTGCACGTGGGGAGGATTCGGAAGGTTCTGATAATACCGACCTTGAGATTATAGCAGGGTCCGACGCTGGTTCCTCAAATGAAGGTAGAGTCGTTGCCAAATCCGTTAAAGGCGAAGATGACATGGTTGACGTACAGATGAAAGATGGCGAGGTTCGAAGGTATGTCAAAACATTTCTTTGGTAAGACTAATAAGCAGTATTAACTCGTTTTCAGCAGCACATCGGGGAAGCAATTCTGCCACAAGAGACCGGCTTGGACGGCACCGGGGTCGTTCCTCCCTTCCCATCTCCAGAATCTGTTTGAAATATGCATCTATTCGGAATCGGGAGCATCGTTACCGACTGGGATGAATAACATCAGTGATGACAAATCATATCCAAGACTCTCGGTCAGGATTCCGCCTGAGTCTTCTTCGGAAGACCAGGGCGACAACGTAACCAATGGTACGGCCTCTAATGAGGAATCTAGCTCGGATGAAGCGCCCCGGCAGAGCATCGAGCAGCCTTTCACGCGCATGCAAGACGAAAGTGATGACGACAATCTCGGCCCAGTCATCAAGGTGCGTACCAACCAATTCCTCCTCAGCAACCTGAAGTCGCACGCTGCAAAGATGCGTTGTCTCAATCCAACACTGACGAATAACCAGCCAAACCATCACCGCGCCAAGCAGAATGGACGGGCTAAGGGCAAAAATAAGCAGCAGAAGCACAATAAGACGACCAAGATTTACGGCAAGGGCGGCAAGAAGAAGTTACGACAACAACAACAACAACAGCGCCAGTCAAAGGAGAAGCAGCACCACATGGAACTGGAAGAAACGTTCAACGTAGGCGAGCCTAGTCCCGATGGAGGTCCCTTGATTCGTTTAAGAGAAGCTCTTATTATCGACTGGTATGAGGATGCTTATGATGCCGTCTTTACCGATAGCAGTGCGTCAAGCAGTGTCAACTCGCTTGCAACGTGGCTTGCCTGCGAGACTCTTCCCGATCCTGAGCTAGACAAAGTACAGGCGACTCGAACTAGGCGTCGCAAGAACGGTATCACTCTTGAGGCATGTCTTGACGAGTTCGAGCGGGAAGAAATCCTTTCCGAGCAGGATATGTGGTATTGTCCTCGCTGCAAAGAGCACAGGCGTGCTAGCAAGAAATTTGACCTGTGGAAGACCCCCGACATTCTTGTCATCCATCTTAAGAGATTTAGCTCTAGTGGCTTTAGACGAGACAAGCTAGAGGTTCTGGTAGACTTCCCTCTTGAGAATCTGGACATAACTTCTCGAGTTCTTCAGAAGGAAGACGGAAAACAAGAAGTTTATGACCTGATTGGAGTTGACTGCCACTGGGGTGGCCTGGGTGGCGGTCATTACACTGCCCATGCAAAAAACTTTGTGGACGGTCAATGGTACACGTATAATGGTATGTATTGCCTAACTGATTTCTACCGTGCTATTGCTAACTACTTCAGATTCGTCAGTATCTCGAGCGTCTCCAGACAGGATTGTGGACTCATCGGCGTATCTATTGTTCTATCGCCGACGGTCGGAGGCCGCTCTGGGCGGTCCTCGCTTCCAACAAATAGTAGATAGATTCCGAGACGATGGATCTGATGGTGAAGTCCCCGAGTCGGGGGAAGGTCGGCGTCTCGGCGAAGGCTTCTCCCAGAATGGGTCGTCGAGCGCGTTACAAGAAGCAGGAGCTACTCGCCTGGTCGCAAGCACTGGTGGTAAATCGACAAACGGCTTTGCTTTGAACGGCGCGGGGGATAAATGGGGCGTTAAGACTATTAATGACATCCTTGAGCACTCCTCTGAAGATCTCCAACGAAGCATCGAAGACGATGAAGGCATCGATCTAACCGAAGACACGGCACAGCCAACGGGCTTTCAACCGCTTACAAATGGCAATTCTTGGAGCTTTGACAACCTTTTACCCAACGATATAGCAGATATTGATAACCCACCCTCGGAGAGCCCCTTCGACTCCGGTGCTGCCTCGGACGCGGCGCAACATGATTCATCCGGTGATGAACGTGTGCTTAGTCCTCGTGAAATGGATTTCGAACCGGACCAGGGGCCAAATTACCCAGGCATGTCGCATTATGAGTTGTCGCCGCCTGAGACAAATGTACCCTCGTACAGTGAAATCCCGCCTCCCGATTATCGAGGGGAGATAACTCAGGACGACATAAACCAGATTTGGGATCAAAAGAACGCAGTCCACACAGTTGCACCCGAAGGTGAGAATGATACGCGCTCCGAAGAGGCAGCGGAAATTCACATCGGGGAAGACGATAAGATCAAATTCACCTAGTTAGACGTTTCCAACTATTGGGTTTCAGATGGGGGGCACCATACCAATGAAACAGGAGTCTACTAGGCGAAGGTCTTCGCCCTGCCCTATCAGTAGGGAAAGGGCAAATATCGACGCCCGGTGTATATTATCCAGTGGGCTGCTAGCAGCTCGTTGGCAGTTCACGCAAGGCATGGCAGAATATGCGCTTACGCAGTCACGATATGATATGAACCATTTGAGACACAGAACCTGTCGTGGTTTCCGTTATAGGAAACCATCAATCAGCATCTATACAATAGAATTCCGCGCACTCATTAGGTATGGCCAGCATGCGTTACGAAGATTTACGGAATCGGGGACTTTCAATCTCACGGGAAAGGCGAAAGAAAGGGGGAAGAGACATTTTCCTGTCAAAAATGGTTCTTTTTTTCGTCAGGAAAGAGAGAGAAACAGAGAAAGAAAGAGAGAGAGACGGAGGGAGAGAGAGAGTAGGTTAATCAGCTCTTGAGGGTCAAAAAGAAAAATAGCATAGTATCATCATCACCATCATCATTCTTGGCCAGGCGAGTCGCAAAATTGCGTGTACTCGCCACATCACGGAGTTTAATAGATTGACTGTCTTCGTCTTGCATTCAAGGGGAGTTTTTGTTGTGGTTGTGGTTGTTGTTGTTAGCTTATCGTGGGTGAATGAGGAGCGAGCGGAAGGAGCGGAGTGGGGTGGAGTAAGTTACCTGATGCCGCCGTGGTGGTGGGAATGGAGTTTAGGAGCTTCGTTCCTTGTATATACATATGTCATGAATACCTGTTAAGATGCTTTGCTTGTAGGTTACCTTATGTTACCTATGACTTTTTTCGTAATGGGGCGTTAGGCATACCTAAGCTTAGGTACCTGGTGTTAACTTTTGACGCAAATATGAATGAGGGTCGAGAGAGAATAGAGTGATACGTATGATGCCTCCGAGGTGGACATCTACATACCTATATATTTGCCTGACATAACTAACTACCCTATCTACAAAAGTATAGTCATGTAAGATAATAAACTAGGTACCTTAGCCAGTAGATGCACGATATTTCATTGTACAGTTGTCAAATAATAATACCACTTCCTACCTTACCTTACCTAGGTACCTACCTAGGTATAGTTACATCTCTTTTTTTCTTTTTTCTGAGTATAAGCACTTACATACATACACGGTACCTAACCACTTAATACCACAGGATACATACATAAGAGGTACCTAAAGTAAGCACCTTATATCTCCTCGACGTAAGGTACGTTATGTACCTAGGTAGCACCCGCTGCAACGCTCATTGAGATTAGATAGGTACCCAGCAGTATTATACAGTAGCTCCTTGAAGAACGAAGGGGCTAGGTAGCTGCTGGGAAAAGCGGCATCCGAGGCTAGTAGTACTACCTAACCTTGCCTTTAGGTTAGGTATACTTGGGGGGCGACCAACCAACCAACCATAGGTACTCCGTGTACGGTGTAACCCCTAGGAGGGTTTATGTATGATGGGATGGTTTATTTTTCTTATTTCCTTCTTCTCCTTGTTTCGGCGTAACGATATATTAGGTTAGGTAGGCACGATTATATACGCAATCGTGAGAAGGGGACGAAAGCATACCTACCCTTATTTTTTTATTTTTTTAATACGGATATACAAGGTTAGGTACCTACTTTATATATAACATCTGATCTTCAAGCCAACTCGGCCACCGAACTAAAACTTGGAAAACGAGCTGTTGAACTAACTGTTCAAATGCCTTTGAACACAAGTCACGTATCGCTATAGTCAATATAATTCGTAAAACAGGAGATGTGGTTTGTCAGAGAGACTGCTTGCACTAGGTACATTTTATAAGTCTATTTCCAGGCCGAGAATGGGGATTGGAACGGCGGCTTATTGTACTTATATATCTCGATAGAGTTTATTTATTTATGGCCATAACTTTGTGATTCTTATTATAGTTGATTAATAATTTCATTTTCATGTTTTCATGTGATCAACCAGCTGACCAGCCATAGACGAATTGTCCGGACATCTTGTGGCGATTTAACAGACGGTGAAAATGGCTTGCATATCCATGTGATGGGTAGAAACTGTCAGGCTTAGGCAGCACAGCACAGCACAGCTGCGTCCGTTTGTGTGGCGGTCGGCGTTTGGCGAGATGATTATATCCTAACTTATAGCCAGGCGACGCAGCGTAATCTCCTACGGGCTTGGCTACGAATTAGTAGCACAATGGTGGAGATTAGTAGAAAATATGAGGCTCTGTAGGGTCCTACTGTGACAATCGCATATACTCCTTTCTCAGCTAACGAGCCCGGTCTGTGCGACTCCCCTTTGAACCATGCAGGACGTGAATTGCCACGACGGCTTAGTGGCAGACCCAACAAGACAAGTTAGGTAGACCATAGCGAGCGTCAAAGTTTCAGATGAGCAGGTTATCGTAATTTGGAGTACTTGTCGTTGCATTTAGAGGCTTGCTCAGCTCGGACGTTCATAGACATGCGATATATTTGGAAAGCATTGGCAAATCGGACTTTTCATCCGACCCTAGTAAGTGCTTTGGAACAGTTCGAGAACAAAACCTTGTGATCGGTGCTTTTTTTTGCTGATGTATCGCTCGAGCATTCGGTATCTGCGCTTGTTCTCCATTGAAGACGCTCATCCCGAGGACACGTCAGCTCAGCTAGGAACTTATAATCCCAGATAGCACATCGAGATAGGTAACACGATATCCGATGAGCCACAGTTAGATAATGCGGAGCATCCAAAGCAAAAGCTATGGGACTTGTCTCTCTGGCCTGCATCGGCCTTGTGTCTAGTTTAAGGCTCGTTCTCAGTTGCGATTGTCGATCACAGTCGCGGGACTAGGAATACGACTCTAATCGCACGATGTCTGGTCATCTACTGGCACGCCGAGCTGAGACAAATATAGAAATCGCCTTGACAGGCGAAGTAATGCAGAAAAGTTAGTAGAAGATGACGACAACCTGCCGTACCAGGTAGAAGAAGCCTTGCTAACGTCGGGAATATTCTTGGTTGCGTACGGGCTCAACCAAGTTCAATCAAGTCAGAAAGGCAACCGAGCTAGGTGCGGCGTATTCCGGCATGGGTCGGGGAACGTATATGCATCGTGAGGCCGCAGTGATATGATTATTTACAATTATTCGTAATAGTCAGAAGTTTCTATTACTTCTTGAGGCATTATGTTAGCTATTATGCTAGCGTCATCAGATGCCCGGTTAAAAATTAAAAAGAAAAAAAAAAAAGACATGTAGTCCGGACGAGCCGCGGGAGATTCGGTGATTCTAAAGGTAAGTTCTTTATCTCACGGACCTAGATGGCAAATTAAGAAAGCTGATCATAGTAAGGCTGGCGGCTGACCCGAATAGGAGCGGTGAAGAGGCTCCTCATTCCAAGAACCTAATTGACGTTAATGGGGCTGTCATTGGTGAAACGACTAGACGTAAGGCGCCGTGTCTCGAGATATGTTGTGTGTAATTTATGAGGCCGAGCACCAGGGGAACAAGATCTCGAGGAGGGCCCTGTAGTTTTAGTACATAATGATAAATGATGATAGATAACAGTACAGCTGATAATCTGGTAGGGTAAGCTGTACCATGTAGGTGTAGACTTCGTTGTAGGGCTTTGTCATAGAACGGAGGCCATGTCGAACTGAGATAGGCTAGACGTTGATCTGCTTTAGCCTTGCTGGTTCGTCAATCGCACATGGCTTCCGTGAATCCGGTCGCAGCCCCCGGCTAGATATAGAAGGTAACTAGTTGCCTACCTAGGTAGCTAAAAGAGGTCACGGCGTATTTGGGGATAGGGTGGTGTATGTGTTGGTGGAAAACTGCGCAAAGCCAGAGCAGCGCGAAAGGACGTGGACTAAGACAGACAGACAAGTTTGAAAGCAGAACAATAGGCATATACATGCCTATTATATATAAGGTATTAAATAGATTGTATTAGGTAGTTACCTATATCTTTTAGTTGTTGTCGCTGTTGTTGTTAAAAATGCTTTCGAGGTTGGTTTCAAGCTTGGTTTCAAGCTTGGTTTAGGGCTCTTACAGGGAAGAACCCAAGCAGGTGTGGGGGCCGTTTAGGGCCGTGTAGGGCCGTGTACCTAGGTAATCGTGTAATACCGCAGTAAGGCAAATGGAAAACAGATCCGGGAGCCTCGATTTGTAGTGTTTTGCTTGTGTGGGTCTGGTATAAAACTAATAAGCGCTTTCCACCGTTGCAAAGGATGCTACTGTAAGGGGAAGGTCACCAAAAGGAAGCGGCGAAGTTGCTGTTTGGGGGTTACACAGCCGGAAGTCATCATTAGTAATATTGTGAAAAGACATGAGGAGATATTAGAAAGAGCAGGGATTTTGTGGTGTACCTAGGTAGGTATGTATTGATAATTCAGGGACCGGGGAGGAAAGCGTAGGAAGAACATGCGGTTAAAAGCTTGTAACCTTATACCCAGATACGCAAAACCATGTACGTATAACTTTTGTCATTCGGCGATAATAAAAGATACATTTAGATACTTGGTAAAGAATCTTTGGATCAGCACTTGCATCTGGAGGATTTGCGACTTGAGACAAATACCTTCCTTACCTAAGGTACATGCCTCATACATCCAGCTTACCACATACCTAGGTGTAGGTAGTGGTTATAAGAGGTACCTTATTCCAAGAACTACGTTACGTCAAGATCTAATTACATGTGCATATCTAATAGTTAAGTACCTATTATTATATTATTATAATAGTAAGTATGGAGGTGGGTTTAATTCGACTGCCGTTTGGCATTTTAAAATTTTGTGAAATGATAGCCGATTTTTTATTTCCGAAATTCGTTCCTTAAAACCAGAGTATTATTATTGATTTGTTTCTTCAATAGCTCCTCTGCATATAACCGCATGCGCTCTCTACGTGGCAATAAACGCGATAGGTAGGATATACATACCTTAGATCCGCACTGACGACGATGTGCTTTACCCACGATTCCGCCACCAAATCACCAAATAATATAATATACTTCGTACCTAGGGTTAAGGATTAATCATAGGCGACTTCGCTTCGTTGGCAAACTCAGTACCGAAGATAGATACGAGCCATGATGAATGAGTCACTTGCTCCAGCTGCGAGGTCCCAGCCCTATTTACTCCTAAGGCGCTCATCATCACAGATGCCCAAACTTATCTACGGAGAAGGCAATATTTGGGCAGAACCATAATTAGAAATGAACATTGGCCACAAGAAGAGCCGTGGGAACCATGTGGCCATCGTTTTATTTAGCACCTCCGGCATCTGTATTGTGCGATCACATACGACATGCGCGGAAAGTAAGAAATGCCTTGTTATGACATAAACCGTTTCGATACTTGGATTGGGCTTATGGTTCGAGAAAATAGAAAGTCCGGATCTCTGCCACACCTCGATAAAGTTAGGTACCTACCTAGTAGGTAATTAATAGAGGATGCGGGAACTCGGCTATGTTGGATGGATGGATGAATGCGCGTTTTGGTAATGAATTGTTATCGCGTGTCGGAAGCCCAAGCAGGTATAAGAGAGAGAGAAAAAAAAAAAAAGTACCTAACCTAGGTAGCTAAAGGCAATCTCAAAAGGTAATCTGAGCGGGTTCAAAGGATCTTCAATGATTTGTGTGGGTTAGGATGTGTTGATGGGTTGGGGTGAGCTGCATAAGTTGTATGAATGATCGTCAAAAAGGCGACAAGCTAAAAAGGCAAAAAGTGCGTGTTGTGTAACTTTGTATAACTTTGTACGTACTGTATGGGGTCTCTATGGGGTCTGCGGATCCAATATCACGCATCTTATTGGCTTGGATAATCCATCTTTCCCGCCTTCCCCACTTTTCCCCTTCCCACTTTTCGTCTTTTTCCCTTCCATTTTCCAAAGCCGTTCGCTACAGGCTTCCATCAGCCTTCTGGAAGGCTTCGAAGCTGGCTAGAAGCACCTAAAAAGGCCGCCAAGGTTCCTCGTGGTTGCCCGAACAGACAGGGATGTCCCAGACCCATGCGTAGGGAATATCACCGTCGCAGCGAGTCATGTTTCGATTTCTCACTGAAGCTTGTTGCTCTAATCCGTACCTGGGTACAGTGGGTGCGAATGGGTGCGAATGCTTACGATGCACGCGCAGAAAACCAAAAAGACGTACCTCTATGTACCTAGAAGCAGAAGTCAGTCCCTTCGACCAGAGCTTCTAGACGGCAGCCCCGAACTTGGGAACTGGGAACTGGGAACTGGGAACTGGGCACTCCATCACAATGTGGGGCTGTTTGTACCTGTTTGCACATTCATCACTTCCGCTATCAATTTCGCCATGCTCATGCTATTGGCTACGATAATCGCAATTATTAACATACCATCCATACCTATTTCTTCCTTTTCCCTGAAGCTACCGAGGTACAATACGGATCTACCTAGCCGCTCATCGCGTATTCGATCAGCCGCACAGATTAGAGATACACAATTACGGCGCTTAATCATAAGATGCTGTTGCGTACATGCATAACACATAACACATAACTCAAGGGCATAACTTATACATCTAGTGCATATATGTACATGGCTCTAGGTAAAGAGGGTAGGTCGAAGGAACATTAGGTACATTGGGATTTAGCATTTAGCTGCCTGCGGGAGCTTATGAGGGGTACGTTCTCTGCATTGGCGATAGCTACGAATATTCATGCATCGCCTACATTTTATCATTCCACCTTACACTACCTACCTGTAGGTATGTAGTTGACGTGGTACAACAATTATGACACTTACAGCATCCAAGGTTACATAGCTTGCGTCTTCCGTACCTATGCACGAAATTTTGAACCTCGGAGTTGGTTTTCGAATATACGATATCTCAAGTCTTTTCTACCTAGCAGCCAAATCCACAGGGCCTGACTTTAGAACATCGGGCAGATCGGGTTAACCTGGGTACCACGTTATTTTACGCTACCAACCACCCTAATGGGCCCATTTATTTACACTACCTCCTATGCATACCTAAGGTTAGGTGCTAACTAGACTACCTCCTATGATCCTACTGCTGGGGTTTCTAGCATATGCAGTTAGCGCCTAGTGCCTACCTCCTACCTAGGTAGGTACGTCCATATTGTTAGGTACTTACATACATCTGTACATGGATGTACTACTATATATACGAAGTACGCGCATGTACCCAACGCGCGTGAGTGGGTCTTTCTAAGGTTGGGATTCTAAGCAAAGAAGCAAGCAGCTTTCACTGCCGTCGCACTAAAAATGACACCCGATTTATCGCAGACTTCACTCGTTATCCTTTCCTTTTCTCCCTTCTATTATATGATCCACATTGGGGGAAGAACTCTAGTCTACACCCTTTTCAATTCCCATCTCTTAGTCTTCTGGTCATTGCTTGTTACCTCGATCACTTCGAAATACTTGCTAACCTCCCCTGCTTCCTTTTTTTTTCCTTTGCCAAAACGTCACGTACAAACCCGCCTGTACACACACTACCATTTCCCTTGTCGTCTCTTCATCAATAACATCTGTGTTGCCCAGTCTTCCGGCTTCATTACTAGAGTAATTTTCGAAACACCTATATCCAACTTGACGGATATTGACTATTTTTGACCTAATTATCACGGTCAACTTTTTTTTTTAACACGGAATAAGGAACTAAAACAACCAAAGACCAACAAAACAAAAACGAAACATTATTAAACTCGGCTGGAGATTTGGCCGCAGACGTTGCGAAACGCATTATCGTTCCTATTAGGAGTGTAACGTCGCTCCCCTTCAGACGACTCGCAATAGGGCGTGAGGCGCGACCACCTTTTTTTTCACCTTTTCGGCTCTATCCACACGTTTTCGACTATTAGAACACACACACACAAACTTACATATATACACATACACATATGTGCGCCTTCGCTTGTTCCGAGTCCTATGTTACTAATCCGTTCTACCCTTCTTCGACTTCTCTCTTCTTCGAATTCCCATAACCAATAAATATACCACACCCCGAACTTGATCGCATGCGCCTTTCGCCTTTTGGACCTTTTGGATGGTTGCTTCTGAGGTGTCACCTAATTTGAGTGGCTGGCTTGTCGAGGAATTCTCGAGTCCCGAGTACAACTTTCGCGCGTCGACTATCCATATTCCCGTCGCACTTAACGATATACTGAAATATTTGTGGGCTAAGACAATATTTATACTTCATTGGCAACCCAATTGATCACTTCTCACCATTTAATTGCTTGCTTTTACGGCTAGTCACACTTGCGACGACAATTGCGACTCCAGGTTACCCTGGCGGAAGTGCTCCGGTCTCCAGACTGGATGCCATAGCCCGCCGTGATGGATAGCACAACTTGTAATGTGATCTACGTGGATCGTAACGTGCTCGAGGACCGGTCACTAAGATCCGAGAGCACGGAACTGCACGAATCTGGAGAGCTTAGGAAGAATTTGGGGCTTCTATTAGATGCCTTCGGCGATGGTCAGTTTTTGATGCGAATTCCTCCCAGCAAACCCAGCAAAACCACTAACATATGTCGCAGTGCATGTGTGCGCAAGCGGTTCTGCTTGTATATCCAAGCTATTCCACTTGCAAGATACCTCCATGGTAGGGCTAAAACCGACTCTTGTATTAATTGACACGCCGTATGATGAACAAGTGCTGGACCCGTTACCACCCGAACGAGACCATTCTCCTTTCTCCGAGTCCGAGCAGGGCGAGCAGAAAAACGGACAGCTGGATGAAGAGCTGTACGGATTAAGACTGCTTGAGCGAATCGTTTACGAGACCCATCTAAGAAGCCTCTCAAAATTAGTCGTGCCCATTCCCGTCATCAGCTTTCCCTCACTACGAACCCCTCCAGCGAACGATGGTACAAACGATGATCCTCCGCAGCCAGCTTATGCAGACTACCTCTCAGAAGTACCCGGTGCGACTGGCAAATCATTAACAAATCGCGCCCTACTAAGAAAGTGCATTGACTCTGGTGCGGTGGATGTAATGGCTAGCCCCTTGCATTTCAAAACGTTAACGACTCTCGAAGTTCATGCATACCGGGCGCACAAAGAAGCTGCCAGGGAACAGCAGGCAGCGTTGGAGGTTCGGAGGGGTCGTAAACGGTCTTGGGTAGGTGTGCATGAGGAGCAGCCTTACTCGTACCTGAGAGAGGCTATGGTATCGGGGTTAATGAGAGGGATTTGTCATTCCGACGAGGACCCTGAACATCGCATTGGCAACGTCAAGGTTAATGTTCCATCTGACGAACAATCTCAAATTGCTAAGGCTATCGGGAAATGGCATTTCTCCGCTCATGATTTCTGTGACGACTCTCTTCTTATCGCGGCCATTCTAATGTTCAAACACGCCTTTTCCATGCCGGAACTTGAACATTGGCGACTATCAACAGGTAAATGACCTGCTCTTATGCCTACGTTGCGACTAACTAACCGTTCTCGAAATACAGAGCAGTTGACCACTTTTCTCGTTGCAACACGAGCTGCATATAACACTTTCGTACCGTATCATAACTTTCGTCACGCGGTCGATGTTCTCCAGGCGACCTTCAATTTTCTTGTTCAAATCGGGGCATTGCCGCCATATCCCTCCCGGCTCAGGTCTTCAGCCGGGTCAATCAAGAAATATCCACTTGTGACTTTAATCGGGCCTTTCGAGGCATTAGCTCTTCTCGTAGGAGCGATCGGCCACGACGTTGGTCATCCTGGTGTAAATAATGGCTTTTTAACCGTACTTAATGCGCCCCTGGCACAGTTATACAATGACCGGTCTGTTCTCGAATCTTTCCATTGCGCGGCTTATTCACAAATTCTACGAAGATATTGGCCTAAAGTCTTCGAAGATACAAAAATGCGCACTCTTATGACCAGCTCGATCTTGGCAACAGATATGGGTGTGCACTTCGATTACATGACCAAGCTTGAGAACCTCGAAACGGAGCTGAAAAATGGTCCAATTGAGAATTGGAGCGGGAAAACTATTGAGAAACAGACCACGCTTATATGTTGCCTGATCATAAAGTGCGCCGACATCAGTAATGTTGTAAGTGTTATTTTTGTCTCCTCCAAGACAGCATAGTGGCTAACAAACTCGTTAGGCACGAAAGTATGAGGCAGCACTCCAATGGATGTATATCCTTTGTGATGAATTTTCGCGGCAAGCAACGATGGAGAATGATATCGGCATTGAATCGTCCCTCATCTCGCGTCCTAAGAAGGATTTCTTGTCGCTGGCTCAGGCCCAAATAAAATTCATGGAAATATTCGCTATTCCTTTGTTTCGGGGGATCGCCGGTGTGCTGCCTACGATGCAGTACACCGTAGACGAACTGGAAACAAATAGGGCGCTATTTGAGAAGACCGTGCAACAGATTCCGCGGATGGAAGAGGAACAACGGAGAATATTTACAGAAGGTGTCCTTTCGTCTCATGCTTTAGGACTAGCCATCCATGCAGAAGGCGTCGAAAACTTCCGAAGAGACCCTAGAAAGCGCAATTTAGTCTCGAACCATACTGAAATGAAGAAGGCAGGCAAATCTCCTCCCGACCAGCTCTATGATGTCGCCTATGTTCGAGAAGGATACAAAGAAATGAACGGAATTCCAGTCGGGTTCGACAACGATCCGTTCAGCAGTAACGAATCGGACATTCGAGTAGCTGGATATCAGGGCAAACAGCGTTGTAGCGAGACAACGGATGGGAGCAATTCAGTGCCTCCCGGGGATTGGCAGTCGCAAGCTACCAGTGCTACTACAGGCAAAATGCCACTCTCGCCAAGCACTCAAGGGACGAGCATTGTCAGTCAAGAATCTATCGAGCGTCCTGGAAGCGTCCCAGTTACGAAAGTCCCAGTACCTGAACACCACACAGCGGGGCCAATGCAGAGCCTTGATTCGGGCAACTTCGAGGATGATTCTAACGGAAATACCCTCAAACCAGAAATACCACTCAAGAAGAAGACCAGCAGGTTTAGGATGAATGTCTCAACCTTTTTCCGGAGGAACAAGGGTGCAAGCTCGCCGTCATCCGGCGGTTCTTGAGACTATTAGAATGGTAAATCAGTAGTTAAGATGATTCAGCAACGGCACACAACTACAGTTGGCAGATACTAGAGCATCGGTACGCGTTTGCGAGTCTGTACACGCAATCAGATGACGCCGCGACCATGAAGCGAAGGTATTTTGTAAGGCGATAACAGCTGATAGCATATTGCTCATCACACGTATATATTGTATACTAGCCGGATATGGGGCAAGGGCAAGGGTGAATAAGTCAGCGTTTCTGGTGGTTTACCAAAAAGTTTTAGGGTCAAGGGGTGGAGAGCTGGGAAGCCCCAAGAGGGAAGGGGCACCAAAGGCGGTGGGGGAGGAGTTATATTACCAAAGATGCATGCATGGCGTTCAGGAAATAGGTTCGGTGTAGGATCGGGAACTGTGGCCTCCGAGGAGGAGGAAACGTGCATGGGGACAGGTCCTGTGGCGGAGTTCAAGTTTCTGAAGTGGGAAAGGAAGACTTGAGACCTTTTTTTTCGGCTCAGCGAAAGCCGTCAAGAGACAGGCAGAGCTAAAACCTGCGTGGTAATTCTTGATGAAACACTTTTTTATCACATCTGTAAAGCGATGTGATCTTCGTTAGACCCTAGAGGCCAGGTTTGAGAGTATTTAAATGTATGAGTATATGAAAAGGGGAAAAAAAAGGGGGCGAGATTCGAGAAAAAAGAAAGAGGGACAACTCCCGAGTTTCATTTCATAGTCCGATACAAGGCAAGAAAATCTCTTGCTTGGAATTAGAAGATGATCTGGGCAAACCCCCCCACGACTCACGATCTATGGATATCTGCAAGTGACTGCATGCAAGCGATCAGACTAAAGATGGGAAATCCACTATTTGATTTGATTGAATCGTATGTCCATCATGCAGCCCAAAGCTAGGTTGGTATCGACGACTAGGTAAGTATACGAGCAGCGTCATTGCTGATGTATTGTCATCACTCATTTGCAGCCGCCAGAGGCGCGCGTTCCTCGTAGGGACGGTAAATACGACTAATTACGATGCGAACCAATCAATGGTCGAAAACATTGCTGTACACCCCCTGCTGGCTGACATCATAGTTGTCGGTTGGATGCTTGATCCAATGCTTGATCGGTGCTTGATTAAGAGCCTCGAATTTCCTCGGCAATACCCTGGATAATGAGAATACCTACCTTACGCCATTATGGGTTAAGTAAGGTACCTGAGGTACGTAAGGTACGCATAACAACGCATAACTTGGATTTGGGCAAAAAAATGAAGCTTGAACAGCTTATACAGAGTACATAGTAAGAAGTTCATCATATATGGATGCTTGCATTTCGGTTTGGAGAGCTTTGTACCTAATTACGTACTAACTATAGAAGACCCTGAGAGTTCGGATCATCTCTCAGTTGTGCAACTCCAAATGTTATTAGGTTAGGTACCTCACATTACTTCCTACCTAAGGTTAGCTACATGTGGTAGGGATAGGTAAACGGTCTAGGTAGCTAACCTGGTACGAAATACATCGCTCAGATACTTGTAGGTAAAGAGTCCACTTCCACTTTGCACTTGCGAAAAAAAGGCACTGTACCACGGTATGGCTTGGACGTTAGGTCGTTAGGTGCCTACCTAATGCTGAGCTATGTACAATGCTTTGTGTACCTAACCTACCTGTAGGAGGTATTCAAACATATTAGGATTTTAATCCTGGTGAGCTGTCTTTGCCTTCCCTGTTACTACAGGTATGTAATATACGTCTCAACGACTCAAAAGGCCCATTCCCACACACCAAATCACCTTCAATATAAGAAAACAATAATTTTTAAGCCTATAAAACATGATGCGTTAAGGCGTACTATGTAGTACTATGTAATAGACCAAAAAGAAAACTGTCAAGGGTTCCCCAGCTTTCGATTATAGAGAAACGCCACAAGCTGACCAGTACCGTAGTACCGTAACATCTGATTGAAATCTAGGCTCCGGACTGCTAGCAGCCGACAGTCGGCAAGCGGACTTCAAACCCCCCACTGACAACCCAAACCTTAACAAGCTTGCAGCCCGAGGGAGGTAATGCTACCTTAGGTTAGGTAGGTACCTTTTGGTGCTTTGGGCCTTTGGCAGTCTAGTAGCTTAGTTATTTTTTAAAAAGAAAGAAGGAAAGAGAAGGAAAGAACCAATTCCCACCCGAGTAGAATTATTTACTTTTAGGTTAGGTACCTAATGCACCTTAGGTACCTACCTTAGGTAACTTTATTCTTTTCTGCCTTTCCTCTCTCTTTCTCTTTCTCTCTCTCTCTCCCTCTTGGGTACTAGGCGAATTCTTGATTAATTTAACCCCGCATAGTCTCCGCTAGCTCTCAGCTTAAACCCTCGCCTCAGATACTTTTGATACCTTTTTTTTTTACTGTACAACACCCTGCCCGTTATTCCTGCGTGCCTTGCGTACCTTAGACTCTAGAGTACTTCCCAACAGTATCTTATTATCCTTATCCTCTCCCATTTAAGTTTTTTGGGGGTTCTTTTCCAATCTCGCTTCACTCTAAGTCACCCCATTCAGACATTATTGCGCGCGCAGGCCGTAGCACAACTTCCATCATTACTGTCCGTCAATTATGAACCAGATTCATGGTGGATATCAGGACTGCGGTGAGTTTCGAGGTTGAAACGACGCATCATCTTCATGCCCATGGCCACTGATCCCGCTGCCTATCCACAAGGCGCCGAGAACATTCATCAGGATGCAGACCCAGAACCACAGCGCGGCCGCGGCTCCACGAGGAGCAATAAGCTGGCTGCACCACTGCGAATACCCAAAAACCGCAGTACTGGGAATCTCGCCGTTGTGGCTGAATTTCCCGAGAGAGGGAGGTTGAGGTTCTCTTTTGATGCCGTATCAGGCGCCGCAGAATCTGACCAAATCACAAGGTACGTTTTAGCGCAAGGCGGTACCGCCTACGAAATCCGAGAATAGATGCACAGGGCACAACGGGGGGGAGGGGAGCATATCATTACCTATTACCTACCTCTTATACCTCCTTGGCCAATGTCACATGTATCTACTCAGCCGCCTTATTACAAGGTACAAATCAGAGTCTCCCGTCCGCCAAGAAACAAGTGAGATACAAAAAGGAAGTTAGGCGGAAGGAGAGCCTAAAGGGGGGGGGGGGGGAAGAAAGAAAGAAAAGAAAAGAAAAAAAAGTTCTGAAGAAGACGAAGACGAAAGCCTAAAACTCTTACAGTTTAAATCGCCAAATTTGGATTAAAGGTCACAAGTGACTAATATCTTGATTGTGTCAAAACAACAGATCTCCTATAATTACCGAACACGATCATGGGCTGGGTATCTCCGGTCTACGACGCATCCGCCAGCATCCCACTCCTCGCACTCCTACCATGCCTTCGAGCGCCGTATCTTCGCGAAGTACGTCTGCCGGCCTCCCTCGCTCCACCTCGATGTCTGTGATGCTCCCTTCCGGACATCATACCCCACTATTGGGCCCTTCGTCTCCCAACTTCTCCGAAGACCTCTCCCGCTTTCCGTCTGAGTCCCTGCACTCCTTCTCCTTCGCCCACCAATCCGAAGAGTTTATACACAACCGTCAAAATGTGTTAAAACGATCTATAGAGTTTATGAAAGATCGTATGGGATGGGCTGTTTCATCGAATGCTGCGATGGCCAGCGCTCAGGCTAGGGTTTCCGGTGATATTGAAACCCAACATATGCTTGACCTTCTTGCCAGGGCACAGTTAATTGGAGCTGGAAATTTGCCAAACGCCGACCCTTCCATCATTTCGGGCCCGTTGACTGGTCCTGCTCAAATCCCACAAGGTAACGTTTTTGAGAAGGACTTCATACCGAGGACAAGTAGTCCCGAGTCTTTCCTAACACCGCATATATCTCCAATGGCCCGAGTACCTCCTACGGATCAAGCTCCAGTTACCACCGCGCAGCCTACAGGAATTGAAAGGGGCGACTTGGAACCAAAGCAAGCAGATTCGACTCAAGAGCAACCGGATTCTGAGAACTCATCGAGGACACCGACGAACGAAAGCGGTACCACAGCCAAAACATCCCCTCCTATATCTAGACGACCGAGCTTGAAAAGAACAACTACGGATGTAGCGTCGGCCGAGAGACAACAAAAACTTGTGGACGCCATGGCGCAACCCTTCCTTGCTGGCTCGTCCGAAAGTTACTCCGAAGCATTAGTATCTCCCATGCTCCCACCATTAGCTATGGGGTCGTCGCTCAGTTCAACCGGACCTCTGGGATGCGTACATGGTCATGCAGCCCGGTGGGTTCCAGCCGCGCAGGCCATCTTTACTACCGAATCCAAACCTCCGTGGACGATATTGGCTGCGAATGACTTGGCCTGCTTGGTATTTGGAGTGACGAAAGCCGAGGTCCGCAAGATGGGAATCTTAGAAGTTGTGCAAGAGGAGAGACGAGCTTGGTTAGAGAATAAACTCCTTCGCGCCGATCCTGACGACGTGGGGCAGGCACCTGCGCAGACTGAACCACAGCCTGCTGCTCCCTCGGTTGGCTCAGCATTCTTAGGGGGTCGTGGGGGTATCACAGCGCAGTTACTAAGTAAGCCAAACTCGAGATCCCAGCCACCAAAGACCCCAGCTCGGCGTGCGCAGACTGTCCACAGTGGAGATACTACGCCATCGAGGTCCCGAGGCGCGACCCATCGCAGCTCAAAGTCAAGAGGGGTGCTGCTTTGCGGCGACGTTGTCCCTATACAAAAGCGCAATGGAGCAACGGGTTCTGCGAGTTTATGGGTTAAGGAAAAGAGAGTAGGCTTGATTTGGGTATTAGAGGAAATCCACGAGGATGTTGCCTTCGTAGGCCTCGACGATGATGGAATTGTCACAAAGATTTCCGGAGATATGGGCCCAATATGGGGAGATGAAAACCTACAACCCGGTATGGATATCGGAAAACTGATCCCTCGCATTCCTCGACAAGGTATCGACCCTAGATATGGCGCGATAGACTACGCTCAAATTGCGAAACGCAGGTATTTCACTTGCCGAAATCGTGCGAAAGTCAATATTCCTGCCATAGTCGCGCAGACGAGGGGCCAGGCGGAACTACGCGTTTCAAGTTTTCCGCATATCGCAGGCATTATCGTGGTCTCTCCGGACACACTCCGGATCAAGAGTTCAAACTCGGCATTCTGCGGAGCCCTCTTTGGTTACGAAAAGCCTGAAGGGCAGTCGATCACCAACCTCATTCCACACTTCGACAAGGTTCTTGAGATATTGATTGATCACGACGGAATACATCTTCAGGATGGCATTGTAGTGCCAGAACACAGCTTCAGAAAAGCATCCACTTTGCTGACCTTACAAGATGGCAAGCCAGACGCTACAAGCGATTTCCTAAATCCTAACGGACTCCCAGCGAAGCACCGCGACGGTTCTGAACTAAAAATAGACGTTCAGATGAGAGTAGTACAGAGCGAGAAGCACACTGGTAATGATTCAGGAACAAGTGATGATGAGTCACAGGATAGCGACATCGAATCAGAGATGGTCTACGCGTTATGGATCACCTATTCCCGCCATTTACATGCATCCAACGTTAAGTCGTTAGCAGCTACCAGTTCTAAATCACCAATATTGTCCGGAGCGGTATCTCCTTTACACCAGCCATCCCCCGGTCAAACGCCAGCGCACACGCCGATGGACATGAGCTCAGATACGGAAGAGGCCAAATCCAGGCCCAATTCCGCTGCGTCGGGGTTGTCCAAACAACTTAAAGCGGCTGCGATAAACGCGGCTACCCAGCAGCTCACTGGATCAGCCACAAATTCGGAAAAAGAATCAACATCAACAACAACATCATCATCACCACTACCACTACCACTACCACCACCTAAAAATGATGCTCCGCAGCGGAAAAAAACAATTGAAGATTTTGTTATCCTCGAAGATATGGGTCAGGGTGCTTACGGCCAAGTAAAACTAGCACGATACAAGTACAACGGCGGGAAGAAAGTTGTATTAAAGTATGTGACAAAGCGGCGAATTCTTGTGGATACATGGACCAGAGATCGACGTCTCGGCACAGTCCCCCTTGAGATACACGTCTTGGATTATCTCCGAAGAGATGGCTTGAAGCACCCTAACATTGTTGAAATGGAGGATTTCTTCGAGGATGAAATAAACTATTACATCGAAATGGCTCCTCACGGATATCCCGGGATGGATCTCTTTGATTATATCGAGCTCCGAGCTAACATGGAAGAAGATGAATGCCGGAGCATTTTTGTCCAAGTTGCTAGGGCGATACACCATCTACACATAAAAGCAAAGGTGGTTCACCGCGATATCAAAGACGAAAACGTCATTTTAGATGGTGAAGGGAATATCAAGTTAATCGACTTCGGAAGCGCAGCATACATCAAAAGCGGGCCTTTTGACGTCTTCGTAGGCACTATTGGTAGGTTACCGTTACCCTTGATCAATATTTGGTATATCAGCTAACCTAGATTCTAGATTATGCGGCTCCGGAAGTGTTAGCTGGCAAGCCGTACGGTGGTAAGGAACAGGACGTTTGGGCTCTCGGAATCTTACTCTACACCATTATCTACAAGGAGAACCCATTTTACAGCATCGATGAGATAATGGACCGTGATCTAAGGGTACCATATGTGATCAGCGAAGAAAGCATTGACCTCATCCGCTGCATGCTCGACCGCGACCTTACGCGCCGATACGACATCGAACAAGTGCTTCAGCATCCCTGGTGCCAGATGGATTAAGGACGTGATGATAAGGACGGGGAAGAACAGCTGGGCTGTACGATGAAGGCCTATGGGAGGATATGAGGAAGTAAAGGGGGTTTTTTTTTATACGACCGGATTTTTGGTTCTATGGGCTAGCTAGACTGTTTATTGGAGAACAGGGCAAAACAGCAAACAGAATTGGGGAATGAAGACAATTTACTACTGCATGATACCTAGCTCTCGAAAGAAAAAACAACAGCCGCTTTTTTTTTCCTTACTCTCTCCTTGGCTTTGGTTTCCTTTTCCTTTTTTTTCTTCTTTGCTCTGGTGTGTTAGTGTGCTTCTTTCGACAGAATCTTTCTTTTTCCTATGACACGAGATGATACGACTTGACATATATGTACACGGTAGGAGAGCAGAAAAAAAAAAACCAAAAAAAACTACAGAATGTCTTGTCTGGCTTTGTTTTCCGGAGTTATTGTTCCTCTTACTTTCATTGGGCTCTTCGGGAAACAGGTACCACCTAGCGATGGTGATTTATCATTATTATTGAGATATGTCATACCAGCCCGAAACGTGCCTTTTTCTCTTTTCTCCTCCCCTTCTTTCTTGTTTATATACTAGGCATCTCTCCTCATCGCATCGTTATCGGTTTGGGCAGGCATACTTGTCGGGTGGGATGATGGAGTTGGGGGTTTAAGGATATGGTGGGAATTGAAGGAGTGGGTTAGGTACCTACCTGTCAAAGTCAACGAGAGTTGATACAGAGCAGAGGTAGTAGTGAGTTGAGGTTTTTTTTAATAAAAGTAGCTAGCTAAGTTGAAGCTAAGTTCCTAGGTAATAAGTAAGGCGTAAAAGCCTGGATTACGTGGGTGGAAATGAAGAAGTATATGTTGAATTCATTGAATCTCCTTCGTGAGCTTTACCATTTTTGCTTCGTGTCTTTACGCAATATAGATGGGCGTCTAATACACGTCATATATTCACATCGGTCATGCTCCTAACATTATCGTCCTTAGATATCCGCTCATCTCACGTCGTCATTACACCCATAACCCCGCCCCCCGAACCAATCCACCTTTCCTCGCCCTCTTCCCTTGACCTCAACTCTTCCCCTTCCTCCGTATCTCCTCCATGCCAAAGATATTCCCCGGCAGCACGGCGTTCCCTTCGTCGTCGGCCGCGACCTCGCCGAACAGGAACGCGGTGCGCTCGCGGTTCGCGTTGGCGGACGGTCTCTTCCGGTGCGAGGACGGTTCCGTCGCGGACGGCAGGTTCGAGGGGAATATGGAGGGGGAGGAAGACGAGGGCGCCGCGTCGGGCTCGAGCATCCACGAGAAGGAGGACTGGGCGAGGGTGGACCGCGTCGGGATAGGGGGTTGGGGGCGCTCTAGCTTCTTCGCTATCGTCGCCGCTGGTGCGCCGGAGCCGAGCGGATCCCCGGCGTTGTCGTCCGTGTCCATTTTGTTTGAGTCTGCAGCTAGGGGCGAGGAATTGGTTGGGGAGGGCTTTTTGTTTTCGGGCTTTTGGGAGTTTTCTGCTTGGATGGGAGCGTCGAGAGCTATTGCAGAGACGGCCCGGCTCAGGGGCTCGGGGTCGAGTTTCCTGTCATCACCCGTGGGCGTATCCAACCGTATCGACGACACTGCTTCTTCCTCATCCGGAAGATCTAGAGTAGAATCTTCTAGGTAGATTTTAATGAATTGTATCTTCGCTGCAGCAATCTCAAGGACATCTTGACATTTCCGTTTGTCTTCTAGATCCGAACTTGCAAGGCTCTTCAGGGATGAAAGAGGTTCATCTAATAAAGCTGCTAGGCGCCTATTTCTCCGATCCAGCGTTGCAACGGCTCGTACTGTCGTGTTCGAGTTTGGCTCGTTTATGAGATCCCTTCCCGCCTTCATAGAGCTCCTAGCTTCTTGAACATTGCGGCGTATCTCTACCATGGCGTCGCGCACTGCTTGGTTAATGCCGAGCTTCTCTCCCCTCTCGAGGACGCCCTTAGCCGCGCCTTGAAATAATGCCTCCACGCCACCTTGTGGCGACTTGAATCGAGCGGGCGATAAAGGTGACCTAGAACTAGCTAACTTCCGCCGTATGTTAGAAGCCGAACTCTTAGGTGTAGGCGCTTCATAATTAGCCTCTAAAGGTGAGGGAGTTTTTCCAGTATACTTTGCTATAAGTGAAGAGCCTCCAGCTGAGTCAAGATGGTCTCTAAGATAAACTGCGTCGTCGACAAAAGTATGTGGACCATGCTGTGACTGCGGGGGTGGATATTTAAGTAGTAATTGCAACGCAACGGTATAATCAGCATTAAGAACTACCAGGTGTTAGCGAATGGGCTAGGGTACGTGAGTAGGTAAACTTGTATCTTACGGCTCCATCGGATTCTAATTAACATCGCCGTGCAAACCAAATCTATCAGTGTCAATGACGGGTCTACGGAAAACAGGGTATCCCAAAGTACGAGCATCTGGTTGAAGGGGAATTCGCGGCTAAACAAGAGACGAATCCAGCGGCTACGATGAAGCGTAAGAATCGTTAGTGATTAAAATTTCACTTATAATTGTGGGAAAGAAGAAAAGAGGATGGCTTAGGCTTACATTAAGAAAACCTGGGGTAGAATTTCAATATTCTTGAGGTGAGTTGACAACTCGGGATCTACCTTAAATAGACAGACTTCGTGTATATATTGACTTCTCTCGACGATGGAGGATGTTGTAGGTTGCTGGGTGAATGTAGTGAGAGGCGCATCCGTTGCCGATTCTGTAACTTCGTAAAATGATCTTGCATGGTCCATCACTTTTGAGAAGAGAGCGAAGGCATCATGTTCGATAAACGAGGCGGCTAACATTTCCAACATTTTTTCATCGGCCGGACCACTTGAACTGATATCTGCTGGATCGATAGCATCATGTTCTACAACATAAACAATTGGTGCTAGAAGCTCATGCATGCCCTGGCGATACCCGCCTAGGCCTGGATTAAGTTTACAATACACGAAAAGCACATCGAGAATAAGCGTCTGGATCTCGGGCTGGTGATAAAAGGGTTCATCTGGTAGCCGTTGAACATCTTGAAGAATCTCAGCCCTCAGTGCTTGATCAAGACGAAGGGTATTCCAAGGAGACTATCTCAAGTTAGCATTAGTGAAATAACATATGGATGCCACATTGAGGAACTTGTCTTACATTGGCATCATCTGCCAAAGGGTCGGCTGAGTCAGTCGTGAGATACTCGGGGTGGTTTATATATTTTAAGAAATGATCCCTCAAAGAGGAATATGTGCTTCGCGTCTCCGAGATGGCCTGAGACCAGTCCGCGGTACCGGTAGACTGGCCGAGTAGGAAGATCTAAGTGTCACGGGTTAAACTCTGCTGAAGGTATCTGGCACTGGAGAGTGACGACATAACGACATACCTTCCAACAGATAGACCTACATCCCGAAATGCAGGGGCTGCTCGGGCCGTTGTCTCTGACGGCTCGTTGCAGACCTGCAAGGCTAGTGCTATGCTTCAGAGTCTCTTGCCATCGTGTGCTATGTCATGCCATGCCGGAGTTTAGCTGGGGACGATACCTTATCTAAAAAGAGGGTTGATTGGACTCACGTCGACTCGACCAAGGATCTCATTATGACTTCTCTAGTGTATTTCTCCAGCTATCCCAATCTCCTATTATAAGCATTGATATGTGTTTACTTACCTTAGGTTAGGTATATGTTAACTATGTTAGTTGGAGAACGGTTAAGGGATAAACTGGTATGGAGTTGGAAAGGCTGGCTGCCAGCTGACAAGCCATTGGAGGTGGCGGTTTTGATAAGAAGTTGAAAGCCCCCGCGGTAAAGTCACCTAAGTACGTGTTACGTCAGCTTCAATGGCTTTGACGCTAATGCACTTTAAAAGGTCACACTACTTCGTACATACATAATGGATTGTATATTATGTACAATTAGGTCTGAGATGTACGTGTACGTATACGTATAAAACATGTGATACCCTCCAATATAATTAACATGACTTACACGACTTACATGAAAAGGAGATCTTCGTCGGGCGTTTTACAAACTAAGCTAACCTAGGTAGATATGGGTTATGTCTATTCCACATTGCCGTAGAAAATGTGCTAGCACCAACTATAATTCAACAACCAAAGGTTCCTCATCTCGCAATGCCCGCCATCGGTTGGTGGACTCGAGTATGCTCCAGCAACCTTTTACAAGAAATGGGAACTTTTTTATAAATCCTTCAGTCATTTCCCATCCTTCGGGTTGCCAAGGATCGCCCCAAGCTATCAACCCACTCATTTCGATCATGTGCGTTTGTCCAGTAATTGAACCTGCCACAGCTGTATCGATGTCTTCTCTCTTGTAAGCTCCTGTCGCCAGTATCGCGTTATCGCGCATTTTCTTGTCTGGTATGAGATCAATCCACGGCTCATGTGGCGTATTTCGTTGCAATTCTGTTTGCTGGAGAGACTCGGGGATAGTGGATGGGGCCGGGAAGAGCGGCATGCCCATCCAGTGTCGAGAACATTCAGCAGCAAAGGCGTTCTGCATACCCAGAATCGCCATGTTAGTTAGAACGCCGCGGATGAAGTTGTATTGTACTAAAGGGATTAAGTGGTCTAGTGTAAGTGGAAATATTATTGTTTGATCCCCCGAAGCACCATGGCTCCCCTGTAACTGCAACTTCGAAAACTTAACCATCAAGGAATAAGCATCGCGTTGTGTCTCGCGTTCTTTGCCCTCTGGTGAATGACATTGCTCTACCTGGCCGACTATGACGGGGTCTGTTGACTGGCTTTTCGTCTTCGATAGCAGAGCCTTTCGTCTTCCTACCGACGTTTAGGACGAGTGTTGAAACGAGGCTATACTAGGCGCGTCACTTACGATGTGCGCGAACGTTAAGGCGATTCTGCAACTTTCGTCTTAGTTTTGCGTCCTTCAGACCGGACCAATCTTCGTCTGGGCCAAGTGCCTGAGTGTCCCACCCTAAGTTAGTAAACCCAGATACTGCTTTCCCATGATGGGGATCTTATAATTAGCCTACCTCCGTTAGAGTAGGCACCATTGTTTGGATCAATAGATGGTCAAGTGGCGTGTCTTTGAATATAGGTTCTTTCCTAAAATGAGCCTAGGATATAAACGCGTACGCATAGATGCAGTTGGCTTACATAGAACGATGGTGGTGTTTCTAAATAGGAACTTGCGGAGTTACCTGCAGCACCGCGGCATTGACTACGTGGTTGATCATCGTAACATTGGGGAAGTTAGGTTAGGTATTACATGGATCGATCTCTCATGGCCACCTGATGGCCACATACTATACCCTAGAGAGCATCCCATACGAAGCTAACAGGGGGAGTGAGCACTGAAATATTAGGTACCTATTGTACAATACAATACTTAATACCTATAGTGAGGTATTCACGGTCATTCCTTTTTTACGGCTGCGACGGACCTTGCATTTGCGAGCAGTAGGTATAATATATAATAATTAGATTAGAAGCAACTAAACAACCCAAATAAAATTTAAATGCTTGAATTGTTGGGTTAGATAGGTACCTGAGTTGTACAATCCCGCTCGTACCTATCGTTACCCAAGGTACCTAGGTACCTACTATTTTTAGTTAGTGCATATGCTACCCGAAAGCTTGCCGGGGCCCGGAATCCCTGCCACTGGTCCCAGTCCGTTTAAACCGTCTCCGATTCTCTCAGCTTCAGCCTCAACGCCAATACTTTCTTCATCTTTTTTTTCCTTATTCCAGACACAACGAATATAGCTTGGAATGCGCTTTGGTTTGTTCCAGTTATGCATATATGCAAAAGCTTAATAAGCCAGTATTAGCGTCTAGGTGATATGTCCGCGGATCTCTTTGCTGCCTTCGAGGATGCCTCGGACCGTTCCTCAAAAGGGCAACAGCAGAAGACCTCCGTTCAGGCTTCCTCATTCGCGTCAGATCCATTTTCCTTCGGGCTTGGAAATGTGACGAATTCTAGCTATAATACGCGACAAAATGCAAGCTCCATATCTCAACAATGGAGCAACGGATCAACACAATGGGGCCGCCAGCTGCAAAACACTCAACGGCCCTCAGGTCCGAATACTTGGTTAAACGCACCGTTGCAATCCAGCCAGTCGAACACCAAGATAGAAGAAGATGATGACGAAGATGGTTGGGGTGACTTTGAAGTTGCAGAGAATTCGAATCAGCCGCCTGCCCCCTCGGTGGCGTCGACTTCTCTGTCGGGCGCAACAACTAAGGAACCACAAAACCCAGCATTACTGCGAACAAGAGTTGTGCGAGCATCAACAATGGACCTTATAACTAATAATTTACTCGATCTTAGCAATTTGTCCATATCGCAGGGCAAAACAGCCCAGTCCTCGTCAGCGCAAGCGGCAGCTAAGCGAGTCGAGTTGCCAACACCCAAAACTGTTTCTTTGGGGACACAGAAAAAGGTCACCAATCCGAATCCAAATGTCTTATTCGATGCCGATGACTTCGGTGGAGAGCAGCATGAAGGAGAAAATGACGAGGACTTTGGAGAGTTTGAGACGGTTGTCTCTCCTGCGCAAGAGGTGCCGGACCTCTTATCGATGGATTCCTCTACGACTCCAAAAACTAATACTAAGCCACGAGCTGCTAATATGCTTTCGCCGTTGAACTTGACCAACCCAGTTTCTTATCCACAGGCACCTCGATCTCCATCATTCCAAGAAAGAAACCCCTTTCCTGGACTTGCTGTTGCTACACCGACAATAGACAAGCATTTCACAAACGACCCAAAAACGTCGCCGGTGACTGCGTGGCCATCCCTTAACGCTCAGAAATCTGCAGGGAGCGAGGGGTTTGGCGACGATTGGGGCGCATTCGATGACTTCCCCGACGAGGAAGCAAAGTCCAACACTAAGACCAATTCAGACTGGGATTGGGATTCAATAGAGTCGGCTCAGCTTAAACCACCCACAACTCACGCACCGCCGCCGACAGCACCTAAGCCTCAAAATTCATCTTGGGACTGGGATCCTATCGATATCAAGACCGAGCAGCAGACTACTGAGCCGAATAATGACCTACCACCAACTAATGTACCTCCTCCGTCAGTGTTGTTGTCATTATTCCCGGAACTACTCGCCCAGGCCAATACGTCACTGTATAAACCTATCAGTGGACAACCTTTCTCTATCAAAAACCGCATTTTATCAGACCCGAAGACAATCGAGTTTCTCAAGGGCTACTTGGCTCTAGCCACGGTTTTAGCTCGTGTTATCGCTGGTCGCAAGCTAAGATGGCATAGAGACAAGTTGCTCTCGCAGAAGATGTCCATATCGGCTGCGGGGAGCAAAGGAATGAAGCTCGCTGGTGTTGATAAGGCACAGGCAGCGCGTGAAGACCGTGAGGCGGCTGATGTCGTCGCTAACTGGAAGGAACAAATAGGTCGTCTTCGGTCCGCAGTTGCGGCTGCTAATTCGTCAATCAAGAATAAGACAGAGCAACTGAAGATTCCTGAAATCTCGGAATCAATGCACATTCAGAACGAGAAGATGGTACCGACTGCTCCTAAGGCGTGCGTTGTCTGTGGCCTGAAGCGTAATGAAAGAATCCCGAAAGTAGATTACGAAGTCGAAGATAGCTTCGGCGAATGGTGGGTTGACCATTGGGGGCATCTGGCATGCAAGAGATTCTGGTTACAGCATGAGAATACCCTACGGCAAAGATAAGTCTCAAGCTTCACCGGCTGTGGCCAGTCGTATCGAGATCCACACTACGAATAAATACCAAAGGCAGGCAAGCTCTTATCTTCTTACCCAATACCATCCGTATCATTTTCGATTACAATAACCAAACGCCGGGTGCCTGCCTGTCTTCATAGATTAGCTTTTCGCCGCCGCTTCCCCGGTCATTTACCTTGAGTACCTAGTAACGAACGATGGACAATATATCAACTACATGGAATTATTGTAATACTATCTTAGGGCCACAAGCTGCGCGATAACAGCCATCCTTCATCATTTCTCGCTGTATGATGCTATGATAACATTCAGAAAGCGATACCCCTCAACCAACAACAAACATTCATCTAACAGCGGTTTGGTGGCTAGCCAATTAGCGGCATACGAGCAAGGAGGCTTACTCTGGAGTCCTTCCCCGGCCAGGCGCCTCGCAGCAAATTGCTTCTGGCTGCTTCTCCCTCGGCAACTTGAGACGCCTCGTAGATTGCCACTTTGGGTGGGGGTATGACCAGTCCAGCGGGATGGAACCTCACGAGCATGATGTTAATTATGACACATCCAACCGGCCGTTATCTCCATGTAAAACTCGTTGCCCGCCTTTGCCGCGCCTGGGAAATATGGCCCCTAGGAAATATGCAGGATCGAGTCGCACAACATTATGCACCTCGCGGCTTATTCTTCACGAGCCTACCAGCAAGGGATTAGTGAGCGGCCTGAATCAGGGTGGCTGCCGAGCGCCGCCTTCAACTTAGGGCTGTACTCGATAGGTGAATCAACTCCCCCGTGTATGTACGGACACACTATGGCGTGACCTTCTAAAATGTGAATGGAAAGCTGTAAAAGTCGTATCTTACTGAACTTGATTGAGATGATTTCTCGAATGTCTGACCAGCATTCTCTGTTTTCGATTTCGTCTATACGGTAAGGCTGGCACAATATGATTCGACAAGATATACCTATGCCACAAGGGTTCGTCGAATTCCAACATCGTCCTAAAATTTCTTGGTTTGTACGGACGACCAACCGTGAGACGCTATGAGTTCCGACTTGCATATCAAAAGGTAGGCGAGCAATATGATTCGCGTCGGGGCTACTAGACATTACGCTGTAACTCTAGGTACAGCCAATACCACATGGTTTACCCCCTTCTTGGGTGGCATCGAGAACTTGAACGGTTTCATTATGGAGGTTTGGATGGTGACCTTTCAACTGGAATGATGGGTCCGAGATGCGGAGGCCATTTTTGCTTTGTCTATCCCGGTTGGCACAGTCACACAATTGACTTCACGCCGTCTGTATTCGTGTTTGTTAATGTTTACACACGGCTATACAAGCAATGGGAGTAATTATAGCTACGATTCGTTTAATCATGATAAAATTTAAGTGGTACGGGACTCTAAGGGACTTATAATCCAATATAGTTCTCGTGGCAAACAGGTCCTGGCCATTGCCCCCTTTTCTATGATGCCTCGAGGTTTAGGACGTCAATGGGAGGGCAAAGTAAAAGTGAATCGTCATATATATTGACCGTCTCGATCACCGCGGATATATCGGTTCGGACTTGTAATACTGACTTTACGAACAATCTCGATGCTCATCGCTGATACCTAACCTAATGCATTGCTACTAGGTAACTCGCCTTCCCTACAGGGCGGGTAGTACGACTAGGATATTGACGTGGCAGTATACTAAAAGAGACAGCATGAAGTATTACTACATATATCTCATCAATCTGCATTGAGAACTTGTAGTAGAATATTATGCTTAACGATATAGATTGATAGGACCGAAGTAGATGACAGGAACAAATGTATTGTTATCTGTTCTGTAGACCTTATAGTCAATTGAAGTTAGTTCTTAGATTCATACATCAGGTCAAGACTTATACCTTGATGGAAGCTTTATATATCTTATGCTATCCTACAAGGTGTGTATTTTACATAACTACCTACCTAGGGTATATATCTAGGTAGTTTCTGGAAGCCTAGCAGGTCCAGATGCACAGAAGATTTTATAGTATAGTTACAACATCACGGTAAAAAGCTGGATATTGCATCTACGACAAGGGACATATGAAATAAACTAAATGTCTAAAGATGCTCAAATATACAGAAGCCAACTAAAACATAAACACATCTATGTCCTAGTGGTAACTTCTATAGAACCTTTACAAAGCTTACGACAAAAATACCATTGTATTATTTACAGTATAATTTGGTGTGGTATGTAGAAAATGCATAGTAAAATCGATGAAGAAACGAATCAACAAAAGTCAGTAAACGTGAATCACAACGAAGGCGTTTGATAAAGAAAAGTGGAGAGATGCAGGCATGTACATAAATGGAAGTGTGCGTGCGTATACCCATACTTTGGAGTTTAGTTAGGTAGCCTGTAGGTGTATTGTACCTACATATGGATGCGGTTCTGTACCTTAGGAGGTATGGACTGGTATTAGCTTTCATTAGTCCAGGCACCAAGGTTCGGGTCCAGGTCGTTTTCATTACAACTGGTACTCGAAAATAACGGAAGACTCCGATTATGCGCATCGAGACTCGATCATGAGACTTGGAACCGAGATATATCAAATATCAACAAGTTTTTATCAATAATAATTTTTTTCTTCGTCTTCTTTTTCTTTCATTTCATCTGAAGTGAACCTGCTTGGAATGCTTCTAAAATTCTTGTTGAGAATAACAAAGACAGACACCTACCTAAAGTACCTCCTACCTACCTACCTAAGTAGGTACATAAAGTTAGATATGTGTTTGGATAATAACTTTTTCCACCTGGGTAATGACATATGCACACATACCTATGAGTACCGAAGTTAGTTACATAAGTTGTTAGGTACCTACTCACCCACCTGCCCACTTACCGAGCCCATGTGCGTGAATACCTAGTATAAGTACGTAATGCCAGGGATTTCCAATAAGGAACCCCTCTTTCTCTATCCAAACTCCCCGCGCGTCTCCTTCTGCAGGTGACACGGTTACTTACGCTTATGAAGAGGCGTCTTTAGTTCTCGGTAAAATGCCTAATTGCTTGTTTTTTTTTTTTTTTTGGGCGTCTTGTCCTTTGTAAGGCTTGCCGCCGTCAACGGGGTGCCATTACGTCATAAAGTATATTATGTCCATGTTAAGTGTAAGTGCCCTGGTCGTACATGATTAGGTATGTTAGGTAGGTAGGTAGGCACACATATCTACCTCATAAGGCAGTGACTATACAGAATACCTACCTACCTAGGTGGTTTAGGTACAATAGACATGTAACCTTGGAAGTGATAGCCCTAGTAACCTGCAAAATAGAGTTACGCGGGAATGTACCTTCTATCCTTTCCATAACGATTGACCCGTGTGATTAGTACCTACTAGCTCTCCATAGTATTACCGACGCAAGAACGTGCTTTCTGCACCTAACCTTGTCCCAAATTGTCGTCTACGGTACCAAGAGAGGTAGTCGAGACTTCCATAGGTAACTTTGACCTCTTAGTTAGCTCTTAGTTGCCTAGGCTTCCGGGTTCTTTCTTCAATCCCACTTCCCAGTCTCTACCCTACCTTGTCTCTAGTCTCCAGTCTCCAGTCTCCAGTTTCCCTCTTCTCTCCTGTACCTTTTCTCGCCTCTAACCAAATTCAACCCTTCCATCTACCTCCCATCTACCTACTTTCTACCTACTTTTTTCACTTACCCAACCCTCCATCATACAACACAACCTCTTCCATAACCTCACTTTCATCAATCTCTTTTTTCCCCCCCTCTCTCTCCATCCTAATCCTCCTCATCCTTTTCGTCCTCCCAGCCTTCAACCAACTAAACTCTCCCCCATACGTTCGACGCCCTCTTCACTCTTCTTTGTCCTATTTGGACCAACCAACTTCTTCCACCAGAGACACCCGCCTACGCTGGTACATACGGTACTAGTTGTCGCAATTGGCTTCTTTCCTTATTTAGGACCCATTGCCGCTTATCCAAACCCCGGTCAAACGCACCGTTACCTACCTACTACCTACATACTTACTAGGCCACCTTGGCCGGCCTGCCGAGACCCAGCTGTCATTACGGACCCTGTCTCCATCTAAAAAAAAAAATCCAAACAGTCCCCGTTCTCGCGTGCAATTGTGATAGCAAGGCCCTAGGTAGGGAAACAAGCGAGAACAAAATCAGAGTGGAAAGAAAAAAAAAGGAAAAGAAAACACCAAATTCTTCGCACCCCGCAGAAACCAACTAGACCCGGCTAGAACGCCAGAATTTCCTTTGAAGACATCCTGCGCAGCACAGACACCGCAGCGGAAGAAGGTCAGTCAAGTATGCAGTGCCCCGCCTACTCAAGCCCCAGTTTCGCATAATAACTTACACTTTCTTCCTAATCGTTCTGTATTGGCTGTATTTTTATTTCTATTTTCTACAGCCACATGTCAAAATCGTGCAGATGCAACAGCCTCTGACGAGATAAGATCTGTTTGTCAATCTCGTTTCAACCATTTCTTGGCTCTTTTTCCTCCTCTGAGCCTCCCATCCTTCCCCCCTACATGCCCATTTGACGGATACCCTTCCCCGCAGCAACACACAGCTTATCAGAGCTAACTGCGTGCAGCCCGTTCTTTACCATCAGATCTGGAGCTTACAGCAATCCACTCCTGTACCACTTTTTTCTACGTACACCCGCCCCCATCCAGCGTCAGCCAACAAGATTTCCTGCGCACCCATAGCCCTTCGAGGAAACCTTGGGAGCTACTAGTTCCTAGTTAACTCGGATCAAACCACCCAGTCAGACGCTGCTGACGTAGAAAATACCACCCAAATTAACATCATCGCATACGACCTACCTTTCGACATGTCTGTGGCCCAGGACACTCTCACGCCAAATGGTAACGATATACTATCGTCTCCTATGGATCAGCTAAAGCTCGATGAGAACGAGCCTCGCTTAGGCCCGGATGGCGAGCCTGCGCCCAAGACTGACGAGGAGTATGCTGTAGCTCAATTGACGCTCCGCGCCATCGTCTCCTCCAAAGAAGCTGGCGTCATAATCGGCAAGGGAGGTAAGAATGTCGCAGACCTGCGGGATGAAACTGGAGTCAGGGCCGGCGTGAGCAAAGTCGTCCAAGGTGTGCATGATCGTGTTTTGACCATTTCGGGTGGTTGCGACTCCATCTCTAAAGCATATGCCATTGTCGCTCGTGCGCTATTAGAAGGCGCCCCTGCGATGGGAATGGGGGGTGTTATTCAGAGTAGCGGAACACATCGTGAGCGTCCCCCAATAACTTACTATTCGCAGCGCGCTACTAATGTACAACCCGATCATCAAGAAATCAAATTACTCATCTCCCATAATCAGATGGGTACCATCATTGGCAGAGCAGGTCTCAAAATCAAGCACATTCAGGACGTCTCCGGTGTGCGCATGGTTGCGCAGAAGGAAATGCTACCGCAATCGACCGAGCGAATCGTTGAAGTGCAGGGAACACCCGAGGGCATCCAACGAGCTGTCTGGGAAATCTGCAAATGTTTGGTCGATGACTGGCAGCGTGGTACCGGTACTGTACTCTACAATCCTGTCGTTCGAACCGCGCCCGGCGGTGCGGGGTCTCTCGGTGGTGCTTCTAGCACTGGCGGGGTAACGTACAACTCGTCCAGTAGAGGTGATTATGGCGGTACTCGTGTGATGCGAACTGGAAACGGTGCCGACTTTAGCAATGGGGGCGTGCGCCCATACAATCGGCGGTCGGACTCTGATGCGGCTACCCGCGGACCACCAACGCACGATGAGAACGGAGAGGAGATCCAGACTCAGAACATCAGTATCCCCGCAGACATGGTTGGATGCATTATTGGACGTGGTGGAAGCAAGATAAGCGAGATCCGCAAGACTTCTAATGCCCGCATCTCTATTGCCAAGGTAGGACTAACCCAACCATTCATCTAAGGACCAGCAACTAACAATGCCATTTAGGCACCTCACGACGAGACTGGCGAGCGAATGTTCACTATAATGGGAACTGCAAAGGCCAACGAGTCTGCACTGTTTCTCCTCTACGAAAATCTCGAGGCTGAGAAGATGCGCCGCAGCCAATCACAGCCCGCCGAGTAATGACCTATTTCGCTACTACGGTATGCGACGGCCGTTGCAGAGAGGCCAGCAGCTTATACATCTATCTGGAATATTTCTAGTGTTGGGTCTGATTTCGCAATGTACCCTGCGTTTTGAAGGGGTACTTCAGATTTGACTTGCCGCAAGGCTGACGCCCCTTGGTTTTTTTTTGGGGACGGTTCCTATGATATGACGTGACGATTTTCTCCCTACCCAGAGGCAAACTTCATTATTGCCTCGTCGCAAACTCAATCCGGCTTTCCTTAATATTTCCTCAAAAAAAAAAAACCATCACCTTTATGGACACGTATGTCCTCACACTTGATGCACGGCAGACTCCCGGCAAGCACTCAACACCTCAGTTTCGAACTTCGATACCCAGGCTGGGTGCTGCGCGAGACCTCACGGAGCTATTTTTCACTTGACACATCCGCCCCCATGCGTCAGCATCTTTGTTGTATCGGCTTCCCCTCCCCCGAAGTAATAGGTACGACCTACCTATAACCCATGCTTCTACATACGGTGCCTCGACCATAATCAGTTACCTCTCCATCTCTTAGGCGATTTATCGACCCTCTTCTTATCACAGTGCTACATAAGATTACTCCTTCTTTATCCTCTAATCAACAAGTCGAATTACCTCTCGATGATATCTCACTTTTCGCACGCCAGAAAACACGCAAGAAAAAGACAACAATCCTGTGCCTCGGCCGCATGTACACCGCAGCCATCCACATTCCGTCGGGAGCCCTGCGGAATGGCTTTTGGAGAGATGGTGTTAAACAGATGGGCGGGTACCTAGCTAGATAGTAAGTAACGTGCCTTGAAGATCAGCAATACTATAATTATGGCCAACGTATCTGGAAAGCAAAGCATAAGAATGGTGGTTGCTAGTTTGCGAGTGATTCTTCATGACGTTTGAAAAAGGGGGTAATGGACCGGCATTGTGATTTAGCCAATAAAACATTCCTTGAACTAAATTGACGAGGGGTGGATTGAGCCGCTCTGAGATGTCTAGATGAGGAATATCTAGCACAAGGCGAGAGGAAAGTTGATAAATTCACGTTCATGTGCATGGCCGGCCTCAGGAGAGTATTAAGCGTAGCATATTCGTGCATTTCCTATATGGTCAGTTAGATGCTATACTACTCGGGCAGTATAGCATCTACCTATCTAAAGGTATAGGTGGTAAGAGGTACGCATACCTAGGTAATCCAGGGTGATGTCAATAGGTATATCAGGTAGGTAAGGACTTGTATTACCTACTGGGTACCTAATATAAATGGGGCACGGCAGAAGATGTAGAGCAGGGTATAGAGGCGGGGTGGGCCTCACCGCCTAGCGGATTTGGCGTGCACCTGGGCCAAGATGCGTTATAATTCTGCCGGTTGCTACTTTTAGATTTTTAGGTACGGTACAATACTTTAGCTACCTGTAAGTGGCCAATCTGTCATCAGCACCTGTCAAGTCGCTGAGCTCGTTACTACAAACTCTCTCTTCGTCGTATATCAAATTTTTTCTTTTCTTTTTTAATTAACACTTTAGTTTAGGTACCTGTTAAGCACTTTTCACTTCATTCACGCTCGTTTACTTTTCTCCCAATTCCGAGGTTTCGCGATAATATAGATATATACCTTGTCTGTACATTAGGTACCTATATATCATGGCGCGCGTCAAACAAGCTAAGCCCGTCGAGCGACAGACGTCGTCCGAGTATATCGCACACCAGAACTCGACGGATAAGAAGGGCGACGATATTGCGATACGGTCGGATGGCAACGCGAGTAAATATGCACCACACGGGACGGCGGCGACAACAACGAAGAAGGACGCGGGCGTAGCGCAGTTGGTGGTTGCTGTTGCTGGTATCTACGGGTCCTTGTACGTATTAACATTAACATAACTATCATATATCATCATATATATATGAATGAAGGGGGTCTGTTTGATACAACACGAGCAAATGGCTAACTTCCTGTTCTCCCTTTCTTCCCCCTTCGCAGTCTCACCTGGGCGTACCTACAAGAGAAACTCACGACGACGCCGCACGGCGTCTCACCCGGGGGCGCGACGGAGCGGTTCCAGTACCCGGTGTTCCTGAACACGATCCAGTCTTTGTTCGCGGCGGCGACGGGCGCTATCTACCTGTACGCGAGCACACCCCGGGGCCGCCCCGTCCCCGCCGTCATCCCGTCGCGCCGCATCCTCGGCCCCCTGTTGCTCGTGGCGCTCACGAGCTCGCTCGCCAGCCCCTTCGGGTACGCGAGCCTCGCGCACATCGACTACATCACCTTCCTGCTCGCCAAGAGCTGCAAGCTGCTCCCCGTCATGCTCCTCCACGTCACCCTCTTCCGCCGGAGGTACCCGCTCTACAAGTACCTGGTCGTGGCGGCCGTGACGGCCGGCGTCGCGGTGTTCACGCTGCACTCGGGGAAGAGCCACGGCAAGGGCAAGACGACCAGCAGCAACAACAACAGCGCTTGGGGCCTCCTGTTGCTGGGGATCAACCTCCTGTTCGACGGCCTCACGAACAGCACCCAGGACTACATCTTCGGCGCCTTCCAGCCCTACTCGGGCCCCCAGATGATGTGCGCCAATAACCTGATGAGCACCGCCGTCACCGCCGCGTACCTCGTGCTGAGCCCGTGGCTCGCGCGCACCGGCGCCGGCGAGTGGTTGGGCGTCGATGTCGCGGGCGGCGCGGGGGAGCTCGAGGCCGCGATGGGGTTCATGGCGAGGCACCCGAGCGTCTGGGCGGACGTGTTAGGGTTCGCGGCGTGCGGTGCGGTCGGGCAGGTTTTCATCTGTACGTTTTTTTTTTCTTATCCCCTTCTCCCCTCCCCCCCCCCCCCCCCCCCCCTTTATTCCGGAGAGAAAAAGAAAAAAAGAAGAAAAGAGAAACTAACACAGCAGCAACAACAAAATTTAGTCTACACGCTATCGACCTTCTCCTCGGTCCTGCTCGTCACGGTGACGGTCACCCGCAAGATGTTCACCATGATCCTGTCGGTCGTCGCCTTCGGCCACCGCCTCACCCGCATGCAGGTCCTCGGCGTCGGCCTCGTCTTCGGCGGCATCGGCGTCGAGGCCGCCATCGCCCGCCGGGAGAAGCTGGCGAAGGAGGCGGCGAAGCGGAGCGGGAGCGGGGGTGCGGAGAAGAAAGGACAATGATTACCTAGCCTTTTGTGTTTTTACCGGTTTCTCCCCCCCTTTTTTTGTCTTCCTTTTTATTGTTGCTGGTTTGTGTGTGCTTTGTCTTCGAGGGAAGATGGGGGTTTATTGTCTGGTTGGTTAGATCAACCTAGCTGGATAAGTCGGTTTCGATAATTTCCTAAGTATCTGTATGTACCTAGGTAGGTAGTAGGAGGGGAGGGGGGGATTAGATAGGACGTAGCACTCACCTTATCTTGTGTGTGATTGTATATAGAAGAAGAGGAGGAGGAATGCATGTGCTCTCAAGGAGTTTATTCTTATTACGAAAAAAAATGGGAAGAAGAAAAGGCCAAAGGAAGGGAGTTTTGATATTGATACCTGCTTTGGCGCATGAGCAGAATACAGACAAATACATACATCTGGATGAAGATGATCTAGCTGTGCCCCTTTTTTTATTAACACCCGTGAGATACCTATGTACTACTTAATTACCTAAGGCAAGCAGGATAGGTTGAATAGAGGTTTCAGTATATTATTGCTCAAAGAAAAGAAAGAAAGAAATAGCTAACATGAATGTTTCGCGTGGCTATTAATTACAAATAATAATAATCCTCATCGAGGTCCCTGTAGAAGGTAGGAGAATAATTATAACAATCGAAGCAAGGCTATGTGCGAGACGAAGCACTGGATTACAAAAGTAAGTACCTCTCCCAAGCCTCAAGCTACCTTACACAATAACAGCAATTTAATTCACATGCACAAATTACTCAACTACACACACTCAAACAGAAAACAAAAGGGGGGTTTATGAACGAGAAGCGCTAAGCCGCGCGTCTCCCATTGACATTCGTGAGTTATATGTACAAGATGGGGGGGAGGAGGAGGTTAAATGAGGAACGCCATCTGCATCCGCCCAACCCTCCGCCAAATTAGCTACTTTTTTTCCAGACTCCCTCGAACGCCGTTGCTTGCTCGTTTGTGCCCTTGTCCGCACCCACGGGGAGTAATACAAAGCTTTCTGCTGTTTTGTTGCCGAAGCTCCCGCCCCCCCTGATTTCCAGTCGTCATTGGCTGTATTTTTTTTTAATGAACATAATACCTCGTGCTCGCTTTTCTGGATATAAGAAGAAAAAAGCAGAGGCAAAAAAACCGAGAGAGGGCGAATGATTTCAGAGGGGATGGTCGACGCGTACTGGATTCTCTCCCTTATTAAAAAAAAGCCGGTATTCTATCAAGTTGCAAAATTGCAAACAAGATGGGCGTCGGCGGAAAGTAGTGATGGAATGGGATATTCTCTCGTATGCCCCAGTTAAGCTTCCTTTGCCGGTTTCGTACCGTACCGTTTTTCCAATACTTCCACCCGGCGTACAACCTTGACTTCGTCCCCTTGTATTTTTTTATTCTCGCTTCCCAAACCACCAGTGGGTGTTTCTTTTTTTCCATATGGCTAGCCGTTAAAAACCAACCTCGCGAGAGCTTCTCCAATCCTCTTAGGAGAGGCCTCGCAACTTGTGCCGTCCGGGTATTTGACTCCGCCGTTCCGGTGCTGCCTGAACCACTCCAAATGACAAAGTAAACAACTTGATAAGGAAAACAAAGTGACGGTCTGCAATTGTAAAAGTAAACAAAAGAAAAAGAAGAAAAAGACTATTGGCTCATCCCGACTCAGTCTTGGGCTCAGAGTGTATGTGAATTTCGTATAGCATACGCCGCGTTATCACATCAATAATTTGCGACTGATAGAAGGTACTATAATACGTCGTCGATGGATCGAACGATAGGTGTTTCACCCTTAGTAGGTGGGCTTCTCGGGTCGGCGATCTGAGTAGGACGTCCAAAGGGGAAGAAGGGATCGCGCGGGAACATGGTTTGTCGCGGGGAGAAGAGACCTTCACTAGGGGTAGGAGGAACCTCGAGAAATTTCACGCCAGACATCTCCGAATAGGAGTCGTGCAGAGGATTGCTAGTCATAGTTTCTGCTCTAGGCGACATGAGAGTGTCGTCATCATCATCATCAGGCGGGGCTGATACGATTGGTAGATCTCTTGGTAGATCTCGTCCGTTACTTGGCTCTGCCATGCGTTCCTCGAAACTAGAGCAAGAATTGAAGCCGAATCCAAAGCCTGAAGGACCATTAGGACCAAATCCTGGAGACGGGGGAGGTCTGAAGAATCCGGGTGACGGAGGCGGATTGAAAAATGACGAAGCCGGTTTAAGTGAAGATGTCTGGCTCGGCTGGGGAGTGGGTTCGAAAAACCGAGGTGGTTCAAGCGAGCTACCAAAGTTGAAGCGTCCAGGCTTGCCAGGATCTTGTGGATCTTCCTTTTCAGACCAAGAGAAGCTTGACGGAGCAGACGATGGGCCGGGATACATAGATTCCAGGTTCGGAGTAGATTTCCCACGAGAATGACTCGGTGCACGTTCTCTGCTGGAGCCATTGACACTTCCCTCCTCGTCTGGCAATGGCGCCGTCATTGGTTCTTTCGGTTGCATATCAATCGCATTGGCCGAGAGTGTAAGACGGTGATGTTTTGTAGGGCTTCTGCCGCTTCGAGGTCCCGCAGCAGATCGAGGAGCTAGCCTCTTCTTGCCCACCTCCTTCTGGAAGTCTTGTAAGCAGTACATCAATCGCATATTCGGACTGATCCATCGACTCTTCGATTGCGCAGCGTAGTAAGCATCATTAACAGTCAATCCGGGGTTTCGGTAAAGACCGTATGCGATGATCAAGCTGGCCGAACGGCTCGCGCCCTGCTGACAATGAACAAGAACCTTCTTTCCTTCCCTTGTGCGCTTCTCGATTGTCTCGCAAAGCATCATGAGATCTGTAGCGATATCGGTATTATGATCCCACGGCATATGGATATATTCGGGTTCGAAAATGGCGTTAGTCGCCTTTGGAGTTGTCGGTGTTTCCGAATACTCACCCGAGGGAGGATACTCAAACGCGGTGGCGAAGCTGTCGTTTGTCATAGCGGTGTCGGGAATAGGTGATTCGATCTGGCTCATTCTAAAATTCTTGTTTGTAGCCTGGAAAGGATTGGTCACCTCGCGAGCTACATTTATTACCACATCAAATTTAGATGCTTCTTCCGCGGTGGGTTCTAAGTAGAGATAAACATTGTCGTCATAGATGGCGATAGGACCATCAGGATAACCTGGTGACTTCTGATCTTCGTTATTTTCCGGCTCGATAAACGGCTCGAAATCCATCGCAGCGCGATTCGCTAGCTGCGTCTTGATAGGCGAATCTTCCTCAAGGATAGTAGTATCAAAACCTGGGCAATGATTTCCCTGTTTTGTCGGACGTAATACTTCAGACAAACCTGAGGTACCACGCTCAAGAACAGTTGGGAAAGTCATGCCACCAGCTGGACCGAAAGTGGACGACTTCAATCCAGAAAGCATGTGAGGCGAAGATGTCGAGTGTTTTAGGGATCTGCGTTGCAGAATCGGCGGAAGGGCAGGTGAACTCGGGACTTCGAGGATAGTAGGTCGAATGTTAAGCCCGGTTGAATCAGTCTTGAGACTGAGCTGACTAGGTTTTCGCTTCATGGCAGGAATCTTTGGTTTAATAAAGGAAGGCGACGAAGGTTCGGATACCAAATTGGAAGAAAGTGAGCTCATGAACGGCGGTTGAATTGACAGACCTTTCATATTTCTTCGCCTCGGGGAAGGAGACGTCATGGGTCGCTCCCGGATGGTAGGGTCATTGACGGTGAGGTTATTCATTGTGGACGGCAAACCTCCGAAATTGGTACCTGGAAAAGAATTTAAAGGTATCAAATTGACAGGCGAGTCGGGAGAAGATGACGGTGACGGGTCGGAAAGGGAAGATGTATCTGTTGTTAAGGTCGTTGTTGGGGAAGAATCTGCAGACTCAGAGTTTTGCGTTGAAGTGCTGTCGTGGTGACGGTGCGAAGGATCTGTCGGTAAGGGCCGTAACGCATGTTGTTGTGGTAACCCACCAGACAGGTGTCCATGTGCGCATGAAGAGTCCATCTCCATCAACTTAGGGTCTACCACAGTTACCAATCCTCTCTCGTCAATAGTGTTATCTGTCTCAGGATCGAAAATCGACATGAATGACGGTATTTGATCCTCATACATTCGTCTAGCAGTTGCTGAAGGCATTTTTGACACTGCCACTAACCGTCTCTTAAAACCCCTCCTCTTTATCACTGATACTGACTCAATTTCTTTTTTTCTTCTTCTCTTTCGTGTATCCGTATATCCAAGGTTTGGATTGTTCGATTGGTATTTCGTCGCAAGCGATTCGCCCCAAATGAACTTGAATATTTCCACAAAATTAACAACCTCTTAACGAACGATGTTGTTGAACGACTTTGTATAAGCTTTGTGCAGGACAGCGCTGCTGTATCCTTTTTTTCTTTTTTTTTTTTTCCTACTCTTAACTGGTTTTCTCCGTCTCTTTCACAGTCACCGCCGGGCAAATTGAGCCTAGCCACCTATTATAGTCCTTACTTAAGCTGAGACACACACACACTCCACACTCATAACGTCTCTCTCGTAATAATTGACAACCACTGAGTAAGGGCAACCGCTAGCTGCGTCGTAGGAGGGAGTATAGGTTTGAGTTAAGACTGTACTAGAGGCCGAGACGGCAAGAGGGAACAATGAATGAAGATTTGTAAGAAGGGTAGAATGTCCCGTCAAGTATTAAAAATGAGGTAGAAGAGAGAGAGAGAGTAGGTGTATTTTCTTTTTCTTAAAGTGCTAGCATTCAGAAGCCATTAGGAAGTTAGCGCAGACCACCCTTCACTACCTTGTGTACCATATAGTTTTAAGTAATGGACTTGTTTGCGGGTAGCAAGTAGGCAGTGCGGCGGTTGGCGATACGGGTTTCGTTCTGCTAATGTACGATACGAAGAGAGTTTGAGAAGAATGGTTAGGATAGAATTAATTGGAAGATCGACAAGCGTTCGGAGAGACAGACACCAGTACCTATGCACTCTCGCACGCTGTCTTTCACTTTCAGAGAAAAAACAAGTCAACAAGGGGGGAAAAGAACCAGGAAGAAAAAAACCCGGGGGTGGGCGCAAGTAGAGAAGAGGGAGAAAAAGGCGGATGGGATGCGGTGGAGGGACAGAGGACGCTGGATTGTGTGGAATTGTTGTGTGTGTGTTGACTGATGAATGGGTGAATTCTGGAGGGAGGAGAAAAGATGTGGAATGGGGATTGGGATGGGATTGAGATTGAGATTGCGCTAGAGGGAAGCACTTGGCCTTAGCGCAGGCCTACATGGGCAGTAGAACTGGGGTACAGCCACTATGGACAAAGGCAGTGTTTGAAACAAGTTCGCTACTTTGACCTCGGCGTGAAGCGTTAACAAGCTCAATCCAGTGTGGGGCCTCTCAGCTCCATAGGTAGTTCCCTACCACAAGCAGCTACTATTACACTAGGTTAGTACAATACACTAGCTTAGGTACATAGGTAAGTACCTACATAGGCTACATGTAGTACTTAAGGTACCCGTGGCTCCCGTGGGTCTATTATGAAAGGTACGGAGAGTACGGCGATAGGCTACCGCAAAGATACCCATTGCCGACCTGTTCGCGCTAAAAATGTGCCTGAAATAATTATAACCGCAGAATCATCCCTTCATTGTTGGCGTTGTATCAACCTGTAGTGTACATCTTCTTTTTTTTTGATGGCCGGAGTTATGATAGTTTTTTTTTTGTGAGTTGCGATTGTCAACAAAATGCAAGAGACTTGTTACGCCGCTAACAGTTGAAAGCGCAAGGTCTTCTGAATGGATACTCTTGACAGGGGTATTGGCTTTGCGAAACGAGACACTGGCCAAAACAGGGATTATAATTGTTCTATTAATAGATGTCTGCAGCTCGGTCGGCGCCAAGGCTTGACCAATCAGAAGGCCTGTGCCAAATTTGGCCTCGCAGCTGATAATTTCGACTTCGCCAATCGCCTCTTCCATGCCAAGCACCAACCCGGAAATGGCGCTGGTGGCTTGGGATTTTGTGGAAATGCGGCGCTAGTTGACGATGCGCGGATGAGAAAAAGTTTGATTTACTTATCCAAGTACTATGTAGGGAGATGTTATAACTAACCGCCTCTCCAGAAGTATACTTTGTAGAAAATCGCCATCGGGAATAATCCCTTTGTCTCCTTTGTGCCGGTATCATGACCAGGGTATATTTGTTTCCACTTTCATCCTCTGTTACTCCTCTCATTTCTCAGGGCGAGCGTACGTCATGGCTAGACGATACTAGTCTTAAAATTTTAATGGTCGGGATTTACCGACCTGCATAAAAATTAAATGACTATTTTAGTCAATATGCTGCTCATTTTGTACATACCTTAGGTAGGATTGGCCCGTCCAAAGCAAATCAAGAGGTGTGACAAGATCATCTTGAAGACGGAACCGTCGATTGGTTTTCTTTTCTCCGTGTCCGCAGCAATCAATCGATCGGTCTTGTCGGCCCTACGAAACTCAATGTAAAATATCCCTTGACAGGAAGAAGGAAAAGACACTATTTAAAGCTCAAACGCTATATGAGGTATGTATGTATTTTGAGAGTTCTTTTATACCCTGTTAAGACACGTGGACATACTAATAAAAACGCATAAGATCCATATATACGAATAATGGTCTACTAGATGCGACGTGAACAGTGTATGTGCGTACATAGTAGATTCCTACTTACCTTACCTTAGGTAGTTAAGTATGGAATTTAGTAGTTATTCTAGAGAATAACTAGGGTTATTTGCTTGAGGGAAAAAAAGCCTTAGTTTACCGAATGGTCGCATAAGGGTCTCTCTCCCCCCGTTCCCGTTACGTACGAAACAGAGCCTCACACATATAAGCAACAAGTCTAACAGATACAATATCGCAGTAGGTATATAGTTTACAGGCGTACGATTAATCCTGATATTATGTCGTTATACTATAATATAACGGTTTGCACTTCCGTGGAGCACAGCCTAAGGGTCTCAATCAATCCATATTGACATGGTATCCTTTCTTTTTTTTTTTTTTTTTTTTTTTTTTTTTTTTTTCTATTTTCTATTAGAAATCTAGTTAAAGTGCCGTCTCATGCTTAAAGGTAATCTACGAGATCTTTAGATCTAACGGCCGGCTGCCGTATAACTGAACCCCTAGTCGACGACCAGCTATACGTACTAGTGCTGGCGTTTGCCGCTGCTGCTATTCTGCTACTATGTTATATACACTAGGTAGGTAGTTAATGTAGACCTGCTTCGTGTGTGAACTTCTGTTACCTGTGGATACAAGAACCACATGAACGGAGTGTCGCTCTCGTTGCACGTACATTGTAGGTACTTCCTGTGGCGCTGAAACGTTTGTTTACATGGTGTTCAATCCCAATCCTTCTTGTTGCCGTGACATCCCTCACCTCTTACTCATCTTATCGAAATCTCCGGCATGAATTATTTGATTTTAACGTCAGCAACACGTCAGAACCTTGACCTTATTTTGTTAAAAGGAAGCACTACTGGCTAAAGCATGCATGTTCGTACCCGAAGTTCCCAAGTAGCTGATTAGTGAGGTAGTTTATTGGTGTGCTATGCATCCCCGAGATTCTTGGTCTTCGGGACCGGGACTCTCACTCCATCCATATAAGCTGACATTAGGAAGAATCGCTCACGGGAATCGGCTTATACACGTCTCATACTACTTACAACATCGTCAAACATTTCGTTTACTCCAGTTACGATCTAGCCATACAGATACTAGATTCTAGTAACGAGCAACGTTATATATGTAAGTGCTGAATATACATATCCTAAATTAGAACCAAGTTTTTTTTTTTTTTGTGTGTGTGTGTGTGTGTGTGCATGATCCGCTGGAATTATAAGAGTTTTATTTCATTGACAGTTGTGGTTTTGGGGGAATCATTCATAGGTACATATTGCAGCCTGTAGTTTTGCTATACTCGCACTGCTCATAAGTTGTAAGTCCTTATTCCCAAGGGCAGTTCATATCAAGCGTGCCTCTTAGCATATATCTTTACTTATAAACTTACGAGCCATCCGCAAGCTCTACAAAGTTATGATGGGAAACTGAATCTTTTTACTGATATTACTAAAATTCTTCGCCGAGACATCAATAACAACAAGCCCATGGCTGTAGCCGTAATCTGATCTCAATTAAGCCCGCAGTTTTCTTGCTTTAGAGTCGTCGTGTTCTCACTTAGTTGTATCACACGACCTTAACATCCAATATCCACGCTTACAGATAAATAGATCTACGATCAAGAGACGTATGGATCATCAAGTCTTCACTGGCTCTTCTGTTCGCCGCAGCCTGTTATTATTGCAATCGACAATAAGTCATGGCCCTGTAAGTGCGGCAATCTCTGCTTAATGAGACATGTATTCCGGAGAGCAATGAACTCTAGTTTTGTATCTGATTTTAGAACTGGGAAAGCCTAGATGATAGCTGCAATAGATTGACAATGAAGTAAGACCAGAGTAGTTTGCATTTCTCGACTGTCTTAGAAGACTGGTTCCCCTTCCATTTATACTTGTCTAAACAAGAGATTAATCTAACAGTTGGCTAAGCTTACAAACGGGTTGAGTAGTGAATATATTATAGTTGGGGTTGAAGTACCCGTTCTTCACTCTCCTTACTTCTTCATATAAATTGACTAACAAACAAGAGACCCCGTCCATTAAGTACCTAAAATCAATCATTCGCGCCTTTAACCCCATCATCGTTTTAAGAGGTATTATCAATCTTTGTAACATCGAGACATTCTCGGGATGTAGAACAGGTTAGGTAGTCAGTTGGCTATAAGTTGGTTCAGATTATACGTCTCAGCCGTCCATATTAGGTAGAAATACATAGGAGAGATATGTCTTGTCTAAGGCTCTGAAACATATCCGATCTTGAGGAAGTTTGATTAGATGGGTGACGCTCGTGCTGTCACGGACCTCGCAGCCTTAGCTAAGCGTTTGATCTTCTGCAGGCTAAGGGGGTTGAAAGCCCTGTTGAAGTCCTGTTGAAGCCCTGGTATTTCCGCTTGCGGTGCACGCGATGGCGGTTTGCGATTGAAAAGCCCGGGGACCCCTGCGGCTTCCCGCCGCAAACGACTTGGATGATCGACTTTGGCAAATTGACCGAGAATCTCTTTTACATGCTACTTTTATATTACCCTTTATGAGATTGGGCGCACCCGCTGTTTAGAATCTGGTGCGACTTTAGCGAACCTTAGCATTGGTAATGGAAAAGGAGTCCAAGTCAGAGAAATCTCGGCCAATAATATTTACTATGTATACACCAATAATATTTATACAGTATATCTTTCACAAAGATTCCATTTTAAACCACTGGTTTAACCATACGAGCAAATATCACAGTGCACACACAGTCTGACCCCGCAATACTCCACGAGGTCATTCCTTGCATTAAGAGTCCACCAAAGTTTATTAGTGCTTATCGGGCACGAGATGCAATGCACAGCACAACACAACCACGGCGGCCCGTCAGCAGCCAATACAGTTTAATATCAACGACATTCGCCTATCAGTTTTTGGTCATACAGTTGAACCGTGCAGAGAATCAGGGGCTCTGAGAGGTTCGCAAGGAGCCGCCTGACAATTTCTTGCAGGACTCCGCAAGGTAAATCTTAACGTCACTATCTCCATACTTCCATGCACTGCAGACGTCCAGCACACCTGGCACGCCTATCACGTCTTGAGATGAAATAGAGGGGGTGAGATAGAGAGGGGATACCGAAAAATCAGTTGAAAGTTCAAACTGGTGGAAGCGAAGACTGTCGCTAGTAATATATTATCTACCTGTTTATGTATAACAGTATAATTCATCATAAATATTATTTATTAACCATGGTAAAATATTGACGATAGCTGTTAACGCTTCTACATAGTAGGAGGTACGTATACAAGTACCTAGGTATATAGTAGCTTAGCGAGTTTTTAATCACAACTAAAAAAAAAAATCCCCGTCGCGATGTGGGCAACTTCCGCCCCTGATTATACCCACATAGTACTAGAGTAATATAATACACTAGTTAACTAATATAATAATCTTATAAAAATTGTCGCACATTTCCCTGTCTAAACTCTCCTAGACTTGTCCTCACGGAGCTGCTAGTCTTAATAAGCTTGTGAAAAAAAAGAAAAGAAAAAAAGAATACAGGGCGTTCTCTGAATCTCAGTGGAACCAGCCTCCTTAGATAGCAATTGACATTCCTGGTTGGTTGCAGCAAACCTACCCAAAAATCTACCGCGCCCCTCCGTCAGCGACGAATCTATGATTGGTAATTTTTCGCCGAGCACGAACTACTAATGCAAGCTTCAGACGGGTCATCGAGGTCATCGAGCATTCCACGCACACCGCTAACGTTGGTTTTCTACCTAGTTAATAAGGATGAGAATTGATATAGGTAAGCTATCTGTAATGAGTCTGTCCACTGGAAGATGGGATAAGGAAAGGAAGAAGAGTCCCCCCCCTTAGCGCAGCCGCTCCTCGTTTACATCTACGTATTATATCGTACATGTGTAAGCGGGATTTTATTAAGAGATTTTTTTTTTTCATTAAAAAAAGCCCCTGAATGGGACTAGTTTTCCTACACCCTGTAGATCCTCTCGTTGGAGATCACCAAGGGCAGCACAGACGAACACGGATAATAACATTTGAAAAGTATTCATACCAACGTATTGTATGTGGAAGATACCTAACCTACATCCCGAACTCACGGACCCCTATTAGATCACCCATGCACCCGAGTTGGCACACGGTTGCCATGCGTGCTTGGTTCCATATCCTGCCGGGTTATTAGCGATTTGGGATTCTGGCGAACAAGGCCAGTCTTGGAATTGAACCTGAATGCTTGAAAGTCGACCTCAGTATGTACACGTCCCCGGCTTAGTAGTACGCCCTAACCCGAGTTCGGGATAGGAGATGAGAGCGATCGAGGAAAAGTGATCGAAAGACCAACAAGAAAGACATATGCAAAGTGTTTACTACCTAGGTTAGTTAGTTAATGAGGGTCGGCTTCCGATGGGTCACATCCATAACTATCCTTACCCTTCCCATTACCATGACCATGACCATGACCATTACCATTACCCCGGCACGGACTGTACTCAGGTCTCGGGCTGCTACTCTCTCTGCTTCTTCCTCCTCCCTGCCATGGCCAAATCTCAATATGATCGAGGATCCCGAAGTCAACTGATGAATTTCTCCTGAGATTTTAGCACGGGAGTCAAATCTCGGTCATCTTTACTACTAGTCGCTCATTTTACAATACAACATAGTATTTCTTTAATTCTTTTTTTTTCTCTTACTTTTTCTCCCCTTTTGCCTGTGATCCTCTCTCGCACACAAACGCCAATAGGCAGTTTTCCGAGGTGGACGACGGCTTTCAACATAATCCATGGATGTTTTCGTTTTTGTTATTTATGCAAGAAATACCATTGTTCGAAGCCCCCTTGCAAGTTTGAAGTTGAACTAGCGTGTCGCTGACGCTGACCCGGCTTGACAAGTGACAGCAAAACAGCATCAATTGCTAAGGTTTGAAAAGTGGTATTTAAAAAATAATAATAATAAAGAGAAATTGGGACGAAAATGGATTCGGAAGAGGTGGCAACTACCTCTAATCCTTCTCCGCGTTTTGCTAGCGGTAATCACCATGGTAGTAAATTCTTTTTTTTTTTTTTTCTTAGGTGCAGCCGCCCGGCAGCAATTTTCAATTAGGTACCTAGAGCCTAGAGGGAACAAACCGCTAATAATTTATGCGCTTCCAGTTACAGCAACAGCGGACCCATCCGCATCCTCCCTTTTATCTCCAAACACTACCACTACCACTACCACTACCACCACTGCTACTACTGCTACTACTCCTACCACCACTGCCATTGCCACCGCCACTGCTACAACCACAACTGCAAGCACAACCGCAATCGCGACCAATTCCGCTGCTAATAACAGCACTATCATAACAACAACCACGCCGACCACAACAACAATTACAGCTCCACCTACACCATCCAAGTGTGACAATTTCCACGAACACAGACAAAGCCACAGTTCCTCGAAACTCCCTACTTTTCGGTTTGCGGATCTAAAAAGAGAACATCATATCACCATCCCTTCGCTTCTACAGTCTCACCACATTCCGCCTTCGCCTGTCTCGCCCGATCCCGATCAGCACAGCGAAACACAGCCAAATACGGCACAGGATACATCCCCGCTGACAGCGCATCAGCAGTACAACAATAGCAACAATAGTGACAATATCAAACCTGTCTTACCCGAACAATTGCCTGTAGAAAAATTAAGTCCCTCCAGGTCTCGGGCATCCACGTTCCAGACCCCCGCCGCCCAATCGATCGCCACATCGACATCATCTATCAATGCAAAGCGCTCTGCTTCTCTAGATTCTACTATTACTGCTACTCATAAGCGCACGCGCAATACCATTGGCGCAAAGTCGCCTACGGATTCCAAGGACGCGGTTGTTATTGTGCAATCGCGACACCAACGCGCGCCTTTTTCAGGCGATTCGGCAATCGAAAATTCGCCTGAGCGTCGAATGCATGTATCGCACAACAGTCAAAGCACATCTACAAGAGAAGAAACCAGTAAAGAAGAAACAACAAAAGAAGGAGCGCAGTGGCAGCGAGAACTCATACTGCCAAAGACCATTCAGAGGACTGCAGCTGATGACAGGAGAAATTCCATAGTAAGACGACCACCTGTATCCTATAAGCCACCCGTGAACTCGACCAGTTCGGGCGGTACAACATCAATTCCACCTATCCGATCATTTCGATCATCCGGCGAAAGACGAAGTCTCGTTCTCGACATGAATCTCCGTTCGATGCGCGGGTATGAGCCAAGTGAGGAATCTGGCGACTCGAATCATCGCGATAGGACTCTGCGTGCGCTTGAAGGAAGACGTCTCGACGATGCATCGCAAATAACACCGCCTGACTCGGCAGGAGATCGTCCAGACGGCGATGATAACGGCGATCTATTTCTTAAGATCGCACGCGAAGATCCGTCCCGAAGCCGCTCCGAGGTGAACGGGAGTTACGGGGATAATCAAAGCGCCCTTGTAAGTTAAACTATTTCTTTGTTGCTTGAATTGTTTCAGAAAATGCGTCTGTGTTAGCGCACCCACGCGACCAAAGCGCCCTCAAAAAATTTCCTATTTTTTCCCCTCTTCAGTCGGCCGACTATGCCACCCGATTTATGTATATACGTATGGAATCAATACCTCTCCTATTATTCATCATATTATATTAGCCTTATATTTCGAATATTCATTCCAACTTTAAACTAACGTTACCTATAGTCGCGAGTCGCACGAAGTAGCCGACGGCCTCTCTCTGTAGCCGTCTCGACATCATTTAACCCGTCGTCCCCTCCTCAAATGGCTCGACGCCTATCAGATCAGGAGGCCTCTCGGTCTCGAGGTTTTGGTGATGATCAATCAGGAGAGAAAATGCCGCGTACTATAACATTCAAAGGTGTACCCAGAGATAAAGCCGACGACACAAAACCTAGAAGCGGCAGCGCTCTTCGTGGTTCTCCACTAACACCCCGATCTTTAGCTTTCCAAGACCTCCCTTCTGACCAAGGATCCGCTTATAGTCGAAAAAGACAAGCGTCTGTTGATGGCGGCAGTGCTCTCCCCTCTCGCATGTCCTCGCTCAAACAATCCAATGTCAACTATAGCCATCCTCGCACTTACAATTCTTCGCCATTGGTACCAAAACCAGCAGAATCACAAAAGCAAGATGCTCAATTGGATGATCCAAATCACGGCGTCGAAGGGACTAATTCGACGACTTCAACTGCCGCTCCTTCTACAGTATGGGATGAGCTCGATGACCTCAAGTCTCGCATCCATCGTCTTGAGTTAACCGGCAAGCTGCCTCCAACCTCGGGTGCGGCTATCTCACGAGCGTCTGATGAACGACCTCCGACTGCTCACACCAACGCAACCACATTATCTGCCTCTCCAAAGCGCGGTCCTGGGGGCGCTGCACAGGCATCTGACGCGAACAATGCACAAAAGGATGGTCACCCTTTATTGACCTCAGCTTTAACTAAATCGAAGGACTTTCTCAGCGCAGAAGTCTATGAAGCTCTCGAGACAGCAGCTAATGATGCATTGGCACTTTCAATGATGATGGGTACCGCTGGCCAACCAGGGCCTATTTCGAGCGGCGCAAGTAGCATTGGCAGTGGTACTACAATTACCGACCGCCAACTAAGACGAAAGGCAGATAGTATCTGTCGTAGTCTTACTGAATTATGTCTCGCGCTAAGTGAAGGGGCCGCGCAGCTGAAGCCGCCGTCGCAGCCGCAAGTAGCGCCACCGACTCCAGAGAATCCCCTATTAGCAAGCCCGAATATCACAAAGTTCCAAGGCATAGCTGCCCAGAGGCGGCAAAGCGTCGCCGATCGCAACCTCACCGTCAACACCAGTCCGAGAACTATACCCCGTTTTGAAGAGAGGCGAAATATGGAAGAGAGACGGAATAGTACTCTGGGAACTACTTTCTTATCTAGTGCGCTGCCGACTCCGCGGTTTAGTTCAACGACTCCGGCAACCCCAACTGAAACTACAATGCACGGTCCGAGCCGGAAGACTTCTTTATTGATATCCCGCAGCCGCCGGGCTGGATCGGAAGACCCGGACGAGGCGCGCAAGTCATCACAATCGTCACTACTCAGACTGCGGCGCGCTACTACAGAAGAACCTGAGGATTTATCTGATCGGAAGCCCGTATTAACCCGAGCCCGCCAAGGAACGGTGAATCGCGACGACGAGGAAGGTCAGTTCCGTGCGCCATCTCGCGCCATCACCGAAGTCCACGGACTTCGATCAGGAACGCGCGAGTACGCATCACAATTAGCACCACCTCCGAAAGAGCCCGAGCCTTTGGCAACTTCTGCTCTACCTAAAAGGCGACTAGCTTCCGCGCTCAGCAGCAGATTAGTGATCCCTACATCGACATCTGGATTTGCTAGCACGGCTCGCCGGTATTTCGACCGATCGACGCCGGACCGCGACACATACAACGCAGAGAAATCTGAAGATCGACAGCAGCGGCAATTTTCCATGTCTCGATCCGGAAGTATGGATAAACGAACGAATCGTGCAAGTATGATTGCAACAAGCTCTCCCGCGACGGGAGGTTACCGATAATGCCGTAACGACTTGATACGCTCATGACAATGTAACAATAGACTGTCATTCGGGCAACAGGCAAATTTTCTCCATAAGCATGAATTCTGCATAGCTAAATGGTTTTTTTTTTATTATCTTTTTGTTTTCGCCCTTTCGGGATACTTTTCTTTTTTATTTCGTACAATACCCCAGTCTCTGCGACAACTTGACGATTTTCCTTTTTTTTTCGAGGTGCCGTTGCCGAAGACGAGCAGTGGCTAGCGTTATTCCGTGTATATCAATCAACATTACTAGGAGCAAGACAGCTTAAAAAAGGGTTGTGGAATATTCACGGGCACGGGTCAGCGGAGTGGCCCAGGAAAGGGCCCTTCCGTGCCTAGTCGTCTTACAGCAATTAAGGGGGAAAAAATCAACCAACTATATTACATGTGGAGCAGCTGCTCTGAGGATCCTTTGTTTGGGAGGCTAGGGTTTTTTTATTCTCGCCGGACAGGAGCGGACTTGCGGACTGAAAAGGGAGCCTTTATACCATTGTAGGTGCTCGGGAGGCGAGCTGGAGGAGGGGGAAGGGGGGAAACCGGTAAACCGCGAATACCGATGTACTATGTAAATAAGGTCGCCAGACAAGAGGGCGGATAATGTATGAATACTTAGTTTCTTTTGCGATGAGCATATAAAAGTTTATCCTTTTCCTAATCGTCCTTTGCGCAAGTTGTGTTTTTAGTATCGCTGTTGTAGCCTGTGGGTAATTATGAGAAACTTGGTGTGAATTAACTATGACTAGGTACCTAACCTACCTACCTAAGGTTAGGTAGATATACTTGGTATTGATGCTTTGCGGCTTGTCTCTATCATTATTGATTGAATTTGCATAGACTCTGGATACCCATTATAGAAGATACAGACCTGAGATTATTATTTAATCACTTAAAAGTATAGAGTCTTGTTTTTGCTTTAAAAGAGTATAAGTTAAGCTAAGCTAATAGGCGTACGGGTGCGTTTTTTTGGCATATACCACTGACTCAGGCCGAAGGAGTGGATCTTTTTTTCCTTTCTTTTTTCTTTTTTCTTTTTTTTTTTTTTTCTCTTATAAAAGAAAACAAAAAGTTACCTTAAATCTTACCTATAAACTTCACCAACGAGCCAAGTACTCAAAGTCTAACAATTTCCATACTTAAACAACCAATCACATCCACTCCACTCTCACCCATTCATCCAACTTATGTACTCTCATAATAGGTATACTTAACCTAACCTATTTATATCACACAATCCCATCACATCTAAAACCCTGGCTTCCCCAAGCCTCTCCATACTCAAGCGGCTTCCACTTCGCAGCCGTCCAGGCGCGCGCATTCTTATTCTCATACCGACGACACCGCCTTCGTCGTCGTCGTCGTCGTCGTCGTTAGCCGCATACAGCTTCCACACAAGCAGTACTTGCCGCGGCAAAGAGCAGAAGGAAGCGGGGAGCTACTGGTCGGAGAGGATGACGGCGGCGGCGGCGGCGGCGAACGACGAGTTCGCGGAGGCCGCAGAGAGGATGGAGGGTATGGCGACCAGAGGGAAAGGGAGGGGGGGACGCGATCGGCGCGGTGGGGGAAGAGGCGGGGGAGGGAAAGGCCAGGACCGCGAGGTGATGATCTCGAAGGCGCTGTCGTCGCTTCTACGACATCAGGCTGAGAACGCCGGAATCAAGCTGGATGCGGAGGGGTATGCGCCGCTGGATAAAGTGGTAAGTTTTTTTTTTTCTTTTTTCTACGCTTATTACATTACCCCCCGCTACAGTAAAAAGAAAAAAAAAGGGGGGGTGGGGAGGGGGGGAAGTTGGGTATACACGGAATATTCCCGCTAACATGCGCAACCAGCTGCAATGGCCGCGCATCCGCTCCCTCAACCCGTCGCTGGACGAGATCCGGTCGTCGGTGGCGAACAACGCCAAGCAGCGGTTCGCGATGAAACCCAAGGACCCATCCGCGGACACGACGACGACGAGCACGTCGGAAGACCCGGCGGCGTGGCTTATCCGGGCGAACCAGGGCCACAGCATCGAGCTCGCCTCGGAAGGCCTGCACACCCCCGTTACCCTCGAGGCCGGCAACGTCCCGCCCGTCGTCGTCCACGGCACCTACTTCGCCTTCTGGCCCGCCATCGAGGCCACCGGCGGGCTCAAGCGCATGGGCCGCCAGCACGTGCACTTCGGGACGGGGCTGCTGCCCGAGGACGGCTCTGCCGAGTCTACCAACTTTGCTAATAGCAGCAATAGCAGTGGTGATAGTAATAGTGGTAATAGTAACGGTAAGACCGAGAAGGTGGTCAGCGGGATGCGGTCGGATGCGGAGCTCCTGGTGTTCGCGGACGTGGAGAAGAGCCTGAGGGACGGGAGCGGGATCAGGTGGTGGATCAGCGCGAACGGGGTCGTGCTGACGGACGGGAACGAGGACGGCGTGGTCCCGCTGAAGTACGTGAAGGAGGTTCGCGGCAGGAAGCAGGGCGTGGGCGTGCTGTGGAGGGACGGGGAGAAGGTTGCGGATTTGCCGGCGGATGTGGTTGCGAGGGCGCCGCTGGGGAAGGGGAGGGGGGGTGGAGGTGCTGGTAGAGGAGGAGGAGGGGGGCGAGGGGGGCGGAGAGGGGGAAGGGGGAGAGGAGGGGCGCAGGGAGAGATGAAGTAGGTTTTGATAACGAGAGAAAATATATGTGTTACTTAGACCGACGGGCACATATAAATCCTTATAAAGTTAAGTCCTGGGATGGGATTCTTCCTTGTCATGACTCGTTTATTAGATTCATCACATTTCTAATGCCGACTTATCACCTTTGAACCCCTTTCAACTAATTTAGACATCCCATGAAGCACTTAAATACATACATACATACATACATATATTGCGCCTTGTGGTCTAGCCGTATAAGTTAATAAACGGGTATGATACCAAGATCCTGTCTGCAGGTAATGTAATAATCAAGATTGACCAAGTAAAGCCGGCGATTAATCCAACGCTGAGAGGCATGCGACAGATAACCCAAACACTCCAGTGATGAAAAAGCAAACACAAAACGCTAGATCTTTCTCCCTCCCCACCCCCCAAGACAAGAAAAGAAAAACCTCGTTATCCCCGTCTCTGCTAACCCGCAAGCCCCCTCGACGCGTGCGGCTACATGCCGCTTTCCTCCTCCCAACTAGGCTCAGGTGTCTGGGACGCTTCCCGCCCCGCAAGACCATTGCCCCCGGCCGAGGTCCCCACGAGATACTTAACGAGACTGGTGCTTATAGACGTCGTGGTCGTCGTCGTGGTCGTCGTCGTGGTCGTCGTCACCGTCTTCGCCTTCTTCCTCTTGGTTTTCGTCACCGTGACGGGGGCCTGCGACGGGCAAGACGCCTGGACGGTGCTGACCAGAGTAGCAGTTGCGGTAGCGGTGGCGGTGGCGGTTGTAGTTGCCATCGCGGTGCTCACGGCCGTGACGTTACTCCATGATGAAGCCGAGACCGAGACGGTGATGGTGTTGTTGTGCACCACGGTGGACGTGGTCGTCACCGTGGACGGCGCTCCCGCTGCCGCTGCCGCTGCTAGGTTCGGCGGGATCATCTTCGGCGTGCTCGAGTTCGAGTACGGCAGCACCTCGGCGTCGCCGTTGAGACAGCTTATAACGCCCTTCGGGTCGATCCAAATTCCCCATTCTGTATTTACCCAAAGAGAAAAGAAAGCAAAGGTTAGAACACCCCATGGTATATATTCGCATTTAACTGGGTACCTAACCTATCTACCTTACCTGGCTCCTAGGTAGGTACGTAGATAGGAGAGGAAGGATAGATAGTGAGTGAGTGAGTGGGAGAGACTTACCGAAATAGAAAGACGAATCCTTCGCGGGAAGGGAGGGATCGTCGAGGCCGCATTGACACGTTAGGACGGGCTTTGATTCATCGGGGGCGTCCATGGTAGGTCCCATGTTTATGATGCCGCAGCTCCGGCAGGTCTGGGAGAAGCCGTTTAAGTCATCCGATGGACGCAGCGCAAGGGCGCCCTTCTTGTTGGTGAGGCATCTAGGTACAAGATACGAAAGCGTTTATTAGCCAACTCTCCCACGCCCACACACACTCTCTCTCTTTCTCTTTTGGGGCCATAACCAGTGGATTTGTGAGTTTATAGGGCGGGCTAGGTGCGTACGTGATAAGAGTTGTGTGGCCTAGTTGGGGAAGAGGGAAGGGGGTTGTTCTATAGAGCCTTACCTGTCAAGATCCAAAACGTTGGTTATATACGATATTGTGGGATCGGAATTATCATTACTGCAAGTAGCGACGAGTTCGTAGCCATACTTCTTGTTGGCAGAGGGGGAATAATAGAAGTTGTGGCGGAGGTAATGCCACGGACACCTCACGCTATCGAAACTCTTCTGTTTCAACGTCTGCTTCGGGTCGTCGGCACGGGATAAGCCCTGCAAGTAGGAGGAGAAGATGCCGAGGGTGAGGTATTTGGTCGCCTTCATCGTATGGTCTGTCGGCTTGAGCCCTTTGTGGGCTTGTAGTTGCGGGATGGTCCGGCTTTGATAAGGCTTACAGGCAAGGTGATGGGAAGAAAAAAGAGGAAGATAGAGGGAAGAGATTGATTATATGGCGAGAGCCCTTTTGTCTTTGATAAGGGGACGGATTCAAGTCCTCAAGTTCTGTATTTGATTAGCAGTTCTTGGATATCACCTACGCGAACTACTTGAAAAGTGGTAGACTGGGACGATTAATACATTCATATACAAGGCACGTAATGTTGTGTAAGCGGGGTGTAAGTTGCTACCTTTATGGGCCGGACAGGAAGTTTCACTGTCGTAGACATCTGTGACGATGTAGTGTCTGTAACCCGTCATGAAAAGCAGTCTGAACTACTGGTCTATTCATGCTGAACCGTCTGGGACTAAATGTTGCAATATATAAGCCAAGATCCCATTACTATAAGTTACTAAAAGAAGCTAAATCGCTAGACAACTACATCTATGACTATCATACGGAAAATTTGACAACGTAGGGGTCTATGTGTTACTGGAATCAAGTAGAGTTAGAAATATCATTATGCTAAACGCAGCCATTAACATTCACTTGATGTTATATATATCCATTCACCATCTCAGCATAGCCAGACAACCCCCTTTAACTCAAACCTGTCCATGTTGGATGTAAAGATATCCATATCTCACGCCCCATGCTCTGGCCATTAGACTTAAAGTAGGTACCTTGTATGTCACCAGGGTCATCTACGCGCCTAATCTATAATGATTAAAAGATAATAAAAAAACACTCGCTAATTCAACCCCAAGCCATACATAGAGCGAGGGGCCTAGATACCCGTGTTCTACCAAAATCACGGAAGACAGACTACCTACCTATTCAGCCCCCTTATTCCACTCCACCCTCTTCTTCTCCCACCCCGCACTCCACCGAAATGCATAGAATCAAGTAGGTACACGTGCCATAAACCCGACTAACCAATCCCCTGATCTTGCCCCGCGCCCCCGGACTTCAAAAGACGGTGGTGAAAGAAGCAAACGCCGTCGTATGTACGCCGGCGACGATGGTCCCCGTGGGCGGGCGCGTCGTGGTAACCGTCACCACGACGGTGCTCACGAGCGACGTCGTAACCGTCGCGACCGTCTTGGCTTTTCTTTTCTTCGTTTTCGTCGTCGTCGTCGTCTCCGTCACCGTGGCCGCGGGGGCGGTCGGGCAGGTAGCGCTGACGACACTGACCATGGTAGCGGTGGCGGTGACGGTGGCAGTGGCGGTTTCCGTGGTGACGAGAGTGACGTTGCTCGTGACCATGGCCGTGGCCGTGCTGACAAGCGTATTGTTAGAGTCTACCGTGGAGGACACCGTCTCGTGGACCGTCGCAGTCACCGTTGCGAGCGATTTGTTCGAGGACGCCATCAGCGCGAGTAGGTTCGGGGGAATCATCTTGGGAACCTTGCTGTCGACGTAGGGGATGTTGGTGCCGAAGTGGTCTACGCATCCGATAGTGCCGTTCTGGTTGACCCAGATCCCCTTGGCTATATGTGCAGTGACGTTAGAATCGGCATGTATCTCCAGCTCCTAAGATGGCATGGGTTAGGTAGGTAGGTAGGGTAGACTTACGAAGCTCGTATGCCTGCTCTTGCGATATCTTGTCGTCTATGTTGGTACAGGTACAATATATCGTCGGCCGCGTGTCATCGAAGCTTCCGACATTCTTCAAGCCGCAGTTCCGACATGATTTACTAAAGGGTCCCAGGGGGGATTTATCGTATGTGGCTAAGGTGAGATTCCCGTTTATATTGGTGAAACACCTAAACGACAACGACAAACATGATCCGTTAGCAGAGTCTCCTAGGATTACAAGGGAGGGTATGCATGGATATGACAGATGCTGGTTCGGTACCTACTTGTCAAGGTTTAGACTAGTTGTGATGTACTCTGCCGTCTGGTCCATGGAATTCCCGCAAGTAGCGACGAGCTCTATGGTAAAATCCATGGGGTCATTATGATAGTTTTGGAAGATATAATACCATGGACACAGCTCGTTATTGAAGTTATGATCTGGGACGTCGGCGAGGGACAAGGCTGGCAAGTAAGAGAGAATGGCAAGGATAAGGTAGCTGAGGACCCTCATTGTATCGGCGATTTGGCTAACTCCAGAATTATAAGCACCTGTATTCGGGAGAGTATTGGATACGGATGGTTAGGTTTTGATGGTGGTTGTAGGTATGAGGGAATAGTGGCAAAAGACTGGTAATTTTAAGAGCTTGAAAAGGGGACGTTAAATGCGAAGGTTTCTGCTTGGCTAGATGGTTGGGCATGGGCCAAAAAAAATCAGATATAATAATGAACACATTGTAGCTTGGAGGAACATATTCACATATATGCAATGATGTGTAAGTCAAATGTAACTTGCTATTTTTTATTAAGCAGACTGGAGGATGCTTTGGGTCATTTAAGCTCTTGACAGGGTAGCATCTTTTGTCTTTTGCTCGCGGGTAGTCTGAATCAAGGTCGTGACATAAGTCTGATAAATCCCTTGTTATTTCTTACTGCAAGAAGCCAGATCGATCCGTGGCAACCCCCGTGATTAATCCCATGGTATGAATAGGTAGGTACTATTCAATACTTTAGTGCTAACCGCTGGATATGCCATTTTTCCACCTCATCGATCAAGCCTCCTAGATTCACACCTAACTAGGCTGGAATCTGTGGCTCTGCTTGTTTGTCCGCCTGTCCAGACTGTGTAGCCAGCTTTTTCAGAGGCTCAAGCAACTCTTCTGCAATCTTCTCCCTAACTGCCTTCTTGCCGTAGATATCATTTACATGGCCGATGCCTGGGGGTAATTTCGAGGACAATGCCCCGAGGTCTGGAAAGCCATTAAAGAAGCCGAGCATCTTGCTCTCCGTGACCTTAAACCGAGGAAAGCCAGGGAAGCCAAGTCGAGTACAAAGTCGCTCAACTTCAAAAACGGGTGAGACCTCGTCCTTGTTGAAAGTGGAGGCAATCCCTTTAGGTAAGAGGCTCTCCGGATCTTCGTTTGGCTGAGGACTGGGAGCAGAGTCTTGAGGGTTCTCCGGTGGAGACGGCATAATCTTCTGCTTCTTCCTAGCCGGCGAAGGTTGTGGAGTCGGCGGTTTCCCTGGAACTGGAGGCGGGTTTACGCTGTTAACATTGAGTCGACGCATGTATCCATTTTCGCCGAGCCATTCAACAGCACATTTTGCAGCATATTTCTTGGCATCTTTCTTGCGTGCGAAAGATGGCATCGTTCCGTCTGGGTATAAGCCACCATCCGGCCCAGGGAATGGCTCCGAGTGCTCGTCAATACGCACTTGACAATGCCATTTCAGGACTCCATATACGACTGGCCCTGGTTGTTCCGTAAAATCACCGCCGGGAACGTTACTAGGTACTCTTTGATTGGCAGCACGGTATTCTACAAGAAAGTTTAGTATGATGGATTATTTAACGAAGCTGTTCCTCGAAAGTTAAATCTACCTAATAGTATGCCGATCCAATTAGCATCCCCTAGCTCGGGTTCGGGTAGAAGTGGTGTAACAGGAGGTAAAACAGCTTGAAGCTTCTCGAGCAATTTCCGTTGTGCGTCTGTCAGCGGTGCGGGAGAGCCGTGCATAGTTTCGTACTCCAGCTGTTGAGCAATCCAGGTTTGGATGGTCTTGTATGCTGACAAGGCCATAACTTCAAATATAATAACTATTATAACAGGTATTAAAGCTTGTAGATGAATGTATAAGTAGGAGGGATATCCAAAATGTAAGGTAGGTAATACTCAGTTATATAGAAAAAAAAGGTAATAAACAAAACCTACGTTGGGATGGAAGAGCAAGGCTGAGCTTGGAAATACAAAGACATATATTTACAAAGAGATACATGCAGCTTTACAGGCTGACAGGGAGCTTCGACCTTAAGTACTTACATGTATGTCCATGCGATTGGCGGGGTTGATACTAGGTACCTAAGGTACTGTTCCATCGATGATCGAGGGGTTGATTTGAGACTTTGTATTGTACGAAGTATAACATGTTGAAGTTTTCCAATTATTTATTCGCTGCTAGCTAACTGATTATTCGAATGGTACCTATAGATATTATGTAATATATAGGTAGGTATCTACCTACCTAACCTTAGGCAATTACCTCATATATCTCATTTATTTTGGAAGTACCACCTCTCTTCTCTCTTTTAACTTCGAATGGTAAACCGTACGTCCCACGAAGTACCTAGGTAGATACCCGGGTACCTCCTAATGAGAAGTACCTAACAAAGTACCGATAAGATTCAAGCTTAATCTTATCTAATCGGAATTGTTATGTACATACTTCGTAGCTGGGTAGCATTGTGGACCCTCCCGCGCCACCTTTCGTAACAACAGCTTCAACATCCACTAGGATAATCTCGTTTCTATACGCAAGAATCCCTCATTGCAGATATGAGCAAACCAGGACTGTCGTTTGGCCTAAACCTAGCTAAGAAGCCTGGTGCTTCGAAGCCTGCCCCTCCGAAAAGGAAACCAATGTTCGGCGATGATGACGGATCGGACGATGATGCGAACGGTTCGGTCAATGGTCCTCAAGCTACCGAGATATCAGAACTAGATGATTTCACGACGGCCTCGCCTGGCGATCAACCAAATAAGAAGCCACCTCCAAAACTGAAAAACGGTCCACCTACGCAACCCTTGAACGGCAAAAGCAAAAAGCCCCAAATTTCCATGTATGGAGATCTATCGAGCTCCTTAGAGTCGCGTAAACATCAACAAGCCGCCGAGGAGTTAGATCCCTCAATATACGACTACGATGCGGTCTATGACTCCCTGAAGCCGGAGAAGAAGGCTACACAAGAAGATGTCGAGCGCAAACCCAAGTATATGAAGAACTTGATGGCGTCTGCTGCCGTACGAAAACGCGACGCGCTAATCGCCGAAGAAAAGAAGATCGCGCGGGAACGGGCGGAAGAAGGCGAAGAGTACGCGGATAAGGAAAAGTTTGTCACAGAGGCATACAAGAAACAGCAAGAGGAGAACCGGCGCATCGAAGAAGAGGAGCGCAGGCGCGAGGAAGAGGAAGCTAAGAAGAATAAAGGTGGTGGCATGACTGCCTTCTACAAGGACCTACTAGAAAGGGGCGATAAACGACACGCTGAAGTGCTTAAGGCGGCAGAAGAGCGTGCGAAGACGGGACCGAAAGAGGATGAAGACGTGCCGGAGGAGAAAGTTAAGACGGATGCAGACGTGGCGAGGGAAATCAACGAGAAAGGTGGTAAAATTGCTATCAACGAAGATGGCCAAGTAGTGGATAAGCGCGAACTGCTGAAAGGGGGTCTGAATCTGAGCGCACCGAAACGACAAGAACCTCGAAAAGACGCAGACAGGGGTCAAGACCGCAGGGACGACCGGAGCCAATCGCGCGGGTTCGTCGGCTCTGGCGGGAAGCAGGCTATGCGCGAAAGACAAACTCGCATGCTCGAGGCGCAATTGGAACAATCTCTTAAGAGATCGCTGGCTGAGGAGGAAGAAGAAAGGCAAAAGATCGAACGCGCTTCCAAGAGCCGCAAGACCGAGTCTGAAGTCTCGAGCGCGCGCGAGAGATACCTGGCACGTAAGAGAGAAGCAGAAGAAGCGAAGAAGAAAGCTGCGGCGGAAACGTCGTGAGCAGAGCGTTTGCGTCGTCCCAATCTTCTATTTAAGAGACGAGATACCCTTCCGTCGTGATACCATGGTTTTGATGTATTGTACATTCTATGCCTCCGTCATTCCGATCCCACTAGTGAGAATGCCCCTCTATTCCTTCTCATTTTGCCGGCTCGCAACGTCGCAGATTCTAATGTACATTCGAATAGGGGCGACTTGACATATGCGACGTAGCCTCCAAACCAATCAAACCACCTGGTGCTCATTGTTCCCGTCGTAACCTGTCGACGTAGGTCGAGCTGACTTGGTTCCATGCCGACATGTACTTCTCCATGCACTGCGTGAAGCAGGTCGACTCGCTGTTCGATAACGAGGGGCCCGGCTTAGGCACGCACTTCTCGAAGCAGTGCTCGTTGACTTTCTGCGCGGCGACGTATCGGGTTAGCTCCCTTGTGTTCTCAAATGGCTCCTCGGGATTTTGGCAATGCGCGGATTGGATATGAGGTAGGTAGGGCGTTTTACGATTCAAATACGTACCTCGACTAGCAGTCTTGCATTTTCCACGGCGTATTGGGTCTTGACTTCCTTGATGACCTGGGCCTTGATTGATCCGGAGTCCATGACGGGCTACTGTTTTTAATTCCGCGGCCTAAGGGTCTTCTTTGGGCGAGGCTGCTGCCGGTCGTGTGGTTAGTAAAAGAAAAAAAGTCTCGGAGTTATCGTGGGTGGGCTTTTGGAGCTTCTCGAAAAAGTTGAAGCTTCATCGATTATTTTGCACGGTACATTATCCAAGTAACTGTGCTAGGCAGGCCTTGGCGCATTGGAGGGCAATATATTGTGGCTTGAATTCTTATCTTTAAGCAGCATGACGTATATAGATGTGGCTTCGCTATCTGAATATCACCACCATAGAACTGGATACATTACATAGTATGTACTGTTCGTGGGCATAATGTTCGTTTGCTTTTAGAAGGCGTTATTTGATAAAGTATTGGAGAAATATAAAGCCTTTTAGTATTATTATTCTGAATATACTGAGTACCTAATATTTGATGCAAGTTGATGTGATAAATTATATGAGCCCTCTTCTATTATCGAATAACGCTCATCAAGATCACCAATGACGCGGTCACTTTGGAATAGAGAATATTATGTAAAATTATCCTCGTCTAAAGATACAGTAAAAATACAGATCGACACCTAGAACAAATGGGATATTAATGCAAAATGTAACTAGCAATGGCTGTATTTCAGAATCCATTGCCTGTGATTGTGAATTAGGTGGATGTGAATGTTGGAACACTAACCAGGAAGATGTTAAGTTGGCTGAGTACCTAATAAAGAGAATATGTATCAGTGTTCGCCAATTTACTCTAGCTCCAGTTAGCTATCCCATCTAAGGGATGCATTATAGTACAATACTAGGTGGTTAAAGTGGTGTAGATATCAGTTGAACGGAGACGACTTGGATATCTTTGACATTACTTCGTATGCCTAGAGCGAACTGTGAGAATGCCAGTCTCTGTTATGTATCTCTAATGTATATCCATGACAGTTTTTATAGCCGACTTCCAGTTATCTTCTTTTCAAATGGCTGTTATCATTCGTCGTCAATTTGTACAACTGTCTTGCGTCACTACGACTTATTGGCTTTTCAGTTGCCTGGACCGCTGTTATGCCCGCTCCTTCAACTTCGAATAATACAACAGCTATTCGTACCACGGGACTGACACTAATATGATCTGATAAATAATTCATTCATAACGAGAAGTGCGACGTGCATGTAGGTAGGTTACATAACGGTGGCTAGAAGGCTTTTTTGAACAGTGGACCTTGGCATTCAGTATTCACTGCTGTATTATAGGCCTAGGTACCTACGTACTGCATCACTGTCCAAGTCGCCTGGTACTCTGAATCATCTAGGTAAAGAAAGGGTAAGATACCCGAAATATTTGGACATAGAAAATGAAAAATGGAAATGTCCAAGATTTATTACAGTCAATTATTGCTTGCAATTTGTGTGAAATACGGTTTACAGAAGCCGTGGTCCGCATGCGGGATGCTACATAGGTACGTACTAGGTCCTAACCCGTTCCTGTCTAACAGGGATCCCTCCACAATAAAAATAATTCTCAGGGGTGGGCTAGTTATGGGTCTCCAACGGTTGCTGCGTCAACAACCGCTTATTTGCCAATAACAATAACCCAGCATTTATTTCCCCAATTATCAACTCCAATTTCTACTTCCTAAAAGTCACCCCATTAACAAGCGAATAGCCTCAAATCTTCTCTCCCTCCCTTCTAAAGCCTTTTTTTGTACCTCTCAATAAGAATAATAATAGAGAGAGCGTTCGGTTAGTTTGGAAAGAATGGCAGCTCGAACACTGGAGTCCCAGTTTGGGCGTCTTTCTGTAAACGATGAAAATGATTATCAAAAACCCAAGGTTTGTTTGTTCCCATCACCGCCATATTCCCCGATGTGTCGTCGGTTCATTAGATAGATAACTGACCGTAATTACCATTATGCGTATAGACTCTTGGGAGTACAACGCAGGTAGCACACAGCTCGAGCCGTCCAAATCTCTTCAAGGTCGCTCTTCAAGCGCAGAGCGCAAATACCGTCACCACAGTCACTCTCCCGTCGCAGGCCGCACAACGTAAAGGTGCACCACCTGCCTCGCCCGCGAGGAAACCACTTCCCTCCGCTGGTGCAGCGTCGAAGACATCTTCCGATGACAAGGAAATAGTCGAGAGGAAGTCGGTGCCTCTGATCGACCAGCCATTTATGCCCAAGGAATTCCATCTCGGCATGTTCGAGATCGGGAAGCCGTTAGGGAAAGGCAAGTTTGGAAGGGTTTACTTGGCCCGCGAGCGGACGAGCGGCTACATCTGCGCGTTGAAGGTGCTCCACAAGAAGGAGCTGGAGCAGGGCCGGGTCGAGAAGCAGGTCCGGCGAGAGATCGAGATCCAGAGCAACCTGAGACATCCCAACATCCTGCAGCTGTTCGGGCACTTCCACGACAGCAAGCGGGTGTTCCTGATCCTCGAGTTCGCGGGCAAGGGCGAGCTGTATAAGCACCTTAGGAGGGAGCAGCGCTTCCCCGAGTGGAAGGCTTCGCAGTACATCGCCCAGATGGCGAGCGCTTTAAGGTACCTGCACCGGAAGCACGTCATCCACCGAGACATCAAGCCGGAGAACATTCTTATGGGGATCCACGGCGAGATTAAGATCTCCGATTTTGGCTGGAGCGTTCACGCACCGAATAGCCGTCGTCAGACCATGTGCGGTACCCTCGACTACTTACCCCCCGAGATGATCAAGCCCGGCAGCTCGGATAACTACTACGACGAGAAGGTCGACTTGTGGAGTCTAGGCGTGTTAACGTACGAGTTCCTGGTGGGAGAAGCTCCGTTCGAGGACACGCCCGTCATGACGCAACGGAGAATTGCAAAGGCAGACATGACCATCCCCTCGTTTGTCAGCCCCGAGGCGAAGGATCTTATCAAGAAGGTGAGAAGGATCCAATCCCGCTATTCATACATACCCCCAACCGATAATCCCTGCTACCATCTATAGAACATTTCCCGCTGACATTGGAAAACCTACTTAGCTACTGGTTCTCGACCCCCAAAAGAGGATACCGCTGGAGCAGGTCCAGACTCACCCGTGGATCGTCAAGCACTGCATCAAGGGAGAGCGTGCCTCGAATAGGGAAAAGAAGGATCGCTCTAACGAATGATGACGAATTATTAACGGGAGTGATTTTTTTTTCACATTTGTATATTTGTTGTTGCAAGGCGAGGCGTTTTTGGGCAATGGAACATAATGGCTTGAGGAAATTTGCATGCTTAGGGGAGTCAATTTGCTATTGCGTACCAGTCATTCGAAATTAAAGACGCAGACCTTATTCGCCGCCTGGCCAGACTCTGTCTTCCTCTCTCTCTCTCTGTGTCTATCTATCTGCGGGAGGGATAGGTTAGGTTAGGTGATTATAGTACAGGTGATAAAATACAGTGTTCGTTTCAAAGCGTTTTATTTTTTTTTTTATTTTTCTTTCGGTTGTGTCTTCACCTCTTCTTATCTGTAAACCTCGTCGAAGGGCCGCGTGTCCGAGAAACACGAGTCCCATACTTGGTTCACCACCTTGACTGCTTGTACGTCGTCCTTACACCTCGGCCGCGCGAGGACGGATTGTGCTGCCCGCTTCCGCACGCAGTCTTGGAACTGCTGCGTTAGCTTCCAGTTCCCTCTCGTCCAGGCCTCTCTGGCCCATCTGCACTCGCCGCTTAGCATTGCTGCTCGGATCTGTAGGTAGTGAGTGTCGTGCGTCAGCAAACCGTAGTATTTGTACATTTGTACACTTAGCATAATAGGGGGGGAAAGGGAGGGAAAGAGGGAGAGGAGTAAGTAATACCTCTGTGCAAGCCGCATGCTTCAAGTCCTTATCACCCACCCAGTCGACCTTCCACCTCAAATGGTCCCAGGCGTGCACCATCTCATGAGCGAGGGTATCCTCGAGGTGACCCCTATCGCGGACCTCGTTAGCGCAGATGAGGATGCCGTGGTCGGGGCTGAAGCCGCCGCTGGAGCGGTGGACCTGGCCGTCGTCGGTGAGGCGGGCGGGGCAGCGGCGGCAGACGACGTTGTCCCGGTCGAGGCGGCCATTGAGGGCCTCGATCTTCTCGCGCATGAAGCGGACGGTGGGGGAGTGGGCGAGGGCCCAGTCGCGGAACTCCTCGCACCGCGCGCAGTCGCGCTGCTCGTGCACCCGGTACCGCCACTCCCGGTAGTGGAAGACGCCCTCGTCCGTCACCCCGCCCGTCAGGATCTTGAAGTAGTTGATCCACCACGCCGTCTTGGGGTCGAAGCCCGTGCGCGCCGGGTCGTTCTCGATGGTGCGCGGGAAGGCATTTGAGGATGTGGATGCGGGTGAGGGTGTGGGTGTGGTTGTTGAGGAGGAGGGAGGGGTTTTCGAGGGTTCTGACGGTTGCGGTTCTGAGGACATTTTGGAAGGGATTTGGTGTTGAAAGTTCAGATAAGGTACTATTTTTGGTACCTAAGTAAGTATAAACTTTGCTGGAATAATGGGTATCAGACAAACACTTTTAGCTAATTCTCGATCTTTTTGCGGCCCGTTAGGTAGTTCTAGCGCTGAATAGCTGAATACCTAGCAGGTACCTAAGCGGGTGTGGACCTCTAACAGAAGGCCTGTCGGGTTCCGGATCAGCCTTTCCGATCTCGGCTGGGCGCTCCACCGAAGTTGTAAAAGCTCCAATTATTGAGAGCTGGGTATTAGAGGTACATAGCAAAACCCGTATGGAAATCGTATAATTCCCCACATGAATTATTCCTTGTAAGTCGTCAACACGCCCTTGACAAGCCATGGAAAACTCAGGGGATTTGACACCTTGTAAGTCATGGTTTTATTTGTTAAAGAAACGTTGTCTGTTGTCTGTTGGCTGTTTTAACGATTTGTTACTTCTCTAAATATCATGTTTCTAAGCCGCCGTCTCTAATGTGTTCTTAGATATGAAGGGCCCTAAGCCACTTATAGTGGTTATCAAACTTGGTAAGTCAAAGTAAAAGTCAAAGTCTTGGGCTTGAGCTTTTATTCTTTCAACATTGAGTTTATACAATACCGCATAAACAGATGGGTCGATATTGAACTAACTTACACGCAGGAACTAGTTCCATCGTGGATGAGAAGACACATGAACCTCTCCTATCAATCTTAACCCTTATTGTTGAAACAGCTGTTAAGCTTCGGAAAGATGGCCATAAGGTCATCATTGTGTCCTCGGGCGCCATTGGCGTTGGTCTTCAACGAATGGACATCGATAAGAGACCAAAGCATCTGTCCAAGTTACGAGCACTTGCGGCTATTGGCCAGTGTCGTTTAATGAGTCTTTGGGATAGCTTGTTTGGACATCTCCGTCAACCCATCTCCCAGATCCTCTTAACGAGAAACGATATTTCAGATGTAAGCATATAAACGTTTACTTAGAAAAAAAAAAAGGAATACCTACTAATAGGATGGTATAGCGGACGAAATATCTCAACGCCCAAAATACTATCTTGGAGCTTCTGGAGATGGGTGTTATACCCATTGTAAACGAAAACGATACTTTAGCTGTTGCTGAGATCAAATTTGGTGACAATGACACACTATCAGCCATCACTGCTGCTATGGTCCATGCCAACTTTCTTTTCCTTATGACGGATGTCGACTGCTTATACGACAAGAATCCACGGACACACCCAGATGCTAAACCCATAGAAGTGGTGGAAGATATCGGGGCTATACGTGCTGATGGTAAGACAATAATTATTTCAGATTCTTGTAGGTCTTATTATTAACATAATTCCAGTATCCAGTGCTGGGTCTTCTCTCGGCACCGGGGGCATGAGTACAAAGATTGTTGCCGCTAGGCTCGCAACATCTGCTGGCGTCACTACAGTCATTACTCGATCATCATCACCAGGGAACATCTTCAAGATTGTTCGCTACCTACAAGCTAGCAAGAAATACACGTCATCCATACATACACCAGTGCTAGGTGGTGATGCGGAAGATCCCCTTTCTAAATCTACAGCGTCCCTAGCCCTTGAGGCATTAGAGAAGCCACCGTTGCATACGCGATTCCTTCCGCTCTCTCAGCCGATCAGAGATCGCTACTTCTGGATCCTTCACGGTTTAGCGCCGCATGGTACGATATACATCGATGCTGGAGCCCATCGTGCCCTTTCGGATAAAGCCGGTCTTCTTCCAGTAGGCGTTCTGGACGTAGAGGGGAGCTTTGCGCAGCAGGAAGCTGTTCGCATTGTGGTGGTAGAAAAGCGACCAGAACCGGGACCGGATGGGAAGCTCTGGGAGGGCCCGGGGGTCGAAATCGGGAGAGCGCTTGTCAACTATGCAGCGACCGAGATTGCCCGCATTAAGGGGCATCGAAGCACACAAATCGAGTCCTTACTAGGCTACGCCGATAGCGAGTACATAGCGGATCGGGACAGCATTAGTTTACTTCGCAGGGAGAGTCGGCCTGTTACACCGGTGTTCGACAGGGTGAACGAAAACGGCGGAGGAGTAGCTGCCTATGAAAACGATATCAGTTTATAGATGTTGGCTACTTCGCATAGATCGACGGCGTATGGAGATAAGGAGTTACACGGCTTTAAAAAAAGAAAGAAAGAGAAATTTAATAAGGGGTATAGATCGTCGACCGCTGCAAGAATGCTTATTTTTATTGTCTTGTAGAAAAGACCAAAGTCACATATAGAGTTAGTCGTAGATAGCCGCAAACGCCCCCCGAATGCACATAACTCAAGCCAATTCCGAACTCCAGGCCATCTTCTAGTGTCAAAAGCCACCGATCCATCCTTTTCTTTTCTCCTCCTCTCCTCTCCTCTTCTGGTATATACACCTATCCGCCATCTCGTCCATTTTTTTATGCAGCTCAGCTAGCGAAAAGCGTATCCTCGTCTCGGAGATACTCGCCGCAGTCAGCCTGGCGGAAACACACGATACCGGTGGGGTCAAGACGTCTAGCCTCTGCCGTGCTACGGGCAGTGACGCCGAAGCCGAGAGGAGTGTCGGACATGTTATACACGACGATACCCTGGTGGCTTGGACAGTCGTCGGACCAGCGGCCGACGTGGGCTTTGACGACGTTACCGCCGTAGAGGAAGGGCATCTCGCCGTTAGGCTTGATCCATAGCTTATACCGGGCGTGCTCGGCTAGGATGGGCAGCGCGGTTATGTGTAGTCTGAACTTTCCAGTCTTGCTGAATTTGCCTGGTTGTGAAGATTTCTTGTTAGTGCTTTTGTAATATGTATATAATTATAGGTACCTAGTATTATAGGTATAGTATAGACATACCTAAACAGATACCCAGCGACCCAAGGTTATCCCTCGATATCGACGTAGCTAGGTTGGCGACGGAGAGCAGAACGTAATATACTCTGTCGCGATTCAGACGAAAGACGTAGCGATCAGCGTCGGGCGAGTCGTCGAGCGGCGCAATTAGGTTTTTTAGCGAGCTTCCCGTATAGTTCGCTAGCTTCTCGAAAAGCGTTTTTGTTTCTTGCTCCGTGAGTTGCCGCATATTGACGATATTCTATGTATGCGCCGTGCAAATCAGGTATGATTACTATTATACTATGTAAGAATACCTAAGCTTAGGAACTTTCAACGTACCTAACAATAAAAAAATTCTGCCACTTGGAAATTTTGGCGGTGAAAGAGATATACGATTTGTAGATAGCGCGGAACTATTCCTATTGGTGTTACCTGCAGTTAAAGTGGACCCGATGCGACAGGGGTCTTCTGCGAACCTTTGATTTGAATTTTTGAGTTTCTGCATCGGACCTCAAGAAGTTGCGAACATCTCATAATGGCGTCTAGACCAGTGAAAAAAAGAAAGCTTACTCCGCCCGGTGATGACGAACGCTCATCCCGGAAGTCTGGTGCAAAGATCCAGAAAGCTTTCTTAACAAATGCGGCCAATTGGGATTTAGAGCAAGACTATGAGACGAGAGCGCGGAAAGGGAAGAAGGAAAAAGAGAGTACTCGACTTCCTCTAAAGCTTCCAGGTGGCCGCGTGCAGCATGTCTCTGCACCAGGAAATGACTTCCAAGCCATTGAGAGCGACGAGGACTGGCTGGATGGTGCCGAGGATGTGCCCGAAGATGAAGAATCTAAGGACAAGAAGGCGCCCAAAGAACCTGAAAAACCTGAACATGAACAGATATTAGAAGCTAAAGAAGAGCTGGCCAAGATAGCCCTGATGCTCAACGAGAGTCCCGATGAAAATACCGGCGCCTTTAAGGCTCTAGCTAAGATTGGACAGTCCAGGATTATCACGATAAAAAAGCTCGCCTTGGCCACTCAGCTCACAGTATACAAAGATGTCATCCCCGGCTATCGAATACGACCTGTGGCCGAGGATGGGCCGGAGGAGAAGCTGTCCAAGGACGTGAGAAAGTTACGGACTTATGAGACTTGTCTCATCTCGGGTTATCAGGCATATGTGAAGGAACTTACTAAACACTCAAAGACCGGCCATGCGAACGGCCTTGCGAGTGTCGCAATCGCTTGTGCTTGCAATCTGTTGACTGCGGTACCACATTTCAACTTTCGTTCTGACCTGGTCAAGATACTGGTTGGAAAACTGAGTACGAGACGTGTCGATGACGACTTCAATAAGTGTCTTCGGGCACTTGAAACCCTATTTGAGGAAGATGAGGAGGGTCGTCCATCTATGGAAGCTGTATCACTTCTTTCCAAGATGATGAAGGCTAGAGAGTACCAAGTAAACGAGAGCGTTATAAATCTCTTTCTGCATCTTCGCCTACTGTCGGACTTCTCAGGAAAGGGGTCCAAGGACTCCGTGGACCGCATGGATAACGGCTACAATGGCAACAAGCCCAAATCGAAGAAGGAGTTCCGGAATAAGCGAGAGCGGAAACAAATAAAGGAGCAGAAGGCATTGCAAAAGGATATGGCCCAAGCAGATGCACTTGTTCAGCACGAGGAACGCGACCGCATGGAGGGAGAAACCTTGAAGCTCGTATTCGGCACATACTTCCGGGCCCTGAAGATGCGCGTGCCGCATCTCATGGGCGCCGTCCTGGAGGGTCTATCTAAATACGCGCACTTAATCAACCAGAACTTCTTTGGGGACCTTCTCGAAGCGCTGAAAGACCTTATCCGACACAGCGACGCATCGGAGGAAGACGACGCGGAAGAAAACGAGGGCGAAGAGGCTGACGACGACGCGCCCGTCCGTAACCCCTCCCGCGAAGCCCTCCTCTGCACTACGACGGCGTTCGCCCTCCTCGCGGGCCAGGACGCGCATAACGCTCGCGCGGACTTACACCTCGACCTGTCCTTCTTCACCACACACCTCTACCAGTCCCTCTACCCGCTAAGTCTGCACCCGGACCTCGAGCTCGGCGCGCGATCCTTACACCTTCCGGACCCGGACAAGCCCTCCTCCTCCTCCGCCAAGACCCGAAAATCCAACAGCAGCAACAAAGTGAACCTGCAGACGACCACGGTCCTCCTAATCCGCTGCTTAACCGCGGTCCTCCTGCCCCCCTGGAACATACGCTCCGTCCCGCCCGTCCGCCTCGCCGCCTTCGCGAAGCAGCTGTCGACCGCGGCCCTGCACGTCCCGGAGAAGTCGGCGCAGGCCCTCCTCGCGCTGCTCGCCGACGTCGCGGGCACCCACGGGCGCCGGATCGCCGCGCTCTGGAACACGGAGGAGCGCAAGGGCGACGGCGCCTTTCACCCGCTCGCCGACAGCGCCGAGGCTAGTAACCCGTTCGCGGCCACCGTCTGGGAGGGCGAGATCTTGAGGAGGCATTATTGTCCCGCTGTGAGGCGGGGCGTCGGGATTGTCGAGAAGAGTTTGAGCGCGGCGGAGAGGTGAGGGGAGAGGGAAGATGGAAGGAAAATAAGGGGAGTTGGGGCTGTGTTGATAGGTGTGATTCATACATATTAGGTTGGGTTTCTGGTAGTATACAGTACCTACCTGCCTGCCTCCTAAGGGATATACGAGTCCTCCTTTGTATGCATGTGGATGTATGCCTTATCTTGAGCCTCTTAAACATGGATAATTTCGATGGAATGGTATTACGCATTTCGTACTGTTGCAATATTATTGGTTTAGAAGGTGTCAAATGCATTGCTTTTTGAAGTGATAAGCGAAGTAGTTGATTGCATTGGCGAGGGCCTGCAGTTTACATTGAATATACTGGTATTAAGCGCTTATCACTCCTCACGATCGACATTATCACCTCCATATTTTAATTCAAGTACATACGTGCTTGTGCAAGGTATTCCACTCCCGAAGCCACACTCTCAGATAGAAACAGTATTATTATTCCATAAGGTATCATTACGCCTCTATGTACATAACTACCTAAGGTACCTCCTACCGAGCTGCGGCATGATGCTATAGATCTAGACATCTTCATAGCATGTCCTCGAGCCCTCCTAATTAACGGCATACATACATATAAACGGTACAGAGCGAAACACTAAGCCACACTAGCTCACAACATTTGTGCTGTCACGAATAATAAAAAAAAGAAAAAAAGAAATAAACGACATGACGAATCTCGGCTAGAAAACTGCCTGCTACTAGGCTGGCAGGAGAGGCATCGAATCAGGCCGATGGAGAAGACAATGGTCCTCTATGATCACATCACCCCTTTTGAGAAACGAGGGTTCCAGCCGTAGACGATGTACTGAACATTTTGTCAAAGTTGACTTGTATTATACGGCCATTCGTCTTTGCCTTGGTAACTCCGTGATGGCGGTGGCTGATAAAACACTAGCAAGTAGTCGAAGAGACTGGCTGCAAATTCGCGGGTATAAAATCATATAATGCCGTAGCAGAAACCACAAGTATGGCTGATCTTCTGGACGAATCCGAAAGAGGACTTTCACGACTTCCATGAAATGGGTCGAAGTGAACGGAAATATGACATTTGTAATTTGAGTTATCCCAGATGGCCATCCTGGATAACACGGCGTAGCATAAACACAAGCACGACAGTAGAAACTTGGGACTTGATATGGAAACCATTTTGAGTAGGTACTTCTACGAGGCCCAGCGAGAGTCTGCGAGGCCAGGTCCCTTAGAGATACCGCTCATCACAATTTGGCCGGTCGGGGCAGAGGGACCGCGTCTTTCCTGTGTCGGTGGATCAACATGCATCGAATCTTCCCAAAGATATCCGGAAGAAAGCTTAGTATTAAGCTTAGACTTGTGTCTGGTTTTCTCGGGATAGTGATTAGGGTTCTTGAAGTTCCATCGTGAACCTTGAAGCCCTACTTTGGCTTTGTGGCCTGCCTCTACGCCACTCATAGCCACGTCGCCATCACCTTCGTTTCCAGGAATGGGTTGTATTGCACTAAGACTCGTTGAATCGCTTTCTGAGTCGGAGGACGATGAGTCGGAACGGATAGATTCTGAGCTCTCGCGCCAAGGACCCATGTTACAAGGGAAGGCCGGCTTAATGGTGTTAGAGCCGCGTGCCAAAGTAGGACCCAAGGCATTGTTGTTGGATTGGGTTGGCTCGAGAGATTGTAGCTGATTGGAAGATGTAGGCGAAGCTTGCGTAGTCTGAGCGTGGCCACCAGAATTCTGAGGATGCCTGTGAAGTAGTGAAGGACTGTTGCTTAGTTGTGTCTGCAGTGGGCTTGAATCATCCGTGGATTCGCCCTTGATGCGCTTCACTTTAATGTTTTCGTCTTCGCTAGTTGACGCCACGCGTTTTTGCCATGGCTCTGGCCGAGGTACAATCTTAGGAGCTGCCTGTGGGATAGGGGATTCTTGGCGTTGGGTGATATTACCAGTGCGACCAGTTCGTGGCTCTCTAGTGACTTGGAGCATAGGAATGCTATCGGTGCCAGGTGACGCGACGGTACCTTCACGAGTTGACCTTCCTGGATGATACTGTCTTGTATTTCCTTCAGGGTCCATTACTAAGCCTCGGCCATGTCGAACATGTCCCTGTGTAGTACTATCTTGGCCGTACTGAGTATGCTGTTGACGATTGTTATTCAGACTACTTCCCTGTTGTCTGGCGCTTCCGTTTTTTCCTTTTTGACCAGGCTTGTTATTTCGGGGAAGCTTTGCGCATGTGAACGAAGCTTGAAGCTCCTTCGCGTCCTCTATATTTCCACGTCCAAACATGCTGGCGGCAGAGTTCGCGTCTCTTTAGGATTCTTCAGAAGTCACAAACAAGAACTCAAAGTAGCTTCGCCTGGTTATATGGACCAGGGCTACGATAGCCTGAAAGGTTTTGTTAGAAGTATCGCCACAGAAAGCATGAAATATAAAACGATGGGATATGGGAATTGGCTTGCTTGGTAACAGAAAAGCTGCCAATGTTGATTGAAAAAAAAGAAAAAAAAAAGAATATGGTGGACAACTCAAGATGAAACTCCACAGCGAGCTGAAGGACTCGTAAAGTTTACAGAGTTGAATGCATCAAAAACAAGGCAGGCAGAACAATGTAGTTAAATGGAAATAAGTTACCTGCTACCTTAGAAAGTAGGTGCTTGTACATTGCTTTAGGTAAGTATCACTACCTGGGCAGAAACCATAGAAAGGGACCTATCTATATGGTTCTTTCCTTTTTATGCATTTGATTATTTGAATTCTCGGGAAGGCACTGGATCTATTCTACTACAGAAGGTACCCCCTATCCCAGTGTGTACTAATTATCCCCCCTTGGCCAGTTCAAGCTTGCTTACTTACCTAAGGTACATGTAGTATAATGGATTTGGATCTGCCCATCCCCTTCCTATTTCCACTGCTATTTATCTCAAAACAACATCAAGGCCAGCAAAAATGCATACCTGTCTAGGTACCTAGCCTACCCAAGCGTACTAGCAAAGCATGTTGGGTCAGATTGGTGTTTGTGAATGCGGGTACCCATCCTAGTGCAAACGAAATCGACTAGACAAGGAAAGTCTACGGAGGCGGCGAAGTAGGAACTGATCAAATAGATCGGTAGGTATCTAAGGCACGAGGTATACGGAAGCATATCGTTCTAGTTTAAGGTGGCGTTTATTGTGATATTGGGACGAAGGTATTTTAATCTCCATATCAGGTCAGAGACTCAGGTAAGAGACTCAGGTAAGCTTAGGGGGTAAGGGCAGAGATACCCTTCAAATGGATAACATACCAGGTAGATAGATAGCTGCTTGATGTGATGGACATAGGTATCTAATTCATCGTATGAGGTAGAGCGTCTATATCAATGAGAATTTATGAACGGGTTTAGGCAGGACACCTATTGTTGTCCAGGTAATCCATGGCTGTGCTGTTTCTTAGTTCCCACAAATGTCTCGATCGTGTTAATGCTAGTTGCCTTGTACTCCGCTTTCTTTGCCTCTTCCATCCACTGTATCTCAATAATGGGGACGTGCTTGGTTGTGAATTCAACCAACGCCTTAGAATCAGGGGCACCTTGACGAATCCCAATACAGGAAACACGGGGTATGCCCAGCGACTCAGATAGACGCTCGCCACATGACTTCGAGAACCCTACTAGCCTGATGGGTATCTGCTCAGGATGTGCCTTTGAAGCAATAGCTACCGCCTGTGGGAGATGTCCATTAAGAACATTTGGAAGTTCAGATCGGTCTACGAAAATGGCTGAATAAGATCGGTGAGCGGCATCCTGAGTAGTAGACTTGTCGTCCGAACTGGTTATCTTGGCTTGTGCTTGAGATGCTAACTCTTGTAAATGACGTGTGACAGTTACAATTCCAACATCTACGTAAGACTTTAGTTCCGGAGCTGGAGGAGGTGCAATACTTTCAGATTGCGCGGTTGTAGCTTTGCGCTTCCTCTTCTTATCGCGTTTGCCTTTCGACAGCTCAACATATTCTGAGCGGTACTGACCCAAAGGTACGAGCAAGCTATCCTAAGATGTTAGTGTGAAGTACACAGATATATATGGCTCTCCTGTGCGACTTATTCTATACAGATATTCTACTCGCCGAGGGACTGGCGACTTACTTGCACAGAAGCTCTAAGATGGTCTCTTGGTCCTCAAGAGCTACGCTAGGCCTGATATAATTAGAGTTAGCATTCTGACTTGTGCTAGAATGGGGAAAGCCTATAAGGCTCGTAGCTCCTACCATGATACAGCTGAATAGGGAGTGTCTAACTGATAGACTGTTTTCTTTCTCCTTTCCATCTTGGATTGAAACTTGTTGTTGTTGTTGATTAGGTATAGTATTTTATTTGGGTTAATTTGAAACTTTGAAAACTATGAAGAAGTTACACTCATTAAACCTAATACTTGGGTGGTGGTCTGTGCACAAGCTTAATGGTTTTAGGACTCAGGCAAACTTGTAGGTACCTAGGTAGGTAAACTGTATGTTTTTCTTTCATTTTAGAGGCCATGTGGTTAGTGCTACGAATTTATTTTATCATAAGCCTTTATTGCCTTTTTTCTTCTTCTTTTCGAACAAAAAAAGAAAAGAGGATTGGTTATCGATGAGCTTTACGCCATAGCGCTTTGATGGCGTCGATGTCAACTTTTACAGTGTCACTATCCTCATGCTCATCCATAACTTCTATCCTCGACTTTAATCGCGCTATCATCAAGTTTAGGGCTATCTTCGGAGACACCAAAGATAACTCCTCTCTTAGTTTTGCCTGGCTAATTATTCTACCGTTACATAACTCTCTTACTAGGCTTTCTGCCATATCCTGACAATTGCTTGTTAAGAGGTTGTACCGCGGGTGAAGCAACGTATGATTTGTTCCTTGCCTTTTATGTTAGCGAAGAACTCAGTACCTCTTCCACCTCAGTACTTGCTCACCTATTTCTTGTATCTCTTCATGAGATTTCGTCGTCTCTCCGATATAATAACACGTGCTCCATGTTTGTACGAATTCAGGGGTAATTTCGGCCACGCGAAAGTAATTTTTGCCAATAGTGTTGAGAGCCAACTGGTCACTCATCAGGTCGTAACAGTATGAGGGATTGAAGCTGCGATTAATCACGCACAACGCCCAGTGGCTGACACTATTTTGGCTCATGCCGACATGTTTGGCAAGCAATTTGTAAGTAGTTTTTGACAATTCAAATTTTCCAAACTCGATCGGCGTGGTGATCAAGAAGGCGGCCTTATGAGATGCGATCGGATCACATTGTAATGGCGGCATCTCGATGGCTGACTCTCCGGTAATCTTTGCCAATATTAGACAAAGGAACTCGTTTTTCTCCCGCCGTCGTCGTTCTTCCTCGGCTTTGGCTGCAGCATCCGCCTCCGAAAAACCCCATGGTTTCCTTCGTTCCCTGTTGAGAGAATGTGTTAGGAAATCGGAGACAGCGAGGGTTTTGGTCTACGAATAAACAGTGTTTAGGGAGCAGAGGGAAAAGGAAAATACCATTTCTCTTTGATGTATTCTTCTGTAGTTTCTCGGGCGCTTTTCAACCTTGCTAGGGCATCGAATCCCATCTCTTAACACTTGGAATCTTTAATCCGTAGCCTACCTAATCAAGCTTAACATTATTATTATGTACCTAAGGTATTGTTGTTTACTTACCTAGTATTTATATTTTGATTCCGGCCTTACTTCTTCATAGCCCACCTGTTCCGCTTTTGTATTGTATAGGTACCTATGCATACCTACTATGTAATACGGTTAACACGGCGGACCAAGAATTGGCCCTGTCGGACTTCCGTATATGGGAATATGTTTGCTGCTCTATAATGTACAGCCACTCTATGCTGCGCGTAGTCTGATAACTGTTATAAATTATTAGATTCTCTACTGTTCTATCAAAACACTTTTATTATTTTTTCTAGTTAGTCTTTGGAGATTTTCAAAAGTGGAGATTTATATGTTTCTAACCTGGAGTGTCTCTAAAGATGTTTTGTATATAACTACCTAAGGTAGTTAATGTAAGAGGTAAGTAGCTTTAACTATCTTAATTAAAGTTCCTTGCGGACACTTTCTATCAACATGAGTCTAAAAGATGCAATATTTTTTCTACTATTCAAAAAGATAACGGCCCTTAAATACCAAGATATAGAATCAATCTGTTCCCTAAGTTATTACTAGTTACCTGTTATGTAATTCTTCAGAGTAACTTCGTCGTGCACGTGTCAAATATTTGCCTAAAAACAGACACACTTCTAGAACTTCAATTTGGCTGAGTGCCTTAGGTAGGTACCTTACCTAAGAGGCTGGCACCCTCAGAAGTTGATGGCCGGGTCTTGGCATATTAGTCTGATTAACTTCCAAAGAATTATTCAAACAAATACAATTACATCTATTAAAATATATATCACAAGACTTGGGAAGAGTTTCTCTATATAATTGTCGCTTTGATTTATTTTTTAAGTTTTTCTTCGTAGTTATTTCAAATAACAAATGCAAGTAGTACTTCTGGAAGCAAATGCCAAGACCCGGCCATTAATTTTCGAGAGTGCCAGAGAGGTAAACAACACAGCAGACCAGGACCTCGGTACCTGCTCTCTATCTCTGTAGCCCAACCCTGCAGCTTAGACCCGCTAAAATAAAGTTGGCTTTCCCTATCTCCTAAAGTTACGACAGCTAGCTTGGAAAATATTGCATCCTGCCTGCTCAATTGTGCATTACCTCTTTTCCACTCTTTTCCAATCCTGCATCATATCCGGATACTGGACGCCTTGCAGATATGTTATTATTGTAGGCCTCTTTGGAGTTCCCTGAACTTCGTCGACCTTGTCTAAAACACATCTCAACATTTCGTACTTACCTGCCTGCGTATTTGTATTACCTTACATTAGGTACCTTAGGTACCTAGGTACTTCGTACATCACTTAGGTATCTACCAGACTACCTACCACGGGCAGTCTCTACCTTATGTGTCTTACCTAATTCACATGTCTATACCCAGGTACCTATAAATTCCAAGGTTGTGCCTACGGGATAGGTACGTAATACTTCTAGGCGTACGTACATCTCTTCTGTATTGTACAGTCCCGTCTTTCCCCACCTGCACCTCAAGAATACACTAGCATCACCTAATAATTCTGGCACCTTTCATTACCTACCTATCATCCAACAGCTACCAAGCTGACCACGCAGCCGTCCTTTCAAGACAAGAAGAAGAAGAAAAAATTAGCCATCCCAAGGGGATCCTCGATTCAGCCTTGCCTGATTGTCTCCGCTACGGTCTACTTGTCTCCCCACTTTCTTCATTCAGTGTCACATTCCGTCTCCATCGAGAACCCTGACTCTCTATCCAAATCAGGTACACGAAGGGGTCTTCATTCTTCCTTCTTGTTTGCCTTGCATACATCTAATCATATATTTTGTATGTATGCCTACGTACAATACCCTTCGCGGACTACAGCTACCTTACTACCTCCGGGTACACATTACGCACACGGTTAAGCATTAAACGCTTGGAGCCGATCGCCCAATTTCTCCATTTCTCCATTTCGCCATTTCGCCGTTTCGCCGTTTCATCATTTTTTCTCATGTGAGGTAAGTGAGCAGCACATCTTACATCATGTCCTATAGCATTGTTACTTTTGTATCGTTATTGGAGAATTTTAATATCAGAAAATGTTGGAAAGATTGAAGATGGAAGATTTGCTTGATAGAGATTGGCCCCGGGAAGGATGGGAAAGTAAAGAACCCCTACCTCGTACTTGCCTAGGATTAGCAGCTTCCTAGCTAGTCCCAGGTAATGCTGCTACTGTAGCGGGTAGCTGAGCTCTTGCTTTCCCACTTTGCTAAGGCTGCCTTCCCAACCAAGTTCTCCACACGCCCCTCCCCCACCATTAGCGCTTCCCTTACACTTGCACCACTTGCACCACTGACGCCAGAGTTCCAAAGAAAGCGCCCCCCCCTAGTCACTAAAAACGTAACTAGAGCTTCTCCAACGTCTATCGTCACAAACTATTACGGGTGCCTATCTTATTTTCTCCGGCGGTTTCTTCACTAAAGTCTACTTCCGTTCTTGCAGTTTACGAAAATCTCTTTTTTTTCTTTTCCATTTTCGCGACACTTTGATACCCCTTGTAGACCTTTGACTGTCTTTTATTCTTCTCTTTCTTCTCTTATCCTCTATTCTATTGTGTTTATTTCTTCCACTGTTTTACCCCGCCTATCTTTCCGTAACCCACATGCTAATTCTGGAGTCCAGTAACAGCCGCCGAGCCTTCTCGCGCGAACGCCTCAAGCTTTGTCTGGAGCTCCACGATTTCCACCATTCCCGGCCCTGTCAGCAAGGTACAGATGGATCAGGATTCGAGATCACCCGAGCCGCGAGAACGAGCCGTCTCTTCTGAGCCCTGCTCAACTCGACCCAATCCTTTTGACGACGGTGATTCTTCTTCCCGAAAACGTCGTAGGACCTCCCTTTCTGGTTCTAGGAGCTCGTCAGTCGAAACAATTCCATCTCTGGGTGACGAAAAACCGTCTTCCGATTCTAGCGTTATGAGGGTCGACTCGCCAGAGCAACTTCCCCCGAGTACGCCGGCTCGTCCAGAGCCTACTGCCGAACCGGTATCCAGTAAAGTCACGATCAACCTCAGGAATCTTGATAGCCTTGAGAATACGCCCTCTTCCCCCCCGTCCCCTACCCCTGCGCAATCTCTCAAAGATAACTTGAAAGCTAGTGTTGAAGAGCCAGAGGTGAATATGATACAGATACCCTCGACCGAAGATGCGTCATCATCCGCATCCGAGCTTGGTAGTCCAGAAGCGTCCATAATACCAAACGAGGATGATCCCATACTCTACGGTGGGGGTTCCGCCTTAACATCTCTGCCAGAGAGTAGAGTGGCGGAATTCAGAGCTGCTATGCTTGATTTCCCATATCATACCAGCGGGGAATCTTACCACGAGACGGTTGTCCGCCTCGCAGAGTATTTTCGACAACGTGCGTCAAGATCGCCCAATTTTCGTCAATGTTCTAACTTTAAACTAGAATCTTCTCACGTCGATGATGCCTTGCATCTACTGAGCGAATGGCTGAATACGTACCTATCATACGCACATATTGAATTATACCCTATGGTCATAGAAGCATACCAGGAAAATAGAGACTTTTGGCAGACCCTGCCGGACCTGTTCTTTTCTATAGGTCTTCGGTATGCATAACTCAAGCGTTTTACCAACGCGAATTGGCTTGACTAATGGAGTCTTTTCTTAGGCACGGCTCTTCAAAATCGAACCATACCCGAGACATTGTTAGCCAAATGTTCGCGCAGATTGCTAGATTAACTAGGTTCCTGATCGTAGTTGACTGCCGAACGTTACTGCAACTTACCAAGGAGGAGGGTAGTGACTTTGACTTAATATCTCCAAACTTCCTTCGATTATTCGGCAACATCACGAGTAAGGAAGAAAATAATCCCATTACGAATGGATACATATCAGGGACTCACCCGGGTGTTTTGGAGCCGCTCGATATACTCCAGTCCAGGTGTGATGGCCTACTAGCCTACCTACACCAATTTACTGAGCTAATCACCAGTAACCTCATACGATTTCCCAAGAAAGTAATGGATAACCTTGTCGGGGTCGCTTGGCTTACGGAGTGCCTCTTACGCGACAGCCATCGAAAGCTGTCCCCTCCTAACTATTATTCTCCAGCAACACTTGAATGCTCGAGAAAAAACATGGTCTTCGGTCTCAAATTCTTCGTGACAGTATCGGAAGCCATGGACATAGTGATCGAAAAGTTTATCAACAATTTAGGCTCCGATACCGCTATGAGTCTCATTAACAGCCTGACTTCGATTTTCAGGTCCAGTTTGTTCAGGTCCAAATTGTTAGGCGATATCATTGAGGCGGCACAAATACTCGAGGACCACCGAGAAATGCATCCCGATCTTCAAGAGAAATTCAGACCAGATGCTCTTTCATTCGAATGGCGAATGCGCATATGCTGCAAGCTAGTGAAATCCCGTCAAATGCAACTCAGGGTCGCAGCAACCGCGCACCTATGCGAAGACCTTGTTATGCAGTGGAGGTCGTATATGGAACGACAGGACCCAGAAGAGGAATACTTGGCTTACCTTCGATATTTATCTAGGTATCTGGTTAAAACCGGTATTGTCGACTATCTTCTTGGGCCAACGTGCCACCCAGAAATCACCCAAACCAGCTTCAACATAGTTGGATTTCTAGCTGTCAATAAAACTTACACAGCCGCCCAGACGGAACTACTTTGGCAAACTCTGACGTCAACGCAGGATCCCAGAATTTCCGATGCCATAGTCCGTATGATGTCCAAGGTGGTCGGTCTGCTTGAACCGGATAGCCTCATGTATATGTGTGAAAAATTCTACAGTCTACCGATAGAGTCTTTCTCTTCTTCCATGCGCGATCTTTTCGACCAGGTTACGAAGCAACTACAGGAGAAGATGGTACCTTACCAATTAGTTCCCCTTTCACCCTACAAAATCTGTGTTCGGCTACTCCAGGAGTCATCTATCCTCGGGCCTCAAGGCTCTGTGTTATACCCGGAAATTCACAACTTTGCTCTGTCGAAGTTCGGTGCCTTATTGCCCTCAGGTCCGGATCCGGCAGGGCGCGAAAATATCTGGATGAGTTGCGTGAATGATATTGCGGCTAAGTCTCGAACAACTTCGGGAAGTCTCCAAGTACTAAGTACGCTTATGGGTAATACCCCAGCGCTACAGATGTTGATAACCGATCACAACCTGACGCGGCTTCTGGTTGACGAACTCGAGTCTACAATCGCAAATGCGAAAGGCTCCGGATTCGCTCCGGTATATGCGAGTCAGATAGGCCATGCCCGTAGAAGGATTATTTCTGCGATTATTGTGCATTATGGTTCTACCATTGATTCGGAGCTTGGTCGACGTCTCTGGGATCTTTTGGTTGGGGATGGTGCCGCGTGTCAGGATGATAGAAAAGCTGCCTGGGATGATTTAAACGGTGCACTTAAGAGGACACACCTGGACAACCCTTTCCTCAATACCTGCTTGCGAGAGTATTTACCTCAATTGCCACCCAGCTGCTACTGCGCGGGCTCTCTCTCATTCGTTCGAGAAGCTATTATTCCCCTTGCGAATGATGCCAACGGTATGGCCCTTGATGACGAAGATAGCATCAAGTCTTCTGGGTTAGAACTTCTTTGGCAGATGATTCTGACAGCTCCATGTCACACCATCGAAGAAACAGCCATTTCTACCCTCGTTGACGACATTTACGTTGACAGTAAGACTATCTTATCGTATCCGCTTCACCGCGCAAGAAGGGTTCATTTTGCTTTGGCGCAACGGTGCTTACAGCAGCTCAAATGCGCAGCCCAAAGACTAAAGAGATCTAGCGGTAGCAAAGTGAATGGGCATAGCGAGCCTGTGGTGACAGAACCTCCCAAGGAACAATACGAGGAACACGAGTTACAATTCACAAGATCCCTACAGGTCCTTATAGCACTCCTGAAATCGCTGCAGACAAGACCCCATTTTGCTGCGCCTGATTTGCGGTCTCTCATGCTACAGGCTCCTAGCCCGGTGGATGGTGAATTCGCAGACTTGAAATATCAATCATTTGACGGGGACGATCAAACAGAGATTAAATCTCTGAATATCGGACTCAAAAATACAGCAGCTTCACTACTCGCTAGTTTACGCGAAGCTACTGGGTTTGATAATTACCGTCTATACTATCGTGGACAACCTTTGGCGCCATCAGAAAGCGCAATATGCAAATCGATCGAGGAGCTTGATATAAAAACCGGACTGATCCTTGTTAAGAAAGAAACCGGTATCACAACTTCTCCTCGACGCATAAAACCAGGAGCTTCGCCACTTGACATTGAGATACTGAGCCACTTCAAGGACTTATGGGAGTATCTAAGCATGGAGGAGAAGCTAGCCAAAGAGGTAGGCCACTTCTTCTCACATTATACTTGAAAATGTGCTTACTTGTTTTTAGATCTATCACTTCCTCGTTTCACTCCCAGCTGACGATTCAATCCTGACGGCGTTTGAAGATCCCGCGACTTCCTACCGAGATGTCTTCCCGCTTGGACAGCCTTTCAAGTCGCTATATGCTCTACACGCGCTCCGTGAATATCTTAGCACTCGACGACTCAAGAGTAACGTGATGCAAGTGTCTTCACAGGATTGCGAGGCCCATTTAAAATCGGTAAACGACCATCAGGATGCTTCTGCCAAGGCAATGTCCCTGGTCATTGCAGCCATTTGCGACTATGAGGTTCTTGAGCGAGGTTCCAGCGAAGCTCTTAAGCTCAAGCTCAGTCTTGAGCTGGTGGACAATTATATCCATCTCTTAGAAGGTACGTGATACTCAACGTGCGCGATTAATCATTAACTAACTATGCTAAGAAATCATTGATGCCGAAACAATCACACAGCTTCTAAGCCCAACCCTCTTGGAGAGGCTTTCAACAATACTTATAGTCGCTGCATCTGCCCAAACGAACCAGGTCAGCATCGAACTGATTACACGATCATTTGAGGCCCTGCTTGAATCCTGTAAAAAGAGTGAAGTGTTCTGGAAGGGGTTTCGAGATCAGGTTGGATTGCAAAAGATGGTTCAGCGCCTTGTGCTTGATGATCCCCGCCCCATTGTGAGGAAGAGCATCGCTGGACTGATTACTGCTAAGAGCCTCCATGAACAACCTGTACCTGGCGCGCAGGCGTTGGATTTCGCGGAATTATTCTGGCCCCTCATATTCCAGCTGGTACACCAAGCCGTTACGGAACCGAACAAATGCGAAGAGACATTTAGTCTCTCCTTTCAACTACTTCATAAGCTCAATAAGGAGAAGCCTGGGGTTGTTGACTTGCCAACTTGTCTCAGGCAGTGTGGGAAACTTCTGCTATCACACACAACCACGGAGGACATAGCCCATCCAGATAGGGACATTGTGGCATATGGACTTATCATGATATTAAGTATTGGTATGGCGGAGGCATCGGCCAGAAAGGAACGGGTACAATTCGATCCTACCTTCACATCAGAACTATTTTCTCGGCATCTCTTTCCGCCCGAAGACGAAGGCATGGAATTAGTACCTAAGGTGATCCTTAATACACCTTCGCGATCTATACTTTACGATATCATACTCGCCTTGGTCAAAGATGATGCAACATTATCTACCTGTTTACTTCGAGACTTGCATAATGTTACATCATTCCGCGTTACCGAAGATGGTATGGATACGTACAGATATGATCTGCCGCAGCTTTTCGATAGGTCGAACGCCATTAGATCGTCATGTGGGTACTCCGGGATGCGAAACCTTTCGAATACTTGCTACCTAAACTCGCTCTTTACGCAGCTCTTCATGAACGTCGGGTTCCGCCGCTTCATACTCGAGAGGCGAGTACGAAACCCGCTGACACACTCACTCCTTCAAGAGACCCAGGCACTATTTGCGTTCCTACAAGATAGTCGACGACGGTTTGTGGAGCCTGCAGGCTGTGTCGGTCAAATCATGACCTATGATGAGGCGCCTATTGATATCCATAATCAGATGGATGTAGACGAATTCTACAGTCTTCTCTTCGATCGATGGGAGGCGCAGCTACCTTTAGATGCCGACAAGAAAAAATTGAGGTCATTCTATGGCGGTGAGCTAGTCCAGCAAGTGAAATCCAAGGAATGTCAACATATTTCAGAACGCATCGAGCCCTTCTCGGCGATTCAGTGCGATATCAAGGGCAAAGCAGGTCTTGAGGAAAGTCTCCAAGCCTACGTGGACGGCGAAATCATGGAAGGAGGTATGTTTTCGCAAATCATAATGAATATGCAATGATACTAACAATTTAGACAATAAATATAAGTGTTCCGATTGTGACAGGCATGTGGATGCAGTCAAAAGGTAAGTTGAGCATTGTCTACCTTTATTACCAGCAACGCTAATCATATGAGCAGAGCGTGCCTTAAGGACATCCCCGATAACTTGATTTTTCACTTGAAAAGGTTCGACTTTAACCTTAGAACTCTAACGCGAAGCAAAATCAACGACTATTTCCCTTTCCCGAATGAGATAAATATGCAGCCCTATACTATCGAGCACTTAAGTGATCCTTCCGGTAGCACCGAGCCGGACATGTTCGAGCTGGTAGGGATTCTCGTCCATTCCGGGACTGCAGAGTCTGGCCATTACTATTCGTACATCCGAGAGCGGCCCACTTCAAGCAGCAAGCCGTCTTGGGTTGAATTCAACGACGAACTAGTCACATCATGGGAACCTTCGCAGATGGAAAACGCTTGTTTTGGGGGACCAGACTACCGCCCACAATTTGAGGCCGGCGCTGCCTACGAGAAGGTTTATAGCGCTTATATGCTATTCTACCAGCGTTCTACCTCGCTGCAGAAGGAGCAAGAAATGCTCAAGGCGTCGGGTCAAGTTGGCCCTTTCCGGTGTAGCGTTCCAAGAAGTCTCCAGTCCCAAGTCAAGGAGGACAATTGGTCAATAGTCCAGCGGCATTGCCTCTATGATCCGGCTCATATGCCTTTTGTGCACGAGGTGCTCACCCATGTGTGGAGTACTCCGTGCTCGAAAGACCACCTAAGAGAAAATCTAGCGATGCAAACGGCTCTTGGTCATCTAGACCAGATCGCATCCCGAGCTAAGGACTTACCGGATTACGATCAACTTAAACATCTTTTGGTTAAGGCCTGTCAACGGTGTCCCACGTGCTGTTTAGCATTTTTCGATTATTTCAACCAACACAAGGACGCTCTACGTATGTTGCTACAGAGGAACTCAGACCTCGGCGTACGTCAGGATATAGGCAAGATGCTCATATATGTCCTTCTATCCATTAAAGCTAAATTTCCAGAGGAGTATGGCCTGCTCCAAGGTGACGTCGATATGGTAGTGCCTAGCATGGTGGACCGACCTTTGACCATAGTGGACATGACTTTAGATATCTTCCTTTATGTTTGGGAGACCTTCCACACGCGCCTTAATTCCTGGCCAGAATACTTTGGAACCATGCTTGAGTTCGCCCGAATGGGCCGCTACGAAACGTTGGCGCTTCTAGACAGAGATTTCTTAGTTAGGCTGATCATGATAATCTCTGTCGACCAGGTTTTTGATCTTCCTCCACAATATGCTAGGCTGCTTACTGTGGTATCAAGGAGATCCGCGAGGCCACCCAACTATGAAAAGATCATTGCCCTTATTAATAAGCTCATGGCGGCCATAGACTCGGTGCCCAGCCAGACAAGGCACCTACAGGAGGCCCATGGACGATTATTACTGGGTCTCCAGGGTGAACCGGTTACATTCACGGTAGAAGAGTGCAACATTCTACATCGGGATTGGATTAGAGGCCAGGCCAATGTTTTTACGGAGAAGCTCATCTCTCTCAACCAGAATCCCGAGGCCACCGACTCTATCATCAGGCGCCTCATAAGCTTTGCCCCGGTGACAGATTTCAAGGTATTTACAACATTGCGGCTTAATATCACCGGAGAATTGGCTTCTCATATGGTATCGCCCTTCCTCCGCGTTGCCGGAACGTACTGCCGCTACAGCACTAACTACGAGAACGTCCTTCGTCTGATCAGCCATGTATCCAACCAATGCAGAAACCTACAGAACGCAGAAGGCCGGGCCTTCCTTGAATTCCAACAGGATCTCTTCCAAGGCGTACGAAACACTGGCGAGACAAGCGATATAATCCAGTTGCGTAATTTGGAGAATATTCCAAGGTGGGCTCCAGGACTTCTCGGATACATCGACCATTCAGTCAGTGATGATGTAGAGAACTTTTTAGAGGAGAAGTTGTTCAGGAACGGACCTTCATCTGCGTTCGGGGAGATGGACGGAGCGCTTGAAATGCCGCGGGCAATAATTCTCGTAATCGGACGTCTGGCTGTCTCCTGTCTAGAATATCTACGAGATACGTATGTCTCCCGTGCAGCGCAGGCAGCCAAGTATACGGTGGATCCTTTGGACCGAGTGCTTAAGAAGTGCGAGCCGTACTTCAGTCTCAACGAGGGGATGGATGAAAGCCTTCAGGTACAATATATGGAACTCCGCCAAGGTACGAATCCTCATGTTGGAAGGTGAAAAACTGTTCGCTAGAGCTACTACGTGCTAACTCTACAATAGTTGTCTTGGAACCGATGGTTAGACTGACAGTTGAGGAGATTGAAGAGGATGGTTCCGGTATGTGGAGCGATTCTACCACCGCCACCGTAGACTATGACTGACAAAGCCCAAGAATGGGAGCAGTCGGTCGGCTCTTCGGAACAGATGGATAACTTGACAGATCTCAGCATGCAAATCGACCGCGATCTAGCATGAGTAACCCAATCTCAGGATCCTACGAAACCTTCCCTTAGACGCCATATTGATTGGTGCGATGATCAGGGTAAACTTAGGCTAGCCGGGTTGTAACGTAACATAGAACTGATCATAAAAGACGTAATGACAGGTTGGTGGGAAAGATGGAAAGGGAAACGAGGGACAATGCATAGCACTGGCGTGATAGGCGTCTTTAGGGATGGACAAAACGATACTTTACACAGCTACGTTCTTCGGGCGCAACCTGGAGGAGGGAGTAGACGGTTCTGGTCGTGCCCAACTGGGATTTCTAATTGTATGAGTTATGTTTTATTGCATAGCAATTCTCACAGGAGGGCAAGGTGTGATGGATGATGCTTCCAACCAGAAGGGATGGAAATGGTGGGTTTGCTGCTTTGCTTACTATTTTAGCACGGAATACCCAGCTCCTCACGTTTACGTGAATTAGTTTATAGCAAGGCGAAAAAAGGAGCAACACGAACAAGATGATAAGATGATGTGACTGCAGCTAGTGCATTTGTTAACGGCCCAAGACGCAATTAGCTACCTCCCAAGGTACTGAGCAAATGAAGCAAAGCTACACACACAAAGAGTTTTCGCTATTTAAATTCTCTCCCCTGCTTTATTCCAGACCATTGCTACTAAAAATATCTGGACCAGTTAACCATCAGGTTGGAAGGACAGGAAAGTGAGTAGGTTAGACATGTGTATCAACTGCAGTTTTGTGAACTGCAGTTCGCAGTTGACGCTGGACGAGTAAATGGTGATGGCGTCTCGAGCTTTTCTTTCGGAATCACAACAATCCGTCCGGGGTGAAGTGATAGGGACTGGATATGATTGGTTGTAGGGTGTTGGTAAATGAGATGTAAGTACCTTGGGTACCTAGGTTATAGGTGCAGGACTGAATGTCACCTCGTTATCATAATTGCCGAAAGCTCCCACTTGTGGAAAACGGCATTGTAGAGATTGAGAATATCATACCTTATATACCCAAGTGCCGTAAGTATAGATATGAGAACAATATATATGTCATATAATATGGGAATGATATATAAGGTTAGGTAGGTAGTTAGTTATAGTTACTTTATTAATATTATACAGAATTCCCTTACATTATTTAATTCATTAATAAGATACCTACAAAAATTAATTGAATTTGTTGGTTATTGCTTATTGCCTTTACTCACAGGCCTTATACTACCCATGTATGATTTTATTCAGAATTAACAACAATGGTTACCTAAGGTATATAGTTTGTACCTTGTATCTAAAAGTCCCTAGTTGCAACTGTTTGTTGGATCCGGCTGCTCGTCAACAATGGACCGATATTAGCCTCCGAGAACGTTGGTTAAGGTCTATTTTTGGATCGAACCCCTCCCTAGAAGCTTTCGGAATCTAGCTGAGGTAGGATTAGCTTGGACGACCAACAGGGATTACCAATGGGCGGGTGCCAAGTCCGGCCTATGTAGGTATTTTATCTATATTTGGATTATCCTAGTTACTACTACATAGTATGTATTGTAACCGCCGAGTCAAGATGCGGGGGAGGAAGGGGATAGGCAAGGATAAGAAAGGATAGGGGTATTTGGTTGGTTAAACCTTCGAGATTTCTTATTATCTCCAAGATGACTGGAGGAAATCTCGTCGTTGTGAGCTGCAGGTCCCAGCACACCACCCATCCCGGCCCATCTATCACTATCACACATACTACAGACGCACGCGTGTTTATGCATAAACATTCCAGGGTTATCTAGGGCTAATAACGTGTAGGGAAATACTTCGTTCGCTATGCACATCTGACTTGGTGTATCTGCATCTAAGCTGCATCTAAACAAGTAGTGGCTGCTGCATGTGACAAGTAGGTAGCTAGGTCCATCGACGAATCATACATCTTTCTCTCTCCTGAAACGAAGCACGTTAGTCGCCAACATAATCTCTACCAGCTAAATGCGGTGGCCAAGGTGAACCTGACGCTAAGTTTCATGGCCGCTGAATGTAGAAGTCATAAAGAATGGTAAGGGAGAGTTGGCGAACAAATAACAATGGTCGGCAGCCAGCCTCATGGGGGTTCAGCTTCGAAGCCGACCTTCTTTGCTTCTACTACTTCTTCTTGTTTCAACATTTTGACGTTTCATCATTCCATGTTTCGAAGCGCCCTTCTTTTTTTATATCCACACTTCCACTGTAGAAACCCCCTTTCTTCCTAAGCCTTACTCATTTCCAATTTTGGATCTCGTCTTAAACATCCCTTGCGTCGTGATATATCAAATAGCCCTGTGCCTCTTTATATATCTATATCTAACATATCATCCTTCGATATCTAAATAGTAGGCCTCGCCACCGGAAGTCAAAACAACCGGGCCGGATCAGCCTTACTCTATCATCAGCTAAAGGAGATACCACCTAGTAATCACTATGCCACCCGCCATGTCGCTGTCGAAGCAACGCATCTCCTCGCCTTTAGAGGCAGGACCATCGATTCTCGATGCCTACAACCTACCTTCTCACTTAAACGAAGCTTTAGAATACACATCGAAGAGGTTGGCGAGAAAGGCTTTACATATTACCCTAGTTGTCGTGCGGAAGGAATATCAACTCCCGAGCGTAATGCCGCCATGCCCTACACCAACTTCGCCTCCACTCACACCGGGGATTAAGTCTCCTACACGGTTTGCCTCGCCCGTCGTAGGACTGAGACAACTGGTCCGAAGGGGCACAGGCAACTCAACATCTACCGTATCATCTACCGCGTCAGACTCTCTACCTAGCACAGCAGCGTCGTCTCCGTCATTTCCACCTCCACCCATGGAACCCCTGATTAGTCCCCGTCGTTGTCGTTGGGTAGTGCCCCCAACACCCGGCACTCCGCTTCCTCGCACGCCGATGACGCCCCAAACACCGTCAAGCGTCCTCACGGCATCCTCCACAACCTCCTTAACACAGGGACCAAACGAATTCGGTATTCGGCTGATCCACACCAGCCTGCTCTCTCCTAAAGCAGAAAAGACGTTGCGAACCACTATTTCCAAGGCGGAACGGAAATTCCGCATAGGCACCAGCTGGCTCCCCCCCGCCGCGACCGCATCCGCGTGCGGCTTAAACGACGACCTCGTTCGCAGAAGCATGCTGCAAAACGAGGTGCTCTTCTCGTCCGAGGGCCTCACGCTCCTCGGCCTCGACAGGTTGTACAGTTTCAAATCCGCCCTGGCCGTGTACGCCCGGTCCACATACGCATCCCCCTCCCCCACTCCCTCCTCCTCCTCCTCTGCCGCCAACGCGAACGCCGCGCCCACCACCACCGGCAAAACGCCAGACAGCACGCGCCTCGAAGACGCGGTCGACGCCCTGCGGCGCCTCGTCCTGGCTAACGGCGGCCGGCCCGTGTCGAAATCCGACCTGCTCCGGAGCTACGACTGGCTCGGGGCGAACGCGCGCGCGCTGCGGGACGTCGAGAGCATGTACAGGCGGGCGTACGGGGGGCTGGACCGGACGGGCGCGTTCGAAACGACTTCTTCTTCTATTCCTGCTGCTACTCCTCCTTATCAGGAAGAACAACATCAACAACAACAGGAGGAGGTATATGAGGAGGAGGAGGAGGGTGGGAAAGAACAACACGGGCGGAGCACCAGACCCGTCATCAAGCTTAGCGCGCCGCCGCCGCCCAGGACGCCCCCGAGGACCCAGACGACCCCCGTGCTCACGCTCGACACGCAGCTGGCGACGGCGACGACGGCGCGGATATTCAAGCCGACGGCGAAGTTGCTGGTGCCGGGGACCGGGAAAGCTTGTGGTGGTGGTGCTGCGGTGTCGGGTAAGCGCGGGGGTAACGCAACGAGGGAGGGGATGGAGATTTATCTCGAGGGTCTGACGTACTACGACGACAACGAGGAGGAGGAGGAGGATGCCGACAACAGCAGCGACAGCGGGAATAAAGAAAAAGGAAGGGAGGGAGAAAGGGACGAGGAAGGAGAGGGAGAGGGAGACTATACAGCGCGCCCGATGCCGGGACTCGCGTTCTGGAACAACGCCAGCGCGTCCATCGACTCGATGATGCTGCTGTCGCCGTCGTCAACGCGCGAGAGCCAGCAGTCGCAGTCGCAGCAGCGGTTAGGGCCGCTGACGCCGAACGGGTACGACGATATATCGCCCGTGACGAGGGGGGAGTGGGGGTTCCTGTTCAAGGGGGAGGGGTGGCAGCAGGGGCGGACGGCGGCCGTGGAGACTTGGTGACATATATATATGCCTAGGTACCTTATATAGGTACCTATATACTGGGAGACGCGGAAAGGGGAAGGAGAAGAAGAAGGAGAAGGAGGGTGTGTTAAAGATTGGACATATGCATGTTTACCTACTTAAGGTATATATTAAGTACATGTATTTACTAGAGAGATGTATCAGAAATACTCACGTCTATACAGGCTATGTAAATAGCAGGCCGATGATTAAGGTTCTTGGTGTTGTATATATAGGTATATATATTCATATTAGGACTGGCGTATCCATACTTTATCAGTAATGAATGCACGATAGGAGAGAGACAATGGGAATGGGTACGGAAATAGTTTGTTTATGATATACCCTTTCATTTCACACCCTCTAGGTAATCGAACTGGATGAGCGCCCCAACAGACCATGATTTTATACCCGTGCAAATATACCGCGCTGCCTATTCTTTCATTAACCCGGACGATGGTATTCCCAAACTCCCCAATTTCTCCCGTGCGTAGGGATGCATGTATGACATACAATACAACATGTGTAAGTAAACCTGAAATAAACCTAGGGAAAGTATACCTCCCCCCCTTTTTTTCCTCTCTCTTTCTTCCACCTCTCCTCTCTTCAGACAAGATACGGCGCGAGAAAAAGGCGCCGAAAAAAGTAGACAGAATCACCGCCACCCGTACTTCGAGCTCGCCTCCTTGCGATTCCCGTGGCCCTTAGCGAAGCTCTCCTCGAGGGCCTCGCGCTGGCTCTGGACCTGGGTGACGAGCTGGCGGAGGCTGTGCTTGCCGGGGGCGAGGGAGCGCACCGGGTTGTACGTCGGCTGCAGCTGGCCCGAGGCGCGCAGGGCCTCGTTGTGCGCGTACTCGCGGTCCGTGTCGAAGCGCACCACGCGGCTGCCGCCCGAGGGCTCGCCGCCGCGCCCGAAGAGCTCCCGCCGCGCCGCCGCCGATAGGTTCATGTCGGCCGCTATGGCGTCTAGGGTGTCCGCCGAAGAGCCGCTGGACGGCATGGGGGCTGGGGCGCTGGGGGACGCGGCGAATTGCGCGTCGTAGGCGGCGAAGTCGTCGACTGTGGTGTTGGTGCTGGGGGTGCTGAACATGGGTTCGTAGACGCCGGTGTTATTAGATGTGTGGGTTTCTACTGGGTCTGTGTCTGGTTCGTCGGATATGGAGAAGAGCGATATCTTCTGCCTCTTCGGAGGTGGTTCTGCTTTTTCTGTGTCCTTCGGTTTTGATTCCTCGCTTGGCAGAGGAGCTGGCGGTGTGGATGTGGATGGGGTAGAGGTAGTGGTGGTTTTTGGTTTGGTCGCGCTCTTCTTTCCTGGTTTTCGCGACACTGATAATGGCTTGAACATCAGTGGTTTGCCGACTAGCTTGACTTCGTCTGCTGGCTTTTGCTCGGCGGGTATAGAGGGTTGTTTCATTGCCGGTTCTGCATCTTCTCGCCCCGTTTGCGCCTCATTTGAACCGCCTTCTTCATTTCTCTCTACCTCCCTACTGAAACCAGGTGTAGCGCCAGTCTTTAGATTAATACCAGGTCTCGGCGCTGGTGTCCCGCTACTACTCGCCACCGCCGCCGCAGGCTTTCCGACGTTCTTTGGAGCTGGGAGGAATGAGTTAAAGCCGCTAAACGCGCCTCCTCCTCTACCCGCAACACGGGCGCGTTTTGGGGGTGGCTCATTGCTGGTATCTGAAGGTTTGATCTCGTCACGACTAGATGAGCTCTGGGGGAGGTTGACGAGGATCTTGCCCGGTTTCGCTCGGTCGACGACCTTCTGGAAGGGTTTCTTGCCGCTAGCTGCTGCTGCTGGAGCTGAAGCTGCTACCGGCTGCGAGGGGGGTGCGGGCTTGGTGACGGTTTCGGAGTCGGATTCAGAATCTGAGTAGTCGACGAGCCCCATTTTCGCGTGATGAAGTGGGAGTTGACAAGGTGTGGAATTCTGGTGATGTAGTTCGTAGTTTCAATGTCTAATAACTAAATGTACCTACTATGTATCTGAAGGCTTAGGTCAATGTGGCGTCATAAGACATACCCCTTGTGGAGTGTGGCTGCAGGGTAGCTAAAAATGGGCCCTGGGTTTATGTAAGAGGTACCTCTACCTTTTTGTCATACAGTTGGAAGCCAAGTTATTAGATTGATTTGTTTCCAACATCGCTTATTTAGTTCCACCGATAGCGAATACCAAGGTAGCAAATCAAGGAACTATGAGTCTTGTCACTTATAGTTGGAAGCTTGGCAAAAGCTACGACTGTACCATTGAAACCGTAATAATATATCCCTCTGCATTTCTACTATGTATGGCAGCAAACACCAAGGGGAAACTTAGCGAATTAAAAGCTGCATGATGCCACCCGTCGCGGAGAACTTCCACATCGTATCTGGACGGTCACGTCAAATATATATACCTACCTAGGTAGGTATATATATATTATCCTAGCTACCTTTGGTAGGTATGTGAATGAGTAAGTGGAGATGAGCAGCATATTATACGTAATTGGAACTTCAAATCACCGCAACAAGACGATCTGGACTACATCTTTCACAATCGACCACTCAACATGGTCGATGATCTCACGTTTATTCCCCATTCTAGCGGCTTGGCTGGAACACTGGGGGAGGCCCGGGAGGGATGTCTAAGCTGGCTAAGACTCCAAGTACCCATTTGCCGATCCTATCCTTCAATGAGATCGATTAGATTGATAAGATCATCTTATTTATCTAATCAATCAACTCACATGTCATTTACACCCAGACACCTTGTATGAATAGGGAAGCTCTCGACCGAATACCAAGAGATTCTTCAACAACCTACAGCTCCGGCTACGGACCTCCTGCGCGTATTAATTTATCTGGGCAGTTTCGGTCGAGATGTAGGTTATATAAAAACCTGCCATAACTACCTGGTTCTAGCTATGTCTTCGTTTTTACTATCTTGTCTTCCTTTTGGGGTTTAAGCTTAGGTACCTCATAATGGCGGATTCGCAACCAACACTTAACAGCCTTGCGGCAAAGATCACGGAACTCTCGGAGACGTTTACGAAATATTTGAAGGAAAATAACATCACACAGCCGACCTTTGCGGCAGATAGTCCGACCAGTTACACTAACTTGTCTCCCGAGATATTCGTAACTCGTCAGTTATTAGCGGATGCCTTGTCAGATCTGTGGTATTTATCACAAGGACCAAGCGAGAGTATCTACAACTATGTCCATAGCGTGAGTATTCTCATCTTATCACCTAATTGCCTTGAGCTGTTATTTATCTTAACTTTGATAGTGCATACCTGATGCTGCGGCCCTCAACATCCTAAACCAGTTCGATTTCTGGTCTGCTGTACCATTAGAGGGTTCTGCCTCATACTCCGAGATTTCTCAGCATGTTTCTCTTCCTGAAGATGTTGTCCGGCGGGTCCTACAACATGCCGTGACTCTCCGTATCTTTGAAGAGACAGATCCTGGTAAATCCTCGACAAATATTCGCCATAATTCTCGATCGGCAGCACTGGCACGGAATGCTGGATTACAGGCTCTTGTCTCTTCAGTTCTCGATGTTGCCAGTGCGCCGATGATGGTCATGCCCGAAGCATTGAACAGGTATAGCCGCGGCAAGTCGGCTCTGACTCAGAATATGGATGAGACGTCGTTCGCCCTAACGTATAGCGGAGGGCAACTTGGAAAGCATAGAACCTCTTGGGATCTGCTGGAGAACGATGGGGAGGGTGAGAATAAGGGCTGGCGGCAGAGAAAATTTGTCGCATTCATGGCTTATATAAAAGAGCTCTTCCATCTCGAAGGTGTCTGTGAGTTTATATACCCTTTTCTTTCTTTCTTTCTTTCTTTCTTCTTTTTTTTTTAAAAAAAAAAAAAAAACTTTTTAGTAAAACCTGAAAACCCGCTCGAGATGATTCAACCCTTCTTTCAACTGCCTAAAAGTCAGCTAGCGTTCGCTAATTCAATGATACAGTACTCGATGCTTATGACTGGAAAGCTGTAGGCAAGGCAACAGTGGTTGATGTAAGTCCTCATTACCCCTAGCCTATTTTATATATCAAAGTGTATGATATACTGGAACTATAGCTAATACTCACCAGGTCGGTGGCTCTGCTGGTCACGATGCTTTCGTGCTGGCGCGGAAATTCCCCGATCTCACCATTACAGTGCAGGACTTACCGCAAGTAAAGCCGGTGTTTGAGGCTAACGTCCCCGAAGACCTGAAAGACCGTGTGTCCTTCGTAGCGCATGACTTTTTCGAGCCACAACCTGTGCAGGCAGACATCTATATCCTCAAGCTTATCCTCCACGACTGGCCGGATCACGAAGCAGTCAAGATGCTACGAGCCATGGTCCCCGGCCTAAAGCCGGGTGCTCGAATCGTCCTCATCGAGTACATTGGTAACCAGCGCGAGACTGAAGGACCATCGCTACCACGTTCGATCCAAAACATGGGTACGGCTACAGATCTAAGAATAATGGCGTTGTTTAACGCGGAGGAGCGTCCTGTTGAGGCATGGGCCAAGATCTTCCGCGATGCTGATGAGCGGTTCGAGTTGGCTCATGTTAACGCTAACCCTTTGACCTTCATTTCTGTGGTTGAGTTCGTCTGGCGCGGGTAGACTAGCTACCTACATATACCGAGGGAGTATGGTATTATAAGTGTAAAGTATTATATGGCACAAGAATAAAAATGAAGATAAAGTTGTTGGAAAAATGGATTAGTTGTATTGCATAATTTTGAAGCGTCACTAGAATCTTAAAGACGTGTACAACACAGTGCAATTCCTCATCAGTACCTAAAGTTTTACACTATTAGCGGCTGTGTAACCCCAGTCTTGTGTCAGCTAGCAGGTACATGGCTAGCAGTGCACGAACCAATTTGCGATATCAATGCCAAACCCTCCTGATGACCCTCCTCCCCACCCCCTGGTAAACCCCCGATAACACACCTGTGACACCTGTGACAACCTGTGGAAATGTGGGAGGCTGCTCAACTTCCCCATTCCTAAAACCATATAACAAAGACTACCGCGATTTCAATCATTGTCCCAGTTCTGTCGCAGACATCCATACACACATATCATATCGGCTTCGTAATAAATATTTAAACCTGGCATGATTGTCGCTCCACGAGAATGAATGCAATCGGCTTCTTCTCGTCAAGTAAGCTGGTCTACCGTTCAAGATGTCGTTGATACAAGTTGAAGAGTAGGCTATAGCCCCTCGTTATAATGCTTTGCTGACGTTGAATATGTATTCAGTTTGGTATCCTACCAATTACGAACAAGTTATCTCAACGAGGTTGCTGATGGCGTTGGCGAACGTCTCATTACCATTAACGACACTTTCCTAAACACCGCCCCTTTCAAAGCCGCTGGCTGGCGATCGAACCCGTCGCATATTAAGCGAACCCATTCCCCTCCGATACCTACAGCTATCGCCTCCGAATACTTCCAGGCTGCTCCGAGGTCTACGGGCCTTACACTTGAGGATGAAGCTGAAGAAGGGGGGATGCTGACTAGCGGCGGAGATACGTTGGGACCAGGAAGCGCTCTCAGGCGGCGCAGAGAAAGACGCCGAGAGCAGATGGATGAAGATGATAGTAGTGACTTGAGCGACGAGAGTGATGACGAGACAGACCAGAGGGCGGCACAGCAAATAAGATTTGCAAAGATGCCCCTCCGAAGTCGAGCTGGATCCTCGCCTATTCAATCGTCTAATCTGCGTCAAGCCACCAACATGTCATCTCCACAAGCCACCCCGGCACCTCGACGGGGATCGCAGCCTGCTTTAGAAACTGTTAGGGAACGGCCGCGGCGGGACACCGTTACCAGTAGCGAAATTTCGTCCGACAACGAGTTCGATGCTTCAGGTTATCATAAAAACAGAGAGATTGCGAGAACGAGAGCGGCTAGGTCACATTCCAGAACTACTCCGGAATCTGGGCAGAGCATCAGACGTCATGGAAGCCACTTACTTCCCGAAGAAGAGGAGAACTCTGATATGTCGGATACTTCTTCGGCATTTGCCGAAAGTGTTGATTCAACTTCTATTCTAGATGCAGTTGAGAATCCGGCAGTCGGTACTTCACCAGGTCAACAGGTAGTCGGCACAGTACCGAAACAATTACTACGGCAGTCTACAATCAGAAAGCTGGCGCCATCAGCGCAGCCACAGATGCTTCAAGCACTTCCACCCCCCCGACCTATGAGTACTATCAGGCCTCTCAGCATGGTTCCACCTCGTAGCTTACTCTCAGACGCATTTAAGGCGAAAAGAACCAAACCAGCTATGCCATTTGATGAGTTCGCATCTCTGTCGGGCCAGGGAGATCCTGATCCCCTTAGAATAAGAATATACGCGCCGTTCTCTAAAGACCCCGAGACACCCTTCGAGGTGCCCATAAGACGCAATATTCAGGAGGCGGATGGGACTTTCAGGCCGGTGACCGTTGCCGAGTTAATTGGCTTGAGTCTATGGAGGTATCACGCCGAAAAGCTCCAACCCCCTGTCCCTGCCGACAAGCTAAATGTAAATTGGTGGACCCTACGGATGGTTGAAGAAGGTGGCGAGGTTGATGATGATTTCGAGCCGCTGGATCGTAAAAAGCCGGTGAACTCGTTCACTACGGCAAATAACAGAGCAGCAAGGTCACGGGGTGCTTCCAAAGCCTACGATGAATTCGCCCTGGTGCAAGCTTCGGAGGCCGGCTTTGAGGAAAATCAGACCCAAACACCACAGTACAAACAGCAGGATGTAGCGGAGGACGTAAACGACGAAGAGGCAACCCCAAGGAATACGCCTCAGCCGCAAGTATCCCCGCAAGTCGCAGCACAACCGCGATTGAATCCTATCATTACCACAACCTATCGGGTAGATACCCTTCTAGCTGATAAGCCGCCTCCTCAGGCTGCTGCCCCGGCTGCGAGTAGAGGTCAACATAAACTGCTGAAGGTCCATATATTATCATCCAATACTGCTCCAGGGCAAATGGTGACTCTCGATGTTACTACAGATATGTACCTCGCCGAGGTTCTTGATCTTGTTTGCCGTAAGAGGCAACTCGATAAGAATACTCACGTACTCAAACTTCCCGATTCTGGCGCGGTAGTCCTCGTAGACCGTACTGTTTCGTCAATCGGCAACGTCGAGGATCTGGAACTTCACCGTCGTCGATTTGCAACAGATGGTCCGCTGACGATCGGTTCGCCTAGCAGTCCCTCCCCCAAGCCGCATGTGTGGAACGAGCTACCCCAGAAGGGAAAAAAGAAGTTCATGACAACGCATCCCCTTGCTCAGGAGAATACGATGCAAGATGAAGCCGGCAGTGGCGACGTCAAGTATAAAAAATACACGGTCTGGCGCAAGCAGGCGATACGATTTGTTGGCATGAACGAGCGAATACTCGTTATCGATGGCGAGTACGTATATATACACCCATCTTCTGGAGGCAAAGTAATCCGCGAAGGAGGGAAGACCACGACGGTCCACTTCAGTAACGTGATCGGATGCAGTGTTTCGCGCCGTCATCCAACCAATTTTAAAGTAAGTCAACACGGGTCCCTATTTATTCCCACAGTGTAGATGCTGAAACCTAGTCTAGCTCCTTGTGTACAAAGACACGGAGAGCAAAAGGTATGACTTCGAAGCTAGGAGTGCTCAAGAGGCAACAGAGATCGTGCGCGAACTTAAGAAGGGAATTTCCCCCTATAATAGGGACATTTAGGAAATGTCCTAAAGGGGAATTGCCTCGAATCGGGGACATCCAAGTCTAGCTCCGAGCAAGTAGCCCTCTGTCGGTGAGTTTTTAAGTCGAGCTTTTGATGATTCAACAACAACATCCGTCGTCCGATGTATTGGATACGTCTTGTCTTAACGAGATATCATACCCTATGCACTGATTATTTGTAAATCTTATTACAGCCTTGTAAAACTTAGGGCTATGTTAGTCTACGTAAGGTCGAGCGATCTGCAATAGGTTGCTGGCCATACAATACACATACTTAAAGAATAGCAATGGTATCTACTCTCTATATTTTGCTAAGCATGTAGTAAGGAATCAAATTTTCTCCCGGAATATTTCTACCCCTGTTCGGAGCACGCTTCTCTAATTAAACTTCTAGAATACCAGGTATGGTATCTACTTCATCTGTACTTAGGCACGCCTATATGTACTTCCATACCTAATTGATATCAAAAGACCCGTGGAATGAAATCACAAAATCTACCCAAATCGCCTCCCTTGCTTGTACGTCCTTGTCCCAGGCTTTTTCGAAATCACACCTGGAATCTACCCTGATTCTGATAGCAATTCAAGATGATATTACATTAGAAAAGCGTTGAAAGATGTACGCGAACTAGGTACGTGAAAATTATCATGGAGCTAACGAATTAACACCTTATATCTCTATATGATTTCTATTTCCTCGCGCCCCGGGATCTAATTGTAATTCATTCTACCACTGCCTCAAATGTGTGTATCTTTTTCAACCCCTGACTTACTTGATACCTAGCGCGTTCGTTTACCAATGGCAATTGCTGGCTCATGTCACGAGATTGTGGTTTTAGACAATGTTCGTGAGAGGTCCACCTCGCAAAGGCCGTACGCCGTGGGATGAGTAGCTACCTACCTATGTTAGAGGTAGATATTTAGAGTTAGAGATGAGCGTTATCGCCAGTCCATTTGCTGAGTTCATATGGTTTTATATTAGATGCTACCATTACAACAGTTGATGATGCAGATTGGGAGTTGAAACTTGGTACGCCAAAGGCCATCAACACATCACGACCGCCGCAAGGCTGAAGAAATTCAAGTTACCTTATAGTCAGTCCATCTTGTAGGTCAGATCTCGGAAGTAGACGACCTGACGTGTCAAGTAAAGTAGATTCGTACACTGCATCGGCCCGGTTTGTATGGTTGCACTTCAAGCTGAACCAGAGTAAGATTGGTCCAGCAGGCGACAGACTAACTGAGATTCATTACTTGGTAAAACATCCTATTTAGAGAGCAGGGATTCACTGGCTACCTAGATAGGTTATCGAAACCTGTTACCGGGGAAGGGATTCCTGGGGAACGGTTAACTGCCCCTATTCGACATGTCGCAAGTAGATGATTGCCAGTACTTATATTAGGTACCTGGTATGAGACGATGGCTTAGCAGACGGTAACACCTGGAACAAGTCAAAAAATACGCCTGTGGGCGTGTTACTACCTAGATCAAAGTAACTGGAAATCAAGCAAATAATCAGGTCTTAAGCGGGTAGCAAACGGATAAATTAGATGAAGCAACACTTGATCTGCGGGAGAGCGGGTGACGGCAGGGAGATATTACTAACAAAACTTCAAAATCAGGAGGGATCATACAGAGGGAAATAGGGGAAAGACACATATTTTTTTGTAGGAAAAGTACATACAAAAATACTTTGGATGGATGCTGATCTAGGATATCCTCATAGCAACCAAGTGGAATAAAATTGATCTAGATTGGCTTCATCAGATGCCTTCCAATTATAAATCTACCTAGGTAGGTACAACTACCTCCTACCTACAGGAAAATCCAATCAATTTCATATCTGCATTTACTTATTTGAAAATCGAATAACTATTCCCCTTTTAGGTTTAAGTACCCTGGGTTGCTGCGTGCCTGCCTGCCTAGATCACTCTCGAGACGCAACTGCTAGATATAAACGCATCTCTGCGGTGAATGACCCACGACTTCCTTCCTTCCCTCTTTCTACAAATTCACCCACCTTCCCTACTTATTTTAAATCACTTGGTAACAAAGTACTACAAACACGTCAATTCCATTTCCCGTGTTTTTGTTTTTCTCTCTCTCTCTTCCACCTTTTTTTTTCTTCTTTATCACCTCCATCATCCAAACTACCTAACCAACTGTTTCATTACACCTTCGACGTTCTAGATAAATATTCTTCGTCGATCATCGAGATCATTAGATCATTCTTACTTCTTACATCCCACAGCATCTAGCAAACCTAAACATTCTCCATAGTATCCTTCGAGTACTTTAGGTTAAACCGTCAAGATGCTGTTCCCCAAGCTTCTCCTTACCGCGGCTATGCTGGCCACCGGCCTGGTAAGTTATGCTAACTACTTAGTAACTACTGCCTAACCTGTTCTCCTTATTCCATCTTCGCAAGCGTTTGACATGCTACCTACCTTCACTTCCCCCCTCACTTCCCCCTTCATTTTCCCCTTCATTTTGTCTTAACCATCACCTTGACTTCGCATGTTCCGGACTGCTAACCTTATCGTCTCCTAATAGGCTGCAATCGGCGCTGATGTCAAGAAGGACGAGTCCTCTTGCACCTGCGAGGGTGTCACTGTCACCAAGACTGTTCCCCCCACTGAAACTACTGGTGAATCCTTTACTCCCACCGGTGGCTACCCCGGTTACCCCACGGGCACTCCCTCTACCGTTCTCGTCACTGCTACCCCTTCTTCTTCCGTGACCGGATCTGAGACTACTATCCCCATCATCGGCTCTGCCACCGAAACTCTCTCTATCTCGTCCACCGAGTCCACCGAGTCCACCGGAACTGGAACTACTCACACTGGAACTGGAACCGGCAGCATCACTGCTTCGGTCACTGAGACCACCAACACCGCGACCCACCTCACTAGCAGCGGTAGCATCACTGAGACCCATTCCTCTCACACCACCAGCGCGACTGCCAGCGAGTCCCATTCTCACTCGACCACTGAGCCCAGCGCTAGCCCCTCCGAGAGCGCCCCTCCCACCTCGGCTGCCGCTTCTCTGCCCATTGGCACCCTGGGCATGAGCGGTATCCTTGGCGGAGCAGTGCTCGTGGCGATGGTGAACTACATCTGAAGGGAAAGAAAAGACTGTCTGGCAGAGGCGCTTTAGCAACTGAGCAACAATGTTCTTATGATCTCACGCGTTCGATTCATTTCTGTGGATACACAACCATACTGGTGGTACTGCTTTTGCATGCATGGACGACGATGAGGCAGGTTTAATGATCAATGGAAGATGTATTCTAGGGCTCTTTTAAGTTGCATTTGCATACTCTCGCCTTTGTTATGAGCAGGCATACGTAAGAGGAGGAGGATTTTCCGATTTGGCAGAAATGATTCACAAGCATTGACTTTGAGAGTTTCTCATAGGACAGAAACATGTTTTACTCAAGCAATAGCTGCTTAATATTATGACGACTGGCAACCGAACTTTTTTTGGTGTGTTTTTCCTTACTATGTTGCACCTGTGATGATAGTTCTCTCTGACTAGTATTGCTCTTGCAAATACGATTTTTTGGTGCCACACTTCAAACTGGTTCCTTCGTTCATTAACAGATGGTGGCCTCAATGTTGCCGCCACAGTAGTTCTCAAGCTTATACTGACCTACCCTTCGTTCCTTAAATCCCACGTCGTATTCTGATGATGGGCTAAATATCGGTGCCTCAATAGTAAGTGTTGGTTCTGGTTATGTAATGGCTTTACTGATATTTGATATTTCTAGATGAACTTCGACATGTCTGTCCTATGTTTCTCTTCTTCTTCAACTATCACCGACTTATTACTCGACAATGCAGACTACACACACACACACATAAATACACGTAGTAAAAAGACATATATTCCAACATCAACATCACCCCCTGACTACCCAAGTCCTCCTACAACTTCGCTCCCTTCCTCCTCTCCGCCGCGCTATCCATCCTCACCCCCTCGTCACCCTGCTCGGCGACCGACAGGTCCGGCAAGACGGCGGGCATGATGCGTCTGGGGTGCGAACCCGGCACGACGGCGTACTTGGCGAAGTCGGTAACGCGGCCCCCCGCCTCGCTGCGCAGGAAGTCCTCGTCGAGCTCCAGCTTGCCGTTAACGGAGGCCGCGGGCGCGCGCAGGATCGCTAGCACGGCGTCCGAGAATATGGTCGCCCGGCGAAGGTCACGCGTCGAGGACGGGTTGGTATTGCTGCTTTGGCGCGTTGCGGCGGATTCGATGGCCTGCGAGGGGGTAGGTTAGGTTAGGTAGGGTTGGCTTTGGGGATTTCTTACGTAAGGGGGTTGCGTATAGGGGGGACTACGTGGTGTGGGACTGGACTGGATTGGTTCGGGGAGAAAGGGGATAGGATAGGTATCAGGCATGCATAAAGAAAGAAAGAGAGAGAGTATGTGTGAGAGAGAGAGTGTGAGTGAGCAAGTGAGGGTGAGGATAAGGATAAAAATAAGGAGCAAAACATACCACGGCAGGCCACAAGCTGGTAACAGCCATGTCCTTCAACCCCTGCCTGGCGAAGTCCATGGCGAGCCCGACGGTCAGCACGCTCATGCCGACCTTGCCCATGGCGTAGGCCGTCTTCCCGCGAAAGAACCGGGTGTAGATGGGCGGGCTGACGACGACGACGCGCCCGCGCCCGCGCCGCTTCAGGTGCGGCAGGCTCGCCTGGACCGCCGCGTACAGGCCCTCCGGGTTCACCCGCTGCAGCAGCTGGAACCGCTTTACCGGCGTGTCCTCGACCGACGCCCACCATATCGCGCCCGAGTTGTAGATTAGCACGTCTAGGCGGCCGTAGGTCTTTATATATCATATATATATATATGAATGTTAGTTGGAGTTGGTCAGGTATTTACTTGTATACCTTAGGTACCTAGGTATGGATTTGGTAGGGAAAAAAAGGGAAAGGGAAAGAGGGTGTGGGAGAATAGGAGAGAGTAGGGTAGGGTAGAGTAAGGGAATACTAACCTCGATGGTCCTGTCCACGAGCTTCTGCACGCTGCCGACGTCCCGCACGTCCACCGGTATGGCGGTCGCTTGGCCGCCGGCCTCGCGGATCTCCCGCTCGACGGTGCTGATGGTGGACTGTGGCGAGTTGGGGTCGGGCGGGAAGGGTACGACGCTCTGGGGGTCGCTTGTTGATTTAGCTGCGACGACGACTATAGACCGTACGTTAACGTATAGGTATTTACCTATAATTAGAAAAAAAAAATACAGTCTTCTCTTATAAGTTGTATCTATCTACCTACCTAACCTAGATATCTAACATAAGGTAGGTATCTAAGGTAGGCATGTAGGTGCATTTTGTTTTGTTTGAAAAGAGACGGGCTTACCAGCATATCCGTTCTTCGCCAAGTCCACGGCAATCTGCCTCCCTATCCCCCTCGACGCACCGATTACGAGCGCGACGTTGCCGTTGGTGTCTGCCATTATATTGTCCTAGGTAATCTTAGGTAGCTGAGGTACCTATCTAAGGCAGCTAGCTAATCACAGACCATTTAACGTATAACAAATTACTACTAGATCGATCAAATGAATTACTTCATTACACGAAAGAAATGAGGAAAAGGTCTGTATTACATATTGTTTTATTTTGGTTCATTTTGAACCGATCAGTAATCATTGCTAGATACCTCCTTTGACTTATGCAGAACTCCCCGGGTATATGATGAATATATAGTGGGTCTACGGGGGGGAGCCGAGGTTTCGGTGTATGGAACCCACCGGACAGCATACTTTCTGCTTACTTAAATATACTCTGGATTGACATGCCAATTAAACACGATATTGTACAAAACAGAACATAGCAAAAAGCGAGTAGCTATATGCGTTTAAAGGCTATGTACTCGAAGGTTCATTATGTCCAAATAGGGGTATTGCTTTTTCCTTGCCTGCCTCCTCCCACTCTCGGTCCTTCACTCGTATCCCCGAAAATTCCCAAAGCGGGAAATTCTCAAAACAACCCCCAAGCCTCTTGAGCCCCTCACCAAGGCTCCAACTACTATTTTGACCTTATATACAACCAAACTTGAGAGCCGAGGGCGCACGACATTCTTTTTCGAAAAGTCAAGTCAAGACAAGACAAGAAAAGCAGCTTGCCCCATAGTCTTGACTCTCTCCCTGGTAAATGTCTATCATCATCATCTAAGTGATATGCATAGTTACTAGGAGGTAGCTAAGCTAAGCTAGCCCGCTTTCCCAATATCTCTTCTGTCCTACTGCGGGTGCCTGCTCCAGCGAGCGACTTAATATAGCCACGGTCCTACTCGATCGTATCAGCTTCCCGTGTCTCTGTGTTTCACTTTCTCTCTCTATGCGTGTGTTTGTGTGTGTTTGTGTGTATCTGAAAGGGCAGCTCGTGCCGGGGGAGGGCAAGGGGCAAGTGAAGAGATACTAGGTAATCAAACAAACAAAAACCAAAAGAAAAAAAGGTCTTACCTGGGATGAACCGGTTTTCCTGTTCCCTGTGCGTCGGAATCTTGAGCACCTCGCTGTGTATCGCGTTCATCGCCGCGAGCGCGTTGTCCGCCTCTACCACGAGCGATATGTTGACTTTACTGGCCCCTTGGCTTATCAGGTAGATGTCGATCTGAGCAGAAGCCAACGCCGATAGGATCTCATCTAGAAGGAAGGATCTGTTAGAAATCTCTTATTTTATTTTTATACCTACCTCAGGTAGATTTCTAGATTGGGCGTTATTGACTAGGTTACTTACTAGACACGCCGACCATGTTGCGCATTTTGTGGCCGACTACCGTGACGATGGACATGTGCGAAGTGATAGCGACCTGGCCGAACCGCTCCAGCTCCTCCCGAAGCCTCAGCAACGCGCTCGGATCGCTGGGGGCCTGGACCGCAAGACTGACGTGCCTCTCGCTCGTAGCGACGAGATCTACGGGGATCTTGGTCCTCTCAAGACGATCAAATACCTGCGTGAGAAACCCTTGCGACTTGGTATTCCGGTTGCAAACAACGTTGATGAGGAGGATGTCGTCCTTAACTGTGACTGCGGTTGGTCTCCTGCGTTCTTGCTGTGCCCCGTGGTAGCCGTTTTCTAGCATGAAGCTCGATAAGGGTGCTATTACTCGAGGAGAGCCTTCTGAACCGTCGGATGATGCGCTGGCTGGACTGTTGGGGGCTGAACTATCCATCGACGGATATATGATAGTGCCATTTCCGGAAGGTTTGAACACATTCTTCAGACGTAACGGTATGCCGGCGTCCCGAATTTGATCCATCGTTAATGGATGGATAACCTCGCTTCCATAATACGTCAGCTCCGTTGCTTCTTCAGCTGTTACTGTAGATAGTAGCCGTGCCGAAGGTACCTTTCTCGGGTCTGCCGTAAATATGCCGTCGACTTCTTTCCAAATCTGCAGCTCTTCTGCTCCCACTGCTACCGCACACATGGCTGCGCAGAGGTCCGAGTATCCCCTGCCCACTGTTTGAAGCAACGAGTCCGGCATTATTCCGAAGAAACCTATCATCTTAGTATTTCGCAAAAGTCTCCCTAGGCACCTATAGAGTCTTCTTACCTGTCACAATAGGGATTGCGTTTCCGCATTCTCGAATTCTTCCGGCTATTTGGTCTGCTAATACGCGGTAAAGCCTGGGACCTAGCCTTTCGAATGCGGCTACCTGGTCGTTGATAGAGCTACCAAAAGCAGACGATATAATATTATCTAGGCATACAGCTTTCGCTGGTGTGCCCTGCATAAACCATGGTTATTTCTCTGAACTGACTGACTTTGATTGGCTTCTTAGCTTAAGGGGGGCTTACATTGCAGGACAGGCAAGCCGCAACAATCATGCACGCGAGCTTTTCTCCTAGAGAGATGACCCGATCTTTCGATCGCGCTGATAACTCTCCGATGATCTGAAATCGGTAAGTCAGTACGAATTACAACGTGATGCTTATCTGGCAACGCTAACCTGAGCGGCAAGTAGAAACTTCTTGAGACCCTCGCATTCATTCTGAACACCGTGGACCGTCTCCTCGTAAATCCGCGAATGCGCCGCAGTCCGTGCGTGAGAGCTCATAAATGCCTTCAGCACGGCCAGGTGGTTGTCCTTAATCAGGTCCACCAAGTCGATCAGCCGCTTCTGGGCGTCGAAACCCTCCTCTGCATATGTTATGCACTGAAGAAGCAGACTTGTCGTCCCGCTGGCTTTCAGAGTTCCGGAGAAGGCTGAGCAGACAACAATAAGATTGTGACCTGCGTTGTATTGGGGAATTATCTTGCAGCATATCGTGTCCAATAGCTTTCCCAGGCTGGTACCGCCATACTTCTGGACCAACCAAGGCTTTGTTTGCGTTACAGCCACCATGGTGATGGTGATGGTGAGTAAGCTTATGGCGCTTTACACGACGTTATCTCTGATACTTTGGAATAAGATATCAGTTATGATAAGTAAGAGCTGGTATAAGAACTAAGAAGAAGCGGCTTGCGTTGTCCTGGCCATACTTGAAGCTATCCGTCCTGGCTAACATTCGTTTTTATGTTTATGCTTCCCCTTCCCAACTGCCTCTATAGGCGTCAGCAGAGAGACCATAGGCCGTACATTACTCGAAATGGAAGGAGGGGGGATTGCGAAATAACAGCGGAGCACCAATTCACGCATTCAACCCAACCAGAGCTCCACGGGGTTGGGTATGTCGGGATGGGATGCGTTGCCGACAGTTCTTTTTGTGGAAAGGGGGGCTATAGAAGGGGAATAACGAGAACGGGTCCGGCGTGGGCCGACCAACAACAACTCGATAATCACACGGCGTCAGAATACCAAAGAGGAAAAAGGCGAACCGAAAAAAAGAATTAATAATCCCAAGCTAGGAGAGAAAAGAGAAAAATCGGGATTTTGGAATAGCCGGATGGGATCGTTCCCACGAGTAGGTAGGGTAGGGCTTTTGGCCTTTTGGGTATAGGTAATGCCAATTGCAAATACCTAACCTGTACCCGTACCACGCACGATGATGATGGGCTCCCCTTCCGACCGCCATCCCCTTGGACCCTCCCCTTACCTTACCTACCATAAACGGATACAACACAATCACCTATACACCTGGGGGAAAGGGGGGACACGATGATGGATACTTCGAAATGCACTCCCAAATCCCGGCCGGCATTTATGATAGGTGCCCTGCGTGATAGCTATGCACCGAGCAGATCCTCCTTTCCCAAAGGGGCGCACCCCTTTTTCCCGGACTATACTTGTTTCGGTCCTCGTGATGGGGCGCGGCGTTTGAAATCCTTACGAATTAGTGATGGATATTATTGATTTTTTTATAATTCTTTTTTCCTTTTCTTTCTTTGAATGCCTAGGCCGAGTATTAAAAAAAAACTTTTTTGATTCCTCGGAAGTGTCTCGCTTGTTTATTTGCTCGTTCGCTCCTATTGTCACGAGATGACGGGGGCAACGAGAGCGGGTGGGCTTCTTTTCTGGGTTATACACACGAAGCGAAGTAGTAGTAGTAATAGTATACGGCCGGGAACCGCCGGAAACGATTGCCACCCAGTCCCGTCGTATCTGAGCGGCCTACAATGACAGCCTCCTCCAGTTGTTCAGTTTTTATCAGTTTTCCTTCAACGGCTCGTTGCAACGTAGCGTAGTCTAAGCACCTTATTTTGCCCCGCGGGGGAAAGAGGAGGGAGGGGGGGAAGCGTTGTCATCATTTCAAATCTACTGCTGCATTATCCGTCTTACTTGCGTCTTTCATTCTCTCTCTCCCGGAGCTTACTTTTACTCCGTAGTAAGGGAGATGAAAAGAAACGAGGGGCGAGGGACTTCCGAGGTCCTCCAAGATACAAAAGGAGGATTTCGTCCCTTGGTCCGTTTCTGTGAAATGTCGTACAGAATGTTTGCCTCCCCGAGCCCGTCGTTCCACAACCCGCTGACCTGAGGATAGTAGCGTATGCTCTCTCTCCGTCAGCTTAAGAAAAAAAAAAAAATCTTCGTATTGTAATAGCGCGTGAGAAAAAAAAAAGTCCCCAGAGCTCTCCCCCGTAGCTAGTCCGTTCTCTTCCGTAGCATCATCATCGACCCATTTTATGCGGTGTTACTAAATCACTAATACGGTAAACATTTCAGCTGTAGTAAGTGCTTGGAATAATGACACCTTAGCGAGCAGCCAATCCCCCGAAAACTCCCCGGGGCCTATAATAATGATAATAAGAAACGCTTGATATACAATAACACTGTGAAGACACTGTACAAGGCCAATTCCCTGGCCACTCTCTACCAAGCCTCCACTTCGCCAGTCAAGCTGGCGCCGCCAGGTTGAGCTGTGTGCTCTGTGGAACAGCTAGTATCATCGTACGTAGAGTTGTAAAAGTGCGGAAAGTCACTCGTAAGTTTTCCTAAAATCAGCGTTCCAAGCTGTTCGAACTCGAGTAAGAACCCATCGTGCCCGTCCGCTGACTTGAGCATCGCAAGAGTAGCATCAGGGAGGCACGCCGCTAACCGCTCTTGTTGCTCGGGCAAGAATAACGCATCCGTCTCAACACTAACTACCAGGGCGCCAGGCGGTACAACAGATAGTACGGAGCGCAAGTCGCTATCGTAGTCAACAGAAGATGGAATTTCTTTATCAGCCGGTACTCTATTTACTGTCACGTCGTGCGCGTCCATTTTGTTGGTGATGTGCAGATAGCAGTTGGCATCGAACCGCTGAATAAACTTTTGCCCCTGATAGTGTAGGTACCCCTGAGCGGAAAAAGAGGGGTCCCGTCTTGCGGTCCAGCTCTTCCGCTCCGAGCGCTCCTTGCCGGTTGTCGGTGCCGCGCCTGTCGTTGTAACCGGAACATCTGTCCGCGGGAGGTCCAGATGAGGCTCTTGCACGGGCCGCGGCTTCTGCCGCTGTGGTTTGCGGCCGAATCGGGAGTCGAAGCTCATGCATGATCGGTAGGTAAGCATAGCCACCATACGCGCCGCGGCCAAACCGGCTGATGGCTGACCCCCAGGAAGCGGTTCGTAGTATCCATCGTCGAACTTAGGGTCAGAATAAATGCATTGGCGCTGCGTCTCAGCCCATGAAATCCCCCAGGCGCTGTGGTCTGCTGCAGTTGCGATCGGTATAATGCTCTTAACGTAACCAGGCGCGGTGCAGAGGGGCCATTCGAGAGTCGTCATTCCGCCCATCGAACCTCCTATTACGGCCGCTACGGAGCGCACCCCTAGAGCGTCAAGAACATACTTATGTGCCCTGTCCGGATAGAAAGTGTATTAGCACTTAATTAGAACGAGGGAGATCACTACAATAAAAGGATTTTAACCTACCGAACATCGTCACGAACGGTTGTTTGCGGGAATTCGCTAGCGTATCTCCTTCCCGTCTGAGGGTTGATAGTCAGTGGTGATGCGCTACCGTAGGGTGATCCGAGTACGTTGGCGCAAAAGATAAAAAAGTGCGCCGGATCAAACGCCTTGTTACGTCCAAGAAGGGGGCTCCACCAGTCACTAATATCGCTGCTGCCAGTCAAAGCATGACAGATCACTAGGACATTGTCCGCAGTGTCGTTGAGTCGACCCCATGTCTTGTAAGCAATGGGACAAGATTCCAATACATCACCAGAGTCAAGTGTGAACTCCGGTATCACGGCAAACTTCTGCCCCTGAATAAGACCGGCGTAGAAGTTCTGAGGATTTGGGTTGTGATCTAGAACTGCGATGCATGTTAGAAACCTTTCCCAGTAGTCCGGATGTGGTCCACTTACGAGTTGCCATATCGAATGCAAGATTGTGCTTGTAGTTTAGCAAGATAGGTAGGTTCAACAACGAGAACAAACTGAGCGTCTTTGAGCAATAGAGAGACGATCCTGGCGCCACATTCGTAGCTATGTATGGCTGTTATGGCCATATTAACAGTACATTGTTCCGCGTACACCCGGGACTGTCAGGGTTCCAAGGAGCTGGGGAACAAACTGCATACGCCATATGCTACCCCCCACAAAGACCGTTGCAATGGAAGATCATCTTGGATCTTCCAAACAGAAACATACAAGTACCTACGTATCTTGGTCCATTAATCCGGTATTCGGCCTGATGTCTAGCCCAGCTAGCGTACCGGGATTTGGTACTTCGGGATCTGCGTCGTGCTGCAGAGTAGTATGCGCCGTCGCACCGCATATACTGTGCCTCTCGGCCCCACAATCTGCGACACGCCCTATTGATCAAACCCCATCATGCTGCGATGAACGCTACCCATTGACTGACCATTATCAGAGCTTATGACCGTCACAATGCCTCAAATTGGTATCGCAGGCCAAGAACGGGAATCGATTAATACCGTCGATCCGGCACCTTCCGCCTTATTTAATGTGCCTGTATTTGATAGAATTAAAATTGCGTTGCGTGTTTGTCCCTAACCCCGATAGAGAGGCCTGCGAGGCATATAGCGCTAAAGTTTCAAAGTTGGCATACGACTGATTTAGCTCACACATCACTGCGGACAACATGGCTGCGGCTCGGATCGTGAAAGTGGCCGCGGTTCAGGCGGCGCCAGTCTCCTTCGACCTCGAAAAAAGTCTAGAAAAACTAACAAAAATAGTCGGTGAAGCAGCTGGAGCCGGAGCGGACCTTATCGTGTTTCCGTAAGCAGGCGCTGCATACTCGACCAACAACATGATTTATTAACGGCGGTCATGCAGTGAGGCTTTCTTATCCGCGTATCCATGGCTATATGCCTTTGATGCCACGATTGGCGCTCGGGAGCAGCGTGGTGAGAAGAGCCTTCCCCTTTTCCTTTACGATAGGAGGGGCAAGTTACAGGGCTGACCTCGATTAGGAAGAGAGTGGTACGCAAAGTACTACCATTCAGCTGTTGCTGTGCCTTCCCCGGCCGTTGACACGATATCGAAAGCGGCAAAAGCCCACAAGGTCTATATCCAGGTCGGCATCATTGAGAAAGACGGGGGCACGCTATACTGTACTGCTTTGTTGGTTGGCCGAGATGGGTCGGTGCTATTGAAGCATCGTAAGGTGAGTGTATCAGATCCTTTGGAAAATCTTTTCGCGGAAACTAAACGCAAATAAGTTGATACCTACTGCTGCAGAGCGTCTGGTGTGGGGACGAGGTGCAGGTGATGGTCTTGAAGTTGTACAGACTGATATTGGCAAAATTGGCACGCTGATATGGTGAGTTGCTATGTCGCGATATGAATTTCGAAGTTATTGACGGAAGCTCAGTTGGGAGAATTACATGCCCGCAGCGCGGTTGGCTCTCTATCAGCAAGGCGTCGAGTAAGTCAGACGACATGGCCAGAAAGAGCATAACCCAAGTTTGCTAAGCAGTTTTTCGATAGAATCTACATCGCGCCTAACGCGGATGATCTACCATCGTGGATCGCATCTATGCAGCATATCGCTAAAGAAGGACGCTGCTTCGTTGTCTCAGTAAATTCGGTGGTTAAAGTTTCGGACTTTCCACAAGACTATCCACCGTTTACTGCTGAGCACCATGGCACGAAGCCAGACGGTTCAAAATGGGAGCCTGAAGATATTGTGAATCACGGCGGATCCTTTATCGTAGGACCTCTAGGAATTCCCGTAACCGAGCCGGTATGGGATAAAGAAGAGATTATCTACGCCGATTTGAAGATGCCGGAAATAACAGAGTCAAGGGTGAGTAACTTTAACCGAATGAAGTTTCGCCACGACACGCTAACAACCTATATTTAGCTTGACTTCGATCCGGTTGGCAGCTATGCCCGTCCAGATGTGTTGTAAGTTTCCAGCCGAAGCTGAAATTCCCATAAAGAACACAAGGCGTGGTGACTAACGCCTTATAGCACCTTGACCGTGAATACAAAACCCGGAACCAACGTGAGCTTTATCAAATAACCGAAAGGGATGGGTTGGGCCATGGCGAATCCGAGATTCGGTGTTGTTCAATCAATTTGGGAAACACTCGGGTTGATAAGGTGCGTGTTCGAGGACTCCAGTCTGGACTTTCATCTACATAGGTTGTTACGTGGAGTATATCCATGAATAGAGCAAACCTGGTTCGTACCCGTAGAACGACCCGCACTAGTGACTCCCTCGAGAAGGATTGATATCCCTCACATGTGTAACCTATCATCTTGTAAAATGATCCCGAGCACGTGGGACTTGTCCAATGGCCGAGTGGCTCAAGTTGTTGAGGCTCCTCGGAGTACTCTTTGTCTCAGACACCAAGGGTCCGAAATCTCGGGTCGCCCCTGGCATCCGTAATATATGTATGTATGTGTGTATGTGTGTGGCATCGGTGGCGGTGGTCAGCAATCACCGGTCATCTGTTTTTTTTTCTTTGCCCCTTCAGCGGCTGCTCGTACGGAAAGCGTGAACATGCGGGGGATGCCGTGCCTCACATCATGTATGCTACCTATTCACTAATCGCGTATCGGGAATCGCGTATCGTTATTACCATGTAGGTGTTGACTGGGGGAAGACTATCTGGGATTATCGGGGATTACCAGGAATTATCTGGGATTGTGTGATGTATAATGTATAAGGTATAATGTATACTAGGTATATGGTACCTAATACCTGTCATATACAAAGTCATATATAGTGCGTTTAATGCATGGAGACGTTCCAAGGTTCTCCATGACCACGGGAACCCCTGTGATTGCGGTAGTGGTGGGTCTTTCCATCATACGACGACGACTAAGGAAGCTTCGGGCTTTGCTTGTGTTGCATTGCAGTCTGGCAATAACGAACGGCAAACGGTATTGAATGGAAACTAGTACTTACCTAAGCTTATCTGGCGTAGGTACCTCTAGCTGGAGAGGAATTTGCAGGATGGAGGGGGAGTTAGGTACTTCTGAGGTATTGGATGTATGTAATCGACTATAATTTCGACGCCTTGTACGCCTTGCACCTTCTCTACAACGATCATACATTTAAAATCCCAGGGCCTCGAGTTTCAAAACGAATCTTGTCAAATACATCAACTTGCTCGGCACCTTGTAAGCACCATCTAATCATAATTTCATATTAACAGCAGTGTTATATTCGACTTCAAGATGTCTCCTCCGGGATCCATTAGCAATTTAGACTGGTATGTTGCTATGAACCCCCAATGAAAAGAATAAAGAAAAAAAAACAAGAACACTCCTTTAACGAGAGAAAAAAAAAACAGGGAACCCAGCTTCGACACAATTGCTGTTCATGGAGGACAGGAGCCGGATCCAATCAACGGTGCAAGAGCTGTGCCCCTTTACCAGACTGCAGCCTATAACTTTTCCGATGCTGCTGATGGAGCAAGCAAGTTCGCCTGGTCTCGAGACGGATATGTCTATACTCGTATGGGTAATCCCACCAACACGGTTTTCGAGAACCGAATGGCCATGCTAGAAGGCGGTGTTGGAGCGGTAGCTACTGCATCTGGCCACGCTGCCCAAGTAAGTTACATGTGCTAACTTTTTAGTTATTACCGTACTATACTAACAGGTGAATCCAGTTCATGGCCTTAACCCAATGCTGCGAGCCTGGCCACAATTTTCTCAGCACTAGTTGGTGTAAGTTCTCAAGTGGCAAATAGTAGACGATTAGGTATAATTGGCCAAGTAAACATACTAATTTTCCCATCACTATAGTATATGGTGGTACTTTCAACCAATTCCGCGTTTATTTGAGCAAGTTCAAGATCGACGTCAAGTGGGTGGTTGGAAACGACCCGGCAAAATTTGACGAAGCTGTTGATGAGAACACGCGGGCTATTTACATTGAGACGATCAGCAACCCGAAGCACAGCGTTCCGGATATTGCAGCACTTGCCGCGGTAGCTCACAAGCATGGAATCCCCTTAATTGTTGACAACACTTTTGGTATGGGCGGGTACCTATGCCAACCTATCAAGCTTGGAGGTATGTAAACCATACATCTATAACTTGCTCCAAAAGAATCCGTAAGCTAACACAATTCCTTAGCTGATATTGTCACACACTCTGCTACCAAATGGATTGGTGGTCACGGAACCAGCATGGGAGGTATCGTGATCGATGGTGGACACTTCGACTGGAGCGCGTCAGGAAAGTTCCCTGGCTTCACGGAGCCCGCGGAAGGTTATCACGGTATGCGATTTTGGGAGACGTACGGAAAGAAGGCACTGTCAGCGAAAGTGCGAATGGATAGCATGAGAGATCTTGGCCCTTGCATGAGCCCTTTCAATGCATGGCTATTCCTGCAGGGACTAGAAACGCTTCCCCTTCGTGGCCAGAGGACAGTCGAAAACACACAAAAACTCGCAGAATGGCTCGAAAGCCATCCCTGTGTCAACTGGGTGTTGTACCCAGGCCTGAAGTCACATCCCGACTACGAGTTGGCAAAGAAGGTTATGCCGAAGGGAGCTGGTGGTGTCCTGACTTTCGGCGTGGTACGTACTCCCCCCTTTTCTCTGTGTAACCTCTGAATGTTTCCACCACGAGGCATTTTGAGATATGCGATATAAGCTAACGATAGTTATAGGCTGGAAAAGTCGAGCAAGTTCGTGCCGTGGTTGACAATCTCAAGATGGCTAGTCATTTGGCCAATGTTGGAGATTGCAAGACCCTCATCATTCACCCCTGGGTAACTACACACCAGCAGATGCCCGATGAAGAGAAGATTAAGGGCGGTGTTACACGTATGTGTGCCCAAGTTTTCACATCCATCCTCAACATTTAAGGACTATTACTGACTTAATAATCTTAATGAACAGCCGACCTTTTACGTGTGAGTCTAGGTATTGAAGACTTTGAAGACATCAAGCGCGATTTCGAGCAAGCATTCAAGGCTGCCGGCCTCGAGAAGGCAGATAAGAGCGGCGTAGATCCGTTCCAGACAGCTATGAATCTTGTCAGCGGAGGATTCATGGGCAAGCTATCCACGGGTCCACCGCGTCCCGGTACGGACGGAACCATACAATCATGAGGAACTGCATTGTATGAAAAAAGTGAGAACTCTGGGCTAGGTGTAAGGTGTCGGTGTAGGAGTTGCCGACGGGCAGGATAAGGAAGTTCCATTTTCATTAACGGGGAGCACATTGGGCATTAATTAATTACTTTGCTATTGCATACTGGGATGATTTCCTTGAGGAGGGTTTTTTCCCATGTGGTACATCTGGGCATGTATCTAAACGATCGATTTCGATGAATTCCCCTCCATGAAACACATTTGCATTTATTAAACATGCCTTTAGCCGTGTCTCGGGTACAAGTGGGGGACATCCCGAAACCGAGGTCAATTACTAAGTTGGCGGGTGCCCATCAGTCTTAGGTACCTAGGTACGTATGTATACCTAAGGTATTCAGCACATCTTATAACAACAATCTCCAACTGCTTCATCTCATTTTCTTGTTTTCTCGTTTCTTTCATCACATCTGATCTCACATATAATCTATCCGCAATCCTAACTTCAAGACCGGTAATCTGACTGATCATTATGGGTGGTCATATTGATTTGTACCTTGACATCGGTAATTCTCAGGGGGGGGGGGGGGGGGGGGGGGGGGGGGGGGGGGGGGGGGGGGGGCGGGGGGGGGGGGGGGGGGGGGGGGGGGGGGGGGGGGGGGGGGGGGGG